GCCTCCTGGCCCTGGACGGCTGCGGGGGAGCCGGACGGCTCCTGCGTGCCCTCTCCCGTGTGGCCGGGCAGGGAGCGGAGAACCGGGAAAACGGTGACGAACTGACAAGACCCCCCACGCCTACGCGTACCGTTTCCTGAGGTTTCTCGGGACTGACACCCAGCCCCCTCCGACGCGTCCCTCCAAACCGCAGAGGAGGTTGGGCCAGGTGACGGAGGCCGCTGCCCTGGGCGGAACGAGCACCATGTCAGCGGGGGAGGGGAGGGCGGTGCCGACAGGCTCTGCTGTGTGCCGACCCTGCCGGTGCTCGGGAGGCACGGACCCGGCTGTCCCAGCGTCTGGGGCGGGGCAGGTGCCCGCGGAAAGGTCGCGGGAAGAGTCCACGGCCACGGCTCGTGTGGCCAGTCTCGCTGCTCCGACACAGCAGGGCCGCCCACACCCCCGCTTCTCCTGCCGCCCGCCTCCCTCGCCCAGCCCCGGCCAGCCCCGCCCTCGCCAGGTCCCTCCCCACCCAGACCGTCAGGGGTCACGGCCCCTCCTTCACTCCTGCCCTCAGTCCATGTCACGCAGCCTCACCTTTGACCCCGCTCCTGGAACCAGACAGGGTGGAGGATGCTGGGAAACACCGTCCCGGCAGAAAGAGGGCGGAGGGGGGACTCCCGGACAGTGCTGGGGGTCGGCCCAGGCCCTCGGAGGTGGCAGCAGCCGGCGACGGCCCGTGAGGCCCAGCAGGAGAGGCCGGACAGGGTGGGCGATGGCAGGTGTGTGGGGTGGGGCAGGGAGCCCCTGGCTCTTCGGGTGGGGAAGGAGGTGGCCCCAGAGGACGCTGGACCCCGGGGAAGAAGGGCCACCCCACCTGTGCCACCGGGCGCGCGGCAGCTCGGACGCCCCGCGCGGACTGCCGACTCCGGCCCACAGACGGGTTCTCCCTGCCGCCCACGTGTCGTGCATCCTGAGCTTCTTTCATTGTATGTTATTGATCACGCTGCTGCGGCTGTCCCGACTGCCCCCTTGACCCCTCTCCACCCAGCGCCCCCACCCCTCAGGCCACCCCCACCCTTGCTCACGTCCACGGGGCCTGCGTGGAAGCTCTCTGGCCGCCCCATTTCCTGGGCTGCACTTCACGGGCCCGAGGCTGCTCTGCAACTACCTGTCTGCACCTCTTACTCCCCTCTCCTCTCCCCCCACCCCCCACGCCCCCCTCCCATCCGGGAACCTTCCGGGAACCAACTTCCCTTCTCTTGCTGCTTTTCAGATTCCCTCTTCATCTTCCACCTTTGGCGTTTTGACCACTTTTGCAGGAGGCCTCTCTGCATCCGTCTTGTTGGGGACTCTCTGTGCCTCCTGGACTTGCATGTCTGCTTCCTCCACCAGTTTAAGGAAGTTTCCTGTCATCATTTTTTCACACAGATTTCCAGCTTCTTGCTCCTTCTCTTCTCCTCCTGGCAGCCCTGTGCCGCGGATGTTGGGACGCTGGAAGCTGTCCCAGAGGCTGCTTACGGTATCCTCGTGTTTTTTTTTGGATTCTTTCTTCCTGTTGCTCTGATTGGATGTTTTTTCCTTATGTTCCAGATCACTGATTTGATTCTCGGCTTCCTCCACTCTACTGCTATTTCCCTGTAAATTGTTATTTATCTCAATGGGCGGATCCTTCCTCTCTCACTGGGGCTTTTTATGCTGCCAAGGTCCCCGCTGAGTTCCTTGGCGTCTCGAGGTTTTAAAGCCCTCTGCCGTGCAGCATTCTGGGAATTTCCCGAATCAAATGAGACCACTTTCCCCTCAGACAGGTCTTGGACTCCAAGATTCTGTGATTTCCCCAAATTTCCTCTGGATGATTTCCATTTTATCTTACTTTTTAAAAGATTTAAAATATTTATTTTTAGAGAGAGGGAGATGGAAGGAGAAAGAGAGGGACAGAAACATCAATGTGTGGTTGCCTCTTGTGCACCCAACCAGGGACCTGGCCCACAAGCCAGGCATGTGCCCTGATCAGGAATTGAACCAGCGACCCTTTGGTTCCCAGGCCGGCGCTGAGTCCACTGAGCCACGCCAGCCAGGGCCCATTTCAACATCTAAATCTGCAACTCACTGGAACCCTGAGGAGGCGTGTTTGTGTTTTCCTGCCTGTTACACCCCCGCCCTCCCCGAACTCGAGGGCCGCGGCCAACATGTGCACCGTGGACCCCAGGCCCCTGCCGTCCCACGCCGGCCACCCACGGTGAGGCCGTGTGGCCCGGCGCTCCGGCTGCTGACTTCTGTCCCCCGGCACACACGTTCTCGCCGATGAGCACAGGGAGCCTGTCCGTGCAAGGGCAGCCACGGACAGTGCCCAGGGCCGGCGGTGACATCCGAGCTTTCGGGCGGAAGTCGGAACTCTGAGACACTTGGCCTCTGCCCCCACGAGCGTGACGCGTCCCCGAGGGAAGGCCCCTCTGCGGAGACGGGCGGCGACACCGGCCAGAGCAGCTCCGGACGCGGTTTCGCCAGCCGCGTCCGCGTTCAGACCTGCGCGGCTCGGCGAGCAGCACTTCCCGGCGCCGGTGGACGCAGGTCCTCCATGCGCGAGGCGGAGCCCGGATCCCACGAGACGCAGACGTGCGTGTTCCCGACGTGGTTTCAGATTCCACGCTGCCCCTACCCGCAACTCCTGCGAGGGGCCGCGAGCACAGACGCTCTTAGAGAGCCCCACGCACCGCTGGCGTGAGGCCGGCTCTCCCGCAGGCACTTGTCCGATCCGCACGCCCCGCCCCCCGCCCCCCGGCGCGCTCGCCCCGCCCTCCCCGCGCGCTCGCCCCGCCCCGCCCCCCCGCCCCCCCCCGCCCCCCCGCCCCCCCCCGCGCTCGCCCCCAGGGCCAAGGACCCGGGAAGCGTGGCGGGCTCTTCCCGCCGGAACCGTGCCGGAAACCTCGTCCGCGCGGTTGTCGCTGACGTGAACACGGAACGGGTTTGCGGCCACTCGGGAGCCGAGGGAGCGTCCTTTCGCGCTGGGGCCCGGGTTGCAGCCCGCGAGGCTCGCGGGCGGCCGTGTTGGTGGCGTCACCGCCGGGGTCTCAGGTTCCGTCTCTTGACGCCCTTCCCACTCGGATGCCCACCGCTGCCGCGCGCCGGCCTCCGCAGGGGGGTGCTCGCGCCCCGGCGTCGTTTTGTGTTTCCCGGGCGCTCCCTGGGGCTGCGCGGGCCTTCCGCGGACTGGGGCAGAACGCTCCTTTCGTGGGAATTTAAAATGAGCGTGTCCCTCTCAAAACAAAACGCCCTGCACACCACCGAGAGCGCAGCTGGGACGGCAGGGACACGCGCAGACGCCTTCTCCGGGAGCTTTCAGGCGCGTGCCGCGCTTCTCCAGGGGGCGGGGCTTCTGGGCTTTCCCACGCGCCCCCAAGGGCGCTCTTCGCCTGCGCCCGGCGCCCGCCTGGCTGCACGCGCCCCGGGCGGTCGGCCTACAGTCCGCAGCCACAGCCGCAAGGGAAGCGCTTTCCGCTCGCTCGTTTGACAGGTGTGAGGGGCGCGGAGAGCTCCCCCTCTTCGTGGATTCGGTTTCTGGGCGCACAGAGATATTCTCTGAAAGTTCAGCTGACTTTCACGTCTTCATGCACCCCGCGTCGGACCGCGTCCTCCGTGTCAGTGAGCGCAGTGCCGCGGCATCACAGAGAGGGCCACACTTGCCCTCCACGGGCCAGACACCTCGGAACAGGCGGGAAGGCTGTTCCAGACACGGCCACGAAGGGCGAGCGCCTGGCGGCGGTTCCCCTGCTGGGCTTGGCCTGGCCGCGCGGCTGCTCCAGCACCAGGCAGGAGGGGCAGCGCCATTCACAAGGACGCAGCGGCCGCCCACCGCAAACACTGAGGGGGGGAGGGGCAGGGGAGGGAAGGAAACACACCAACCACCTCCAAGTACGAATGGGAAGACGCCACGTAAGCCCGATGACCCCAGCCACCGTTCCAGGGACGTGACGAGTGTGTGTGCAAACTGCTGCACCACTGAGACCCTCGGTGCCACCTCTGGGTGGCGGTGGGGGGACGTGCCGGGGCCCGAGCACCCGGCCAGGCCCCTCGCAGGGCAGGGCCGAGCCAGCAGCCTCCGAGGCCCCGTGCCGGCTCAACCACGACTTCCGGCGGTGTTGTGTCTGAGGTGGGCAGGCGCACACCTGGGCCGGAGGTCGACTGGGCGAGCGCCCCAAACTCGGGTCTCCACCGTGACGCGTGGCCGGTCACCCACCCTCCCAGCGAAGAGCTGCAGCCGCTGGGCGCGTCCCTTCCCAGCTGCGGCTCAAGGTGGGGGGGGGTCACGTGGCAGCCGGACCGGCCTGGGTGGGAACGCCCCACCGCGTGGGCAGACACACCTGGGCCTCCAGCCCCAAAGCCCAGGGTATGTGTGTCCAGGGCCCTCGGGGCGGAGGGTCCCCCCACAGCTCTGCGCCTCGCCACCACGTCCTGGCAGCCTCTGCCTGGCAGACCTCAGGGCCCCGATTGGCCATGGTGGCCGCCCCACGGGCCCCCCCATCCCCCTGCCCCCCGCAGCCGGCCCAGCGCAGCCAGAGGGACTTCTCTAGACCGGAAGTCAAACCATGTCGCCCGCCACCAACCCACTGTGTGACCCCAGTCCTGCTGTGCGGGCGGCGCTGGGTTAGCCCCACGCAGACTGAGACACTCCTGGGCCCAGCCTCCTCCGTAAACGGGGACCGAAGGCCAGAGGGGCCGAGGAGCTCCTAGAAAGATCTTCCGGCTGGCCGGCCAGCCGGGGGGCAGGGGCGGCGAGGCCAGCTCTCCCCAGCTCCGAGTCGCCCCCCCCCCGCCCCCAATCACAGCCTGTTCTGATCTGGTCTCTCCTGGAGGCGTAAGCTCCCAGGACGGCCCGTCTCAGAGGCGCCGCCGCCGAGAGTGAACGGAGGGCACCGGGCAGTGGTCGTCACCTTTATTAGGGCGCGCTCTCAGGACGCGGTGGAGGCGGCGGCGGCGGCCGGCCCCCTCCCGTCGGAGGCTGTCCTGGGCGGGGCGGGCGGGGGCCCTGGTGAGGGAGAACCTGCGTTCCCCCGGTTGGGGAAGGAGGAGTCACACACGTGATACCAAACGCCACTTCCCGCGTCCCCGACGGCGACCATGCCGGAGAGTGGACTCAGCAGTTCTCCCTGGGGAGTCCCCCGGGGCGGTCTGGGGCCGGGTCTGAGGGGGGCTCCGAGCTGGAGGGGGGCCATGGGGCCCTAGCCGCTGGCCTTGGCGACCAGCCTCTCGAGCAGGCTCATCATGCGCTCCTGCAGCTGCAGGCCCTGCACCTGCAGCAGGCTCTGCTGGTCCAGCACGCGGCGCACCTCCCGGCAGGTCTCCTCCACGGCGCGGCCCAGCCGCCGCTGCTCCTCCAGCATGGCCTCCAGCAGCCGCAGCTTCTTCTTCTGCAGGTGGCAGCTCTGCACCTTGCGCTTCTTTGCCGGCCGCTCCTCCGACCTGGGGGGCAGCGACAGCGCGTGAGTGGCCGCCACAGAGCCCGGCCCCAGGGGCCCCCCCGACCCTCCAGCGACCCTCCAGTGACCCCGCCGCACCAACGGGACACGGGGGCCCCGGGGAGCTTGGCCGCCCACTCAGTGCCCAGCGGCCAGACAGTGGGGACCCAAACACCCTAGGTCTGGGGGGGCAGGGACACCCCAAGCTCACTGGGCGAGGCAGGCAGGGCAGCTTGGGTGTGTGGGGGGCTCAGGCACCCCTGGGTGGAGCAGGTGCTGGGTGCTGTGGCTCCCCCATGGAGCCAGGGACCACCAGTCCCAGCTGGTCTTGGGGAGATGGGGAAACTGAGGCCCCAGGACAAAAGGGCCCCGGGGCCCGGGCCCCTTCCTCTCCCGGCCGCCTGGGAGTGGGGGCGGGAAGGCAGGCGGACAGGCACGGGGTGGGGGTGGGGACTGTGGAGGCCTGGTGTCCCACCCCAGGCCCAGAAACCCCGGTGGACAGGAGGCGACGTCAGCCCCGGCTGTGGCCCTCCCCGGGGCTCTCTGCTGTGGGGCCGTGGGCACCCCTGGCTGAACCGACCCCCACTGGTGGGCAGGGAGCTGCCCCATCCTCCCAGACCCCAGGGCCCTGCCTGTCCCCTGCTTCTGAGCAGTGACCCCGCCACCCCCAGGGGCGGGAAAGCAGGGCTCTCGGTCCCCCACTCCAGCCCAGGGGCCACACGGGGGCCACCGCGAGTCTGGGACCCCCCCGGGCGGGGCCCACAGGAGCAGCGGGCCGGGATGGCAGGCTGCCCTGGCCACGCAGTCTGGCTGTCCACGAGGGCGTTTGTGTCTGGGGTCCCGGCTGAGCAGTCCCCACCAGGGAAGTAGCCCTGAGCCGACCGAACAGCAGTCCCAACCCTGGGGGGTGTCAGAATCGAAGGGACACCCCCCCAGAGATGCCTCCCTCGCCCACTCCGTCTGACAGGCTGGAAAACTGGGGTCCAGGGGAGGGACCGGGCCACGGCTCAAGCACACACCTCCCGTCCTCTCTGCTTGCCGGCCAACTCCTAATCACCCCGGAAAACCCGCCCCGGGTGCCCCCTGTTCTGGACCCTCCGGCTCCCCGTGTGCCTGTCCGTGGGCAACCTGAGGGCAGGTCGCCAGGCAGGAGGCACGTGATGGACAGAGAGGGGATGGGCACACCCCTACACCTGGGTCCTGGGACCCCTCAGAAGGCTCAGCCCCACACCCCCCTGGCAGCGCAGCAAGAGGACGGGCCGGGCCGGCAGAGGCAGGGAAGAGGGACCCGGGGAGGGGGGGTCTGCTCGGGGGTGAGGGGGAACCCAGACGCAGAAACCGATGGGCAGGCGGAGCAGGTGCCCAGGGGGCCGTGGGGGCCCCCGCGCCTGTGCTCCCCAACACTCCCAGCCACACTTGGGGAAGCTACTGACGTGCCCTGCCCCCCCTCACCGAGAAGGACCGAGGCCCAGAGAGGTCAAGAACCTTCCACACAGCTCCAAGTGGTGCGGCCGGAGACAGAGCCAGTCCGGGCCGGGGCTGCCCGCCCACCTGCCTGCCTGCGCAGCCTCCTGCCGAGGCCTCCCTGCCCCCGGGGCGGCGGCGGCGGGACAGGGGGACACACTACCTGAACTTAAGGGACAGTGAGCTGGAGGAGCTGGAGGAGCGTCCGTCCTGGAGGTGGAGGCCGCCATCGTAGGAGCACGGGTCATACGGTGAGTACAGGGGGGTGGACTTAGCCGACGGCGACAGGGACCCCTCGGTCTGGGACGCGGAGGGCCCCGGCGGCTGGCCGTCGCCGGGCTCGGGGACCTTGGCCAGAATCCTATCAATGGCTAGGTAATAGGGCCAGTCGGGCGGGACGGACTCGCTATCTGCCATGCATTTTAATTTCCTGCAACGAGACACAAGAGCCAAGGGTGAGACACAGACCTCGCCCGCCCGCCCGTCCGGCCCCGGGGGCTGCACGGCGGGGGTGGCGGCCGCTCTCGGGCAGAGGGGCCTCCCCAGAAAAGCCAGCCGGCTCCAGGGCCAGGTGCCCCTGGACTTAGAAAGGTCGACACTCGGGGCCTCGGCGGCTTCGACGTTAAGAGCCCCAGCGTGAACGAGGCCGCGACCTCGGGCCAACCCCTTGGCGGCTCTGCTCCCTACACTGCACGAGGACTGCTGGGGGGGGTGGTCAGCGGCCAGGGCAGGGCGCCGCAGCGCAACAAAACGTGTGACGCACACAGGGGCGCAGCACGCCGTGGTGCACAGATGTGAAACACCGCAGCACGAGGAGCACGCGTGTCTGGGGAGGCCGCGTCCGGGAGAGGGAGGAGCTACAGGGGTCAGGGGCACCGGCTTCAGGGCGTAGCCGCTCCGGTCCGAGTCTGTCTCTCGTGCCCACCACTTTGCTGTGCGGCCTTGGGCGGGTTCCTTAACCTCTCTGAGCCTCCATGTTCTCGTCAGTAAAATGGGGATGGTCAAAGCAGGCTCCTCCCCCGGCTGTAGGCTGGGTTAATGAGACAATGCCTGGGGCCTGGCAAAGAGCCGTCTGAGAGCACGTTGGCTGAAGGTGCCAGGGGACAGTGGCTGGGGGGGGGGCTGCCGCTCACACCGCCTGGCCCCCCCACTCAGGCCTCTACATGGCCCAGCTCTGCCCACCACGGGCCCGAGCGCCGCCCAGGCCCTGCGCCCTGCCCTCCCTCCACACAGGCCCCAGGCCCCAGCCGCCCTCTGGAGGTGAGGGGTGGGGAGACGGGGCTGCCCGGGGGCTGGGCGGCCCTGGCCAGGCCAGGAAAGAGGCCACAAGGCAGGTGGGTGGGGCGAGGGGCTCTCTTCCCTGTCAGACCTCAGGCCTCCACCAGGCCCGGCCCCAGCCTGTGCCCCACCAGTCCCTGCCCCGCGGGGGCCAGGGCAACTGTGGAAGAGCAGGCCGCTCCGTCTTCCCCGCCATCTGCCGCCCCGGAGGGCTGTGCAGACGCGGGGCCACAGCCGGGTGCCTCTCCGGAGGCCCCACACCAGCCAGCCCGCCGCGTGGGGGAGCGAGGAAAGGCCCGCCCCAGCACGGGGGCCCCAACTTCCAACGGGCCCCGGGCCATGGAGCCGGCCCCCCTCAGGCCTCCTCATCCCGACGCCCTCCACAGGCAAAGAGCGGCTGAGAAGGACTAAGGGAGCCCTGCAGGGGGCGGGCCTGGGTGAGGACCCGGTGGGCCAGGCTGCTGAGGGCCGGCACGTCCCTCCCCTGCTGGGGCCTCAGCTGCTCCCTGGGAGGATGGGCGGGCGCTGCGAGGGGCCGCAGGGCACAGCTGCTCCAGAAACTGCGACCCCCTGCCCCCGGCTGCACCCTCGGCTCCTGGACCCGCAGACCGCCTGCTCCAGCGGAGCCGAGCCCCACCCCTGGGACCCGCTGCTGCGGGCCCTCGGCTTGGGGCTCCGCTCAGCCCCGGGGGCGCGGCCAGCCAAAGCCGGGCCTCATCGCCGCCTCTTCCCCCCTCGGGCCTCACCTTCCCGGTCCGCTCGGCGCCATCCCACCGCCCTGCTGTGCAGAGCCAGGCCCGCCCGGCAGTCTGCAGGCCCCCGGCTGGGTCAGTCGGGGCGCACAGGCCCAGGGGCAGCCACTCGAGGGCCCGGGGCGGGGTTGGGGGGCAGCAGGGCTGACAGAGCCCTGGGTGGCGCTGGCAGAGGCCGGGAGAGCTGGGACCTGTCCCAGCTGTGCCCCCCTGGGCCCGGCTCCCCTCACCTGCCCGCTGGGAGTCTGCGCCCGGGGCTGGTGTCCGCCCTGTCACGCCCAGTGAGCCTGGACGCCACCCACTTCCCCAGGGCGGTGCCCCGGGCCCCCTGCAGGCCGGCGCAGGCGGGGCGGCGGGCGCGGCCTACCTGTACTGGAAGGTCATGTTCGTGATCTTGATCTTGATCTCCTCGCCCAGCCGGCGCTCGCCGGTCATCTCCAGCAGCTTGCTGGCCATCTTCTCGTACACCCGGGCGTTGCGCTTGGTCTGCTTGAGCTCGTCGAAGAACTCCTCCCAGACGAGTAGCAGGCCACGCATCTCGGCGTCGGTCCAGTTGCGGGCCCGCCGGTGCTTCTCCGCCTGCGGGGACGCGAGGCGCATGGGCACCTCGGCTGCGGCCATGCCGGGGCGCCTGCGGGGCGCGGGGCGCGGGGCGGCCCACGGCCCGCGAGCTCCGTGCACGGGAGCCCCGCGCCGGGCAGGCAGCTCCGCACTCAAAATGGGGCCTACATCTGACAGGCAGGAATTTAGTTAAAAGCTTTTAAACGGGAAACGTCATTTTGATGTCACGTTTCCATAGCAACAGAGCAACTGCATAAGCTACAACAACAGAAACCTTTTAACTGAAAGCGCAGGAATCAGGGCCACTGTGACGGGCCATCAATATTGCGGCGGGCGGGCCAGGCTCCCGGCCCTGCCGCGGCCCCGGCTCCGCCACCGGGGCCTCGATGGCCGAGGCCACGTGGAGCCGGGCGCCCATGCTGGGCCAGGCCGCCCCGGCCCCTGAGGGGGGGCTCCAGGCCACAGCCCCTCCTCAGCCTGGTCCCAGCTCACGCAGGCAGGCCGGCAGGGGGACCCTCTGGGAAAGCACAAGAAGGGGAGTGGGGGCGGGCCAAGACAGGCCCTGGGCGGCTGCCCGGGTGGGGGGTGGCTGCTGCGGACACCGAGGGGACAGGCCGAACAGGGAGGGGCAGAGACCCGGGGAGCTGGAGAGAGCTGGGAACGGGCACCCTCGGGGTCCTGCCAGGGCTCCCCCGCGCCCCCCCGCCCACGTGCAGGGTCCCAGGCACCGTGCTCACGCTTCCACTACAGACGTGTGAATGCCCCGCATCCCCAGCTCTGCCCCCTCCCCGGCGTGCCCATTCCCTCCCTGCAGGGGGCGCTGTTGGCTGGCCTGGGGATACCGGGTGGGCTGGGCAGCCAGGACCTTCCTGAGGCCGGACGGCAGCTGGGAGCAGGGGTGCCGGGTGCGTCCCCCTGAGCCCCGCACAGCCCCGCCTCAGCCTGGCCCCTCTGCTCGGCACCCAGACCCGTGTCTCCCGCCGCCCCTGGCGCCCGCAGGGGAGGGTCTGGGAAAGGCTGGCTGAGCGACTGGTGAGCGGAGGAAGGGCCCAGCCTCCCGCCAGCCCTCAGCAACCACCCGGACTCGTACTCGCGTGTGCTCGCCGGCAGACTCCTGGTCGCTCCCCGCCACCCTGTGCTGCTGACCTCCTCCCGCTCAGGTCCTCCCGCCCCCGAGGTCCTTCCTCCTCGGCCCCTCCCCACCCCCCGCCGACAGACCGCGGGCTGCCCATTTCACTGCCCCCTGCAGCGGGGTGACCCAGCAAACACCACACCCGCGTGTGGGCTCTCCCGGGGGGCCGGCCCTGTAGCTAATCCCCATTTTCAGGCAACAAGCCTGAGGCTGGAAAGGTGAGCTCACCCCGCGGGCCAGGGCCCGGCCAGGCCTGGAAACCAGGCAGGCTGGCCCGGAGCTGGGCTGGCGAGGTGACAGGCTGGAGGGACAAGGTCACTCTTCCCCCGATGTGACCAACGCAGCCTGCTGCGCCCCCCGACCACATTCCCCACAGTCTCGGGGGGTCTCCCGGGCCCCTGGGGCCGACCCTGGGACAAGGCGGCTACCTGCACTGGCCGGGGCCCCTCGCCCTCCTCATTGGGCCTCTCAGGCTCCTCCTGACGCCCCGAGGGCCAGGGACACGGACACGGGGCCCAGCACTGCGGGGGGGGCCGGGGGGAGGGCACAGTGAGACAGACCGCGCTGGGGTGGTGACCACAGGGCCGGGGTGGGCCTGCCCAGTGCGGGGGCTGGAGGGCCGAGGTCCCCTCCAGGCAGCCACAGGCAGGAGACCAGGGCAGGGGAGCCTGTGGGGACATGGGGGAGGACGTGCCACCGAAAGGCATCACCGTTCCAACCTTGAGAGGTGAAAGCACGTGGCCACTGAGCACGAGCCCATCACGCCTGCTAGACGGGCCCCCACGGCCAGGCGGTGCCCGGGAGCCGCCCAGGGACCTTGCCTCGATCGCTCCCTCGGGGCGCTGGGGTGGCCTTAGGTCCGGAGGTGCCCCGGGTGGGCCGCCGCTGGGACGCCCCCCACCCTGCAGTCACGGCCGGAAGGGCAGTGGGGCCAGCCTACGGGTGGGTGGGGTCTCAGAGCAGGGTCCTCGGTGGACGCCTGGTCCTGCCGCCCGCTCCCGGGAGAGCCCCACCCTCCCTGGGCCTCAGGGGTCGCTGGCGACCTGGGGACGCCCCCGCCCGGCCCTGCAGCACCGCCCGGGGGGTGGGGGGCGCTCACGGTGTGGCCCTCCTTGGGGCCCGGGTGCCGGCCGCACTCAGCAGTGTCTGCAGAGCGCACGACTGGCAGCCCCCTCCTCGGGCGCCCGTGAGCGGCGCCGCCGCCGCACGGAGCACACGCAGCACGTCTGCGGAGGCACGCGTGTCTCGGGGCGCGGACGTGCGGGGCCTGTCGGAGCGGCCCCGTCGGTTCCCCGTGGGAGCTTCCGCCGGGGCCCGCTGCGTGTGGGGGAGCCTGCGACCTGGCGGTGGCGGAGGGGGGGCAGACGGGTGTCCATTAGAACCCCACCAGGACGGTCGCCGCCTCCTCAGCTCTGCCAACGGGGTCAGGACCCGACGTTCTCGGGGGGTCTGCAGGAGGCAGCGGGCACGTCGTCACGTCTCGCTGAGAACGCCCTTCCCTCGGCGGTCAGGTTGGTTGGGGCCGTGTGGTGTCCCCCCGGCAGGGCCGCCAGGACGGAGGTGGACGGCCGGGGCAGGCCCGTCCGGCTGGGCACGGAAGCATGTCTCCTCGGAGACGGGCCGCCGCCCCCACTGCGTGTGGGCAGGCGGCCTTTCCGGCCGTCCAGTGCCCTTCCCTGCCGCTCCCTCCCTCGCCGCCACCACCAGCGGTGTCCCTCTGGGGAGGTGCAAAGGACGCTGACCCGCCTCCCGGCACCGAATGCGGCACCCGCAGGCTGCACCCTAACACGTCCCCCAGACACACATCCTGCTGGGTTCGTCCGAGCTCTGGTGGGGGGCTGTGGGCGGGGCAGCCCCTGCTGTGGGGCGGGTGGGGCCCTGCTGTCGGCCAGCGGGTCGCACTCTGAGTAGCGGGAAGAGCGGGGCCGCGGGCCACCACAGGCTTGGTGTGCTCTGGCCGGGGGGCGGAACGAGTGTCCTTCCAGCCTGCATCCTTGCTCGGGCTCACCCTGCACTGTCCCTGGGCTGCGGCCCGAGCTCAGTGGGGAGGGGCCTGCTCCGAGCGGCGACAGTGGGAGGTGGCCCCGAGGACTCGGGCCATGCTGCCCCAGGAGCCTGCCCCGTTCTAACGCAGTGTCGGGGCCTCCTCTCCCCCACCTGCTTCCGGGAGCACCTGGCTGTGGACGGCGGTGCGGCCCCGCTGAGGACTCCGACCCCGGCTGTCCTGGGCCCGCCGCGGTGGTCTCACCCTGCGCAGGGCGGGGCTGTGATGGGCTCGCCCGGAGCCCGGCCCACGCCTCACCGTCCACTTCCCAACGAGGCGGGGAGGGCTGACCCGAGAAGTGTGTGTAAGTTTTTACGCTGCTGCGAACACTGCGCGTCTGAATTAAAGGAGACGTTCACCCTGCACCGTGCGAGGCCTGCTTTGCTTCTGGAGACCCCGGGCCGTGTGGGGGGAGCGGAGGGCTCCCCGTGGGGGGCTGTGCCGCCCGCACCCTAACTCTCGGGAGAGATCCTGCGTCGGGTTGGTGGGGACGTGGCCCGTAGACCCCGGCACAGTGGTCCTTCTGCCCAGCAGACTCGGCCGCCGCTGCCCGCCGGCTCCATGAGACGATGCAATTACACACAGGCCTGCTCCCACGCTGGCCCAGGGCCCTGGGGGGACGGCGGGGCGGGCACCAGGGCCGTGGCCTGATTCCTGCCCGCCAGCCCGCCCGCCCGCCTGTGGGCACCCGTGCTCCTGGGCTGTGCTGCGGGCCGCTGGAGCCGGTGCTCCTTCCCACCCGGGACGGCGGCTGCTCCGTGATCTCCGCAGGAGCTCGTGCCCATGGCACTGGGAGGCTGGCGGCCCCGGGTGCCGGGGCCCTCGGCACTGGGGATCCCGGGCACAGGAGTCTGCGCCCATCCCGCACAGAAAACCGGGGGCCGGGGGCTGTTCCCTCCCGGCAGGTGCCCTGGGAGTGTTGGCTGGGGTCCCACGGGTCGTAGTCCCGTGGGGGCGGCCCTCCCAGGCCCCTGGCGGGGCAGTGCCACGTCGGCCGTGAGGTGGGCGCCTGGACAGATGGCGGAGCCCGGGCCCGGCCTCAGGGCTCCTGAGATTTCCTGGTGGCTCCGTGTCCCCACCCCCACGAAGCACAGGGGCAGTGAGAGCATTTGGTGGACAGGCCACGTGGCCAGCAGCTCTCGGCTCAGTTGCTCTGAACATTCGACGGGGGTGACTCCACCTCCCAAGTTCGTCTTCTCTGCAGCACAGTAACTCCAGGGCCTGTGGCCTCGCCCTTCAGAGATGCCTGAGCTGCACCCCCTCCCTGGGCCGAGCCTGGACAGCTGACCGCAGCTGGCACCCCTGCTGTTCCCAAGAAGAGCCCCCCCCACCCCGTGCCCTGGGAAGCAGCGGCTGAGCCCCTGGCGGGAGGGGGCGTGTCTGCGGCAAGCCGCTGCCGGGTCGGTCACCGTGGCAAAGGGAGACACCCTCTTCTCGGGCAGCCCCTGCCCCAGCTCCCGGAGACCCTCTGCGTGTGGGGTGTGCACCAGGCCTGGCCTCCTCACGGCCCCCAGCAGCTGGGTGGGCCCCCTGCACAAGGTGGGGCCCAGGGCCCTGGGGGTGCAGTGTTCCGCTGCTGCTTCTCGGAGCCGCCCAGACTCGGGCACCACAGGCACCCCACCCCACCCCGAGGCCTCTAAGGGCTTCCCGGCCTCTGCAGCCCAGCTCCGCCTCTGGTTGGATGGCTCGTGCACTGCCCTCCAAAGCAGGACAGCCAGGGTCCAGCCTGATGGCCACCTCTTGTCACAGCCGCCCCTCTAGGGGCTCTGGGGCTCCCAGACCTTTCCTGAACATGGCGGGGGAGCAGGAAGAGCCACCAGCCAGGCCGCCACTTGCCCTGGCCCAGGGGGCGCTTGGGGCCAGGGTTGGGGCCGGCCCACAGGGCGGAGGGCCGGAGGTGAGGGTCTGGGCCCCTGGCACACGCAGGGGAAGGGTGGGGGTGCCAGCACAGCACCCCCACAGGCCCCTGCCACTGCTACCCGGCCGGGACTCGCCCCCACACCCCCTGAACTTCCCTGTGTCCAGGCTCCCCTGCCCCCCGAGACAGGCCTGAGGCACGGCTGCCTGACACCCCTTGGGCTGCTGCTCCCTGCCGGGGGCTCCCGTGTCGGTCCCCCAGTCCTACACAGACTGGGCTGAGCGTCGGTCTGTGTGGGGACCAGGCCTCGCCCGCCGCCCGCCGTGGCCTGATGCCCCTTTTCCCTGCAGGTGCAGCCAGACGCCCGGCCCCCTGCCCTCAGCCCCCCTCCTGCAGAGACCGAGGGTCCCAGCGGGCCATGCGGCTGTGCTGAGGTACGGGGTCCCTCCCCAGCCCAGAACAGACAGCCCTCCCAGCTCTTTCTTTCCCTTGGGGGCTCAGCATGGATGCTCTGCTTCCGGACCCCAGGGGTCCCCCTCTCCAGGGCTTCCCGAGGGGACAGTGGGACTCCCCTGGACAAGCGGGTGGAGGATCACCTGGGTGCCGGGGCCGTGAGCACGGCAGTGGTGCCCCCGAGGCCGCTGCCCCTGGAGGCACTGGGACCGACTGTCCTGGTGCAGCCCAGACCGGGATTCTGGGGCAGCAGCACGTCCCGACGGCCACCTGCCAGCCCCCGCCAGAGCTCCGAGGCCACGCCCCATGCCTGGGCCCCGCCCCCCGGTGCTGCAAGGCAGCCCCGCCCGGCTGTGGTGCCAACTCGGGGCCCCTGGCACAGGGCCATTGGGCAGGCTCAGCTCCGGGCCCCACGTTGCGAACGAGGGGTGGCCATGGAAACCCCGGAGCCCAGGGGCGGGAGCCCCGAGGGGGCGGCCCCAGCTCTGCATCACCGCGCTCCTTCTCACGGTGTTTCTGGTGAGACTCCGCACCAGGGACACGGGCAGCCAGGGCCGTGCGACCCCAGAGCCGCTGGAACCCGGGGCCACCCACACTCTGGCGGGTTCTCTAGGGAAAAGCCAGGGGGGTGGGGATGGGAGACCACGGGAGCGAGGGGCGAGGCCTTTCTCCTGCGCCCAGACCACTCCCCCGGCCAGGGCTCTGCTGGGACCCCGGGAAAGCCCGGGGGCTGCTCTGCGGAGGGCCCCGTCTCCCTGGGCGTGCGTCAGCCGCGGGCAAAGGCCTGCAGGGAAGGCGGGAGCGGGGAGCAGCTCTGGGGTGGGGGCAGCGAGCCGGGCCGGGCGGGAGCCCTGTGCAGCCCACAAGAGGCAGGGAGACGCCGGGGGCCCTGCCCCAAAGCCCCTCCGCAGACGTCCAGAGTCTCACAATCACCCCACACTTCCCACCCGGGGCCCTCCAGCCCCGCCGGCACTGGGGCTCCCGACCAAAGGCCAGCCCACCCCCGGGGATGGAGTGCTGAGCAGGCAGGGCCTTAGTCGACAGCCGGCAGAGCCCCTGTTATATTTCCTGCTGCCGCCGCCAGGCTGAGCTCCGGGCCAAGGCCCACCTGGCTCTCCCGGCCTCCTCTGTGTGGGTATTGTAACAGAGAGCCAGCGCAGGGGCCCAGGCCTGGGTGGAGGCGACAGTCGGAGGGGCCAGGGGCTGGCCAGTCACTGCCCAGCCCCGTCTCTCCCTGCCCCTGGAGGCGGAGCCCCGCCACCCAGGTGTGAACGGGCTCTCCCGGGCTGGGAGGTGGGCCGGCGCGTGGGCCGAGTGGCCGAGGCGGCACCGGGGTCTGCCTCCGACAGGAGCTCAGGTGCCGAGTCGGCTCTTGCCCTGGGGGGGGGCACACCTATGGGGCGGCCGGGCCACACACGGGTCTGGGCCCCCGCATGCAGCAGAGGCCCCGTGGGAAGGGGGTCCCTGGGCAGATGGCAGCCCAGTGCCAGCTGGGGACAGGCGCCGGGAGAGGTCAGGGCCGGTGGCTCCGGGCACAACAGAGGCTACTCACAACCAGGTGGCCGGCCTGGTCAGTGCATGGCCCGGGAGACCGCCCTCCTTTTCCCCGCGGCGGCCCAAGGAGAGGGGCCTGAAGAGGCCGCTGCAAGCCCTGGGTGGGGCCGCGTGCAGGGTCTGGGCAGCCGTCCGTGCCGGAATTGGTGCCGCATTCCAGTCAAGGCGATGGCACGAGAATGGAGGGACTGGGGGGGGGGGGGGCAGGCCGTGCTGAGGAGTCGGGTGCCGGGAGCCGCTGGGCAGAGGGAGTGGCGCAAGGAGAGCAGGGCCCAGGTGCTCGCTCCCTCGGGGCTGCGGGGCTGCACAGACGTCACACGGGCGTAGGGAAGTACCTTAAAATTAATCTCTTTACTGATACAATTAAGCTTTTAAGTCCTGAGAAGAAACCAAGAGGGGAGTGTGGCGCTAGGCCCATGCTCCCCGCCCCCGCGCACCCGGCCAGGAGCGGCGCCCGCGAGGAGGCAGGGGCAGCGGGCGGTCCCCCCTGCAGGGTGTCCTGGGCCGGGAGCTGCTGCGGCGGGTCCCACGGGCCGGGCGGGCGGCCGGAGGAAGGTGCACACTCGCTGGCGTCGACACTGGCTCCACGGAAGGGCCGGCTGCGCCGCTGCTGGGGCCTCCTGTGGGGACTGGGGCCCGGCCCACACGCGACTGCCGTGTGCCCTGCGTGGCCTCCCTGGGGGAGCGTGGCCACCTGGTCCCGAGCCCGGCCCGGGCTGGTGTCCCGGGAGCTCAGCACGAGGCCCCCTTGTGGACGTTCTGCAAACAAGCCAGCAGCCGCTGGTACGGGGTCCCCGGCGCGGCCACCACCTCGAACACGGACTGGAAGGCCCGGCGGTCCAGCTCCTCCTCGATCTGGTGTCTGTAGAAGTCCGTGGCCACCAGGCAGAAGAGGTTCACGTCCACCTGCTCCAGCCTGCCCATCCTGCTGATGACGTGGGGGAGGCTGCGGGGGCGTCAAGGAACAAGGCTGCGAGTGCGGGCTGCCCCTCGCGGGCCCACGGACGGGCGGGGCGGGCCTGGGCCTGGGCCGCGCCAGCAACTGCTGCCCCACCTCAGCTCCTGCCCGAGCCCACGTCGGCTCCCGGGAGGCCGCCCCTGTCTGGCAGGAAGGCAGCACCCCCAGCAGAGGCAGGGTGGGGCGGGCAGGAGGGGCTGGCCAGAGAGGCCGTTCCCCTGGGCAGCACTCAGCTGGCCCGGCTCCCCACACGCATGCACCGCTGACCGGTGCTCCCGCTCCCCCTGCGCCCGCAGACTGAGGGCAGAGGCGTTGCCGCCCCTGGGCCAGGGTGGCCGTCTGCTCAGAGGCTCTGGGGAGCCCCCCTCTCAGCAGCCAGCACTTTGGGGTGGGAGCGGGGTCTTGGCTTGAACCCTTGCCCGAGGGGATGGCAGAGGGCACAGTGACAGAGGATGACAAGCAGCAGCAGCAGCGGCAGCAACGGCTGCAGAGCCCGCAGTGCACGGGAGGGTCTGCGGGGACCTCCGCCCCACCACCACCCCAGCCCCTCCCGGGCGGCGCGGTGAGCGAGCTGCTCTCTGCGTCCTTGTCATCGCTCCACTCCCTCGGGGCTTAACGGAAATGCCGACTGGACAGCAGCGCCGGGACGGCAGGGCCACGCCCCCTGCCCCGCCCCGCCCCGCCGAGGCCCCGGGAAGGATACACGGCGGAGACCCACGGGCTGGTGGACGCGCTCACGAAGAAGCAGGAGAGGCTCCACACGGCCATGGCGACCGGGGCCCTCTGCGTGAAGTTGGAGAGCGACAGCATGACCCAGTCCCGGACCATGGAGGACTGCCCCGTGCTGTGCAGGGTCTGGAACACCTGGGGGGAGGGCTGCGCGTCAGGGGGCGGGGCCGGGGCAGCACAGCCCGCCCACACCCGGCAGACCCCTGCTCCGCGCGCCCCGCCCCCGCCCCTCACCTGGTACACCACGGTGGCCATGAACTGCGGGTAGGGCTGCTGGTTGGACAGGAACTCCCCGATGACTTTGTTCATGACGTCTTGGGGCGGGAAGAAGTCATCCAGGAACTGCGGGAGGATCCGCGCCACCACGCGGGCTTCGCACGGAAAGCCTTTCCTGATCCTGCGAGGAGGGAGGGGCCGTGTCAGGGCCCGCCCCCGCCCCGCCCCACGGCGGACGCCGCAGCGCTGCGGTCCGGGGCTTTCTCCTCGCTGACCTCTCCGCACCGCCGCAGTCTGCACGCGGGCGGCACCGCTCTGGATGCTGGCGCTCGGCCCTCCGTGCCAGCACCGCACACAGACACCTGTGTGCGACCAAGGCCCGCGCCTCCTTCCAGACGCGCCCGGTCCGCCACCTGCGCACCCAGCGTGCAGCTCTCCCGCCAGCCGGTGTCCCGGTCCAGAGCAGCCGGCCGAGCGCCTACTGAACCGCGTCCCTGGGCTGCCCTGGGGTGGACGCCCACAAGGCCGGCGCCCCGCCCGCGGCCCCGGGGCCTCCCCAGCACGGGTGGAGCGGGAGCGCCGACCGCACGCGCCCTCTTGCACGTGGTCGCGGACTGCGTTTCGCAGCTTCCCGGAGCACCCCGTCTGCCCAGAGCGGACCAGCGTGCCTGGCTCTGTGCGCTCTCGTGACCCGCTGACCGAGTGACGGCCCTAGGGCAGCGCCGGCCTCCCCAAAGCCACACCCATCACGTCCCTGGACTCTCGCGGCAGAGCAACACTCGGGGCCCTGTCCGGCAGGGAAGCCCGAGGGGCCTCACCGCCCACTTTCCAGAACCGGCAAGCGGGACAGGCCCTGCCACGGCACACGGCGCGGGGAGTGGGGCTTAGTCCCCTCAGAGGGGCGGGTGCCGGCCGGCCGGCCGACGCCCCCGGGTCTGCAGCACGCCCTCCTGAGGTGGTTCCGCGGTGGTGCTGCCCCGCGGCCGGAGGGTGACCGAGCGAGCTGCTGGGGCCTCGGGCTCCCCCCCCCAGGGCGGCGGTGTCTCGGCGCTCTGGTCGCTGCTCGGGGCCGAGCCCCGCCCACCTCGGTCTCACTGACGGGCCCTCTGGACCCCCACACCGCTGAGTGCTGCCGCCTTCGGGGCAGGGGGCGGGTCAACCCCCCTCTCCTGAGCGCGGGCGTCCCAGAAGCGCCCGCTCCCGCAGATCCCTGAGCCAGGGCGGCCCGGCCGGGCCGTGAGCAGGAAAGACCGCAGTGGCCGAGAGGGCGGCCGCTCCCTGCGGCCGGGGCCCTCCTCACCTGTCGAAGAGCACGGACACGCGCTCCATGGCCACGATCACGGACTCGCTGTCGGGGGCGGCAGGGCTGGGCTCGGAGGTCCGGCCCGGACTGACCTTCTCCTTCCCTGGAACGGGCGGTTCGGAGCTGCTGTGGGGTCTGAGGGGCGGGTGGGCCGCGGGGACAGCCCCCAGCTCACCCAGCGGTTCAGGGGCGCCGTGCGGGGGCCCCGGCAGCCCTCCCCCCCGCCAGCCCAGGGCGCCGCCGCCCGCCCTCAGACCCGCTCACCTGTGTACATGCAGGTGAGCATGAGCCCCAGGGCGGCCATGGCCCGGTGCGGGCTGTGCACGTTCACCCTGTCCACGCTGAGCTTGACCAGGGACTCCGCGTCCAGCCGGGAGAGCTGCTCGGACAGCAGGAGGCGCTCCAGGCCCCGCAGGACGCAGTGATAGACGGGGGACGGGGTGGACTCCTCGCTCCCGGACAGCATCACCCCGCACATCTGCACGAGGAGGGTGGCGCCCGGCCAGGGCGCTGGCTCAGGCGCCTGCCCCAGACCCGCCCTCCCAGCGGTCCCACCCCGGGGCAAGGGCCGGGCCGCACACCTGTATGATGGACGCAGAGAACTCGGGCCCCACGTCCAGCGGGTAGTTCTCCACCAGGTAGAAGGCGGTGGCGCACATCACCAGCACGTGCTGCTGGCTGTGCACGCTCACGCAGCTGGGAACGGCAGGCGGCAGCCGCGCTCAGACACACACGCGGGCGCCGCCGGCCGGCGGGGGTGGGATCCCTGGGTCTGCAACCCCCACCGCTGTCCCCGCGAGAAGGGTGCCCGCCCGCGCGCGATCTGCCCAGGGCCCGATGCCTGTGTGGGCACGCGCCCGGCCCGCCCCCACTCACTGGGCGGCGCCTCGCAGGCCGGAGAGGAGGTGGTCGCAGACGACCGGGATGAGCTGCTTGGCCGTGTCGTCCAGGAGGTCGCACTCCAGCACGTAGAGCACGCCGTGCAGCGCCCCGGTCTTGCAGGGCAGGTGGCTGCTCCTGAGTGTGCTCTCCAGCAGCCGGCTGACCGGCTCCGCCACCGCCTTGTCCTACGCACAGGCAGGGGCAGCGGCTAGACCCTGGGGATGCGGAGCGCCCGTGGTGGGGCTGGCCCCTGCCCCCGTAGGAGACGGAGGGGCGCTGCCGCCTGCTGCCACCCTCTGAGGGGCCCGCCTGTAGGGCTGCCCTCCGGGACCCCGGGTGTTGGGAGGGCCCCCAGCCCCGCCCTGGTCAGAGCCGCTCCCTGCGCCTCGCCTGTCTGAGCGGGCAGCGTGGTCTGTGCTGACACCCCTTCTCTGGGGCCTGGGGTTTGGGGCGAGCCAGCCAGGGGCCCGCGGGACCGGCCCCTGTGAGAGCCCCGGCTCTGAGTCTCAAGGGGCCTCCCTGGTGCACACACCCCACGTGCTGCCACAGCGCGGCGCCTAGGCACTGAGCGTGTCCCGGCGTGGGCACTGGGCGTGTCCTGGCGTGGGCACTGAGCGTGTCCCGTGCGGCTCTGGGAGAGGGTTCTGGATGCTGCGCCGTCTCCTGTGGACTGGCCCCAGGCCCCGCCCCCCACCCCAGTGTCGCCCTGCGTCCTGTCACTGGTCGACCGCGGCCACGACTACGGCCGAGGCCCGAGGCGCAGACCCCAGGGTGGTCCCAGGGCCCCGACCCTCATCTGCGCGCACACACCCCGCTGTCAGTGCCACTTGGCCCCTCGGACACAGCGAGGGGCGTGGGGGCCTGCACACTGAGCGCTGAGCTCCTCCCCCCGAGGAGACCCCGCAGACCGCACAGTGCAGGCGGGCGGCAACAGCTGGGGTTCACAGACCAGCCCCCAGGAGAAGGGCCCCCCGGGAGAAGGGCCCCCCCAGGAGAAGGGCCCCCCAGGCTCGCTCCTCCAAAGCAGCAGGGCCACGCGGCCCCCAGGGCCTCTGCCCCCGTGTCCCCAGGGCCCAGGTCTGCAGGCAGCACCAGGGGTGCAGCGGGGTACGGCGACCCCACAGGAGGGGGCTGGAGGGCGCTCCTGTGGAGGGAGCACTGCCGCCCGCCCCCGCACTGCTCCCCCCCAGAGGCGGGGCCTGAGGGAGGCCCCTGCCCACCGCAGCACTGAGGAGCCCCTGACCTCGCCCTGCCTGCGGCCCCTCTTCACAGCCACGACCCCTCCTGCGACTCACTGAGGACACGGTGTGTGCCCGGGGACCTGGGCCTGAGCACAGTGCAACCGCCGCAGCTCAGCACCGAGTCCCACAGACACCGAGGACCTGCCTGGTCCAGCTGCTGTGATGGACTTCCCTCCCCCTGCGACCCCGAGGGCGCAGGCTGTGACGGCCGTGCTCTCAGAGGGAGCCCGAGCACCGCTGTCCCCAGTTCCTGGGCGGGGCGCCCGGGCAGAGGGCACCGGGACTGGGGGTGCCTGCGCTGGCGCTCTGGCTCGGAGGAAGAATTCTAGGGGGCCGGAGAGTCGGGGACCGACGTGGGCGCCCCCTCCACCTCCGCCCTGTGGCCCGGCAGCAAGGTGGCTTCGGCCTCCGGGGCACATGGGACCCCGGGGGCCTCGCTGGGGCAGACCCTGGGGAGGGCTGGCACCCCGTGGCCACTCCCCCCCCCCCAGCCTGGCAGAGCTGCCGTCCTCCGCCGGGCTCCGGGCCCGCTCACGCGTCCGTGTGTCTGAGCGGCAGACGCCCCATGTGGGGTGGACCGCACGGAGAGGGGCCGAGTCCTGACCCGCCACGGGCGGGAGAGGGGCTCTGAAGAAGGCCCGTCTGCCCTGCGGTGACAAAGACCGCAGGACCCACGCTTCGGGCCGGGAGCACAGGGTGGCCGTGCCATGGCCATCCCCGGAGGGGGCCCTGTCGGCAGGAAGCACAGGGTCCGCAGCCCGTCGGAGGAGGGGGCTCGGGCGCCGCCGCCGCTGTGGTGGGAGGAGTCCCGTCTGCACCGCCCGCACGCCCAGCCCGGGAAGGCGCTGCCGTGAGGACCTGACCAACCATGGAGGGGCACAGGAGCCCTAGGGCGGGGTTCGCCCCGCAGTGCCGCACGCTCGCTGCGGACCTGCAGGCAGACCTCGCGAGGCTGAGGCCGCACCCACGACACCCGGCCACCGTGCAGCCGCCCCGTGCACACTCCCACTCACCATCCCGAGGACAGCAGCGGCCTTGCAGGTGGCCGGCACCAGGTACTGCAGGAGGATCTCGTCCTCGGACGGGTGCGCCCTCCGCAGCTCGGTCAGCGTCAGGTACATCATCTCGAACTGGCTGCGCTCCGTGAACAGGTCGGACACCACCAGGAGCTGGGGACAGGGGAGGGCCACGCTCTCAGGACAGCGCAGGGCAGCACGCAGGAGCGTGCAGGGCAGCGGGCGCCGGGCATCCCCAAGCCCTGACTGCGCGGGGAGAGCGGCAAACACCGAGACCCGAGACCCAGTGCAAGCGCGCAGCACGAGGGTGGCCCGGGCACCGCCTGCTGCAGAACGCCCGAGCCGGACACAGGCTTCGCCTGTGGGGGATGCGCCCTGGCCGCTGCGGCCACGCACGAGCCCCACGTCCGCCGGGTCAGGAACTCCCAGGCCCTGCCGACCTCGAAAGCCTCAGGACGGAGGAACTATTCCGGACATAAACACCTCACCAGTGACTCTCTGTCCCTCTAAAAACGTCTCCCTCTACAACATTCAGCTCTTCCCTCGACCCTAATCAACACGTCCGCGAGGCGTGAGGGCCCCCGGGCTCCTCGGCAGCCACAGGGGGGCCTGCAGGGGACACGGGCTCGCCCGGTGAGGTTGCTCCCGTAACAGCACTAGACCCTGCGCCCCTCCCTCTGCTGCTCTCCCCAGACAAGAGGCGCTGCTCCCAGAAGCCACCTGGTGGCGCCGGGCAGAGTGCAGAGCAGACGTGAGAGTCAGCTGATCTCTAAGAGCCGGGCGTTGAAGACACTTGAGGTAATGTAAGACAGTTCTCTTCCCAGTAATTAAAAGAACTACTTTAAAATACAAATTACCATTATTTTAGAACACTGTTAACTAATCTCGTAACTGGAAACTTAAGACATTTATGAGCGATACTTGGACGTGTCTGAAGATGTCTGGCTGCAAACTCTCACTAAATCAGAAAGCGAAGAGGTTAAACCCTGACCAGCTGGGGGACAGCTGGAGAACTCTCAGAGGTGCACGGAGAGACACCAGGCGCGAACCCCCACACTCGTCCCACTGGGAGAGCCGCCCCCCGGCGGAAGCAGCAGAAGGCCGCGCTGCACAGGCAAGGCAGGCGGCTCCAGGTGTCTGGGCTCGGTGCCGACCCGCTGGCCCAGCCCCCGGGGATGGCTGCCGGTGGCGGCAGAGCCAGTGAGCCAGATGCAGTTTCCAGGACTGTGCCACCAATGGACACGCCCACACCGGGCTCTCCAGGGCCAACCAGTCTGAGGGTGCAAGGTGCAAACTCCGGCCCTGCCTCTCCAGGGGGCTGGGGGGGGGGCGGTGTGGCACAGGCCCGAGGGAGGTGCTCATGGACCAGGGCTGGGGCCTGCAGACCCTGGGGCCGCAGGACATTTGCACGACAGCCCACTCCCTGAGACAGTGTCACCCACCAGACCACACGTGTGCCAACACAAGGCTGCTCCTACCTGGGGGGGACACACACTTATGGCACCATGCTAGAGACAATGAGCTGCGTGTCTGCGTGTGCACACACGTGCACCCTGCACTGCGTGTTCCCGAGGGGCGGGCGAGGCGAACTCACAGAGCGAACCACTTCGCTGACCAGGGCGACGGGGATCCTCCGGGCTGGACTGGACGGCAGGACCCAGCGGCTGTACAGCTCGAGCAAGAACTGGGAGCAGGAGTGGATGTCGACCCCGGCCCGGTGCTTCCTGCAGAGCGCGGAGACTGGTGACCCCCCGCACGCAGCCCAGCGGGGCACCCCACAGGCACCCAGACCAGCCCCACGACCAGCGAACACCAAACCGCTCAGAACCGAAAGGCGGAAGGGCACCTAGAGTTGACCGGAGACGTGGGCGGAGACGAAGGGGCGGGGGTGTCGGCCTCTTCTTCCTCCTCCTCGTCCCACTCCTCCTCCCTCAGGGGCGTGATGCTGTTCCCCAGCCACACGGAGTGGATGGACACCTTCAACAGACACGGGACACTTGGGTCACACCCGGGGGCCGGGCAGCAGGCTCCCCGAGGCCCGGGGCCCAGACAGGGCGCTGCAGAACGGCCCACCTTCCGACGGAAGACCTGGAGCGAGGGGGGGGGGTGCCAGGGGTCGGGGGAGAGAGCCTCAGAGGAGGACACGGCTGCCCCACGGACGCCTGGCTACAGTCCGGCAGCAAACACACCACCGGGCTCCTTTCCCACCCCGGCCCAGCCTCCCCGGCTGTCCCGGGGCGAACCTCACTTCCTGACCGGCCTGCTAAGACAAGCACCCCCGGATCAAAGGGGAGGGGAGTGTGTTCTGGGGATGGCAGGGTGGGGAGGGACTTGGGATGCCCGGGGGAGAACCCATGGCGGGGAGTGGAGCAGAGCCACCTGCCCCCCGCCACCTCGAACAGACTGTGCTCCCTCCTGATGGCCACTCGTCGCCCAGGCTGCTCGAGAGCAGCCACCGGCTGGCCGCACACGCCGCAGGCCCACGGCCGGCGACACCAGACCCGAGGCCTGCTCTGCACCGACAGCGGGCGCTCCTTCCCAGCCCAGCCCTGCCCCCACTGCCCGCCAGACACCCTGTCCTCTGAGCAGCGGCGGCTCAGCGCAGGGCGTGGTGACAGGTGTCAGGATGCCGTGTGCCGCTCTTGTGACACAGACGCTGACGGAAGGACACAGCGGGGCAAGTGCCACAGGCCCCAGAACAAGGCCCCCAGCCCCGGCTTCTCGCCCCCCCGCCTGGTCCTCGGACACGCCCACCGCGGGACCCAGACACAGGCTGCCCCGTGGCCCCGAGCCGTGGGGCCACCAAGTGAACTGACACAGGCCCAGGCGCTGCTCTGACCGACCCACCCTGAGACGAAGGCCAAAGGGACTCCGCAGCGTCAGCTGCGTGCTGACCAGACGACCACACACCTGGGAAGAGCGCGGCCGCCGCAGGGCCGGCGCCCCCGCGCCCGTGTCCTCAGCCCCGCCTCACCACTCCCAACCTGCTGTCACACGCACCACTGGGCCCGCTTTTCTGGCGAAGGGCGCTCCAGAGACCCGCCCGCAGGGGGTGGGCCGTGTGACCGAGCCTCCCTCTGAGCAGGCGGCTGGGCTGCAATGGCCTCACCGTGGCGGGTGTGCGGGGCCCTGGCCCTCAGGGCCTGTCTCCCCCGCGTCTCACACACGGCTGCACGGAGTGCGCACACATCTGCACCATGGGCACACTGCGTAATCTCACGTCCTTCTGGCAGTGAACGGGACGAGCAGGAGTAACCCTCCCTCTCATTCGGAATGCACTGAAGGCGTTCAGCGGCCCGCATCTGCAGGCAGAGGGCGGGGCGGGGCGTGGGACTGACCTGGCCCAGCTGGTAGCCCATGCTGCCCAGCTCCCGCTCCGCGTTGGTCTGCAGCAGGAGTCTGTCGTGGCTGATGAGGGCACCTGCGGGGCGACAGGACCGTCAAGCCGGCCACCTCAGGCGCCGCAGAGGCCGGCGGGAAGGTGCGGCGGTGCGGCCCAGAGCCGGCAGGACACCGAGGCACTGAGGACGGTCCCCCGTCCTCCCTGACGCACCGGCGCCCGACTCGCATGGGCCCTGGCTGCGGCTGCGCTGCACACACTCAGGAGCCCGTGGCTGCGCACAGAGCCACAGGCGGCCCCGCCCGGGCCCCTGCCTCGGTGCCCGGCCCTCTGGGGGTGCGGCTGGTTCCTCCCACAACCCACCCTCCCGCAGACTTCACCAGGCCTGGACGGGCCTGCCCTTCCTTCTGCCGGTGGTCACCCCACCCCCACTCTCTGGGAGACGGCCCTGCCCCCAGCGGCCCCCGCTGTCCTGAGATCCGTCCTCCGTGCCTCCCGCCGTGACGATGCCACGCCTCACCCCCCGGTGGCCCACGCGCTCCTCCAGGGACCGCTGAGCACACAGCCTTCGTGCAGAGCCGGGACCCGGCCTTCCTGCCTGACCGCCGAGGTCGGTGGCTGGCTGGGGACGGGTGCCCCCGCCCCCGGTACCTGTCGTGGCGGGAGACAGGGACGGCACGGGGTCCCACGCCTGGTACGGGTGGTGGGTGGCGACGTTCTCCCTCTTCGACACCATGGCCTGGATCTCCTGCTCCACGATTCCTCTGATCACGCTCAGCTTCCGCCCAAACCTGGCGTCCGGACAAAGGCGCAGCGTCAGGAGAGGCCCCCGCCCCACCCGAGGGCACGGCTGGGCGGCCCTGCGCCCCCTTGCTCTCGCTTCCACCGTCGCTGGCCGCACACCACGTGGGGGTCGCACCTCCTGCCGCGAGGCAGACGTGCAGTGACTTTGTTTTCACTTTCAGCGACGAAGGGAGGGCCCCAGGGAGGCTGCAGCCCACCCCAGGTGGGCGGGGGTGCACTGGAGACACGTGACCCCCACCCCCAGCAAACCTGGTGTCCAGAGCCTTCAGGGGCTTGTTCCTCGGCTGCTGCTCCAAGCAGCTCACGGCCGGGTTGCCGGCCACAGGCACGGTCATCGCGCTCAGCACCAGGGAGGTGATGGCCCGCACGGCTAGGACATTGATCTGGGTCCTCTCCGTGTCCTCCTGCAGCAACAACCACGTGCGGCCACGTCACAGGCAGCTGGACCCCAGAGCCCGCAGCCCTCAGACTCGTGGGCTTGTGGGAAGGGGCCCTGAGCACCGCGGAGGGACGAGCCCCACAGCCCGCGTCCTGCCCCGCTGCCCACACCCAGCGCAGCCACACACGCTGGGACTTGCAACAAGGCCAGGCTCCGTCCCCACCATGGACCTGCAAGTGAGAGCTCCTAACGTCCCCTCACTAGCGTCGGGGACTCTGCACCTGACAGCCTGGCAGCCCCTGCAGGCGGACCCGCGGGCGATGCTGGTGGCCCCGACACCCACCCACGGGGACTCCCGCCAGGACGAAGGGCCTCATCCCCTGGCGCTGCACTGCAGGGCCTCGGGCTCTGCCGCACCCGACACTGGTTTCCAGCAACAACACTGGCTTCCACCAACACAGCGCCAACACGGGGACGCCCCTGCAGAGCAGCCGAGACGGGCGCCCACCCCCGGGGGTCTTCCTGGCCCTGACGCCCTGGGGTGTGCGCACGACGCCTGGCCCCCGGGAGGCCAGCTCCTGCTCTGGAGCGTCGGCCCAGACGTAGCCGGGCAGCTCGCAAGATGACGCGAGACAGGGAAGACGAGCACGCCGCCCCCCTCTGTCCTCTTCTGCCCGCCAGGAACGGTTCATGAGGGGCCGGAGCGGCCTGCGCGGGACCTCACCTCCGGCGGGCTCTCCTCCTGCTCCGTCGCGAGGGGCTGGGTCACCAGGACACCGAGCAGGGTGGCCCACGTCTCCTCGAACTGCGTGCGGCTGGTCCACCCTGTGGACGCAGAGGCTGCATGAGAGAGGGCCGCCCCCGGACAGCAGCTCCCTCCACCCTCAGGAGGGCTCTGCTGGCAGAGGTGACGCTGGCAGCTCCTGTCCGCCGGCAAGGACGCGGACGCACCCAGGTCCGCGTTCAGCCCCCTTGACCCCTGCCAAGTGCAGGCGGCCGAGTGGCGTGGGGCCCAGAAGTGCCCCCGGTGGGAGCTCCCGGACGCCCTCCACAGCACCACCTGCCACACGGAGCACCATGCGTACCGTGTGGAGTCTGCCCCTACGCGTCCGTGTGAGCAAAATGGGCTCATCCAGCACCGGTCCCAAAGGAGCGCGGCCCACAGAGGGCGGCAGGGACGGGCCCTGTCCGGCCGTCCGCACCACGGGCACTGTTGGGGAGCAGCTGCATCTGAGGGCTGCACCCCACGACCCCACTCGTCACCCGGAGGAGGAGGTGGCCACGCCACCTGCCCTGGGGCGGCGAGGGACGGGGTCCCCCTGCTGAGCTGAGGCAGAGAGAGAGAGGCGGAGACGTGGTCCCATGCACACACGCTTGAGCCAGTACTGACAGGCGGGGGTGGGACTTCGCCCACGGCGAACAGCGGGCGGGCAGGGGCAGGGGCAGGGTGCATGACAAGATCGAAAACCCGCCCCGGGTCCGAGGTCCGTCAGGCAGCTCGCACCCAGGACAGCTCTGGAGTAAGGAGGGGCTGGCCCTGGGTGGTGGCGAGGCAGGGGCTGCCTGGTGACCGCCTCCAGGGAGAGGAGGAGAAACTGCCCCGGGGGCAGCCGGCCTCGGCTGTCACTCAGGGTCACGCGTCGCCCGGGGAGTGGAAGGGAAGGCAGGTGCAGGGGCGCCTGCCGCCCAGGCCTGCAGGGTCACACTGACAGCGCGTCTGCGGCAGCCCGAGGCAGGAGGGCCCCGCGGAGACGCAGAGGGGGCCGCCAGGTACCCACCCCAGACTCCGAGACCCGTGTTCCTGGGAGCAACCTAGCAGGGCGCTGCCCTTCAGGGTGGGCTACCCACCGCCCCCACCGGACCGCAGACAGGCAGTGGGGACAAGAGGAGTTCACTGCCGCCTCTGCAGGGAGCAGGGAGGGCTGCAGACAGCTGTCGCCGTGTGCCGCCCCGGAGCGTCTCGGAGGGTCTGTGGACGCGCAGCAGATCCGGGGGGGCAGGAAGGACCCGGAGAGCTGGGGCCTGGCAGCTGGGCGACCTGCCGACCTGCCCGCCCGAGCCCAGTGCCCCTCTCCCTCGAGGTCGCCCTCGGCGCCCCACCGGGCCAGCGCCCCACCGGGCCGGCTCCCCCGCGCCCGTCAGCACGTCCCGCACACCAGGAGGGCGCCAGCGCTCACGGTAAGCACGCACAGACCACCCATGGCACTGCTTGGCGGGGGCGCCTTGTACGAAGACCGGCCCCACGTCACCAATGACCAGGGTACCCACCCCGACCTCAAACGAGCCCGAGACGCAGAAACGTCGGACCACACTCTCTCCCGCACATGAGCCGGGGTGCAGTTTCCCACAGGGACACTCAGAACGCATGCCCATGAGCAGGCCACGCCCACCCTTTCACGGAAGGGGACTCGCAGAGTGCACTCTGGAGCCGGGTATCCCCCCGCCACCCGGCCATCGGGCTCTGAGCGGGGGTCCGCACTACCTAGGGTGTTGATGCGGAAGATGAACTCCCTGAAGACCTCCTTTTCCTGCAGGAACTCCACGGGGATCTCGGGGAAGGCCGTGCCGAAGTCCCCTCCTGGCGTAGGGGACCACCCAAGTTTCCAGACCTGAGGGGCAAGAAGAAAGGAAGTCGCTGAGCTGCAGACTCCACGCCCGTGCCGTCCCGGCCGCCCCCAGAGCGCGCCCCCTCCTCAGGCAGGCGGGCTGCCACCCAGTGTGGAAGGACCCCCCCGCCCGTCTACAGGTGGTCTGTGCTGGCATGTTCCCGCCGCCCTGTTTTAGAAGAGCCAGCACCCCCGCAACACCCGCCGTACGTCTGGCCCGAGGAAGCCGGGCAGGCGGCAGCACGAGGCGCAGCGCCCGGGGAGCCCGGGCCCCAGACTCACCAGCGGGGGCACGCGCGTGTAGCTGTTGACGAGGGGCAGGCGGGCCAGGCTGACCACGATGTTCCTGAGCACCGGCGTGAGGAAGGCGGGGGTGCCGCTGTTCCTCTCGTGCCCCAGGGCCAGCACGGACGGCAGGGCCTCCACCATTTCCGCCACCATCCTGCAGGCTGCCGTGACGTACTCAGGGCCTGAGCGAGCACCGCAGTCGGCGGAGGTCAGAGTGCACGCCCAGCCTGACGCCCCCCCGCCACCCCCCAGCACGGAGGGTGCGCCGAGCGGACCCGCGTTGAGGGCCGCGTGGGAGCACCTCCCGCAGCCCACGCGGGTCCCCGGTGAGGCGGCTGCCCCGCCTGGGGAGACGGCGGACGGGGACCAGACCCACCGGACGGACCACCGTGCGAGGGCACCCCTTACGCAGGTGAGCGAGGCTTCCCCTCCGGCCAGGGGCGGCACCCGGCCTGCGCGGGGCGTGAGGACGCCCCCGTCCCGCGAGCCCGCACCACACGCTCTCCAGCTGGGGGGCCGCCTGCCCGGACTCGGACCCCCCGTGCCCGAGCCGCCCTCGGAGCAACGGGAATTCGCACTTGAACCGAAACCACGAGACGCCCGCTGGGCACCTGTTCCGGGGCTCGCTGAGGGTCCCTGATGCCCCGCACACCAGCTCGCTCCGGGCGGCCCTGGCCTTGTCCTCAAGGCCCTCAGCACTAGGGACTGGCGGAGGTCACGCGGCTGGGGCGCGGCCGGCCGGGCAGCAGGGCGGGGAGGCCCGCAGGCACCTGCATGAGACCGCGCACACAGGGCGGACCGGGCACGGCTCCGAGGCACGCCGCCAGAGGAGAGCTCGGCGGCGCGCAGAAACGCCATGGCTTCCGCGTGCAGCGCGGTCGCGCAGCCCGGAGCGGGTGGCCGGAGGAACATCGCTACGCTCAAGCCTATTGAAAATGCCGTCGTTAGCTGGGACTGCACGAAAGCTGGCAAAAAAACCCAAAAGCAGAAACACCAGGCGTTCAGGTACTAGCTACGGAAAAGGCACGTTTCTCAGACCGGAGGAGCACGGAGAAGACTCCGGCACTTCAAGCCAGTGTCCCCAGGAGACACGGCCCGGGCCACTGGGGAACGGCTGTGGCCGGCACCCAGCCAGACCCCGTGATGGGCTGGGGGGGCCCCGGAGACAGCCGGCAGCCGCCCAGCCGAGAAGCCCCCCCTCGACTCAGCCTCGCCGCCGTCTCCGGAGCGACCAGCACGCCGGCGCCGAGAGAAAGCGCGTGGAGACCGGGGCACCGAGCCTGAGTCCGGAGTGGAGGTGAGCGAACAGAACGCGCACGTCCTGTCTCTGCAGGCGGAGCAGGGGTTTCCACGTCAAAACCCACAGAAACAGGCACTGAGAGAGACACGCAGGCGACCCAACGGGCGGTGGGTGCCCCACGGACTCGTTCAAGTTCCTTAGCGCTTCCACGTGCTCACTCGCCACCCAACGGGCACTCGCTGGTCACTCACGACAGCGAGGACAGAGAGGGAAACACTCCCCCTGCCTTCAGAGGGCCAGAGTCTGAGGCGAGCGACACAGCGGAGCCGCAGGTGCAGGGAGAACCTAGCGCTGAAACGGAGGCGTGCGTGAGGGAGAGGAAGGGGGGTGGGTGCGGGAGCAGGAGCAGGAGCAGGAGGGGTGGGTGGGAAACCCCTGCAGAGTTGGGAGGGTGGGGCCGGGAGCCGGAGGAAAGGGAAGAGGAGCAGATGGAGGGAGGAGCAGGTGCAGCACCACACCCCCCATGCCCTCCACCGCGGGGCGGAGCCCAAGGACGCAGCCAGGTCGGCCCGCAAGGGCTCCCTGCCCCGCCAGCACTGCCTGTCCTGCGCATGGGCTCCGAGCCCCCAGAGCACAGACAGGGAGAAGCCCAGACCGGGACACTTACTCTGGGCGTGGGAGCCTGCGTCCTCTCTGGCAGCCGCTGGGGCGTCCGTCCTCCTTTCTGGACCAAGGAGCTGGTCTCCGGGCTGCACCACAACTAGAACCATGATAAAACACACGGAAGAGTTTCCAAACACTTTGCCATTCCTTTTCACTTGAACTTCACCTTTGTGCAGCGTCGTAACGTTTCAGCGGGACAGACTCTGTCAAACGGGGCCCAGGTGTCCCCGACCAACTCAGACAGTCTCAGACAAGGCTAGCCTTGGGGTCAGTGTCACGGTCAACCCAAAACGCACGAGCAGCTGGACTCCCGCTGTCTGCTGCCCCAGGCGGGGGTGCCTCCCTGCTGCAGGAAGGGCCCCGAGGCCCCTGGGGAGGCCTCTGGCTCAGACAAGGCACTCCGGGCCCTCCGTCCCCACGGTGGCCACGGACGCACAGACGAAAACAATTGAAACGGTGGAACTTCAAAACACCACTCCACAATGTCCAATTTAAAAACACAAAACTTCCAAACACCCTCCACCCTATAAACCATAACGCCAATTTGCTCAAAAATTTTGGTTCATGGCCCTTGTTTAGGACACTGCCCCCTGAAGAGAGTGACTCGTTTTTATTTCACGACGTGCGAGCAGAAACACGCAGCCATGCTGGACTGCGGCCGCTTAGAACCAAGAGCAGGAAACAGTCAGCTGGGGCCAGCGATGAGAGCGACACGCAATCACAAGTATTTTTTATGAGAGTGGAACCCCAAACCCTGAACACGATGACCACAAAAGCGAATGCGAGTTAAGTCCTAGTGCAGAGTTCAAGCTCCTGAAGATCAGGGCCCAGGCTGTGCCCCCACCCCCTCCCCCGGTTCCGGAACCGGGCACCTGGCGCGCAGGTGGCGCCACGCGGCCGTGAGCACACGGGCGGAGCGAGGGCGGGCGCGAGGGGCCGAGCGGGCAGCCGCCTGGGGCGCAGACTCACTGGCTTCCAGGATGAAGCGCACGCAGTGGACGAGCGAGCAGGCGTGGGTCACCATCTCCGGGGAGGCCAGCAGGCTCCAGAGGCCGGGCAGCCGCAGGGCCAGGCAGCAGCAGTCCAGGCCCGCCTGGAGGTCCAGGCTCAGGGGCACGTGCTCGTGGATCAGGTGCCAGGACAGCGCCTGTGGGCGAAGGCCGACGTGGCCGAGGCTTGGACCCCTGCTCCCTCCCTCCTCCTGCTGCTGCGGGGCTGCCAGGGAAGCAGGCCACTCCGGCCGTCCAAGAACCGTCGGGGGCTCGGGGAGCTGGCCAGTCCCGGCCACTCGGCCCTTCCAGAGGAAGGGGCTGGCGTGCCCACTCTGTCCCGCCCTGTCCGGAGCACCCGCTCCCCGAAGTCCCCGGGGCTCCCTCTCTGCCAGATGCCCACCCCAGCCCGGCTGCGCCCGTCCCCTTCAGCTCTGCGGGCTCCTCAGGAAATGCTCCCCCGGCCACACTGCTGCCGGCTCTGCCTCAGGGCCCCCGCAGCACCGGCCCCTGTCCAGGTATAGGAAGCTGTATCTGAGAGCCCGGGTTCCAGACACAGCCGGCTTTGGCCTCAGACGCCAGGGAGGCCACGCCCCAGCGGGGTGGGCCTCTCTGCGCCCTGCCCCCGTCTGCAGAGTGGGACCCAGAGCACCGCTTGCTGCTGCTCGGGGGCCGGCTCGGCCACGCGGCTCGGCTCTGGCCTCCTCTCTGAGGCCGCCTGACAGGCGGTGCGATACGATGGGCTCATGGTGCGCACACGTTTCAGGGGAAGTGTCAGGACTGACACGGAGGGCCCGACCCCTGCGGCTGACGGCGCAGGTGCACCGTCAGCTCGGAAGGAACGAGACAGACGTGTCGGGGGGGGTGCCCCTCCAGCAGTGGGTGTCGGGAAGCACACCCGCCTGCGTGCCTCCTCCTCTCTCCCCGGGAACAGACGCACACGGGGGGTCTGTGCTGCAAGCCAAAGGCAGCTGGAATCCAGGGCGCAGGTTCCCACCGACCGCGTGCTGACCCCGCTGGGTTGTGGAGGCCCCGGAGGCCTGCGCTCGGCCCTCGTCCACCTCTGACCCTCCCCCTCCTTCCCAGCCCGCCCTCCGCTGTGACCGGCCCCCTCGCCCCTCACCCTGCTCGAGGACAGGCGAGAGCCTGCACCGGTCAGGGGGACGGCTTCAGGCAGGAGTCCCCGGCCCAGCCTGGCTCTCGAGAGCCTCTCCCCCTCCGCTCTGGGGGCAGCGGGAGGCGGCTGTGCCACCATGGAGCGAGAGCCCGGGGAGGGGAGGGCAGGCGCGGGCTGACAGCGGCAGGCTCGGTTGGAGGTGGCAGAGGGCGCCCCTGACTGCGCACAGCCCCGGGTTCCAGATCAAACCGCCTCCCTCTGTCTCAGGCCCACAGGGACATCAAGCTCCCGAGCCCCCTCACCTCCAGGGTCGCGACCACGAACTTCATGGTGTCCCTCTCCTTCTCCGGGGGAAGGTGCAGGTGGCTGGGCAGCTTGGGGAGCACCAGCAGGTACTGGGCCAGGGCACGGGCCAGGGTGGTTAGGGAGCGGTACAACACGGCGTCCCCTGCAACAGAAGCTCTTCGTGGGGGGGGGGCGAAAGTCTGGCAGAGGCTCGTGACCCCTGAGAGGCGGTCGGCAATTTTCGGGGACACGGTTCCTTGGACGCGCCTGCCCTCCCGACCAGCGCATGCACTGCGGGTGCAAGCACGCCCTCAGGCTCGGAGCCCCGGCCAGGCCAACTCCCGCACGGCGGCCAACTCCCGCACGGTGGCCGACACGCGGAAAGCCACGCGGGGCCGGGGCCCCAGCGCCGCCTCGGTGACGTGCGCGAGAGCGTCCCAGGGGTCAGAGCAGCAGCACTCGCCACGCGTCCCTCCCTCCATGCAAAGCACGGCCTGGCCCCGCAGCGCTCCTCGCGCCGAGAGACGCCGTCACTGCCATTACCGAACAGGTCGCTCAGCTGGCTCCAGTAGGCGGCGGGCTCCGCGGGCAGGAGGGGCCGGAAGACGTGGTGGCCAGCGGGGAGCTGCTGCACCACGCCGGCCACGCGGTCCAGAGTCGCCAGGCGAGCCGCTTCGAAGAGGGGACTCCTCTGGCCTCCGGAGAGCTCCCGCGCGCCCAGGCCCAGGCATGGGGCGAGCAGGCCCACGTTGAACTCCTGCGCGGGGGCGTCACAGGGTCGGCAACGGCAGGCTCTCGGCGGGCGAGCGACACCACAAAGACAGGGCCGTGCGCACACGGACATGCAGTGAGGGGCTGCAGGGAACCCCCGCTCCCAGGAGCAACCCAGCAGCTCGGCCCTGCACACGCTCAGGCCCGGTCCCTTCCTTCCGGGCGGTTTACTTAAAAAACAAACCGTCTCATTTCACGGTGCCTTCACCTCTGTCTGAAACCAAAGACTGAACGACAAGACTTGAACCGGCAAAAGCACCAAGTTAGGCCGCCGGGCCGCCGGGAAACCGCCGAGACGCCCTGACGCGCCCGGGGTTTCAGAGGAGCAGGTGGCGCTCAGAAGCACCTGAGACAAACCCAGCTGCCGCACAAGCGCTGCGATTCCAGCGGGAAAAGCAGCAGTTTACACGATGTTGCAATTTGTACCACTTGGCCAACTGTCAAAAACGATTTAAGATTTTCTTGGCCCGTTTTCAGGGAGAATCTCAGTCTTCGGTCGATAACTGAAAAGGCATGTATCACATCAGTGACCGAAACGGAGCCTCCGTCCCAGCCAGAACCTTTAACAGCTGCTGAAAGTCCAACGACCGAATTTGGAAAACCCCTAAGTGGGTCAGGAGACAAACATCATTCAGCAAACCGGCTTTCACCGAACGGAGCTTAAAACGACTTTGTCAGCAAACTGATCTGGGGCCGGTTCTCCTGGCTGTTTTTCCCCAACGTAGCTTGTTCTGAAGCTGGTGGGGAATCAGTCCTGGGGCACACTCTTTGCCCACCCCAGCCCAGCCCTGTGGCCCCCGAGGCTTCTGCACCCCCACTCGGGGCGCCTCCCGGCGACAGTGGAGGCTGGCAGTGTGGCCGGAGGCCGCGCTGGACCAAGAGCGGCCTCGAGCCTCACAGGCCCCGCGGGAGTACAGAGCACAGGGGCTTGGAGGCTTGGCTGGGGCAGCCTGGGCGGGCTGGACAGGGCACCCTGGACGGGGGCGGGGCCCTCGTGAGGGAGTGGGGGCCTCACTGTGCGTGGGGGGCGGGGAGTGCCCTCCTCGAGATGGGCTCCAGACACCACGGGACGGCCCAGCCACCCCCAAGGCGGCACTCAGGGCCCCTCCTCACGCTCAGGAGGACGAGCAAGGGCGGCGGGCCGTGGTGGGTGGGAGCCCGCCTCCTCCCCACGGGCAGGAAAAGCTGCCTGCAGCAGGGACCGCCCACTCTGGGCTCTAGCGGGGCGGACGCTGCGCCCCGGCCGCCTGGACCACGGGGCCGAGCGGCTGCAGGGTGACGGGGGCAACCGAGCGCGTCTACGCAACAGCAGGGGGTGCCCGCGGCCCGCCGCGCCCCGCCGTACCGAGTTCAGCATGAACGCACTCATGTCACCTGCAGGGATCCGATTCACCAGCTCCGCGCCCTCCAGCAGCGCCGAGTCGGACCGCGTCCAGCACTGGGACTTGACCAGGCGCAGGTACCAGTCCTGGGAAGGGGAAGGTCGGTAGCAGCCTGCGGCAGGGCGGGGCTTCCAGAAGCTTCTGGGCCACGGGAAACGTGCCGCCCCACCCTGCCCCAGACCAGAGGGCCAGCGGCCTCCCTGGACGGCGCACTCGGGTCTGTGACGAGGACCTCTGGCTGGGCCGTGCAAGCTGCACCCCAAGCCACAGAGCTACTTCACAGGCTTGTCTTTGAACCTGCCCCACTGTCTGGACACCTGCTCCTTCTCCCCTTCAGCTGGTGAACAGTCAGCACCTGCCCTTCCACTCGGCACCGGCAGTAAATGCCGCAGACATCCCGCGGCCCACCCTCACCACCTGGCGTCGCTCCATCGCCTGCTATGGGCGGGCTGCAGCTTTGCTCCTACCCCCAGGGCCAGCCCAGCGGAAACACTGAACAAACTGAACCTGAGGACAGAGACCTGAGCTTCTGCTATAATGCGCCTGGGCTGCTGGGCTTGGAAACCCCATTCATACTCAAGGTGAGCCCGCTCCAGGGGAGCAGAGCACCAGCTGCAGGAGGGCCGACGGCCCCCAGCTGTGAGAGGTGAGCGGTGCGGGAGGGTAGCTCACCAGGGCGCTTGGGTGGCGGGGTCAACACACCACCTCAGCCTAGGCGGTCAGCAGGGGCGAGGAGAGGGAGCCAGGCCCAGTGGGCCTGTGCTTGGACGCCTGCGCTGGCTGCGGCCACCCAATGCCCGCTCCCCCCATGATGGCCCTGACGCCTGGGGCCCCAGGTCGGCATTTCCTCTCTCACCCGTGCCCCTGCCCACAGCCTGGGCCAGACTTCGGGCACTGCATCGGCCATGGGACCCTGCGCACAGCTGGCACGGCCAGTGCAGGCCGGGGGTCCGCTGGAGCCGTGCCGAGTGCCGAGACGTCGCAGGAGCTGGACCACCGCGGCACACTCAGTGCCCGGACGGAGCCCCCGGGTCCCGCGTGGACGTGGTGGACACTTACTTTGTCTGGACTCACGGTCTCCAGCGCCAGGGGCCCGTCGCCATCCAGCGGGTGGGCTGTGACCGGAGGGGAGGGGCCGCGGGACCCGGGGGCGGTGGCGAGACGCAGCCTGTCCAGCAGGGAGTAGAGCCTCTGGTGCCTGGAGGGGAGCACACGCGGGTGAGCGCCCAGCCCCACAGGGACCACGCGGCTCGCTCCTTCACACGGGACGCCCTTGGACCGGCATGCGTCGGGTCGCGCACTCAGGTCCCGCCCACTCTCACTGGCCACAGGAGCGCCCCAGGCCTGTTCCGAGAGCCGCGTCCGCGGGCAGGCACCGCGCCAGGCAGACGTGGGGGAGCGCCGGCGAAGGCGTGTTTATGAATGCAAAGGGACGGGGTGCGGCCCGTGCGCTCAGCTGCGCAGCGAGACGAGGCTCACTCCGATCACGCGGGAAGGCCCCCCGGCTCAGGGCACCTGCCGCCCTCCTCGGCCGGGCCTGGGGCCCGCTCTCCGCTCTGGGGCTGCGTGCTGACAACGGTCGGAACCCCCACCGTCAGCTATCGGAGTGACGTGCAAACCACAGCACAGATCAGCCCGGCCCACTGAGAAGCCGCGCCCAGCCAGGCCCAGCCCCCGGATCACGCCCCTCCCCGGTCAAAGCCACCTCCAGCAGGCAGTCGCCAGACCGGGCCACAGGGAATTACTGTGCTCTCTCATCCTCCACCCCCAGGAGGAAAGAAAGCAAAAGCCTGTGTTATTCCACTTTGCAGTCCTAGAAACACACATAAACTCATCTAACAGATGTGTAACTTCTGATGCAAGCGTCTGAAAACTTTGCAAACAAACCAGGGGACAAGCAACTGCAAAGAAACAAAATCTGACAAGACGCACACGGGGAACCGGTGAGGTCTCTCCGAGCTGACAGCCCTCACTCGGCAGTGAGAGCACGTGCCGTGGTCTCACCGAGGGAGAGCTGGTAACGCCCGCTGCCCTCTGCTGCAGTGCGGCGAGCAGAGGGACCAGGCGCCCTCACACAGCAGCGGGGGCTCTGCTGTCCGTGCAGACCTCTCGGAGAGCGAGGGCCGACCGTGTGTCCGGCGGGAAGGCTCGCCCTCGAGGCCCCCTCCAGTGGGCCCATCCACAAAGCACGCCAGCCTCTCGCCCGTGCGTCCATCCCCCGAGAACCTCCGTCCCCACGGCCAAGAGCAAGCAGCACCAGGCTCCGCGTTACCTCTGCGCCAGGCCGCTGCTCTGAAGGTACTCCTGCATCCGGTTCAGCTCTTCCACCGGCAGCTGGGCCGTGCTGGCCTGCAGGGGACAGGAGCACGTCAGGGCCTTCGCAGCGGGCCGTGAACCAAGGCCACCTCGCGCTCCCTCTCGGAGGAGAGCCGGGGGGCGTCTGCACCACGGAGGCAGACGGCGTGCGGTGAGGGGCACCAAGCGTGCGTGTCAGACCCAGGCTGACGACCACTCACACACGCTGCACGTCTCCCTCGGCACCCAGACGGGGGACGTGCCTGCCTGCGGGGGTCCCCAGCCCACGCGGCGGCCTGCCCCGCTCGGGTTCCACAGAGACCGGCGCCAGCGTCCCGCCCGGTACCTGCACGTTGGCCGCCAGCAGCATTTCCACCCGGCGACAGGCCAGGGTGTCCACCATGCGGGCCAGCGCGCGGAACGGGGTGCACAGCAGCTTGTCCACGTACAGCGTCAGCACGGCGCCCGACTGGCTGAGGTGGATCCCCGCCAGGCACTGCAGGGTCTTCTTCAGCGTGGTGGGCTGGCGTCGGGGGGGGGTGCAGGTCAGCGGGCCGGGCGCGACGCCCCCACGCAGGCCCGGGGAAGGGACCACCGACCGCCGCGGCCCCCAGGCGGAGACTCACAGTGGCAAGGCTCTCGCAGCGGGCCTGGACGGCCTGCACGAAGAGGCCGCTGGCGGCAGGGTTCCGGTGCACGGCGCTGATGAGGTCCTGCACGGGGGGTTCGTGGCACAGGCCGACCAGGTCCTGGACGTGGTTCACGACGAGCCAGGTCAGGTGCTCTGAGTCGTGCAGGTTCTGGCACTGCGGGCGACGGCGGCCGGGCTCACTGTCCAGCAGGCCCCCGGGACAGCGCTGGAGCCGCCGGCCAGGCCTGAGGCCGGGGGGAGGGGGGGGGGCGGCGGGCAGGCTCCGAATCTGACCCTCGCTGGAGGTGGCCAGGGTGTGCCACCAGCTCCGCCAGGTGGGGACTCCCTACCCAGACCCCGTGCCTGCACTGCACACTGTGGGGGAGACCGTTCCAGGGAGACTCCCCCCGGGAAATGGGACCCCGCAGTCCAGCTCCAAGGGACCCCAGCCAACGGCTGGAGGAAGGAGGGTGTGGCCCAGGGCTGTGGGGGAGCCATCAGGCAGCTGCCACAGCCGGCGCGACCCCAGAGCAGCAGGAACAGCGAGGGCTGCCCCGGCCCCGGTCTGGCCTGCCCAGGGTGCCCTCCAGTCGCTCTGGCTCCGGTCTCGAGAGAGGGCAGCGGCAAGAGAGTCCCCATAACTGTCCCAGTTTTACTAGGGTTCCTGACTCCGAAACGTGAATGGACCCCACATACCAATCAGAAAGGAAACAAGACCTACCTATTCTGAAATACATATGTATCGTATAATTATATCGTTTCTCAGAAGTGCGGCGAGATAAAAACAAACTATTCCAACATCAAGAACACAAAGCAAAAACCTGTCATCATCGCAGGAAAACTACAGCGAGGACGCACTCGGCCAAGGAAGGGGGCTGCGCTGCCTCCCTGGTCCGGGACGCTGGCAGCGCTTTGCTAACGATGGCACGGCGTGCACGCCACCATCCGAGATGTGCGCTTTCCACGCCGGTGCGGGGGAAGTGCCAACCCCACCAAAACGTGACAAGTGGAAGGGTCTCACTGGAGTAACCCAATTACAAGAAATTTTCTTTTCCTGTTTACTTCTTCGGTTTTGGGAAATTTCTGTTAAATATGTGATACTAGTTGTCTGGTTAAAAATTCAAGTTATTTTTTTTAAAAAAGAACGGCATTCAAGCCCTGGCTGGCATAGCTCAGTGGACTGAGCGCAGGCTGCGAACCAAAGCATCGCAGGTTCGATTCCCACTCAGGGCACATGCCTGGGTTGCAGGCCACAGGCCCCAGCAAGCGCACATGGATGTCTCTCTTTCTCCCTCCCTTCCCTCTCTGAAAACAAACAAACAAACAAAAAGACAATGGCACTCCAACAGAACCTTTTAAGAAATGCAGCAATGAGCATCTCACACCTCCACAGCCTAACACATCGTTCTCCAGAACCCCTCCTGGGTGAACGGCTCGTTTTACCACTACCGTCAGCCCGCCCCCACCACTGCCCTGGGGACACGCCCGCCCAGCGCCCGCCGGCGTGGAGCGCACCCCACGTGCGTGCGGGCAACAGCGGCAGCTGCACGGGGCCTCCTACCGCCCGCCGCCCGACAGCCACGGCTGGCCCCCCGCGGTGTGGCCAGGCTGGGCGCCGTGGGCCTGCCCCGAGCCAGGCTGCCAGGGCGGTAGGTCCCTGGGCCCCGCGCCACCCCCATGGGGCCGCACTTACGACGTAGTCGCAGAAGAGGATGAGGGCCCCTCGCCGGACGATTTCCCTGTTGCACATTCCCAGCTTGGACGCCAAGTCGGAGTCCTCCTCCTCCTCAGACACCTGGGGGCTCAGGGACTTCGTGCTGGACAGGCTGCGCCTCCTGGAAGGAGCAACGGGCACGCTGGCGCGGTTTCCGGGTGGCAGCGAGCTCGCTTTCCAACGCGGAGGGCGGCCAGGGCCGGCCCTGGGTCTGGGGCCGGCACTTCGGTGCTGCCCCGGCACAGCGTGCACGCGCGCGGCACACGCTGGCCTCCGCCCCCCCGAGCGACAGCAGTGCGTGCGTGGGGAGCTGGAGAACCGCTCTGGACGTGCCCCCAGCGCCCCTGCCCTGTAGGGGGAGGAGCCTCTGGGAGCAAAGGGCACAGCCTCTGACCCCAGTGTTAGCAGGAGACAAGGTCAGGCGTCAGCCCACTGGGTCCCACCAAGTGGCAGGGCAACGCCCTGGGGCCTCGCACCCCAGGCCCAGGGCTGCACGCCCGCCCGCGCCGCAGCACCACCTGGGGAGCCGACCGCCGCACCACAGCCCCGGCGCCACAGCGCGTGCAAGCGGGACCCTCACCGCCCACGGCGGGGAGCGGGTCAGGAGCAGATCTTAACCCTGCACAGCCCTGGCCCCCGGAAGCAGAACAGAAACAGAATCCTAGACATGGAGATCACCTGGAGAGCTATCAGTGGGGAGGGGCAGGGAGAGAACAGGGGAAAAGGTACAGGGAAGAAGCATAGCTGGTAGGTACAGAATAGGCAGGGGGAGGTTCAAAATAGTGTAAGAAATGGGGAAGCCCAAGAACTTACATGCGTGACCCACGGACCTGAACTGGGGGGGGGGATGCTGGAGGGGAGAGGGGCACAGGGTGAAGTGGGGCAGAGGGGGAAACCGGGACAACTGAGAGAGCCAGTAAAACACACTCCATTGGAAAAGGAAAGAGCGGGGTGACTGATTCTGAACGCCCCTTCGGGCCAGACCGCATTCCCCACGACAGCGGGCGGGCAGGCGGGCGCACCTGGGGGTCTGCTGCACCCCGGCCCACCAGCGGTGGTCGGTGTGGCTGACGAGCAGCAGGATCTGGCACCAGAGCAGCACGAGCGCCGGGTGCGTGGGCACCAGCGAGCGCGCCCGCGCGTTCAGGCTCTCCAGGCTGTAGAAGCTGCCCTCGGCGCCGCTGTCTGCGGTGAAGAGTCTGGAGGCGGCGGCTGTGATTCTCCGGAACATCCCTAGGGACAGACACACCCCGAGTCACGCCGGGGAGGGAAGAACGTCTCTGTCGCTCACCGCGGACCGGCACTTCGCAGCTGGATTTCAAGAGCGGCGCCCGGCTCTTCCTGGCGTGCGATGTTCCAAGGGGCCCGCGGGCCCTCCCTGCACCCACGCCTGCTGACCCGAGGGCTCCTGGGCTCGCCGAGGGCTGAGGGCAGCAACCCCAGGGGTCACGCAGGCCACGACCAGCGCCAGAGGAAGCAGACAGATGGTGCCCCGTGCCAGTCCCAGGTCCGCGCTCGGCAGGCTCCTGAGGGCCGAGGGCCAGGTGGGCTCCGGGCCACCCCGAGACGTCCTGGGACTCGGTCCGTGAGCTTCCTCCACAGCCCCCCGCTCAGGGCCTACGAGAACCCCCTGTGGGAACTAACGAGTTCCTCCCTAGGTCCCCTCTCCCACCCCCTGCGGGCTCCTGTGCCGGCCCGCACCCCGAGGGGCGCACACGCTGCAGAGCGCAGGAGGGGCGCGGCTCCTGTCTGAGCCTGGCGGCTCCTGGCGTCACGCTGGGGAGGCGAAATCTGGTCTCTGGCTCAGATTTCAATGCACTGCAGACGCAAGGGCGTCTGAACAGGGACCACCAGACGGCGGACTTCTTCCTGCCCACTCGGGACTAATTGCACCCGTGGCCTGAGACGAGGGGAGAGACGCACACAGGCCTGGCTGTCGGAGAAAGCCCGCAGGAAGACCCCTAGTGCTCGGCCTGTCTCTGGCCTCCCCGGCCAGGGCTCCCCGCGGCTGCTCCGTGGTCAGCACCGCCCACCTGCACCCCCGACCCCGGCCCGGCCCTCCTCTATGCTCTCCTTGACCGCAGGAGGAGGCACATCTTCCCAGAGGGGGCCCTGGAGCCAGGCCGGGAGCACAGGGTGACAGACGCCTAGTATCGGTTTTATTGGGAAGCCACGGTCGGGACGGAATGGTCCCATGCTGTCGTTGGGGGAAGAGACACTGGACTGACCCCACCCTGCGGTGACGGCAGGAGGAACCAGAGGGACTCTGCAGAGCCTGGGGCAGCGCCTGCGGGGGGGGTGGCACTGGGGCGTCCACTGGGGGAGGGGTGGCACACACGAGGGCTGGTGCCGGCTGTGGACAGCGCCCCAGCTGTGTGGGGCTGGGCCTGCACCAGGTCACCCGCGGAGAGACGTGTACAAAGGGACGCGTGTCACTTCCAGGCCCCGGCGAGGACGCCGTGTCCGGCCTCCGCCCCCCCCCAGCACGCAGCCGTGGAAGGCGCCGTCCGCGCACAGGGGAACGTCGACCCCGGCACCGCCACCATCAGCAGCCCGCACCCCCTGCCCGTGCGAGGAGGGAGGCCAGTCGAGGTCAGTTTCCTGGCCCAGGAGGAACTGCCCCCCCCCTCAGCAGCCCTGCCTGGGCCCCCACGGGCAGCAGGGGCTGGGAAGGGAGGCCAGGAGGGGCCCTGGGGCCACGGCAGCCCCCGTCTGGGTGGGTGTCTGACTGCGGTGGGGCGGGGCCCAGCGGACGGACACGGGACACAGGCCAGCACAGGAGGCCTCCTCCGGCCCCTGGCCCGGGGGTTCACCCCGCCACGCTGGCAACAGAGCAACGACACCTGCATGCAGCCCTGCCCCGGGCTCGGCCGCCTGCCTCCGGCCGCCCGACTGGGGCAGCAGGGGCACCGGTGACCCCGGCTTTGCCAACTGGAGGCCAAGCGTGGGTCCTGGCTGCGCCGTTCCTGCCGGAGGGACCCAGAACAGCGTCCCCTGCAGGACGGGACGCAGAGAAGCAGAGGCCGAGGCCGTGACTCCCGCTGGCGTCCACTCTGAGAGGGAAGACCGGAAGTGGACAAACCACACGCCGACTTTCAGTAAAGGCGTGGGACTCACTGCCCCTGTTCGAGCAGAGCGGGGACAAAAACCACCGACTTCAGGTGCTGGCTGCGCCTCTTTCACGTGAAAGCGCAGCAGGATCTATTCCAGCTCCGTCTCAGAACGGCCAAGCGCAGCGACTCTGCCCCCTGGCGTCTTTAACAGAAACACAGTTAAAATACTCGAAGAGATACAAGCAGAGATTTCCACACGCGTGTGCACACACACGGCCCCCTGGCACACACTCTGGGCCAACCAAACAACGTCCAAGACGCCGGCGGCACACACACGGGCCCCTCGGTGCCGCACACTGCCCCCCGACGCCGGCCCGGGGGTGGGCTCGGTGGTCCGCTCGCACCTGAGCTGGGGAGTCGGGCCAAAAGCAGCCCCTCCACCCCACGAGCCACGGTTCCGGTGCTCGCAGCCGCGGCGGCCGGAGGCAACACCATGGTGCAGACAGAGCGTCCACCCCCTGATGCAGGGGCTTTGGGGGACAGCGCCCAGGGGCCCTGAGACCCCTCCCTGGTTTCCGAGGAGAGGAAGAAGAGGCGGTCAGAGCCGTGGGCCAGTGGGCCCCCGAGGAGCACAGACACCGGTGCCTGAGGACACAGGACATGCCACTCTGGCCCGGAGGAGGGAGAGGCGTCCTCAGAGCCGAACTGAGGTCAGAACTGAACAGAGGCGTCCTGAGGTCAGGCCCAAACCACCGACGGCCGAACACCCCACGACTGGCACGCTGGAAAGGGCCCGTTGGCCACCTGGCACACTCACTCGGTCCACCCCAGCTCACTGCCAGGGCCAACCGAACGTCTCCCAAACGGGACGCATCCACAGTCACAACGGAGGGGGCTCGCAGCCGAAGCCCATTGCCTGCACTGAGTCCGGCCACGGAGACCCCTCCTCTCCTGGGCTCCGGGCCCCCCACCCCCCAGCGCCCCCCCACCCTCACACCCTCAGTGGCCTCCGGGGCCGCCCGAGTGTCACAGTCACTGTCCGGCAGTCCCCACCCTCTGACCCACCACGTGGTCTGCTGCCCACTGCCTGTTCCCGTCACCGGAAACGTCGACACCCGTGACGACGCACCCACAGACCATCCCCCTCGCCAGACTGCAAGCCCCACGAAGGCAAGCGCCGCGCCAGCCTTCCCGATCGCCGGCGCCCAGGCCTGGGCGGTGGCTGGCACATGTGGTCGAAGGGCTGCAGGCTGAAGACGCGCCCACCGGCTGCCCTCGGGCTCGCCCGGCATGTGCCCTGCCCGGGGCCAAGACCCAGGCGAGACTGAAGGTCCCGTAATAGATGGGCCTTCTGTTTCGGAAGTGTCCTGCTGGCCCCTGCCGGCAATGACACGTCTCCCCGGCCTGTGGGGGGCTTCCCCGAGCCCCGGCCTGCCGAGCCCCCACTGCCTGCGGCGGGCCGTCGGGCGTGCTGCATGCTTCTTTCTCCTCCTCGCGCCGGGAAGCCACGCCCCTCTCAGGTGTGCTGCCCCAGACCTCGCCGGGCCCAGGCCGGCCAGAGCACGAGGGCCGTGGGCCACTCACAGGGCTCACGCGGAGGCTGGGGCCACAGGCAGCCTGGGGCCGTCCCGTGTGCCACTGGGATGGAGCCGCCGGAGGACGAGCAACGGGGACGGCAGTGCCGAGGCGTGCAAGCCGATGCGCAGAACGAGCCCCCAGGGCGAGTGCACTGGGAGGGGGTGGGCCGTGAGCAGGAGCTGAACCTGGACCCGCTCTGTGGCCACGGGGCGGAGCCCGCCCGGAGGCGGCGGCTGACGCGGTGCCCAGAGCCCTCCCGCTGCAGACCTGCCCCGCCTGCACCGCACAGCTCCGCACGCCACCTCCTTCCGACGCCAGCGGAACGCCACTGCCCGCCCCACCGAAGACAGGGCACTGTGCGGGCTCGGTGCAGGGTTGGCGCCCGCGACCCCCCCTTTTCAGCCCCCCACCACACAACGCAAAAGTGACGATGACAACGTGGCCTCCTGAACGCTGAGAACAGGAGGAAGCCCCGAGCTTCGCTCTCACCCCCCACAGGACGCTCTCCCACACCCCCGGCCAGAGGCTGCCGGGCAGCAGGGGCCCCGGGCGGCACCCACCGGACTTGAAGATGTGGATGAGACACATGAGCAGCGTGCCCAGCTCCTGGCAGTAGAAGGTGTGCTGCTGCTCGCTCATCTCCACCCGCGGCTGCTTGGTTGCGATGTCCTCCAGCAGGATGCCCACCAGCTGCAGGAGGAACCTGCGAGGGGAGGGGGAGGGGGCCGGTGAGCAGGGCGACGTGACGCAGCGCCGGGCTGCGGCAGACGTGTGGACACGTGTACAGGACACACGGTCTGCAGGGCAGAAGGGGGAGGACAGCGAAACGGGCCGTGGGGCAGCTGTGGGCGGGGACGGGCCCTCTGCTGCGGGGGCCCCGCCCCCCAGAGGACAGGCTGGAGGGCGGTGGGGCCGGTCAGCCGGGCACGTGCAGGGAGCACACCGCAGCACTGGGGGGTCTGATCTCACGCCTCTGCGCCACCTGTGTGGTGCAACGTGGTGGCGGGAGCCCCAGACTTCGGCGGACCCTGCAAACAGGGCACCACCCTGCACACACGGGCGCCCCACCGATGACCGTGACTGGGTGCTGAGCGCACGGGCAGTGGCCCCAGCTGGGAGGTGCGCGGGGCGGAAGCTGCACCCACAGCACGTGCTCTAAGCCCCGCCGCTTTGCGGAGCGCCCGGAGCCAGGCCAGGACGGCTGCACACTCGTCCAGCACTGCGTCTGCGGCACCAGAGTCGGGTCGCTGCCTCAAGAAGCCCCCCGAACAACTGCAGGGCAGACGAGCTTTGACTCCACAGTGCCCCGAGGGGAGCACGCGAGGGCCGCCACCCTGGGGGGAAGGGCAGTAAGACCAACGTCCAGTGGGCAGCCCCGCCATGCGGCCTGTCTGGGGGCCCTGCGGCAGGAGGGGTGAGCGCGGAGAGGGAGGGGGCCGCCCCCACCCAGCTCGCGGAGCCGCAGAGGACGAGCCGGTCCTGACTTTCGGACCGCCGCGCACACGTGACTCGCAGGAGGGCGGGGATGGGACGGGGGAGAGTGCCGGCCACGCAGCGCACCTGGAGAACGTTTCTTCCGGCAGGCTCTTCGCGAGCCTCCCCTCGCCGCGTTCTTCCGCCGGTGAGCCGCCGTCCCCGCCCCTCAGCCTGCTGATGGCCGGGCAGGAGATGAGGTGCGGGGAGAAGGACAGCTCCTGGATGCGAGACAGGACGATGTCCTCGGTGGACTGGGAGATCAGGACCCGCAGGATGGCCAGCACTCCGGAGACCCACAGCTGGACGGTGCTCACCGACGCCTGAGGGGAGGGGAGGGGAGGAGGGCGGGCTGCGGTTCGGGAGAGAAGTGCGCTCTTCCCATTGCCGAAGCCGACTTCTCGCGTGGAAACTGCCCCCCTCTCGCCACCCCACCGAAACATCTCTGTTCTGAGGCCCGGGCCCGTCAGGCTGCACCCCCCACCGGGCTGGGAACCTGTTTAAAATGCAGGTCCTCGGGCCGCCCCCTGGCCCAGCAGAGCCCGGAGACCGGGACAGCCGGCACCGCCCCAGCGGGGGGGGCGCACCCACGGGGGGGGGGGGGAGGGCACTCACCAGCGTGGCCGGGGTGACGAACATGCTCCGCAGCAGCATGTCCACGGGCCGCAGGGAGGACGGGGCCAGGATCTCGAACAAGGTGTTCAGCACCCCGAGGGCTTCGTGGGAGTCAATGTGCATCTGCGACCAAGACGCCACCACTTACGCCCGGGTGGGCGGGGCTCCCGGCCTGGCGGCCCCGCCCCCCCACCATCGCCCCCTGGTGCTCCAGGTGCTTTAACCCCAGTGGTCACCCCAGTGCCTGCGCTTCAGGACACCACGGTATCGGCCACATTTCCCCCACAAAGCAGGTCTTTCCACGTAGGTTTTTGCTGTTCGAACAATGTATGTTTTCTGTCAAAGAGTCAAATACGTGAAAGAACGAAAATCAGCTGAAATCCCACCCTGACCCACTCCCCGGGCACACTGGGCAGCCAGCCCCTCGCGCGCCCCTCGCACACCCAGCTGCCCTCGGCGGGTCCGACACACGCCTTCCCTCTTCTCCTGCGCCTCACCCGCACCCCGCCCCTGCAGCGCCGATCGGCCACAAACGCCAACAAATTTGCACGTTTCTCGTTCTTAACTCTCTCCTCTGCTCCACACAGACAGCTTTTTGTTTAACGCCCTTGACTTTCTCCCTTGAAAACACAGTGGAGAACCCCCAGGACCACAGGCCTCCTAACACAGCGTCTGCAGGTGCACACATCGCCCCCCGGTGGAGACAGGTGTCGGTGCTGCCGTCTCTCCGTCCCGCCCCACTGCCCCAGGGTGTGGGCAGTCGGCCTCTGCACAGAGAGGTGACCCTCCCGGGTGCAGACCTGACCCCCTTCTGCGCTGAGCTGCGCCTCAACCACGAGGGGACAGCAGGAGGCCCGCCCACTCGCCGCCCCAGGCCACCCTGCAGAGGCCAGGCCCGGCCCGTCCCTCCCACCGCCAGGCCCCACACCGCCCCACGCTTCCATGCACCTCCCTGCTCCGCCCTCCCGCGCCCCCGAGCCTGCGCTCAACTCTCAAATCACACCTCACACCGGCCTCCCCCACCTCCCCGCCGCACCAGTGCTCTGCAGCTTCCCAGAGCCGCCAGCACCAGCCACCCCGAGAGGCCCCTCCCCAGGGCGGCCCCTCGCTCTCTTCAACCCCGACAGGCTGTCTGAGCTCAGGGGCGGCGCTGCTGCTCTCTGCCAGGGGTCCGCTGTGACATCAGGCTCGCCCCAGCTGCACTGAGGGGCCCACGGGGCCGCACCCGGCCCCCCACCCCTACCCCCACCCCCCTTTCCGCACAGCACTGACGGTCCCCGACAGTTCACTCCCCAACACACTTCCTGCCGGTCTCCTCCACCACCCGCTCCAGTCATGCCGGCCCTCCCCGAGGACAGGGTCTCCTTGCCAGCGGCTGTGGCCACCCGGGTGTCTGCGCCGCACGGTCTGTGACCCCGGTGGGTCCCTGAGCCCGGCCGCCCCGTGCGGCGCCACAGGGAAGGGAGGGTGCCGCGCTCTGCCTGCCTACCCCAGCCCCCGCTCCCCGGACCACGCCCGAGACAGACAAGAGAACAGAACAGGGCTTCTGGGGCGTCACCCTGGATGATGATGCGTCTCCAAGCACGGAATCGCGACCACACAGAAGCCCCAAACTCGACCGTGTATCGGAAACCCCACCTATCAACCTCACAGCAGCCGGGCTCCTCCGTCTACGGACCCTGGACGACACGTCCACGTGAAACCAGGACGGGACTGACGGCGCCACGCAGACAGAAGTGACCGCAGGTGCCTGCACGCCCCTCAGACGCCCAGAACCACGAGCACCGTGCAGCCCAGAGCACGCGCTGCCTCACCCGGGCACCCGGACAGGCGCCGTGGCTGCCGGGGGCGGCCAGGGGGCGAAGACCCAGAGCCCCGCTGCAGCTGGCGCGCTGTCCCGGGGGCCCACCCTGGTGACCTGGGTGTCGCTGCCAATGGGTGCAGCGCGCCCTGCCCTCTGCACCCGGTGGCAGATGGGACTCAGAGACGGGGCGGTGAGTCACTGGGCCCCGCCCTGCTCGCTGCACGTGCAGGAGTGGGGCACCCAGCCGAGCCGCACCGTCTGGTGCCGGTTCCGCGTTCAACAGTGCTCGACTGCCAGACCACTGCCTGAGGGGCAGGGGACCGCACACGCACGCACGGTCTGACGGGCCCACGGGAGGCAGGGCGGGGGCAGGGAGAACGTGGGCTCGGCCTGGGCCCGCACCCCCCGCCCAGGGGGTGCCTTCGGGAACCCTGCACACACCTTCCCCGCACCTGCGGCCCGCGCTGACGGCCCCCAGGGGCGAGTGGGTGTGCGGGACAAGCGCCCGCCCGTTCCCGGCCCCTCCCCGCCCGCAGCAGCGGCACCGCGTGGCGGGACGCACCTGCTGCTTGGCCAGCATCGGGAGGATGATGTCGGCGACCTGCCGCGACAGCCGCTTCCACTTGTCCTCGCTCTCCTTGTGGCACTGCTGCAGGACCAGGACGAACATCTCCAGCACCTGCGGGCGGGGCCGGCACGGTCACCTCCTCACCGCAAGCCCCACTGCCGCCGCCAACGGGCTCAGTGGGAGGCGCCGGGACCACGCCACCATGACCCCCATGGAACCCCGGCCCAGCGACACACAAGACCAGGAGCCAGAGGACGGCCCCGGAGCCCGGGAGGGGCTCCTCCCCGGCCACCACGGGCACGTGCCGCGGCAAGGCCCTCCTCGCCACCACTGCCGTGGGGTCTCGCGAGCCTCCCCACCCAGAGGAAAGGCACAGAAGGACCAAACTGCCTCCAGCCGTTGGCCGTGCCTCCTGCAGATGCCCTAGGACCTGACCTCTGCGGACGCTGGCCGCACCTGCGCTCTCCACGGGGCGCCTCCCCCGGGCAGCACCGCCACGCAGGAGTGCAATGGGCCCGGGCACATACCCATTCGGGGCCCCGTCTAGGCGGGGTCTGCAGCCCGAGGCTGCCAGTGCAGCTATGCGGGCGCACGGCCGGACCCGGGCGCAGTCTGACCGGGGGTCCACACGCAGCAGCAGCAGCAGCAGCCACGGGTCGCAGCCAATGCCCCGCGGCCCGCGGCGCTAGAAACACTCATCCGCTCGTCCAGAGAAAACGAGAGACGGGAGGGAGGCCACGGAAAAAAGGGTGCCGGCCCGGCCCACACCCCAGGCCTGCTCCGGAGGGAGGGCCACGCCCTCTGCACGTGGCCGCGCCCCCACTGCCCGAGAACGTCTGCGCACGAGCTGGCCCTGCTGAGCGAGGCCAGCCGGCCTCTCTGTCCAGGCCCAAGGGGACCAGCCACCGCCAGGCCTCCCACCTGCCCGCCCAGCAGCCCGCCAACCTCTCTCCGGCAGGCGTGCTCAGTAGCTGCGGGGTGTCACTGAGCATCAGGCATTTAATGCAAAGGGACTACGTTAACCGAAACGAGAACGCACAGAGAGCGTGTTTCTGCGGGAAGAGCTCGCAGCTCCACAGGGGCCGAGTGACGGAGGGGAGTGACAGAGGGCCTGAGGGCCGGGGTCACCGACGTGGCCAGGTCGCAGCACTCACGCCTCCAGCTCCCTGAAACCCAAAATTCTCGCTCCGCCCCAGGGAACGCAAAACCTGCATCAGCTCAAAGAAACCCGTCGCCACTGCTGACCAGTTGTTCTCGGTCCCCGTGTTGGACAAGAGGGCCCCCCCGCCCCAGGGCCCAGGCCGGCGTGCACACGGGGGCCGTGGTGCCCCCTGTCCCCGCCGGGCGGCCCCTCTCACCTGGTGGTACTGGACGAGCCGCAGCAGCATGGACACCACCACCTCCTTCTGCGTCTCCAGCTCCTTCCCCGCGTCCGCCTTGTTGGCGCCCCGCAGCACGAAGAGGTCATGCACGATGGGCTGCAGGGCCGGGATGGCTGGGGGGACAGAGGGCCGGGCTGAGCGCCGTGGGGAGACGCTCACGTCCAGAAGACAGTGCGCGCCACCCCGGACTGCACAGAGCGGGGGCGGAGCCCAGCCCTCGCCCGGTCGGCCGGGCGCGGACACGCTGCCGCTGCCGCGTGGGGAAGGCCGCCGGTCTCCCCGGGCACTCGGGCCACAGCTCTGCGAGAGCTTGAGAGTCAGACAGAAAGTGGGGTGTCTGGGACGTCACGTCACTCCTGACGGAGGAGACACAAACCCTAGACAACAAAACCTCCGCCACCTGAAGCGACACCAGTCTACGGGCCTCGGCGGGCTCCCAGAGCACTTCCGGCGGAAACCGCCGGAGCCGGTGGCAGCTCCCGCACGGCCGTCAGCGGCGAGCCCAGCCCCTCGGGTCAGGAAGGGCCCCCCCACGCGCCCCGATGCAAAGACGCAGCCCAGCACGTTCTCTGGCTCGGGACCACACGAGGAACCCCTGGGAATGCCCCCCTGGAAAGGATGCAGCCCGGCACGCTGTCCAGAGCGGTGAGCGACCCTGCCTCACCCCGGGGACACGCCACATGGGCACTCACCCTGACAACGGGCCACGTCACGGGCACGCCCCCCGGGACACGCGCACGGCACCCCTGCTGACCTCCCGAGAGGGCCGAGCCTCCCCACAGAGAGCAGTGGGGTTTGGCTGCCAGGCCGCTTCCCACCGAGACCCTCTGGCCCCGGGAGCCTGTCACCCCCCCCACCCGGCACCTGACACGTCACCCCACCCTGCGCCACAGCCGGGCCCACACACGCGTGACTGGGGCTCTCGCTCAGGCTGGACCTTGGCCCCCGAGAGGACGTATGGCGGCCTGTCGCCCGCCGTGCGGCAGGCCCCGCCATGCGGCACACGCGCCGACGGGCGCCCTGGCGACAGCGGGTGTGCAGCAGTGCCGCACAGCCCTGGCGCCGGTGTCTCTGAGGCCTCAGCAGGCGGCCGCTCCCGAGCCTGCGGTTCCCGACAGAGGAGCCGGATGGGGGCTGGCAGAGAGTGCTGAGGGTCAGCTTCCAAGTTCAAAGCAGGACGGCTGCTGCGCTGAAGCCCACCTGCCTCACCCCACAGGTGCGGGACAGGCCGTGTGAGCAGCCGCCCGCCCCCCGGGGTCCACAGAGAAGCTCCGACAACGCCACCAGGTGAAGAGGGCCCTGAACTGGGGCCGCTGGCCCCCCAGTGCCGCACGGAACACACCGAACATGCCCACAGAAGCTCGGTTTCCCCGTTTCCTGTCACGTGACCGACGAGCACACCACGTCAGAGCCCACCCCACCCTCATGGCACCTTCCGCCGCTCTGCTCCCGCCCAGGCAGGCTCCGCCCCTCTCAACGTGGGCCGTGTGCCCTCCGCTGCAGCGCACACACGCAGGGGGCAGCGGGGACACCGTGGAGGCAGGCCGTGAGGGCCGCCCCGCTGGGCAGCAGGAGGCTGGAGGCCCCAGGTAAAGGCGCGTCCCATTACCGTGCGTCACGGCCTTCCTGCCGCTGGCCATGACGCCGTCGCAGAGCTGGATGATCTTGGGGATGCCGATGATCTGCTTGGAGTGGTATCGCTCGTACGACAGCAGCACCAGGAAGAAGAAGATGTTCGGGATGATGGCCTCGGACTCCCTGGGGGCAGAGACGCCCGGTGAGACACCCACCCCCCAACCCGGGCGCACAGCCGACCGCACAGCCCGGTGTCCCCCGTGTGGACCGCGAGCTCACACCAGGGCAGGGGCGGGAGCGGGGCGCCCCAGGACGGGAGCGCGACACGGGGTCTCTGCACTGTGTCCCCAACTCCTGTGCGGCCGTGTGGACACGGGAGGGTTTTACTCCCGGCGATGACACGCGCTCCCCGCACGGGAGGGGGCACTGAACCCCTGCCCCCGTCTGGCAAGGAGCCCGTCACTGGCTCTAAGGGGACGAAGAAGCAGCGCTCTGCCGCGCGAGACTTGGTTTCGCACCCAGCGTCAAAACCAGACGCTCGAGGATGGGAACGGAAACTAACGACACGTGTGCGAGCCACACGCAGAGCGGCTTCTACACAAGTCTCCACACGCTCAGCGATTTGCAGAGAAACAGAAACGCACAGTGTTAATCAGATTTCTGATTTAAAGAAACCAGCAGAAACGCCCAACGTTCTTCCAAGGACACGTGTGTCAGCAACCTCAAGTTACACGCACTCGCAGAACGAGGACCAGACACGTGGGGGCCACGGAGGCCATGTTACCTGAACTGGCCGACCTCGATGTACTCGAACTGCTTCAGCACGAAGCCGATGAACACCTGCGGCAGGAGGGCAGGAGGGGCTCCACGTCAGCGATGGAGACACGCCCGCGAGGCCGCCGCTCTCCCTGAACGTCCAACAAGTCTCCTGGCAGCGGACACACTTGTGGCGTACGAGAGCTCAGACACAGTCTACCGGAAAAGGCCGGGATTGTGCCGGAAACCGCTCTAAACATGTTTCCTGCAGACTGCGGTGAGACCTCTTGGAGGAACAAGTAACGAACCCAGGAGACTGTGGGCAGGGCCTGGAGTCCCCGACGTGCGTGCCTGGCTGGAGGAGCCCAACACTGGGGCCGGCGGGGGGCGGGGGGCAAGGGGCGGCCGGGCAGGGTCAGGCCTGCGTCAGAGCCGGCCGAGCCCAGCTCCACTCTGAGCGTGGTCCGTGCGCGCCCACCAGAACAGGGAGCCCCGTGTCCATGCCACACACCCCCAGGCCCCGGCACTGCACCCACACACGCAGCTGCTCAGCCCATCCCCGGACTGAGCTCCGTCACCCCTCGGCTCCAGTTCCCCCTCCTGTTGAGAAAAACCGTCACCGCCCCGACTGCTGCGAACCGGGGAGCCCGGACACCGAGTGACAGAGGCAAATCAGAACCAACGCGGTGTGGGCAGTGCTCCTGGTGAGAGCCCGGCGCTGCCGGGTGGCGGGAGGGCACCTCGCTGTGCTGGCCGAGGCGGGCGGGGCCCCGAGGAGGCAGAGCAGCACGGCCCGGGGGTGCTCGGCTGCCCCCCCAGCACCTGAGAACCAGATGGAGGTTCCAGGGAGACAGAGGGAACTCCAGGAGCTGCCCGGTCTCCACGACAGGTCTGCGTCAGCGTGGGCGCGTGCCCTGCCCCCCGCCCGCGGCCGAGAGCCCAGCAGCCCGGCCCGGGACACGAGGGCATCAGTTCCAGCTGCAGAGTCAACTGGGGGACTGGGAGGCCGGGTGGGTGCGCCCCTTGGACTGGATTGAACCTACGGCCCTGGCTTTCCCTCGGGGGGGCCCCACAGGGCCCGGCCCCCACCCCGCTGCTTTAGACAGCAACTCCCCGCCCCCAGGAAAGGGCACGATGTCCCCAAGTGGCCCCAAAAGCACCTCCTACAAAGGACGAGACGGTGCTCTGCACTGCCACTCCAGTAACTGCGTCAGGAGATGAGGTGTGGACAGGCCGCGGGTGCAAGGCCCTCGCAGCCCCCAGCCTAGGGGACGGCCCCACACTGCGTCTCGGCCACGCTTCCCTGTTCTCCCGAAGATGCAGACCCTTTAAGGCGAGGGTTGGCGCGGACGAGAACCTGGGTCTCGGAGAACTGTGCTATTTCTAACTAACAAACGTCCCGTCTCACAAAGGGACGTGACCAAGAGCACAGCCATCCCTGCCAAACGGGGCGCCCTGAAGTCACTCGGGTCTGCAGTCGCCTCGAGGGCGCAAGTCTGGTTCCTGAGAACTGGCACCGGGGGGTGACACAGCCCCCACGAAGGGCAGGCCTGGGGGCCAAGCCCCGCCTGGCGGGGGGCAGGGCAGGCGCGACCTGCGACCTGCGGGGACGGGACGGGGGGACGGGTGGGCGGCTGTCCCACCAGACCGCACTCCCTCCCGGTCAGAAGCGATCTCACCGCGGACGGCTTTAAACCGAGTGCCTTGACTCACCGACGGTTCAAAGTTAGTCTCTGGGTTTTGTGAAATCGTTCCCCAGACAACAAATCTGAACTACACCTCATGATTTAGGTTCAAGTTTACCCTGGAGCACGGGAGGGCGCGTGGACAAGACGAAGCTCTGGCAGGGTGGAAAGGGTCGAGGGGAGCCCTGACAGCCAGTGCAGGCGGGGGGGCCTGGGGCGGGGGCGCCAGGCCCTCTGCATGACTACACTCTACACGACCAGTCGTGTGGCCGGCCTGAAATCGGCGAGAGGCAGGCGGCCTCAGTGGCGGGCGGGGCGACCGACCTGATCCGAGTCCAGGAGGCAGTAGTTGACCCGCAGCTGCACCAGCTGCGCCAGCAGGTCCAGGACCTGCCTCTGCAGCTGCACGGACGTGGTGGTGGTGTACTGCTTCAGCGCCTTGATGACCAGGGGCTCGAACAGGCGGATGTGGCTGTGGATGGCGTTCTGTGGGGGAGCAGAGAGAGGGTCGGCGAGCGAGTCCTCAGCTGGAGAGCGTCACGTCACGCGGCCACCTGGGGGCGTCCGGCCGACCACACGCAGCGGTCACCCGCCAGCGCTTTACCTTGTCCGCACGGTTCTTGGTGACACTGGTGAGGTTCGTCTTCAGCTGGGTGGACACTTTCTGCAGGACATCAAACCACCTGCGGACGGGGACACGGAGGAGGAGGAGGCCCTTCCACACTCTGCTGCGCGCTCAGCACAGCCGAGCCTCACCCCCACGCGGGCGCCCGCGGGACGGCCGGGCCGTTACCCCGAGGCGTCGTGGTCCTGCTCCGCCTGCACCAGGGTGCGCAGGCTGGCGTCGGCCAGGGCCTGGGTGAAGTGGGTGTACGGGGCCATGAAGCAGTAGTGGTAGAGGCCCGGCCTCGCGCTGGACGAGCCGAGGCGCTGGGCCCGGCCTTGGGACTTGCTGGGGTTGGACGACGAGCCGTCAAACTGGGAGGCCAGGTTCGTCCCAAAGAGCGTCTTCAACAGCTGCAGGGGAAGAGCGAAGCCCCCAGCATGCCACCTGGCGCGGCCCGCGCCCACGCCGCCGACCCCAAGCTGTCCGTCTGAGGGCCGCGCAGGGGGCGCACACACAGACGCGGGCTCTTGGTCCGCGAGCACTGGCACCCGCGCCCGCGGGCGGCGGTTTTCTCCCCAAAGGACCACCCTGGTTCCAGGCTGCTCTGCGGCCCTCGCCAGGACCGCACACTCCAACACCTGGAGGGACGCCGGGGTGCCAGTCACGTAACGGGGGTGCCGCGGGCCTGCAGGACCCCGAGCCCTCCCCGGCGACAGGCCTCCCGTCCCAGGACACACCACCGGCACCGCCCCCGAAAGGACGGGCAGCACAGCGTCACCGAGCCGGGCGGCGGGCCGGAAGGGACGGGCAGCGGCCTCCTCACCTGCTGCACGCACACCGTGGCCATCATCGGCTCCCGGCTGAAGCAGGACTTCAGGTACCCCAGGATCTCCTCGACGCACTGTTGGGGGGGGGGGCAGTGAGACGCTGGAGGGAGTGACTGAGGGGACGTCCTCGGGCTGCGATGCCTGGTCTGAGAGCCCCTGCCCTGCCTGCCAGTGAGAACACCTGTTCGCGCAGCAAGCGCCCGTCGGGGGGCTCAGGCCCCCAGGCCCGACAGCAGGCACTGAGGACATGAAGAAGCAAGAGGAGCGCACAGCCGGCCCGCTGAGAGTGCGGGGGGGGGAGAGAGGACACCCCTGGGACAGGTGCCACCGTGGATTCGGGGTGGCCAGGCAGGTCTCTCCGCGGGCCCGGTGAGAAGACGAGAAAAGAAGAGAAGAAACGCCAACCTTCCCGATGTCCTGCAGCGTGGCCAGCTCCAGGATCTGGGCGAGCACGTCCAAGGCCGAGCGCAGAAAGCCCCCGAACTTCTCCGTGCTGCTCTGCAGGTCCAAGGTGACCTGGGGCGGGGGGGGGGGGGCACCGGGTCACCACACGGCTGCGTGGGGCTGTCTGCAGGGGTGCAGCCCCACACACTCGCCACCGGGGGCGCTCCCGCCGCCTGCCCGTTCGTGGCGCCGGGACACGCGCGGGAAGGAAGGCTGCAGACAGCTGCAGAGAGGCTGCGCCTTCCAGCCGACACCGACTCGGCTGGGGGAGCCCGCCCTAACCTGCCTTCACACGGGGCGGCACGGCACGTGGCCGTCACGGCCAGCGCCCGGGCAGCGGCGTGCCCCAAACACAAAGCACGCGTCCTGCTCCACGTACATGTTATCACACTCAGACCCAGCCTTCCAGTCTGGCCGCAACAAAATACCAGTCTCAGGAAGGATTAAGATTCTAAGGGCCTCAACTGAAATCACGTAGCAGTAACCCCACTGAGTACACAGAGAGAAGGGGCCAGGCCCAGAGACACGTTACGTGGGAACAAGGTCAAGGGGAAGAGACTGTGAGGACGAAAAACCCCGCCCAAGGGCGACAGTGAACAGAGTCGGCCGGGGGAGCGAGACCCGACCCCAGCCTGGAGGCGGAGGCGGGGAAGGGGTGCGGGGGACTGAGCGGTGAGAGGACCCAACGCTGGGGCCACGCCCCTGCCCCCGAGGGGTTTCCGCAGGCCGAGGGGGGCACGGCGGGAGGGGGTCCGCCTGCTGCAGGTGGACCGGGGTGCGCGCGGGGCAAGCAGGGGCGGGCCTGGAGATCCAAGGGCTCGGAGGCCCCGGAAGCTCCGGACTAAACCACGGGGCCCGTGAGGCCCTCGGGCAGGGGCGCGCGGCGACAGGAGCCCCGGGCAGGGGCACGCGGCGACAGGAGCCCCGGGCAGGGGCACGCGGCGACGAGAGCGGCAGCGGCACCTTGTAGTTGGCGTGGGTGGCCTTCAGGACGTCGTGCAGTCTGAGGTAGGAAGGAAGGTGGTAGAAGCTCCCCAGCGACGAGGACTTACTGCTCGCTGTGACGGGCCCCGAGCCTTCGGACTGGCGGGAGGCTACGGACACAGACACACAGACACAGACACGTACACACACGTTTAGATCACAAGCGGCCGAGTTTAAAACCCATCACTGGCAGTAACGGTTCTTACAAGTACTCCAGCAGAATAAAACAAACCTTTTCTGACTTTCACTTAACCAGAAGCAACGAAAACCTGAACCGTCAGCCTAAGTACCACCTGAGTCCCGCCCCCAAACGCCACGACAAGAGCAGGTGCGGCAAGGAAGCGGTGTGGTGCGGTCATACGCCTGCCCCAGTCTGGCGGTCGCCTGCGAACCGGGGCAGCAGTGACTCAGTGGCCTCGGCCAGTCCCACGAGCTCCCGGAGCCCAGGGCTGCCCGGGGCCGGACAGGGCTGACCCCGGCCAGGCCAGGCCACAGCCTCTCCAGCCATCAAACAGGGGTGACACGTGAACACGCTCTGACGACTGTAACGGGACACAGGTCGTCACTGAAGTGGCGTTAGCGTGTGAACGCCCGCACTACATAAAGCTCCTCGAGCTTTCAAGATGCCTGACGTGGCGTCCTCGCCTGTCCACCGCTCAGGAGGGTGGGCAGACAACGCGGCTAACTCTGCACGGGAGAGGTTCACGTGTTCGTTCCCGCGGGGCTGCAGGCCCTCGCCCCTCAGAACCCAGCGCTGTCACCCTCACGCGCAGGCTCTGTCCGCGGGAGGGAAGGGAGGGAGGGCAGTGACCAGCCCCACGCGTGGGGAGAGGCAGCTGGGGCCGCCTGCTCTGCTGGGCCCCCCTCGGGCACAGGCCCCACAGCTGCACCCCCGGAACCTCTGGCCCAGCAGCTCGGAGACGCAGGAGCAGCAGCGACCCGGGCTGCTGTGGCACCCCAAGCCCCTTGCTCAGGTGACTGCACCCCCTGTGCGTCCCACTGGGCGCTCCCCACTGTGCGCTTCCCACTGCCTCCTTCAGACCCTCCCTTGCGGGGACCCCCTTCCCCACGGCCTCCATCCCCAGCCCCGACATCACCTCCCTCACTCAACCCCCGGGCCCCTGCACCCCGCTCTGCGGTGGGGAGCAGGGGGCCCACGGGGAAGGAGGCGGCCAGCGAGGCTCCCTGCTGCGGTCACAGCACCTCAGCGAGTGACCCTCAGAGACGGCCTGTACACACTTGGCCATCAGCACCTCCTCCCCGAAACCACACCTGGGGAGGCCTTTCTCCGGCCCCACGGCCGTGTGTGTGTGTGTGTGTGTGTCTGTGTGTACTTCCAGAAAGCGCCGAGTTACCGCGACAGCCCTGCCCCGCCACCCGCCCCGCCCGGCTCCGCCCTGCCCCCGCTCCCTACCTGGACTGGCCTCGCTGCCCTTCTTGGGGCTCAGGGGCACGGACGCCTGCTCGCCGGGCTCCTTCTCCTTCCCCTTCCGTCGGATGGGGCTCAGGGAAGGGGGGTTCGCGAGGGACGGCAAGGCTGCCTGGAACAGAGGAGGGGGATCTGGGAGTGTGACCAGCGAGGGTGACCAGCGCGGAGACCGAAGTCTACGGCACCTGCTTCCACCGTCTACTGGGGAGAACCACCCCCCGTGCCTCCTCTTCTCTCCGGCCCCCCATCTGCGGAGCCAGGAACCGTCCCAGCTCCGTGCACTGTGGGGGGCTGCCCGGACCCCCCGACAGGGGCGCTGGGAGTGTCAGGGACGGAGGGGCCCTGGAGCCCCAGGCAGGGCACCCCCAGGCGCAGCGACCGGGGTGTCCTGGGGGAGCCACGACACCAACGAGGGCGTGAAGCCACGTCCCAAACTCCGTCATCCAGACGAGGAAACAGCTCAGAGACGAAGAAGCGACTTGTCCGCGGTCAGAGCCGGCGGGCAGCGGAGCTGGAAGCCCGCCGACTGCGGCGGGGGGGCGAGGACAGCAGAGACGGACACCCGGCCCCAGTGCCGCCGCTGGTCCCTCGCTCGCGCCCTCGGCTCTCGGGGACGTCACCTCCCACGTCAGGGCCCGGTGGCCGAGTGGACATCACGGCTGCGGTCGGGGGGCTGGGGACACTCACTTCAGAACAGGCATGTCCACTCAGAGGGGGCAATGTAGAGAAGGCTGGTGGCGGCCTGCAGCTGGGGGGCACAGGCGGGCTGAGGGGTGACCGCTAGGGGATGCCACATCCCTTTCTGGCCCCAGAGCTGCCCGGTGATGGCCGACTGGCCCCGTGGGCGCAGGGCGCCCGAGGGAGCCGTCCGCTTTGACCGGGGTGTGCTGTGGTGGGGGGTTGAGTCCTCACTGCGTCACGTGTCAGTAACGCTGCTCCAAAAATGTACAGCCAGAGGCTGCCACAGTCACCCCGATGAGACTCTCCGTCCGTCCGTCTGGGCCAGCGGAGTGGCCGAGGACAGAGAGACAGCTGGGGCTGTGTGCCGTGTGCATGTGTGTGCATGTATGTCAGCACACGTACACACACACACACACACACACACACGTGTGTACATGGTTGTTGCAAGACACTAGCAGGGAAAACGAAGGACTGGGGGGCCAGGATGCAGAGCGGCGAGGACTCACACGTCTCCGACTCTGCGAGACACGCCGTCAGAGAGGTGGCATGGCGCGGCGCGGCCTGCCCAGGTGGCTGCGAGGCCCAGGCCCCACCGTGTCCGAGCGGGCTGCCGGGCCCCTGGCGGGGAGGCCGCCCAGCGCTGCCCACAGCGGACCGGCGCTCCAAAGACAGGTCTGGGGCCTCTGCGGTTGGGGCGCTGAAGACGCCCGAGCGGGCCTGCCCCCTGGCGCTGCCCCGCCCCGCACGGGAGCCGCCACCTACGGGTGGCCGCCGGAATTTCAGCGCGACGATTAACAGACCGAGGAGCTCGGTCCCCTCTGCAGCTGCACGGCTGCGGGGAAGGCGGACCGGCGGGGCCACCTTGGAGACCAGTGTGGTGCTCCCTCGGAAAGCTAAAAATGGAGCGGCCCCGCGATCCAGCCGCCCCACTTCCGGGCATGGTGCACACAGAGAAACCCAACACCGGTCTGAAAGGGTGCGTGTGCCCGCGCCGACCGCGGCACTGCTCCCGGCAGCCAGGTGTGCCAGCGACCCGCGTGCCCTCCTGGGCAGGAAGCAGGTGAGATGAACACACGCGTGTGAGCGCATCTGACGGAACGCTACTCGGCCGTGAAAAAGAAAGGCGTGTTGCTGTTCACGACACAGACGGGTCAGGAGCAGGGGTCCCCCGAATTCGGGCCACAGACGGCACCGCTCGGGCCCCCTGAGTGGCTGGGCCGCACGGCAGGAGGGGGCTTGGATGTCCCGAGCCTCCGTCCTCCCGAACCACCCCCGCCCGGACCTGCGGAGGGACCCCGTCTGCCACGAAACTGGTCCCTGGTGCCAAGAAGGCTGGGGACCGCTGAGCGACACAGGTCAGACAGATAAGGACAAACACTATGACTTCACTTGTATGGAGAATCCAAGAAAAAGAAACGGAATAAAGGAACACACAGCACAAACCCAGACTCTCAGACACAGAGACGAGCCCAGGGTTGCTGGCGGGGGAGAGGTTAGGCGGCTGGATGGAGGCGGGGGGGTGGGACGGCAGGGTGCAGACTGGCCCCGGGGGAGCAGTCTCGGGGGGCGGGGGGGGCGGGGGTGCTGAGTCAGGGTTACGGCAGGAGCACCTGTGCTCACTGACAGCCCGGGACGCGAGGGAAGCACGGGGAAGCCGGGGCGCGGCGGTCACCTTCGCGGCGGGCCCGGGAGCCACCTCGTCCAGCACGTGCGCACAGATGTTGACCACCTTCAGCAGGTGGGAGAAGAGCTGCTCCACCATGGGCACCAGGCTGCGGTCCCCCAGCGCCGGCCACGCCTCCTCCTGCTTGCCGGCGGCCGGGCCGGCCTCCTCCTCCGTGGCCCAGGAGCTCCTCAGAGACTTGGGGGCGCTGGCTATGAGACAGGCGCGAGAGTCACCTCCCGCCCTGCAGCGCGTGCACAAGGAGCTGCTCAGGAAACGCACGTCCTCCAGCCCCGGCCCCACGGGACACCCCTGCCTGGGCGTTGGCTGAGGCCTCACACTCAGCGGGAACCGGCGTCCTCCCCAACACCGTGGCCCCAGCTTCCGTGACTGCCACCATCACGCAGCCACCCAGGACGCGACGGTCCCCCCCGGGCCCCTTCCTCGCCTTCTCCGCCGAAGCTCGGCTGTGCCCCGGCCGCCGTTCCCCTCCCCCTCCCCCCCGGGTCCCCTGGCAGCGGGGGGCGGAGACCACCTGCCCCGGCGGGTGCCCCACGCAGGCAGCCGCCATCTTGTTCGGCCTCCCCCTCCCTCAAGGACGCCTCCAGCCTCCTGAGCCCCCGCTCCTCCTCCTCCAACACTAACCCGCCCACCGGGCCCGTCCGAGACCTCCAGGACCCGCAGGGGGCGTCCTGCTGACGCAGACGGACCACACCCACACCCCTCGCTGACCGTGGGCCTCTCCCGCCTCGCCGGCCACGCTCTCCGTCCTTGTCCTCGCCCTCGTGTGACACCGAAATGACGTGCAGTTCTCGGATGTCACAGAGTTTTCAGGTCTCCCTGCCCCGCGGGTGCCCTGCCCTCCGCCGGGGGGGCCCTCCCCGCCGGCCCCTAAGGCTCACTCCCGTGCTGCGGGGAGCGAGCCCGGCCCGCGGTGCCCTCAGGTGAGGAGAGAGCTGAGCTGGTCCGCGCCCAGCGGGGGGCCGGCCTGGGAAAGGCCTCCGCTGAACGCGGGACCCGGACCGCCCGCCCGCAGCACAGGTCTCTGCCCCCAGGGAACGCGTGGCCTCCCAGCACCGCCCTGCAGGCGCTCGCCACCCCGCCCCTCCGCGGGTCTACAGGCTCGGGGTCTCCGTTTCAAGGCGCTACCGGTACCTGCAAGCAGGTTTCCAGCCAGGATCAGAGCATCCTGATGGGCCGAGAGGTCCAGCGGGAACCACGCCGACGAGAGCAGGGTGAGCACCGTGGTGACCATGCCGACCGTGCAGCTCTTCCGAGACTCGTCCAAGGCGCCCAGGGGGGGCACTCTGCAAGCAGACACTGGCGCTCAGGCTACAGGACGGCTCTGAGGCGAGCCGTCTGACAAGAGGGGGGATGTCACTGTGCGTTTTACACGGACTCATACAGCGGTTTTACGATTGACCAACAGCTTCCCCGTAAACCCAGCGCCACAAAAATCACCTGAGAGAAATCAGGCAATTGATCTGACTTAAAGGTATTACACCTGTTCATTCTGATGACTCTTTAACTTTCGAGTTAGCACACTTCACTCAATGGCGAGTCGCTCAGAAGCCAGGTGCTGCACCTGTGACCGGGAGCTGCAGGTGCGTGGGGGAGGGAGCATGCGTCCTCAGAGGACACCACTCCAGTCGGGGGATGTGGGCCACGTCGGCACACGCTCCTGGCCACGTGCTCTCACACACACACGACAGGTGCAGACCACATCCCACCCAGCGTGCCTGTCGTCAGCTCCGGCACGCACAGCGAAAGCTGCTCCCTCCTCAATGCCGAGGAGGTCGCGGAGTCACTCCTCGGGTGCCGCTGGCCGCCGGCTGCAGCAGGGCATGCTATGTGAAAACTTTCGCTCCACCTCACGCCTGCGGTCCCTCACGATGTTGTGTAGTGGGTCACGTTTGATCTTAAACAACAGGTATTCCTAAGTTTTTACTTCTAGGGTGAAGCAAGCCAGTTGGAAGTCCTCGGCCGCGCTGGAGAGGGAGCGCTGGGTGCCCGTGAGCTACAGCCAGCTCGGGGTTTCCCCGCAGCGCCCACCCCCGGGCCCCACACGGCTGACTGTGCGGCCCGGAACGAGAAGGAAAACGGGATTCCCGTGAGCGTGTTCGTGCCGCGTGCCTGCAGGCGAGCACGTGCCGAGAAAAGCACTCACCCGCAGTGCCAACCCAGACTCCAGACGCAAACCGGAAAGGCCGTGGAGAGAAGACACAAAGCTTCGCAGCATCCAAACTGCAGAGGAAGAAGCAAGTCACTCCCACGCACCAAAACGCATCCTCGGCCCTGGCTGGCGCGGCTCAGCGGGTTGAGCACTGGTCCCCAGTAGGGGGCACGTAACAGGCCACCCACGTGGATGTTTCTCTCCCCCCCTTTCTCCCTCCCTTCCGCTCTGTAAAAATAAACAAACAAAATTTAAAACAGGAAACTCTGTCAGCATTTCCGGTTTTCACTCCTTAGCACACACTAGTCCTGAGACGGTTTAAACGTCCGGTCGGACCCCGTCAGACCGCCAGCCTCCACGCTCTCTCTCGCGTCTCCTGTGTCGGCGGCTCCCGTCACGAGGAGCCTGCGTTGCTCTAACCGAGGGAGGAGAGAGCCACCCGCACCCCTCCCGGAGCAGACCAGGCCTCGGTCCGCGGGGGGCACAGCTCCTCGGCGCCCCGCCGCGGAGACCCACCGTGAGCGCGCGCGTGGTGGCCGTGACCAGCTGCTGCGACACGGCGGCGACGACTCTGGACAGGTTGTTCTCCAGGGTGACGTCCGTCATGCTCGGCAGCAGGCTGTAGCCTCTGTACATCCTGGTGCGGAAAACACGGACACTCAGAGTCTGCTGCCGGGGCTCAGGGCGTTCCCCAGTCCAGACGGCATTGAGAAGTTTCAGACCACGGGCTACAGGAAGCTGAGGGAGTCCTGGCTTCCAAGTGGAAGACCGCACGGAAACTGGTCATTCCTCCAAGGCCCCCGACCTGGGGCTGCAGAGGCCACTGGCAGCAGGGCCCGAGGCCCGAGCTCTGCCTCCCGTCTCCCACTCCCCGCCCTGGACCTCGGACAGCCGCCTTCCGCAGAGCCAGGCCCTGGGCCGGGAGGGCTGGGCCCGCTGCGCGGGGACAGAACCGGCCGCGGTCGCCCTCCCTCCTCCAGGCAGTGCGCTTCTCCCGGCGCCTCCCTGCCAGCCCTCCAGCGCCCGGAGCCACCCAGGTACAGACGTCCGTCGTGGAGCCCCTCCTGGTTCCAACCAAAGGAAACCCCTCCCCCAGGGCTGCCGGCCCACCCCTCGGGCCGTTCGAGGCCTGCGGCCCGGCGCCCTCCTCGCAGCCCCACAGACCCCAACTCTCTGACTCGGTGAGGGAGCCCACCAGGCCGGTGCTGGGGCGCATTCTCGGACCCTCGGACCGGCCCGTGTCCTGCCCACGGCCGCGCTCCATGACAGAGCAAGGGGCTGCGGGCACCTGCTCGCGCGGAGCCTAAACCAGCGGGGGGAGGGGCGGGGGGGTCAGCCGGACGTCGGGAGGCCGGCCTGTGCTGGGGACTGGGGGTTTCTCAGAGTCGCGGTTCGGAGCCGACGGGAAGGAAGTACCACACACGTCTCTGGCGGGACCGAACTCGCGTCTCCTGAACCGGCGTTCGGAAACAGCGGCTTCCCCCGCGCTCACCGCGCCTAACAACGGCGCGCTCCGGCGCGGCTCCCGCTCATCCTAGGGGCGCACTCAGCCCGAGTCCGCCCGAGAGCGAGGGCGCCAGCTCTGAGGTCAACGAGAGGGTGCTCCTCTCTGGGAGAAGCTGCCTCCCGCGTGCACCTCAGCAGCTGCTACACGAGGGAGGAAGTCTGACTGGGGGGCGACCACCTCAAACCCAACAAGCCGAGTTCCAGCTCAGAACAGAGGCGTCGTCGCGTGAACCTTCAGCTGAGATGCCACCTAGCCCGAGTTTTTAACAAGAACTGCCGCTCAGCAAAAGCATTATCCTGTAGAACTGATTTTTCAAACAGCACTTCAGACGCAGAGAGCTAAGACAGCGCGGTCTTCTCCCTTCCGCAGTCTCCCTCGCGAGGTCACGTTCTGAAGAAGGGGGTGGTGACCCACGAAAGCGTCTCTGCCCGAGTCACTCCGGCCGCTCGGCTGCTCGCCTGGGCGCCAGACCAGGGCGGCGCTCGGCCACCCGGAGCTGCGCTGGGGCTGCTCCCAGCGAGCGGGGGCCCCGTGACCCGATGCTCTTGAAGAGCCCGCTCACCTAGAAACCAACCGGCACAGCGTGACCGGACGCGCCACAGGCACCACAGGTGGAAGGGAGAGGCGGAACAGGCGAGTTTTCAGGAAGGACCGCACGGGGTCGCACAGAGAAACACGCTCGCCGGGCCGCGGCGGCGGGGCTGGGCGGATGTGTGTGCAGAGGTGGGCGGGGCGCTGAACCCCGGAACAGAGGCACGCCCCACCACAGACGACCGCCTGCCTGGGCCCCCTTGCCTGGAGGGTTCCCCCAGGAAGGAAGCCAGGCGCCCGGGAGAGGGCGCGCTGCCCGACGCAGCCGGCCTACCTGGTGATGGTGCTGACGGAGAAGTGCGAGGCGGGCTGCGCCTCGTGCATGAGCAGCTTCAGGTGGACGCTGCTCTGGTCTCTGGCCACGGCCACGACGGGGTCGGCCTGCCCCTGGTCGCACTTGTAGAACAGCTTCGGGACGAGCCTGCCGCAGAAGGAAGGGCTGTCTGCGTGAGGAGGCGCGGCATCTCCCCTGGGGTCACCGCCCTCTCTGTCCCGGCCGTGGGCCCCCGGCACCGGCTGCCCACCCGAGGCCGCCCCCCTTCCCCAGGTGTGGCGCTCCGCAGGCCGAGAGGGTGGGGGCTCTGGTCCCAGGGCCACTCGCCCGCTCGGAAGGAACTGGGGGCCGCACGTTCTCTTTGCCTGTCGTCAAGCGAGGTGCCTTTCTCTGCACACCCTCAACACCCCGATGGAAACACCCCCTCGGACCCCGGCCTCGAGGCTCAGCCGGCCGGGGCGTCGTCCTGGGGACCAAGGGGCTGCGGGTCCGACCCCTGGGCAGAGCGCACACGAGAAGGCAACCGATCGATGTTTCTCTCCTGCTCTTCCCCCCTCCCTTCCCCTCTCTATAAAAATGAACATAAATCTTAAAAAAAAAAAAAGACAAAAAACACAAAGCCAATTTCTGCCTGAACGAGTGGCACGCCGTTAAGGTCCCCTGAAGCGCCCTGCGTGGCGAGCAGGGTCGGCCCCGGCCTCAGCCCCAGGCTGGCGGGGGCGTGTTTCAGGACAGCCGCACCACGGCGGGCGCCAAAGCCCCGACAGGGCCGCTCCTGAGGGTCTGCACGTCCACGCAGGGGCTTGTGGGCCCACAGCCACAGTCGCCGGGGAGCAGGAATGGCAGCCACTGTCCTCTGGGGAACGAGGGGACAGAAGGAGCCACGCAACGGAGCCCTCCTCCACGACGGAGCGCACATCTGGACTCCTGGCGCCCCTGCCGCTCCCGCGTGCTGGCCCCCAGACCCTCGGGGGAAGCCAGGGCAAAGGCCCGCTCCTGCAGAGACCCGCTTAGAGGAGACATCCACCGGGAGCGGCGGGGGGGGTTCCCAGCTGCCGGGGCTGCGGTGGGAACAGGGGGCTTGTGACAAGGCACAGGGGCCCTCTGTGGGGGGACGGGAAGGGTCTAGAACGGGGCTGTGGTGATGCCCACACAGTCTGCAAATGCACTGAGGATCATTTAATTGTCCACTGAAGATGTGTGCATTTTAAGGGATGTAAATTATACCTCCAAAAAAGCTCTTAAAATATTTTACAGATTTCACTTATTTTTAGACAGAGGGGAAGGGACACAGAAGGAAAGGGAGAGACACATCAGTGTGTGGTTGCCTCTTGCACACCCCCCACTGGGGACCTGGCCCACAACCCAGGCCTGTGCCCTGACCAGGAATCGAACCGGCAACTCTCTGGTTCACAGGTGCCATGGCACTCAATCCACTGAGCTCCATCAGCCAGGGCCCTTAAATTTTTTTTTAAAAATCAAAAAGGTTGCCTTAGTAACTCAACTTCCAAAAAGGAATGTAAAGAAAAACAAAAAAGTCACACGTAACAACATTTTTACGTAGAAATCAACGTGTAACAAGGCTGACTGGAGCATTGCTCATGAGTTAAGTCAAAGACAACTGTAACATCCAAGTGACACTGACACGGAAGCTCATCACAACCCCCCAGTAAAAACGGCTCTGGTCAGAACGCCCTTCCAGAAGAGCGTCGGGTCCCAAGAGGACTCGGTCACGAACTGGAGGTGACCAGACCACAAAGCCGTGCGTGTGTTCTGTCGGAACTGGGAACGGCCACTGGTGGACGGGACACGCAGCACAGCAGCCACAGCTGCCCCCACCTCCAGGTGGGGCGGAGGGCCACCGGGACTCCCTTCTCAGTGCCACTCTGCAGGGCCGGTCCCCGAGCAGACGCCCACGACAGGCGGCCGGGCCCTGTGCGGCCCCATTCGGGCCCTCGCGTGCCAGGGGAGCAGCAGCCGGAAGTGCCGCCCTACAGCCTCTGGCCGTCCTCACAGCTCTTAGCGCTTCACGCAAAACCAGTGGCTGAGGAGAGACTCTGGGCAAATACCTTATCAGGGACGCGGCGGCGACGTGCCGCACCCTGGGGTCCTCGTCCCCGAGCAGGTAGATGACCACGTTATTGAGCACCCGGTCTTGCAGCTTCAGAAGCTTTGGAGAGAAGAAAGAGACACCACCTCTGTGTGCAGCTAAACTCCCGGTGAGGTGGTAAGTTCACCGGTCGTGAGTTCACACCACACGACCCCAACTTGCACGCTTCATCGGGAATGGGTCTCGGCAGCGTGCGTTCCACAAGACCCCCCCCCCGGGGACAGAGTGGCCACCACCGCGGGGCTTACCCCTGTGTAATGGTGCGCCCCTCTGTGCAGGCGTTCGGCCTTGGCTTCCAGAAAGCTCACCAGCCTGACAAGAGAACACATTTCCCCACGAGACGGTTCACTGCCCCACAGGCACCTCCGCCGGCCGGCAGGACAAGGACAGACAAACCACCGGGGCAGGCTGGTCCGCGGCCAGGGCCGCCCGGGGTGAGCACTGACTTAAAGGGGTGGGAGAACTGCTGTGCTCCGGCAGGGGTTTGCACCCTCCCGTGGTCTCAGACTCTGTCAGTCAGGGGCACTGAGAAAACCACTTCTCTCCGAAGTAAATACAAACGTGTACTATTTGGAAAGGCTCCAAGTGCCCTGAGAATCGGCCCAAACACGCAGGCAGAAGGCAGGGCAGCTGCGGGCAGAAGGCCGCACCTCCCCGGCCCGCTGGTTGCAGCCCGGGAGGTGCTCACCCCACGTCCCGAGTCCCGCCTGGGGGTGCAGGTGAACAGCCCCGGATACTCACTCGGAGATGTTCTGAGGGTACGAGCAAGCCCCGGCACACGGCCGGCCTCAACACACACCCTTACGAACCCTGAGTGGGGGGGGACTGAGGGAAAACCACTCAGCCCGGGACTCACGCCGGGACGACGGGGAGCACAGCACACCCACGGCCGGTCTGCACGGCGACCGGGCACAGGCCGGCTCTCTGGCCGCGTCCAGCATGGCCGCCGGCACACCCTCCGTTCACGGAGGCAGACTCGAGGCGGGCCACAGACATCGGGGCTCAGCACCCCCCATCGCCGCTGCCCAGAGCGCCGCCCGGCTAAGCCCACCAGAACGACACCCCCTCTGCCGCCCGGAAGACCTCCCGAGAGGGGGGCTAGGAAAGCTCTCTCGGCGACGAAGCCGCCAGGTGTCCGCCGCACGGGGGATCTGGCCACACTCGCGCCTGGGGAGCCCTGGTGACCACCGCCGGCGCGCAAAGCTGGGGCACGCACCTGAAGTCGACCTCGGCGAGCGTCTCCAGCAGCTCCGTGCGCACCAGCCAGTAGGAGCTGCTCCGCAGGCTCAGCACGTCGGTGATCAGCTGCAGCCCCAGGTCGCTGTAGCTGCTGCTGCACAGGCTCATGACGCAGTGCTGGGGAGAAAGCCGCCGCCTTGGCACCCCCACGCCTGCCCGCTCTCCCCGTCTCAGCGGCACTGGCCGTGCGAGCCCTCCCTCAGAAAACTCTAGTCCGAGGCGTGTCCCTGTCACTTCACGTCATCTCCTCCTCCCACGTCCACCGTGGCCCTGGTCTCTGCCCCGAGACACCCGCCTCACGAGCGTCTGTCAGCACTGAGGAGGGGGACCAGGCCACACCACCCGCCCCTTCTGAAGCAGGCTCAGTGCCAGGGTGAAGGACGGGGCTCCAGGGGCGGCACGGTGCCCGGCGCCCCCAGCACTCCCGCCAGCCCCTGCGCACACAGGCCGGCACGGGGCCTGCTGCCTGCGCTCGACCAGGACTCGGCAAGTGCTGGGGGCAAGGGCACAGCTCCGGCCAGGCCACGACATTTTAAAAAGGGAAAGGATCCTAGAAATGGACGATTACAGGCTTTTGTGGGGATTTTTTTTTAAATCTTTATCGGTTACGTTTTCCTGATGACGACCGGCCAGGGGGACCTACGGCCCGGGTGGCACAGAGGCTGGACCCGCACCATGCGAAGGTCAGGGGGCCCCGCCACTGGCCCGAGCGGAGGCGGCGAGTCCCCTCTGGGCCGCACGCTCTCAGCCTCTCACGGCTTGATGCAGTCGCTTTAACTCAACGAGTGTGACACTTGCTGTTGGAGCAAGGTCTGTTTCTAAACACACCCTTTAGGGAAAGGGGTGTTTCCAACAGCCACTCTGAGAATCAACACGTAAACAGGAGTCCACGAAACCTTCACTCTCTGGCGACGGTTTCCTCCCGAAGCTGCGTGGCGGACACGCGGCTGTCTGTCTGCGGCTGCTCACAGCCTCGGGACGCGTCGACCACGACCGCGGAAACGTCCCCCGCGCTCGGGGCAGTGCGCCCCGCGGTGCTCACCCGCACGGCCGTGCACGCCAGCTTGCAAGTGACAGAGGACTCGTCCTTCAAGGCCTTCTGCAGCAGAGGGACGCCGTCCGCCGGAGAAAACGTGCTCCCTGGCCGGAAGAGCGAGAGCACACGCCTTCACGCCCACGTGGACTCGGCAGGGCCGCCCAGCGAGCGCTCCGGTTCTCCAGACCCGCCCTCACCTGTCAGGGTCCGGACGGAGCCTAGCCAGCCGCCCACGCGGAAGCGGGAGCGGCCGAGGACGGAGCACAGGAGCGCCCCGCAGAGCACGGCCGTGGCCCCTCGGACCTGCGGGTCCCCGTGCGCGATGTAGTTCACGACGTCTGAGACGCACTGCTCTCCTGAGGCGACAAACGGCCCGGGTGCTGAGGAAGGTCCCCCTGCAGCTCCTAACTCACAGGGAGAGCTCCCTTCCCGGGACAAGGGGAGGGGCGGGGTGGCCCAGACCCAGACGAGACCTGGCTGGAGTCACCGGCAGCCGGGAGGTGGGCAGGGGCTGTGCGACTCTGGGTTCAGGCACCCCTGGGGTCACTGACACAACAGGCTGTACTCCAGGGTGTCAGCAATCAGCAAAATGCCCATTTTTAACTTCAAAAACGACTGGAAACCCTCAAGCAAGCCCACATTTACCCACACAAACACAGCAGCACAGATCTGGCCCTCGCCCAAAGACGGGGCGGGGGGCGGGGGGAGGACCCCAGAAACACAGCTCCTCCCACCGCTGAGCCGCCTCTGCAAGGAGGCGCGTCCCCAAGGGCGTGAGAAGGGGACCAGCCGGCTGTGGCCTCGGCCACTCGCAGGCCCCCCACGTCCCCAAGCGGGAGTGTCTGGCCTGACTCGGCGGGACTGCGGCATAAACTTTCATCACACACACGTGTGCTTGTGGTAGACACCGTCGTGCGGTCAGCTGGACCTGTGTCCCAAAACCCTGCTGCTGCCGCGTGCGCGCCGGCGAAGCACGCGTGGGCAGGCGCCCGCGCGGCCCTGCAGCCTGGCGGGCGGGCGCAGACCGCTCGGCGAGGAGACCGAGCGCAGGAGTGCGCGCCGCGCCCTCGCGTACCAGCGAGCTCCGCGGCGGCGGGAGGGGCCCTGTACAGCTTGCTGAAGAACGCCTCGGGGTAGAGGGCCACGGCGGCCCCGACGCAGCTGAGCGCCAAGGCCTTCACGCTGACCCGCACGTCCCGATCCGGAACCAGCGCTGCAACGAGAGACCAGGCAGGGCGCCGTCGGCGTCAGGGCTGCAGGCGTCCGACTCCCGCATGAGCCGGACCCACAGCAGCGGCCGCCCCGCCGCGCCCTCGCTCCCCCCCTCCCCGCCCCCGGCAGTCAGGGGAGCCCCCCGCTCCCCGCTCGCGCTCAACCCCACTCAGCGCCCTCAGCTGCAGGAACCGGGCACAGGGCTGGCCACGGGCCGACTCTGAAAGCCGGCGGCTCCTTCAGCCGGGCCCCGCCCTCCCACACTTACCATTTTTTTCCCCAGTCAGCAGAAACGACGCGGATAAAAGGCGGACGCAATGGACGAGGGGAGCCGAATCTTCGTCTGTAGACTGTCCGATGTCACCTTTGACCCGGCAAGGCTGGAGCAGAGGAACGCACGCTCGCCCCATGAGCTCGCTCCACGGAGTGCTCCCGGCAGCCACGGGGCCGCGCGCTGGGGCACCCAGACGCCACCCCTCTGCCCGTGGGCAGGCGCGCCCGCCCTCAAGGACCACACTGGGGCAGGCTGACGTGGGGAGAGGCGGTTTCAGCCCCAGGCCTGCGGGCTGCGGCCGGGTGAGCTGGGCGTGCGGGGAGGGCACACCGGAGGGGGCGCTGCTGGGAAGTGCAGTGCGAGCCCCCGACGAGGGGACAGGTGAACTGGAGCTGGGGAAGGCCCAGCTCGGAGAGGGCGGCGGGCTGGTGCTCGGGGACCTGAGAGCAACACCTGTGTGGGACTGACTGCCACACGCCAGTTCTCGCCCTAACCTGCGGGACAGTCGGTCCCTGAAACGTGGAGTCACCGTGTGAGCCAGCCACCCCACCTCAGGGACGGGAACCAGGGCCTCTGCACACCCCCGCCCACAGCACATTATCCGCCAGAGCCCAAGAGCGGAAGTCACTCAGGCACCCGCCAGTGGGCGAGAAACAAAACGAGGTGTGTGCAAGCAGTGGGACACTGCTCAGCCTGCAGAAGGAAGGAGTCCTGGCGCCTGCTGCAGCGTGGGTGGCCCCCGGGGACGGCACGCCGAGTGAGATGAGCCAGTCACACGGAAAGACAAGCACCACGTGATTCTCCCACCTGAGGCCCCGGCAGTGAAGCCCAGAGGCAGAACGGAGTGGCGGGGCTGGCGGTCGGGGGCGGGGGTTTCGGTTAACGGGGACAGAGTTCCAGTTTGGGGAGATGAGAAACTTCTGGAGATGGATGCAACGGTGTCACAACAACGTGAGTGCGCTTCAAGCCACTGAACTGGCAGATTTCGTGTTACGTGCATTTCACCACAAACAAACCAACTCCACGGACCACAAACAAGAAATGCCGCAGAGCCACGCAGACTCTCGGACGAACAACCCGAGAGACCAGGCAGGGCAGATGGTGTGCCTGGGGGGTTCTCGAGGACTGGGCGGGGCCTGCAGGGGCGGAGCAGAGTCCTGGTCCCGGGACAGGCCAGTGGGCACGGGACAGAGGGGGCACCGCCCAGCACCGGAGAGCCGGACGCCCAGGCGCACACGGCCCAGAGCACACGGCCCGGAATGACCCGAGACCCTCGGGAGCCCAGAGCAGAGCGCCGCAGGGCCTGAACCCCCCCGCACCTTGTCCTCCTGATCCCCCGGGTCAGCGGTTTCGTCCCTGGACACAAATCTATCCACGCTGCTGTCGGACGGCTGCCTGCTGTGGCCCACGCTCTCCAACACACGCGCTTGCTGAAGGGCGTCTGGAAACGGAGGATCTGGGGCTGAGCGACAAGTTCCCAGTAAAACACAAACACAGACGTTTGCACAGACGACGTAAAAGGAGGAGTGAGACCAAGAGGTCGGTCATCCCTCAGACAGTCTCCACGTGTACCCCCCAGAGAACAGAGACATCACGACGTCTTCCGGAAGCCAGGGCAGGCCCCAGGCGCCCGGGGGACGCGGGGGCCCACGGGCGGCACATCGGCCGAGCCAGCCTACCGACGGAGGAGTGTGGGAAGGCGTCCGCGTCCTCGTCCGCCAGGAGGCCCGGGGGCTCCTCCTCCTCCTCCTCCTCCCCGTCCTGCGGAGGGCCGAGCTGCAGCCCCGAGTACTGGCCGTCAGCGCCGTCCAGCACCTGCAGGCGCAGAGGGGCAGTGAGGGCGCACAAGTGCCACCCCCAGGGCGAGTGCCCCGGGCCGGGGCGGACCACACGGCTCACACCCCGCACAGGGACCCCTGGTCGCACGCACACAGGCACATGTGCGTGTCATGAGTTTCCCTCCAGCTGACCACCACCTCGCAGAAGGCTTTAACCCTGACAACCCCAAAACATTTCCAGTCTGGGAATTTCTCTCTTTGGTGAATTATTTTTAAAACCTAGACAGAATCGCTGTCTTCAGAAGGGAGTTTTACAGTACGTCAGAAACGAGGGGACATCTTCAGACGAAACCTCGTGACACAACAGGGCACCTCCTGAGGTGCCAGGACCGAACCGGCCAGGTGCTGGACACGGCGTGTCGCGCGTGCAGCCGTCAGCTGGGCCGCAGCCCTGCCCCGCGAGACGCCTCGCGTCTGCCTGAACCCCGCGCGGCCGACCTGAGGCCCTGAGTGGCGAGCCCCCGACACACAAGCAAACGTTAACTGAATTCGTTCTTTAAAGAGCAATCCAAACCCTTCCAACTCGAGTTTTAAAAATCAAACTACATAATTAAAAACAACCAGAAAAAACTATAGCCTTCACTCTTCATCCTCCAGGTTAGTTTACCAAAAACGAGACCAACCCCTGTTAGAAAGAGAAGCCCGCCACAGTGGAGGGCGCGCCCCGATCGCCTTGTGCACGCCAGGCCTCCGCACGTCCTCGTCTGCTCCAGGCTGCGTGGCCAACAGGCAGAGCCCCGACCCTCCCCCAGGCGGGGGCCCCGAGCCAACCCCCGACCCCACCCTGGGTGGGGAGCTGGCTCGTGAGGACATTTCCTGCCTCTTTCCCCTGGCTTATTTTTCTCGGTGGTGCTTACAGTCGTCTGACTATGTGCTTCCTTGTTGGTGGACGACTGGCCTCTTCCCTGCCACACACACAATGCAGAGCGGGGGGGCAAGCCTGCCCCCCCCCCCGCCCCCCGGCTTGCCAACCACGCTCTGCTGGAGCGCGGTCATGCTCGTTTGCCTACGGCTTGCCCCACACTGACTCGGGTCGGAGGTGCTCGAATCCACGCTCTGCTGAGATGGAGTATGCTGAGAATGCTTTTAGGAAAGTGGAAAAGTGTTAAAGTAACGCATAGTGTTAATGTTATTAATTGCATCACATTAAGCCCACGGATCTGTTAATAATAAGTTCCTTACAAATTTTTTAAAATAATGGTTTTCACCTCTGCCCAACTAGTTCTTGAAGAATTTAAAATGCGGCCCTGGCTGGTGTGGCTCAGAGAATTGGGTGCCGGCCTGCGAACCAAAGGATCGCCAGTTCGATTCCCAGGCGGGTCGCATGCCTGGGTTGGAGGCCAGGTCAGGTCCCCAGTGGGGGGCGTGTGAGGAGCAACCACACACTGTTGTCTCTCTCCCTCTCTTTCTCCTTCTTTCCCCTCTCTCTAAAAATAAATAAGGTTCAAAAAGGCACTGGCTGGTGTGGCTCAGGAGACTGAGCACGGGCCTGAGAATCAAAATGTCGCCAGTTCGATGCCCAGTCAGGGCACATGCCTGGCCTGCGGGTTAGGTCCCCAGCTGTGGGTGTACGAGAGGCAACCATCAATGCACCTCGCACACCGATGCTTCTTTCCCTTGTACTCCTCAACTGTTTACTTATCAAGAGAAGCTTTTCCTTAGCGCACGTACACGCGTGTTTCCCAGCTCAGGAACACGGGCCAAGGACAGCCTTGCACGGAGCCCGCTCCAGAGCGTCTCCGCATCCCGAACGCACTCTGCACCGTCAGAGGCACCAGCCTTCCGCGTCTCCTCAGAGCTTCTCCTGGAGCCCGCGTTTCCGTAGAAACCTGCCTAGGCCCTCCTTCATTCTCCAGCAACACCGCACCCACAGGGCGCGGCAGCCCCCACGGACACAAGGGCGGCATCCAACAAGACGGCACCCGGTGCTCCAACAAGACGAATCGCAGACGCCCGGCCAGAAGGCCAAGGGTCCGAGGATTCGGCGGAACACTGGATGTCATGGTCGTCGTATTCTCAACACCCACGTCCTTCCCGATGGAGACGCGGGCCCCAACTTTCTTTCTCGCCCTCCTTCCCTCTCCACTCCCCTCTAACAACAAAAACACAAAACCTTCATTAAAAAAGAATGCGAAATGCTCTCCACCTTGGCCGACTCCGTGTCACCCACTGATCTAGTTTCTGGCCTCACCGCTCCCTGGGGTGAAGGGCTCCGACGGGGTCAAGAGCTGGGCTGGGCCTCGGGGTCAGACGGGGGCCTCTGGGAAAGACCCCCCCTGCAGAGGCCAGGGCACACCCCCCCACACACACTCACGATCTCGGAGCTGTCCGAAGGGGTCACGGCCGAATCGGGGCCCTCGGTAGAGGTCTGGGAGCTGTCGCTGACGGGAGAGGAGGCCTGCGTCCCGTCATTCAGGTCCACGGCCGCGTCGGACGGGACGGCGCTGATCCGGCTGGAGCTGCGGCTCAGCACGTCCTCCTCGTCCCCGTCGGTGCCGGCGCTCGTCAGGTCGCAGCCGGCCAGGTCCACGGCGTCCGGCTGCAGCGTGTGCTGGGCCCGGGGCTGCTCGGTGATGATGTCGTGATCCGTGGAGGCAGCGACTGTGCTGGCAGAGCCGGGAGTGGAGGCCCCGGGAGAGGCAGCCAGCTCCCCACAGATCTCGCCCTTGACTGAGGCTGAAGACAGAGAGAAACTCGGTCCTCAAAGGGCCGGGAGACACATTTGACAACGACAAAATGTTTGCCAAGTGCCCTGAAATTCCCTGTCACTGTTTTCGTGGCAGAACTCCTGGACCGCAGCGCAAACACGAACGACTGCATCTCAAAAGCAAGGCGACAGCGCACCCTTCCAACACGACCAAAACCGCTCCCCCCTGTGCTGCGTAGCTGCCTTCCACCCCACGGCTCCGCTGCGTCAGCAAGGTGAGGGGCAGCAGCAGGCACCGGTCACGGTCTACTGGCCACAAGCCCAAACCGGGCCCAGACGCAGCGCCCCTCCCAGGCCTCTGCGGCTGCTGCAGCCTCCGCCCCGGGCCGCATGGCCAGACCGGCAGCTCGCGGGCAGGGCCCGGAGCTGCGACCACGCGCGCCTGGTGCTCTGGGCAAGCCGTGCGCAGAGGTCACCACCACTCCGAGGAGGGTTCTCCTTCTTCCCGGGCCCTATTCAAGACCCCTAAGCTGGTCTTCGTCTCCTGAAGCACAAACTTGCACATTTTCTTCATGTGGTTTTTAAATCCCCATTAAAACAAACACTACATATAAAACCACTACAAAAAGATCCGTGAACCCTGTCCAGAAAAAGTCCATCCATTGTTAACACAATGAGAATGATTTACGTGACATGGATGTCACCTGGCAGCCAAGGAGAGGGGACTGGAATGTGCATGTGAGAACAATGACGACTTCACTGTACTCGTCAGTGGGGGCAGTAGATGACATTGAATGCACATGTGCACTGTGTGGCTGTCACATTCTAAACAACTGAGCAAGTAGAGCAATGAATCTGCATTAAATTCTGCATTAAGCCTGAACATTCCTCCACAGAAACTACGCAGATGACTCAGAAGGCCGTAGCTATGGGCAACTGGTGATTGGCAGCTTCATCATGACAACACGCCTGCTCATGTATTTCGTCTCGTGCAGAGTTTTTTGGTGAAACATCAAATCTCCCAGGTGACTCAGCCCTCCTACAGCCCAGATTTGGTGCCCTGGGACTTCTGGCTTTTCCCAAAACTACAATCACCTTTGAGAGGGAGGAGATTTCAGAACATCGATGAGATTCAGGAAAATACAACGGGGCAGCTGATGGTAAATGGAGGAACTGTGTGAGGTCCCGAGGTGCCTGCTCTGAAGGGGCCTGAGGAGTCATTGTCCTGCGTACAGTGTTTACTGGGGCTTACATCTTCTCCAGTAAACACCTCCCCTTTTCGCAGTGCGTGGCTGGACGCCTTCTGGACAGCCCGCGTGTGCCCAGCTGTCAGCAGGGGCCACCCCTGGAAGCCCCTGGGCTGGAGAGCACTTGAGGTTTATTCCTGTAGCTGTAACTTTGCTATTCTAACTTTACTCTTGTCGTTAGCAGACCAATTTCCACTGTGTAAAATGGAGGAAGCACATCGTCACCACTGGGATCACTCAGATCTTCCTCCCTAGATGAGCCGTTCTTTCAGACAGGAAGGACTCCACGCCCGAACCGCTCTCACCGCGTCGGCGCTCCTCCGCCGGGCGAGCGAGGGGCCACCGGCAGGGCCCCGCCCGGGTGCCCCGCCCACGGGCAGCGCGGAGCCCCGCCGCCCCTCGGCCGTGCAGTCCCCACTCACCCACCGGCCCCCGCCCAGACAGACATGTGCCTGCGGAGCACAGCCTGACCCAAGGGGACGAGCGGGCACCGAAGGCCAGAAAACACCCACGCGCCTCGGAGCGAGCGTCTCAGAGAAGCCGGCATTCGCCCCCACCCCCCGCCCCCGAGCGGCCGGCCTCCCCCCGGAGCGCTACCTGCGAAGGCCGGGCTGCTGCCCTCCGGCCGCGGCTCGGGCTCGTCCTCCAGGGCGGCCGCCTCCCCGAAGCGCTCCGTCCCTGAAACGGTGCAGCAGGGCTCGTTCAGGCCGACGGGAGGGGCCGACGGGAGGGGCCACCCACGCAAACACGCGGCCCCCGTGGACAGTCCCCCCCCACACACACCGCGTTCACCCCGTCCACGGTCTGCCTCACGGCAGAGTTTCCGCACTCGGGAGCGCCGAGCACAGGCGGCACGGAGGTGTCGCGGGGCAGGACCGCAGCCAGGGCGCCCGCCGGGGAAAGCCCACGGCCACGGTTCCCCAACGGCACCGCGAAGGACTCCAGCGAGCAGCAACCATTTGTTGGCGTAGGTTACTGCTAACGTTAAACAGTTTATATTCCTTTTCCATCTTTTTAACTGGTACATTCAGGCGGGAACCATTTCTGCTAGCCCTGGGAGATTCGTGCCAGAGCTCCAGGGGCACACCAGAGTTTATATGTAAAACATTTATACCTAAAGGTCACTTTCATCATCTTTTAGTTTGCTGGACGGTGGGGTTAACCATCAGAACTCAAGCACTGTATGATCTGAGAAGTTAGAATAATGTTCCATCTTTTGCAAAGTTCAAAAATACATGTTACAGTTTATGGTTTCCAAACTATGTTAATAAGGAAAAAATACAAAAGTCCTAACACAACTGAACTGGGCTCATTAAATCACATGGTTACATAACACATGCACGTCATTAAATGACAACAACAAGGTAATTCTGGGCAACCTCCCATCTGTAATTTCACTGATCTTCAGAAACCAGATCACAGAGGTGACAACATCCAGAAACCCACACTGGTGTGACACTAAAGGCAAAGTAAAAAAAAAGCAAAAGCAAAGGAACCCAAAACCTCAGATGACACGGACTCAGCTTGCCCACTAAACAGGAGGGTCGGTCCCTCGCTGCCCAGCAAGCACTGTCCCCGGGAAAGCCCGTCACACCCCGCCCCGGGCGCCCGCTGCTGAGGACGCAGTCCGTCCCCGGGACCAGGGGTTTGCGCATCTGCCGCGGGCGGCCCCCGCCCACCTCATCCCACAGCCCACAGCGACTCCGCCCTTCTCTCTCGCAGAGTGGCAGACTTCCGTTGAAAAACAGATTTGAGGGGACAACACAAAAGTTTATAACCAGAGCCTAAAGGAAAAGACGAAACGAAACAAACAACGCCGGGAAAGTAAAGACGAGAGGGCCGACACATCCCGCGGTGCAGCCAGAAGAAAACAAAGCGAGCCCTGCCAGTCACGGGGCGCGGCCGTCCCCTCGTCCTCGCTGGGGAGGGCGGCCGAGAGACGAGCACGACATCGGAGCGCCGCGCCGCAGGCCCGGAAAGCTCCGAGCACAAGCTCAGGAGACTGACTTTCTGAGGGCCCTTGGGCTCGCACACAGTCTCAGCATCTCTGTCTGTGTCTGTGGGGCCCCTCACCGTGACGGCCCCAAGGGCACTACTTCCCGCTCCCAGGAAATGTTCACTGACTCACGGCGGCCACAGAGCCACTCCTGTTACCACCACATGCGATGCTGCAAATATTAGGCACCAGGCCCCCAAGGACACCCCTGACTGGAGGCTCAGAAAAGGTTAGTTAGCATGCCGTGTGTCAATTACCCTGCAACTAAAAACAAGGACGTCTTTCTAAGGTTTCACAATTGAAACACAGCAGCAATTACTTCCTATGGAAATCTAGACCAGAAAGAAAATAACTGGTGCCGCCCCAAAACAATGAACTGCATCACTGTGAACACTTGGTCCTCCACAAAGCCAGACGCGGCTGGGAAAGGATAAGCAGCCCAAAGTGACTGAACGGCCGGCACGCGTCACCACGACCGACACCAGAGGAAGCCGACTGGGGAGGCCGGGGTCGCCTTTACAAGGCGTACATAGCTCGCCCCCTCACCCCGGCTCTGAGGACGTCGGCCGGCACAGCCCCATCCGCTAGCGCCGCCTGTGGCGGCCTCCCTGCCGCGGGACCAGGCAACAGTCACCAAGGAGGCAGGCAGGCCCCCAGGGCTGCGCGAGGCACCCCCGGGCCCGTCGCAGAAAGAGTCTCCCACCCGCGCCCGGAAGCATCACACACGCGGGCAAAGCAATCGGGAGACGCAGCGACTGTCAAGCCCCACCCCCAGGCCCAGGCGGCCCCAGCAGCACATGGGCCCCCTCTGCGGGCGCGGGTCTGCGGGCACAGCCGACGGGGACCCAGGCAGACCGGCCGGGCCCCGGGCTCCGGTTTCCGCAATAATCACCTTTCTGTTTTCTTGAAAGGACAGGGCTGCACGAGGAACCCCCTCCGGCTGCAGATCCAAAAAAAACAAACAAAAAAGGACAAATATGAAAGTAAGGTAACAAGTGGCTAATTCAGAAGGAACTTAAAATTGTTCACACGGCTCGACCCGGCTTCAGAGCCGGAGAACACGTGAGCACCCTGCACGCGGGCAGTGCTCGGGCCCCGTGCTGCCCACTTCCACTCTGGCGCGAGAACCCCGCCCCCGCTGAGGCGCACAGCGCCAAACACGGGGCCCCAAGTGTCGGAAGAGCTCATCTGGAGTGCGTTCAAAAGGCCAAATTAAAAACATCAGAAATCTCAGATTGTCTGTCTCGTCAACCCAGAATCCAATTTTCACTAGAAACACACTCATTTCTGAGCATTTCAGCCGTTACTGGCAGGGCACGCATCCCGCAGAAAAGGGGGTTTCTAGGCACCGGCCCACGACCACTCCCGCTCCGGGTGCAGGCAGCAGCTGAGGTGAGACCAAGCAGCCACTGGACATGAGGCAAAGCGCCGCCGTGTGCAGACGCTGCGAGCCACGGCCACGTCGCACCCACGCCGCACTCAGCCACCCGGAGCGGCGAGGCCGAGGAGAGGCTGGGGTGACAGGGGCCTCCTGTGCCTGCCTCAGCTCTGGGAGCTGCGGTGAGTGCATGGCTCCCCATCCCCTCCAGCCCCCCGGGGCGTCTCCACGTCCGACAGGGCCCATCCCCCCGAGCAGCATGCGGAGCAGACAAGTTCACTGAGGGGGGCCGGAGGCAGGAGCGGGAGGGCTTTGCTAAGGTCAGCCACGCCAGCCAGCGGGGACCCAGAGGGCAGAGAGAAAGGACTGTCCCCGGAAGACCTGAAGGTCCCGTCTCCGGCCAAGTGACAGAGACGACGGGTCCCAGAAGTCCTCTCCCTCACGCTTCTGCTCCGCCACAGACGGAGGGCCACGTGGAGGCGTCCGCGTCAGAGAAGGGGTCCCCTGTGTGCACCTCGCCTTCCCCCACTCCCGTCCTCCCCTCGTAAAGTGCGGGGACTCCACACTGGACCTTCAGGGGGACCTGTGAGGCCACGAGGTCACGGCTCGGCCCAGAACTCACCTATCAGCTCCACGATGCTCCCGCTGCGGCTCCGCCCAGCGGGCTCCTGGCCGGGGGCACCGAGCTGCGCCAGGCCGCCGGGCGTGGTCAGCGCCCGCAGCAGTGCGGGGGGCGGGGTCCGGAGCAGCTGCTGCAGGAGCTCCAGCGCCCCGGTCACCACGTTGTGGTCTGGGTGCTGCGCGTAGCGCAGGGTCAGCTCGTACACCTGCAGGCGGAGGGAGAGCGAGCACGGCCGTCAGGGCCCTCCCAGGCGCACAACCACGCCTCGCCTTTTGTTTCTGATGGTCTCTGGTGGCAGAACGTGTGCCTTAATTTCTGCCCCTAAAACTTTCTCTGTCGCCTCTGCCAGGACAATTGGTAGCTTCCACATGTTTTCTAAACTCCCACAATCCCTTTCACCGTGATGTTACTCCTTGAGAGGAAGGGGAGCCATCCTCCAAAGCAGAGGCGCGTGAGCTCCCGTGGGCCAGCCCGCAGCTGGCTGCCGAAGGGGCAGAAGGCTCGGTCTGCGGCAGGGACTCCGACGTGCGCGCGGCCGGCGAGGGCCACGGTCGCCGGTGCCACCGAGACACAGCTCCCCGGCTGGCGAGGGTGGGGTCGGACGTGACCCGCACTTGCAGTGCTCTGCCGTGTTCGACGGAGATGACGGCTTCCTTCTCTCCGCCTTCGTTCGAGGTGCCACACCCACACAGAGCACCGGCGGAACCTGCGTCCCCACGAACGACCGACAGTGCACAGCATGAACACGTGGCTTCGGGCGGCCTCAGGCCACACGGTGATTCGCGGCTGATCTGAATGAAGGTCAGAGTTAACTGGCCCTCTACTGCTGCTGCTGAGCTGGGCGGCCTCACCTTCAACGTCACAGAAGGGGTGCACGGGCTGGGAAGACGCAGGGCCACACAGGAGGCACAGAGCAAAAAGCCTCGGAGGCGGAGCCTCTTGGTCCCCGGGCGTCAGGTCTCCCGGACGGGCCCTCCATCACTGCGGGTCACCGTGCCGCACACGGCAGCGCACGGGCAGCCTGGCCCCTCCCGGGCCTGCGCACCCAGGGCCTCCTGCCCCGCTCCGGCCACCTCATGAAGTCGGCCTTTGTTTCCCTCGGGTGTAACTGGGAGTCACACGGCCGGGGTCAGGGCCTGCCGGTGGCCTGGCCCCAGAGCCCACGCTCTTCACCGGCCCAGCAGCTCCCCGTCCCCAGGACCTGCCCCTCCGCGTGGCGGTCACCTGCACACCCGCACTCCGGCCAACCGGGGCCCTACCTGCACCAGCTGCTCCGTCGAGGGGGACACCTCCGTCTCTCTCCGCGTGACCCCGAAGCTGCCCTTCAGGCTGGTGTCCTGGACCTGCTGCTGCAGCAGGGGCACCAAGCACCTCAGGGCGAGCAGCACCCCCAGGACCAGCAGGGGCGGGTGCTCGCCCGCGACAGGGGCCAGCAGACCTGGAAGACAGCACAGGGTCCCTCAGACGGGCTCGCTGCCGGGAGTGTCGGGACTCCGTCTGGGGAAGAGAAGAGGCCGCAGGCGCGCCCAGCCCCGAGGCTGACAGTGCGCGGCGAGGGCGACACAGATATCACTACGAAGAACCACGAGCGTGTCGCAGTGTGGGTCGCGGCCCAGGGGTGTGCAGGCGGCCCTGCCTCCTCGGCCCAGCAAGGCCCTCGCATCGGGCTCTGCTGCACCAAGAAGTCGGGCGGTCGCTCACGACAAATGTCCACGTGCCGCCTGCAGCCTGTGCTGACTCCCACAGTCGCCCCCCAGGCGGGGGACACTCAGCAGACCCAGGTGGTGAAGAGGCCTGCAGGGCCCTAGGGCTCAGCCTCAGCCCTCGGGGACTCCCTGCACCCAGAGTCACCTTGGCCAGCTGTGCAGCCAGGCTGTGCGGAGGGCCAGGCCTGGGGGGCGTGTGGGCGGCACGCCGGCCCGCACCCCCTGCCCCGCCAGCTGTCCTTGGACACGACTGCACCCACACTTCTGCCGGGAGGAGCAGCCCTTCCGAACCCCCCCTCGGACCACCCCCCCCCCACGGGCTCGTGGCAGCCCCAACCTAGCTCCCGTGTCCCGGCCAGCCAGTGCCCAGGGTCTGGTCCGAGGGCCGAGGACCGCCCGATTGCAGAGGTCGCCTGCACACCGGGAAAACCGCCGCAGGCCACGCCTCACCTAGGAGCACGCTGAGCAGCCAGCTGTAGAAGTACTGCGTCCTCCTGGAGTGCTGGCAGATGCTCACCACGGAGCTGGCCGCCGTGCGCCGGACGGTCGGGGAGCTGGACTTCAGGTTCGCCAGGAAGGCCTTGAGCAGAGCCTGCGGGGGCGAGAGCCCGCACGGCTGGAGGCGGGGCTCCGAGGAGGCTCGCCGCGCGCGCCACGAGCCCCGACCTGCCCCGAGCCCTTGCAGAGCACAAACCGTCAACGGCTCCAGGCTTCCTTAAGCCCAGCAGGCTGGGGCCTGAGGTGCCAGCCGTACCTTGATCTCATTGTCATTTGCAAAATTGCCAAACGAAGCCATTATTTTGGGTATAGCAGCAGCCAAGGTCTCCTGAACAGACTCCTCAGGTCTCTTGCTTGTTCGAGTCAGGCACGGCAGCAGGTTCACCAAGTAGGGCCTGCGGAGGGGAGGGGACACGGCTGCTCTCCCGGTCCGCTCAGGGAGACGGAGCAGTGAGTCCGGGCCGCCCAGAGGCGGAGAGGGAGCAGGCCTGCGCTCCGGGCAGGAGGGCGGGCCGCGGGGGGGCCCAGACGCGGGAGACGCTCGCCCTCGTTTCTCCCACGACCGGAGACTCTGCAGAGCCCGTTCTGGAAGTTGTTCGCAGTGAATTACAGTCACTACTGAAACATTCATAGTTTAAATTAGAAAGTAAGAGATGGTATCAGAAAATACCGTTTCAAAAAAAGTTAAGAAACGACAATCAGGTTTTCTTGGAAAAGCAGCATCACAAAGGGCATTTCTAACTTTCCCAGGCAAGGAAAGCCTCGGCGAGGAGGAGACCCGGAACTGGAGAAAGGCCCACCCCTCGGGGGGGCGGGTGCCGGGGTTGGGGGCCGGGGGAGCCAGGACCACAGAAACCCTCCGCCAGCGAGGAGAGCGAGGCAGCGCCCCCTGGTGCACAGACAGGCCGCTCGCAGGTGCGCGTCTGGGACTGCACGGGGAGGCGAGGCTCCCCTTTCCAAGGAGACAGGTTTTTTGCATAGGCCCAGGGGAAAAAGCCAGCCATCAAGAGGAAGAGAAACCTGACTTTCTGAAGTGGTAAAATCAGCCCAATGAGTCAACAGCGAGTATGGGAGGTGCAGGGGCCCTTGGGGCAAGATCCCCTGGGGCCTGCAAGCTGGGGAGCCTGGGTCTCCTCTGCACAGGTCCAGGAGGTGAACCCAGAGTCCCGGGGGGAGCACCGAGACCCCGTCCTGTCTCCTTAAGGTCCCTTTGGCTGCATGTGCAGAGCTGGGGGTGCGCTGCTCAGAGACAACACACGACTCAAGATGACAACAGTCACAGCAGAGGGTCAACAAGCCAGGAGAGACGTCCCCAGTGGCTGCAGCTCCGCGGCCACGCTATGAAGTTCCCACTGAGCCCCAGCGCGGTGGCACAGACCCCCGCCCCACACTCACAGGGAGGGTCTGGGCCACCCCGCCAGCCCCTCGGGGCGCAGCCACGGGTCTGCGGACGTGCCGCCAGCGAGGGACACAGCATGGAGCTGGAAACCGCGGTCCCTCTTCTGTGTTCAACCCGTTAAGACAGGGCTGTCTCGACTGGTCGCACATGACTCACGGTCTCACGTCCACGGTGTCAGCCCGTGTCGCAGAGGAAGGTGCCTACGTCCCTGACTCCCACAGTGAGCGACAGGGAGGGCGGACTCGGCCTCCCACCCCCGACAGGTGTCCCCTTGGCAGCCACCACGGGCAGACGGGGCACCCCGCTGTCTCCGACGCCCCCCCGGAGGTTGGGGGGGGTGGAACGTGAACAGGCATGCTGACAAAGCGCGCGAGGACCTTTCTGAGAGCAGTGCGTGCTGGGAGGAAGGACAGACAGGACAGCGACCACAACTCGGAGGGACAGAGGCGGGCCAGCGTAGACAGAGTGCACAGGGAGGGCCTCTGAGGAGTGACATTCGAGCCGAGACGTGAAGAATCCGTAGGAGTTGGCCCTCCACCCGCATCATCATCATCATCACCATCACCATCACCATCGTCATCGCTGTCACCCAGAGGGCACCACGTACCTGCATTTCTGGGGCCGAACCAGGTGGGCCAGCTCGGCAAACCTCCACAGGGCAGCGCGCAGGCTCCGGGGGGCGCCGTTCTGGGTGGATTACATGAGCGGCGTCACATTTAACAGTCACGGGCGCCACCCGGCCCGGTGGCCCCGTTGGCTCGAGCGCCGTCCCGGTGAACCGAGGCGGCGCGTTTGACACCAGCGGGGTGGGGGGGGGGCACAAAAGCAGCCGATGAACGCAGAACAGGTGCAGCCGTGGGTCAGTGTCTCCCTCTCCTCCTCCCTCGGTGTCTCCCCCCCACTCTTCCCCCCTCCCCCTCTCCCTCTCTTCCCCCCTCTCTCTCCCAGAAAAAAAATCTGTACATTAAAAAGGAACTTAAAAAATAAAGTCATCAAACCAAGGGGTCGCTGGTTCGATTCCCACTCAGGGCACAGGCCTGGGTTGCAGGCCAGGTCCCCAGCAGGGGCGTGTGACAACCACACACTGATGTTTCTCTCCCTCTCTTTCTCCCGCCCTTTCCCCCCTCTAAATATAAAGAAAGAAAATCTTTTTTAAAAAGTAACGTTTTGAAGAAAAGTAAAACAATCTACTTTACCAGCTTTTCCTTCTAACATTTTTACTTATTAAATATAAGAAAATTTCACAAAACTACTTAATACGGTGAAACAGGACCATTGTTTTTCAACAACAGAAAATGAAGGCCTACCTTTTTAATTTCTTTGTAGAGTTCCAGCTGTAGCCTCGGAAGACTGGAATCCATCAGAGCCTACAACGAAACACGAGAGGTGCGTTCTGGGAAGACCGGCCACCCGCAGCTCCGCAGAAGCTAAAAAGCAACGTCAATTTCCACCTCGGGGCAAAGCAGATTTCACAGCAACTAAACTAAGAACCTACTCGTTCAGAGAAAAAGAACACACATGCAGGAAGCTATTGGATGAACTGGACTCAGGTGCTTCACTTGACTAAACATGGAAGAGAAAGGATTTAACTTTCGCTATAATCGGACACGACATAGCGTCAGACTTAAGGGCAGAGTGAGTGCTCGAGTCTGTTCTGCAGCTCTGCTCTGACCCCCTCCACTGCCAAGGACGAAGCCCGCCCTGGACAGGGTGGGCCTCTCTGCCGGGTGCCCCAGCCCAGAGCAAGGCCCTGAGTCTGCGTCCGGGCGCCAGCCCGCAGAGTCCTGGCCCCAGGCCTCTCCCCGCTCCCAGACAGGCTGCGTGGTCGCCGAGGTTCACGTCCGACTCCTCTGAGCACGCCGACCATCTCCGGGCGCTGCTCATTCTCCACCAAACGAAACGAAGTGCAGCCCTGAGCTGGCTGTAGCACCTCCCACGGAGGCTCCCCAGCACCCCGAGGGGCTGGACACCAGAGCGGCTAAGAAGGCCTCAAGTCCCCCGCTCCCTTGGAAGCCACCACTCCCCCGGACAGGGGCCCGAGCCTCCTGAATGCCACCCAGGCCGCCCGCCTCCCCGGGCACACAGCTCACACGGAGTGCCTCTGCCCGGCACGTCGCCTCGCACGGCCTGTGCGTGACGGGGGCAGAGCACACGGCCGGGCTGTCCTGGGTCCCCAGGGCCCCGCCCTACAGCAATGAGGAGCAGAGCGTGCCCGACGCCCGGGCCTCGCAGGGTCTGGGCCTCGCCGCAGGCACGCGGCAGCCGCCACCAGAAGATGGGAGTCCAGGATTGGCTCCTGCATGGCCGGCCCTGACGCCGGGCACAGGGCCGGGCACGTGCTCCCAGCCCATCCCTCCTCTGCCACCGGGAGAGCGCGCCTGGCCAGGCCCGGACCCCCTGCCGGCCCGGGAACCCGAGGGTGAGCACTAGGCGAGGAAGCCAGTCGGAGTGTGGCCCACCCCACTGCGCCTGGCGTGCAGTGGCAGAAAGCAGACAGGAGTGGCTGGAAGCGCCTGGCCTAGTCCTACGTTCTGGGCCGTGACTCGAGACGCTGGAGTCACGCACTGTGAGGTGCACGCAGGCAGCTCCCACAGGTGTGGCCGGGATGCCAGCAGACAGGTGCCTCCAACTGCACACTGGACAGGCGGCAGGTGCAGACACCCCGGGGACCACGCTGCTCCAAACCGAAGGGTCACAGTTCGGAGCGCGCACCCCGGGCCCTTACTTTGATGACTTTGTTGAGGCACTCGTCGGCCACCATCCTGACATCGGACTCGGCGTCGTCACTGCACAGCAGGAAAAGTTCCATAGCGATGCCCAGAAGTTTCTGGAATTCTGGAGAATTTCTACGTGGATAAAGAGAAGAGACAGTCACAGCCAGGAAGACCCCAGCAGACCCGACGACAAATGCGGCGCGGTGCCCGGCACCCACGGGGACTCTGGGACGGAAGGGGACGTCCCACGGGCTGGCGGCCCGCCACGCCGACCCGCTGGGTGGAACGGGCACCACGGGGGCCGAGGCCGCTGGCAAGTGCGGCGACTGGATGTGGGACGCACGGCAAGTCTGCGCGCTCTCTGCGGTTTTTCTGTACGTTTAAAACTCCTTCAACACTTTCATGTTTGTTTTTAAAAAAGAGGAGTACTTCCAAGACAAATCTCCGTTTTTTAAGTTCTAATTAAAAACTCTTTAAAAGGCACTGCTTTTTGTGTATTTTAACTCAGTTTTTAACACAGACGCTGCCTGGGACACCTAAACCCCAGACAGCCACCTGCTCTTGGCCAACGAGTCACTCTCACTTGCCACACGCCTTTTACTTCCACTGTGCACGCTGTTCCAGTTGTCCCAACGTCCCCCGCGCCCCCTGCGCCCGGCCCACCCCACGCCGTCGTCCACGTGCACCAGTGATGCACGCCGCTCTGTCCGGTCCTGCCCCTCCACCGACAGCCGTCCGTCTGTCCCTGTTGCTGCGCCTCTGACTCTATTTTGCTCATTAGTTTATTCTGTTCCTCAGATTCCAGTTATAAGTGAGATCACATGGTACCCATCTCTCATTGGCTGGCTTACTTCACTCTGCCTCAGAGTCTCCAGGTCCATCGTGCGGTCACTTGCCACGTCCCTGATACCTCGAATCAGAACACCCGTGTGACTCTTCCACTCCCTCAGAGTCCAGCTTTCCATGAATGTCCCCCGGCCCAGCCGCACCTCACGCAGACCCCGGACGGCGAGGGGGTGGTGCCTGTGCCCCGCCGCGGCTGCACAGACGCTCAAGTCGTGCTGTGACTGCACGTGGCTCTAAAATGCTGGACTGAGAGCCTGCATGGTTTGTCATGGTCCAGCTGGCTAGTCGCAGCTGAGACAGACAGGCTGGCGGGCCCCAGGCGTGAGGCCCAAGTCAGGCGGCCGTTTCCCGACCCCAACCTGGAGTGCTCGGACACGGAGGCCCCCACCCTGCCCACAGAGCCTTGGGGAGAGCAGAGGACCGCACTCGCGGTGATGGGCGCACAGACACGAGACAAAGCGAGCCACGCAGCAGCCTCCACACCCCACCCCAGGGACATGGCTGTGGGGAGAGGACCAAGGGGAAGGGGCCCCGAGAGCAGGCCCCACACTCGGACCCACTCAGAGCGGTGCTTGCTGTCCACAGAGATCACGCGAGCTCCACGGGCCACTTCGCCCTTTCTAATGGACACGTCAGGAATCCAAACAAACCGCCCTGGCTGGTGTGGCTCAGTGGATTGAGCGCCGGCCTGCGAACCAAAGAGTCGCCGGTTCAATTCCTAGGCAGGGCACAAGCCTGGGTTGTGGTCCAGGTCCCCCGTGGGGGCCACGTGAGAGGCAACCACACACCATGTTTCTCTCCTCCTTTCTCCCTCCCTCCCCCTCTCTCCAAAATAAATAAAATCTTAGAAAAGAAAAAAAAGAAATCCAAAGAAACAGGGAAAATTATTTTAATACCACATTTCACCTAACCCATCAAAAATATGTAACATTTCAGTATGTAGCCAATATGAATAAACTGATACAACACGATCCTTTTACACCACAATGGAGACACAAAACTGATCTGTCATTGGCCTTCATAAAAGTCGCAGCTGGAGCAGGTCCCCTACCGTGGGTGGACGGGCCCAGAGACCTGACACTCACACCCCGCAGCAACTATGGGGCCCACGCGGTGCTGCAAGCCACGGCGTTGCTGAGACGCCGCCTCTTACCTGCTCCCGGCACAGTGAGGGCGGGTGGCCTGGTGACAGGCGCTCACCGACACTGTGACAGTCACACTGCAGGGGACAAACACATCAGACCGACCCACAGTGCACCTCGGACCCACACACTGCCGTCTGTCACCTGTGCATCAACTCAGAAAAAAGGAGGAAGACTGTCATTTCCAACCATGCTCAAACTTTCTCCAGCAACTGAATCAGACACTGAGTTTTTAAATTTTAGTTTAACAAAATAGGTGCCGGGGTGATGAGGTCCTCCATTTCTTGAGAGCTGCGGAAGCACTTCCAAGAAGCCCAGTCACCCAACCATCCCGTCCACAGGTACGGCGCCGTCCATTTCCCTCCCAGCCCTTCCGACCGCCGCGCCACCCACACGGCGTCTCCCGCACGCGGGTGTCAGTGTCTGCGACCCCACCCCGTCCAGTGCCGCTGACTGACTGACGTTTCCAAAGAGCACGCTGTCCTGGTCTCTGTCGTACGGACCCCGTCTGGCGCCGGTTCTGCTGCTCCACCTGGGTTCCGCTCGCTCTTCCTTCGCAAGTCCCCTCGGGTGGAGGCCGAGGCGCTGACCCGCGCCCCTCCTTTTCTAGAGTGGGCTCAGCGCTGCGTCCCCTCTGCGGTCTCAATCGCCTCAGCACACCGTCCACTTCCCCTGCTGCCTCATCCTCTGACCCACGGGCGACACAGAAAGGTGTGGCTCTCCGCACATCTGGGGCTCTCCCAGACTGCTGTTCTGCAAGACCCCGCTCCATCCCCCTGAGGCCAGGGAGCACCCCGCGAGTGCTTCGGTCCCGTCCCACGTGGCACCTGGCGGGACGGCAAAGGAGCTGTGAGCACGTGTGCCCAGTGCGCTGCAGGGACTGTCTGGACAGGCCCCTCAGGACGGGGGGGGCGGGGGGGGACAGGGCTTCTCAGTCTCCTACATCCAGACTCGGTGTCCACGCCATCTAGGAGCCGGGGAGGCGGGCCGCTGGAATCTGATCCGAGTGTGGACGTGTCCTCCCCCCGGCCGTCCTCCTGGCTAGCACGGGTTCCGGAAGCTCCGTGCCCAGGCATCGCACCATGTCAGACTGCCGTGCCCGCGGGCCGGGCGGACGCGTGTCTCACTGCACCGTGACCGTGACCCGCCGCCCCTGCTCCTGGCCTCCGACGAGCGCCCCAACGTGTGAACTGACCCACCACCCCGCTTTCTTCCGACCACTGTCAGCATGCTGAAGCCCTTTCCGTCCTTTTACTTCTTAGCCTGCTTTTGCCTTTCGGTTGAAATGGTTTTCTCCCCAGGGGCATATGGTATGTCTTGCTTTCCCACCAACGTGGAAAATCCTGCGCATTTAACATCACCGTTGACAGAATAACGAGGCTGAAATCTACCACTGCAGTATTTCTCTCCTACTTGTCCCACATGCTCTGTCTTTGCCTTTCTGCCCACTTCCGCCTTCTTTTGGGTTGAGTATTTCTATGATTCAATTTTTCCTCCTTTTTGGTTCATTAGCAATAACTCTGTTGTGCTTGTAATCAATCTCAGAGGGTGTTTTAGATTTTTTTTTACTTATTTTTAGAGAGAGGGGAAGGAAGGGAAAAAGAGAAGAGAAAAACATCAGCGTGTGGTTGCCTCTCATGCACCCCCCACTGGGAAACTGGCCTGCAACCCAGGCCTGTGCCCTGAGTGGGAATCGAACCAGTGACCCTTCTGTTCACAGGCCGGCACTCAGTCCACTGAGGCACACCAGCCAGGGCCAGTTGCATAGTTCACAGCCTGCTTTTAATGTATCACAATCTACTTGGTGATACACACCACCTCACACACAGCGTAAGAAACCAACAACACTATTGTATCAGTTTCCTGTGGCTTCTGTGACAAACTGCTACAAACCGAGGGGATGAAAACACAGAAATGACCCTCGCTCGCTCGGCTGTGGAGGCCAGAAGCCCCAGACCACTACCCCCAAGCCCCAGTCAAGGCCCTGGCAGTGCCGCGCTCCCTCCACACTCTGCAGGAGATGGCTCCCTGCCTCCCCCGCGCGGCTGGCGGCCAGCACCCCCGCCCCGCGGCTCGGGGCCACGTCACCCCGTCTTCTCGGGCAGCTCCGCCACGCCCGTCTCTGCCCCATGCTCACACCAGCTCCGTGAGTGTGTGAGGCCCCTCCTCCTCCTTCCCACGGGGACGCGCGGGGCTGCACTGAGGGCCCGCCTGGGTGCGACCCGGGCAGCCTGCCCGCTCCAGGTCCCCAATCCCACCTGCAAAGACCCCTTTCCCTCCGACGGCCCACCTGCACAGAATCCCGGGGGCGAGGACCCAACGTCTGCGGGCAGAGGGCACGGTTCCCCGGCTCCCACCCACTCTGCACACCCGGCTTCCACGCGGCACAGCCCCAACGCCTCGCAGCTGCGTGCAGACAGTCGGTGACCCTGTCCAGACTCCGCGCCGGGGGCTGGCGCTCGCCCCGCACGGTCGCACCCCCTGCACCCCGGGCCCTGGGCAGACCCCGCTTCCTGGTGGCATGCCTCCTTGTCCCTGGGACCCACGCTCCCTGACACTCCTCCCAGTGGCTGCCCGCTGGGCACCACTACAGCCTGACTTCCCCTGTGGCACCACAGAGACTGGAGCGGGCCGAGGGCTCCGGGGCCTTCCCCTCTCGGCGCTCAGCGGCGGTGCGCTGCCGCCACCACGTCCCACAGGCACTGTCTCTGGCGAGACCCCCCCACACACACACCCCGCGCGCCCGCCCTTCAGTGAGTGAACTCCGTGCCCGTTCGGTGCAGAGTTTCCTCACGACTGGTCTCCACTGAACTCAGTCTTTCCTCCAGCTTCCCGAACATGACGCACGGTGACAGTGGCTGCTCGGATGTTTTTGTGTGTAAACTGTACCATCTGTGCAAGTTCCAGGTCGGCTTCGATTAGTTTTTCTTGCTGTGAATCACACCTTCCTGCCTCTCTGCATTCCCGACAGTTCCCGGTTGGCTGCCAGACCCTGTAACTTGCAGCTTGCGGCTGCTGTGTGCTTCTGAACTCCTGCAAACGTCCTTGGCCTCTGCTCTGGGTGCAGGCCGTGACTCTGGAAGAGTATGACCGTCCTGGGGTTCACGGTGAGGCTCGAGCAGGCAGGATCGGGGCAGCGCCTCGCCCGGGCTCAGTCGCCCTCCTGCTGGGTCGAGCCCGGCAGAGAGCCCAGCTGAGGCCCTTGGAGGAGGCTGCCGCTTGGAGGACAAGGTCACCGCTCAGGCTGGTGACGCAGGAGCTTCCCGTACCTGCGAGCGTTTCAGCGTAGGCCCCTCCAGCCCTTGCGGGCAGCAGTCTGGCCGCAGGCCCCGGGTCCTCTCCCCGGTTCAGACTCAAGGGCACCTGCAGGCCTCCGGAGACGGCTGTGTGCCGCTCCCTCCTCTTGGGACTCTCCCCAGCGGCCACCAGCTCTGTCTCCTCCACTCAGCAACCGCTGGGCTCCACCCGGGTGTCCCCTCTGGTCGTGGCCAGGGAACTCCCTCCAGGCAGCAATCTGGGGAAATCACAGGCCCCCCACACCCGTCTTCCTTTGTCCCCACTCAGCAGAGGGCTGCTGCGGTCCTCTGCCTGACGGCACGTGTCTCAAGTGCCAGGGCTGCACAGACTAGAGCCACACCGGTTTTAGGCGGGAAGGTGCATCCTATCTTACTTATCTTAGCCAGAAATAAACATGTCTCATGACTTGAACTTAATTTCTAATACTGTTACTATCTTTTCATCATGTACTTGTATGATTCTTGTATATTTCCTGCCGATTCCTCGACATGTTGTATGTTGTCGCTACTGTGCACAGGGCACCGTGCGGTGTCTTCGCTGCTGCAGTCTGCGACGTTTCCAGAGGACGCAGATGCCCGTGCATGTCGAGGAACCAGCAGTGTCGGCCACCAGGTCAAGAGCAGCGGCGGCTGCTTCACGACGCTGTGCCTGCAGCCCCAGAACACTCTCCACACGGAAACCCCGGAGGCTGCCCCTGAGGCGGCCCCGCTGCAGAGAAGGTCAGTGCGTCCCACACAGAAGCTGCAGGAAAGCAGCGAAGACACACGCCCACTCGAGAAGAGATCACAGGAAACACCAGCCATCGCGAAGATTCCACAAAACATTATACAGCTCCACACTCCCAAATCCCTGGAAAGTATGGGGCATGTCTTAAAATAAACTTGTTGTTTGATCCGATGGGACTCAACTTCCCGTGTGGGTGCAAACCCCACACAGCACCCTTCTAACCGGCTGCTCTGCAGAACAAACACAAGGATGACGACGGCTGGCGCCACGCCACACAAACAGAACCGACACCCAGCGTCCAAACCAGGGGCGGTGCTCCTGCGACTCCGGCGGCAAGGTGAGCCACGGCCAACCCGACGACGTCCACACACACCTCACTGACGTGCGGACCCCCGCCCGCACCCCCGCCCCCCGCAGTGGCCGGCAGACGGAGGCAGGAAGCGCGCCGCACTCAGGCCGGAGGAGGGCCCGTGCGCCGGAGCGCGGGCGTTCAGGGTCACACCAACTGCCCGCACCCTGGGTGGCGGAGTCGGGTGCGCAGAGCTGGGCCACGGCGGCAGGGCGTCTGAAGCTGTTGGGGACTGGAGCTCGAGTCCCTCGCAGTGACAAGCAGGGGCAGGACGAGGCACCTCACGCCCGGAGGGTCAGGAGCGCGTCCTGGACAGCGCTTCCCACGGGTCACTGGACCCGCCAGCGCCCGATGAACGGCGTCCGCATTTCGTGAGTGAGGCGAGAGGCTCCAGAACACCCAGCTCATCTGAGTGCCCAGCGTCGAAGGAGCGGGCGGAAATCAGACTCTCCCCCGGCTCCCCGGCTTCGCCCGGAACCGCTCTCCGCGGTGGCGCGGAGCTCAGCCCTCCCCCACCTCTGCCTCAGGGCCCGCGCTCGCGGCCCGCACGCCTCCCCCCAAGGTGTCTGCGGGCGGGAACGGCGCCGTCCACCGCGTCTCACGGCTGAGGGGCCGGCGAACTGAGACGGAGCCTTGTACGGGAAACCCCTTGAACAGCACAGAATACAAACGGCAAGTGCCATTAAAAACAGGCGCATCACCGAGTTCCTGTTGGCACTAAAACCAGGGTTACCCCTCTCCAGGCGTCTTCCGACAGATGACAAGACCCTCCCGGCTGACGGGCAGCGCGGACTGCCCATCCCAGGGGGGAGAAGAGCGAGGCGGTGAGCGACTCCTGCACGCCCCTCCGGGCGGCGGCAGCACCCAGGAACCATCGGTGCGCCTGCCGCCCGCTCAGCCCGCACAGACAGGCCTGAAGCACTCCCACCCGCCACCCCAGGGACGGCGAGCAGACAGACCGTGGAGGTAAAGAAACCAGGAGACTCGGCGACGGAGCCACGGCAGAAGGGGGTGCTCCGCTGGGAGAGACTGAGCGAGGGGAGCAGGCCTGCAGCCCCACCCCCGCAGGAGGGCAGGCGAGCGGCCGGCGCCACCGGGAGCCCGGCGCCACCGGGAGCCCCGCGCCAGAGGGAGCCCCGCGCCAGAGGGAGCCCCACGCCAGAGGGAGCGAGCCGTCGGGCTGATCGATGGGAACAAGGCTCGTGTTGTTCCAGTTACCAACTAATGTGAAACGTCAAAGAAAGACGGTTTTAAACGAATACAGCCACCAAGGGTGCAGCTGAGTATCGTCCCGAGGCCCCACGCCACCCCGGTCGCCCACTGCTGCCCGCGTGGGCAGAGGGGAAACAGCGCTCATCAAGGGGTATGGCCGACCATGCCAGGCAGCCAGGGCGGTGGAAGGGCCCCTTCGCCTTGTCTGCACCCTCACCCGAGGACATGCGCACTGATTTTAGACAGAAAGGAAGTGGGGGGAGAGGGAGAAACACTGGTCAGCTGCCCCGGGCACGCACCCCACCACGCAAGGACCGCGCCCGCAGCCTGCTGGTGGGTGGGCAGCACTCCGACCACCCGAGCCACCCGGCGGGAGGCGGGGGAGAAAGGGCCTTTGAGAGGCTTAAGACAGCTGGGGAGACAGAGGACATCCTAGCCCACTAAGAATGAGCATCTGTCGAGTTTTCATTTTCGCCAGAAGCACGAAGTGTAATTACCTGAGAGACTGGGCCACTATGCTTTCACATATCGTCAGACAATGGGTCACGCGGTCCTTCTTGGTGGCAGAGTGTTCTTTCTTTCTAAAACAAAAAAAGGAAGAGAAGTGAACAGGTGTTGAATCGTGCACTGCATCATTCGTGCGCAGCACTAATGCATTCCGTAAGCACTTCCCGGCCATGGGGAACACACCACACACTGCATGCTGGGGGCGGGGCCGGGGCGGGGCACAGGAGCAGCCCCAGGGCCCCCCGCACCCAGGCCCAGCAGGCAGGCGGGGCCTCTGACGCACCGTGTTTTCCCCGACTCAGTGGAGAGCGGCACACAGTGCACACAGGGACTCATCCAAGGTCCCGCCGACAGAAGGGGCGTGCGAGCCCCTGAAACGCACGAACCGGCTGCCTCCTCTGTGCACCAGCAGCTGCCTCCACGCCTCAAAACCATGCTGCCCACTGGCTACAGTCTGCAGGCCACACAGACCTCCCGCTCTGGGCCGGGCGTAAACTACAGACAGCAGCTAATTACTTCTGTGTCCCCACACAGCTGGAAGAGGCCTCCTCCTAAGAGTTCTCAGCCAGACAAAAGGAGATAAACAGCCAGGTCAACAGCATCACATTAAAGGTGCCTGCCTCCCACGGGAAGCCCGGCTTCCGATGTCTTCACGCAGGCACCACGGAGCACCGCTTGGCGGTGAGAAGGGCGAACAGTTAGAACAGACAAGGGTGAATCGCCATGTACCAGGTTCAAGGCTACACACTGCGTGAGTCCGTTCACATGACGCCCTGGACGAGACAAACGACAGGAACCACAGTGATCGGCAGCCTCCAGGGGCTGGGACGCCGCGCCGCAAAGAGGCAGGGGCACGGGCGGGGGACACCAAGGGGCGGTGACACTGCAGACTTGGGCAGCCCCAGTCTCCACTGCGGTGGCCTTCCTGGGGCACGTCTGTGGGAATGCACGGAACTGCACCCTAAGGGGGGCGTGCTCTACCGCCCGCAAGGGCGCTGTGATAGGTGGCGTGCTCGCTCCCCTGACCGCCGGGCGGTCTCTGCCCCAGCGGCCCTGCCTAGCTGGGACAGCCGTCGGGAACGCTCGTGGACACCGACAGAGTCCGGCACTGCGGGAGGCACACTAACCCATCTACCCACTGGTCTTTGACGCGCCGAGTGAGAACCTGCCCTGGGCCCTCCGTGGACTGAGCCCGTGGCACCGGGCTCCCCACCTCCCCACCGTGGCGGTCACGCACACCGGGGCTGAGGCAGCGCCCCGGGGCTGGAGGTGAGCAGAAGGTCGGCAGGCACCACACTGAGTGGGCCCCACGGCTAAGTGGGGGTCAGAAGAGGAACGTTCACGACCTGCGCTTTCAGCAGAGTCCGAACCCAAGCAGGCCCTCCCTCTCCCACCCTCCCCCGCCCCCGCCCCGCACCCCGCCTCCGTCTGAGCTGTGGGGCAGCGCCTGCCCGCCTCGGGCTCAGCCGCCCGCCTGGGGCTCAGCCACCCGCCTCCTCGCCCGCTGCAGGGAGGGCCCTGGGGCTGACTCCAGCGCTGGGCTGGCAGGAGGGAAGCTGCGCGAACGCTGGTGCGCAGGCCCGTGCGTGGACGTAAGGCTTCACTTCTCTGGGATTGGAGTGCCAGGGCCAGGTCACGACCTGCACGCTCGGTTCTGTCCAGCAGTGCCGGCCGCCCCCCAGAGCGGGCGGACACCTGCATTCCCACCAGCAGGGATGACAGGATGGCTTCACACGGGGTGGTCAGAACGGTCCTTTCTGGTCCCTCACCTCCGGCCCTCCAACCTCGTCCCTGCCTCTGCCCTTCACTCTGCGGCTGCAGCTCTGGCCCCCTCCCTGCCCCGCGAACACCTCCGTCCCTCCGCCGGGACCGCTTGTCTTCCCCGTGCCCACGCGGCTCTGCCCCCGTGTCTGTCACCCTTTTCGGTGCACTGCACCCCCTCCACAGCACTGCACAGCCCCCCCTCATTCTATTTCGCAGTTTCCTGTGTGCGGCTGTAACCCCGGGGACCAGAATGGGGCCCAGCGCCCAGGAGGGCGTCCAGTGCACTCCCCCCTGAAGTCCGCCGCCCAGAAGCCGGGAGCTCCGGCGTGCAGCTCACAGGCGGTATCACGGCCAACCCTGCAGCTGCGCAGACGCTCGAGGGCCCGGGACAGGAGAGCTGCGCGGCCCGGGGCACAAGCACAGACACAAGCACGGAAGTCCGCCCTCCCAAGGCCAACAGCGCTGCCGCCAACCAGGGGAGGCCTGGCCGCCTGCCGCAGAGCTGCTCCAGCCTGCACGTGCACAGGAGCCACACGCAGCACCTGCGAGCGGGCACACTCAGACTCCCGGGGTCCGGGGGGGGGGGATGGGGGGGGCGGAGTTGCTGCACTTCTCCTGAGCTCCCGAGTGACGCTGAGCTGCTGGCGCAGGCCCCTCCGAGCAGCAGGCCCGACTGTCTCCCTGTCTCCAGCAGACAGTCTAGACTCGGAGCTGACTCAATGTAACACAACAGTACGCAGCGTCTTATGCTGCCTTTCTCCTTCTTGTCTGAATGACGGGGGCCCGCTATGCCACGGTATTGTGCCAGGTGCCCCCTGCAGGGGCTGCAGGTCCAGGGCGGGGCTGGCGAGGTGGAGAATGCACGTCACAGCCCACTGGCAAGCCAGCACAACACAGGACCTTGCCGTCACGTCTCCAGGAGCCTCCCTTAGAAATACGTGCTACAGCGTCATGCAGCCCTTACTGAGACCCGGCGGGCCCACCTGCTCTCCCGGCACCCACTCTGCTGCTCCTCACGGGGGTCTCGGTCTCCCCCGCACGGAGGCAGCAAGGTGGGCCTCGCTTCACAGCAGGAGCCTGCGAGCCCACGGCCCCTCGGAGGCAGCCCGGGAGTGTTACTGTGTGCGCACCAGGCCCGCCACGCGCTGCTAGGGAAAAAACGCAGCGTGGGCTCAGGCACACACACGAAACAAGGGACGTGTATAAATGCTTGAACGTGCATTAAAACATCAAGACGACGAAAGACACTTAGTGTTACTTCGGGTGCCGAGACTGAAACAGACGGGAAGGAGGACTGTGCTCTCCGTCTTCTGCGCTATCTGAAGGTGTTTTCACAGTTCACACGTGGAACTTCCACAATCTCGACACTAGTTGCCAAGAAGGAACCGAAACACAGGTCCTTCCCAGAAGTGGCCCAGTCACACTGAACCTAGGGGCCAGCCAACGGCAGCCTGCCTTGTTTCGGACAGCCTGTGAGATAAGAAACGTTTTCACACTTTTAAACGGCTGACCAGCCCTGACTGGTGCAGCCCCGGGGGCTGGGCGTCACCGCCCCCCCCCATCTGAAGGGTCCCTGGTTCGGTTCCCACTCAGGGCCCGTGCCTGGGCCGCGGGCTGGGGCCCCAGCTGGGGGCAAGCAAGAAGCGGCCGAGACGTTCCTCCCCCACATCGACGTTTTGCTCCCTCTTTCTCCATCCCTTCCCTTCTCTCTGAAAGTGAATAGGTACAACCTTTAAACATAAAAATAAACGGTTGACTAAAATAAAAACCCAAAGACTAGTCCATGCGTGAAGATCCCACGGAATCCGATCTCCTGGAAAACAGAATCCCCGGGAGCACAGCCCCGCGCGCCTTCATTCACGTGTTGCACGGGCAGTGGCTGCAGCGGGGCCGGCCCACCGCCCCGGACAGGCACACCCCACCTGACCGTCCTCCGAGAACTCCCGCCAGCGTCCGTGGGCGGGAGACTCAGCACGCTGAGATGGCAGTGCTCTCCAAACCACCCGCAGGCTCCACGCCATCCCCACGGGCGCCCCAGCCGGCCCCTCTGCAGGGGCGGAGGGCCTGGTCTTACAACTCTACGGGAGCGCAGGGGGCCCAGAAGAGCCAAATCCATCTCGGAAAGGACAGCGTTGGAGGACTCGCATTTCACGGTTTGGAACCGAGACACAAAACTGCAGTGATCGAGACTAGGTAGTGCTGTGGGGGATGGGCAGGACACAGCCGAGAGTCCGGAAATGCACCCGCACAGCACGGGACACTCACGCCCCACGAGGTGCCGAGGCAGCTCCACCGGGACAGAACAGGCCTGTCAACCAGCGGCGCCGGACAACTGGGCCCCCACGTGCGAAAGAGTGGAGGCAGACCCTTACCTCGCAACATACATAAAAATTAACAAGATGGGTAAGAAATGAGAACTAAGCGTCTAAAATTCTTACAAGAAAACACAAGAGTAATAAATAAATCTCTACCCTGAACCAGGCAACGGTTTCTTAGATGTAACACTTAAAGTACAGCAATCTAAGACGAAACAGCAAACTATTTCATCAAAATGTCAAAATTAAAAATGTTTCTGCTTCAAAGAACACCATTTAAAAAGCAAAGAGGGCCTTCTCCCGCGAGGGTGCCCGGATGACGGCGCTGCGGCTGCCCGCGCAGGGAGACGAAGGAAGGAGACAACCCGCGGGGGGCGTTTCTAGGAACCACGTGTGCGCTCACGGTCTAGAACACAGACAACATAAATGTCCCGGACACAGCCCAACCCTGAAAAGACGGCTCGAAACCGGGAGAGGAGGAGGACAAGGGCTTGCAGCGAGGTCCCCGACCTACCGCTGCACCGCCTCAGAAACACACCCGGCTCTCACCTGTGGGGGCTGCCGCAGCCGGCTTGTCCCCTGCGGCTGGACGGACCCCTCACTGGCAGGACCAGCCACAGGAACACGACACGGGGTGATGCCCGGCAGACAGAGACGCAAACGGGCCCTGCTGGCTCTACCTTCCAAACCCTGTCCCTTCGCCGCCTCCTGGCCGGCCTCTGACAGCACCCTGGCGGAGCCCACCCGCCCCGTCCCAACGCTGCAGGGGCTCCCCGCCGCTCCCCGGCTCCTGCCCACGCGCCCCTCCACTCGTCCTCAGCCAGCGCCCAGTGTGAAACGGAACTCGAGTCCTGCTAGTCTGAGACCCAGCGTTCCGATGGCTCCCTCCGTCACTCGGAATAAATGCCAGCGTGTGTATTCCACCTGCACGGAAGGGCCGAGCGATGGGGCGTGGCCCTCCTCCTAAATCTCTGACCTCCCTGCCAGGGACAGTCCCCCGCTCACTGGCTCAACCAGACTGACCTCCGTGCTCTTCTCCAAGCTGGGGGGGGGGGGGGCGGGGGCGGGTCTCCAGCCCCGGTTCCCGCTTGCAACGCTCTCCTCCACACCGCACAGCTCGCTCCCTGGCTTCGGGCATTGACTCCCGGCCACCTCCTCAGTGGGCACCCTCTCTGAAATGTCAACAGCTCCTTGACCCTGACATTGCCACATAGCCGCCCCTGCTTTGCTGCCCCTCCTCCACGTGTCCCTAGCCAACACACTGTTACATTTTTGCTCTCCCTTGTGTGCTGGCTATGTCCCTCGCTGCAGTGAAAGCTCCGCAAGGGCAGAGCTTTATCTGTTCACTGCCGTGGCACTGCCTCTATTAGAGCAGGGCCCGACACACAGTAGCTGGTCAGTAAATATTTATCGGTAAGTAAATAATTAAAGTCAGGGACTGTATCTGGAAGGAGAAGTGCCAAAGGCAAACGTCGACTGCTTCCCTGGCTCGGGCTCCCCCTGCGTGCCAGTCCCGCCAGGACCCCCGTGTCCTACGTGGAGAACCAAGGGCGGGCACTCAGACACTCGCAGTGAAGGCCACACTGGGAGGCTCCAGCTCCACCCACAGACGGCAAGGGCCGTAAAGATAGGACAGATACTTCCCAAACTACTTTTGGCCGATCTTACTTTGGGGCATGGATGTTTCAGCTACTGCAGCTGAACAGAAATGCCAAGATCCAAATCTGTACGCAATGAGTTTATTACTCAAAAAATGAATACCTGCTGTCTTAACAGCAAAGTACATAAAAATATTTTTTTTTGCATTTTAGTTAAAAGAACTATAATTAAGCCTGATGCGGTGGATTTCTGAGCATGCCAAGACCCTTTCAAAACTACTACACTGAAACACTTTTGCTTTTAAATAAAGTCTACCTTCACACACGCACAGGTCACATCTGGAAGGAGAGTGTAAGAGCCTCCGGGAACAGTGTAGGCACTCGGGAGAAAGGCGTGGAGGCGAGATTTTTAACTATTACCTTCTGAAATTTGCATCACATTAATGTATTACTTATGCAAAAATAATAGGTGAAATTGTAAAATAAGTCAATCATAATTACCTCAAAATAACGAAACAAAACCTACTTTGTCAAGCCAGGGTTAGAAGGCAGTGTCTTTACACCCACATTTTGAAGATCAAGCAAATTCAGTAGGTTCCGTCAAATCACATAAGAAACAGAAGGCGTGTTTATGTTAGGATGGAGGGAGTGTCCGACAAAGCCGCCAGGGCAGCAGGACCGTCCTGCACCCCCCACCGCCCCACCCCCAAAGGCCTTAGTGCCTGGCTGTTTACAGCAAACCCACACAGAGTGTGAGCCTGCAGGGCAGCCGCCTCCGGGGGAGGAACTCCGGGGAGGCTGTGATAAAAATTCTAACGCTCCTCCACCAACATCACTCCCCAAATCCACGTTTTCTAATTAACTCTCAGGACACAGCAAGGATCCTCTCAGAAACCTCAAGAGCAAGAAAACATTACAAAAAAGAGACTGAGTCTTAAGAGAGCGAGCTTCTTAAAGGGGCTGCTTGAAATCTGTCCTCCTTCAATTCCATGCTACACACCTGCGGACCAGAAATAAAACCAGGAGGGGGAGGGGGAGAGGCCGGAGCCCCCGCCAGGCACTCCCTAGCCTCTGCTGCACACTGGCACACAGACTTCAGGGACATGCGTCCCTGGTAGAAGGTGCTCTTAGTGGTCTCTCTCTTTCTATTTCAAAAATCTTCCCAAACACACGCAAAAGAGACCTCTAGTCTCCCAGCAGCACCAGGACGTCGGCAACGACGGAAGCAGGAGCCGCCGGGGGTCTGCGGACACCCACGTCCCAGCAAGTGGAGGACAAGACTGGTAAAACGGACGTCCTTCCCCGCCAGCGGCGACCCTCGCCCTTGGCAACGTGTCGTTACTATTTCCAGGGAAAACTGGCAACAAGCTTCAGTTCTCTCTTCCTAATACTCAAATCAGTTTTATCACTTCTCACTTGTTAGTAATAACCGGCCAAGCAGGTCACCACTTAGCTTGGCAACCATAACTCACTCGAGAGCGTACAGGCCGAACTTGAGCTTAGAGAGCGTATTTCTCTTCCTGATACTTAAAATCTTGTTGCTACCACTGCGATCCCCCAACTACATTAAACGTCTCGAAAAGGTGGGAACGCAGCCTCCATCCATCCAGCACAGGCTGCTGCAAGGGCCCCGCGCAAGAGCATCGCCCTGGGACCGCGCCATCACTCCCCGGTGCCAACCCCCCCCCGCCCTCCCGCCTGGAGGCATGATGTCATGCACATCCCACGGCACTCCAGCTCCGACCCCCAGCTCCCCGAGAAGAGTCCTGCGCCCTCGGCCCTCCTCCCGCTCGCCCAGGAGATGGGGAGGGAAGTGGCTCGGAGGAAGCCGACCGGGACGCCGCCTCGGCTCTGCTCTCAACACAGCCCTGGATTCTTGCAAACACACAGCAGCAAGTTCCTTCCCTAACTTCGCGCGCGGGGAAAGGCGGGGGGGCCCGGGTCACCCGGGGCCGTCAGGAGAGGCTGTGCTTGCCCGCGGAAGAACCGAGACCCAAGCGAGGAGCCGGGGTAGGGCCCGGGCCGGGGTCCCGAGGCAGGAGGGGCAGGGGGGCCTGTCGCCGCGCGGCCCGGGCCGGCAGGGACACAGCTCCACTGGGCCGTCGCGGGGCAGGGAGCTGCAACGGGCCCACACTTACGGTCGGGGCAGTTGCTCCTCCGTCACTGCGGGGCCAGGTGGCGGCGGGGGCGGCGGCGGAGGCGGCGGGGGCTGAGGCTGAGGCGGCGGCGGCTGAGGGGGCTGAGACGGCGGCGGCTGCTGCTGCTGTTGCTGCTGCTGGAAAGACTTGAGGGACTCGAAAGCCTTCATCAGCTTCTCCAGGGTCGCCATGGCGGTCTCCTGCCCCGTGGGGACAGCGTCCGGGGCCCTCGGGCCCGCTCGCGTCGCCGCTCAGCAGCGCAGCAATGAATGGGGTTTGGGGCCGCGAATAGGAAAGGCACCGAAGCGTCCAGCCATCTTGAGCCCGTCCCGGCAGCCCCCGCGGCCCTGCGTCCCGCGACGCTCCGCCGCCGGGGCGGGGCCAGGCCTGGCCGGCAGATTGACAACGAGAGAAGGCGGTCTCCGCCAATGGCTAGCCGAGGCTCTGGTCCGCCCCCGCACCCGTCAAATTGCGTCTAGAGCTGGCGCAGCCACTGACAGAAAAGCGTCCTTCCTTGTCGGGGCGGTGCGGCGCAGAGGGCGGGATCGGGCGCTGGGGGCGGAGTCTGGCGCTGAGGGCGGAGTGCGGCGCTGAGGGCGGGATCGGGCGCCGGGAGCGGGGGCGGTGCTGAGGGCGGGATCGGGCGCCGGGGGCGGAGTGCGGCCCTGAGGACGAGGTAGGGTGGGCTGGGAGCGGGACGGAGGCGCGGCGCGGCGCGGAGGGCGGTTCCTGCCGGCGAGGGGCCGCCGTCCCCAGGAAGGCGTGGCAAGGCGCTGAGGGCTGGATCTCCGGGTGAGGGGAGAGGGGGACGGAGAAGGCCGGGACCCGGCAGTGTGAGGCGCGGCGGTGCTGAGGGAGGAACGTGGACGGGGCTACGGCTGCGAGGCACGGCCCCGAGGGCCGACCCTAGCGGTGAGGGGGCGCTGACGGCGTGGCCTGGAGCAGAGGAGCGCGGCGGGTTGGGCCCCCCCAGGTGTCCAGCCCCCGCCGACGCCTGGGGTCCGGGTTGACTGGGCCCAGAGACCCGTGGGGTTTGCCTGCCCACCCGCGGCCCGGCGCAGGCTGAGGGCGGGGTCGCGGGCACGCCCTGGAAGGAGGAGTCGCGCCGTCCCCGCTGGAGCGCGGGGGAGGGCACTGGTCCCGTCAGTCGGCGGGGACCCGCGGGATTGGTCCTTCCCGCGAGCAGGCGGGGCGTGGCCACCGGCGAGGGGCGGGGCCGCAAGCGGGGGGCGGGGCCGGGCGCCGGCCGGAGAGGTGGGGGTCTGGGAGGGCGGAGCGCTGAGAACCTGCCCGGCCCGAGCCTGTTGCGCGGAGAGGCGGGGCTGTGCGGGCGACCCCTCGGGGTCCAGGACTCCTGCTCGGTGCGCCGCCGGCGGCACGAAGGGGTCGGGGCTCAGGTGCCTCACCAGGTCGAGGGGGGAGGCAGGTGAGGAAGGCGTGGCGCCCTGGGCAGCGGTCGCACCTGCCCCGCAGGAGGTGGGCTCGCCTGGGAGAGAGCAGGCGGGGCTGGGGCGGGGAGGCGATGCGGGGAGCGGGAACCCTGCAGAGCCCGCGCAGGATGGGCCACAAGCCGCATCTCGGCCCGCCCTCGGAGCCCCGGCCGTCCCAAGCGGTCAGGTGGAAGGAAGCCCGGCGTCACCTCAGGAACCCCCGTCTGCCAGGGGAGAGCGGTAGCCCCCCTCGGGGAAGAACCTCGTGTTCCAGCCTTGAGTCCCAGCTCCCTGGCGGTAGGCAAGGTCCTGCTCCATGTGTCACAGGGCCGCCCGGCGCTGTGGCCTCCTAAGGCGGCCTGGGGACCCCCTCCTGCCGTTCAAGTCCCGTGCAGTGTCCTGCCTCTGAACTGGGGGGGGGGCGCCCCTGGGGGCGTACTCCTCGCCAACCTAAGGGAAGGTGGTGTCCTGGGACCAGGTCACGAAAGACTGAGGCTCCCACCCTGCCGGCTCTGTTTCCCCTGGGCTTGCGCACGTTCGTGGAGCCAGCTGCCATGAGAGAGGCCCCCGTGGCCGGCAGGCAGTGAGAAGTGGAGACTTCCCGTCCAGCAGCCCCGGAAGAACCACGTGAGCTGGGAAGCGGATCTTGCCCCATAGAGCTTTCAGATGAGAGGCAGCGGGTGCTTAACTGGGCTTTTGGGAGACTGGGAAGTGGAGGACCCGCTGAGCCGTGCCCGGGTCCCCAACCCACGGCAACTGGGTGAGACCCTGAGGACGTGCCATGAAACCGCAGTGCAGCTGCTCACACAACAGTGGGTGAGTGTGTCCGTTCACCAGGGCTGCCGTACAAGGCACCACAGCCCACAGGGCTCAGCCGCGGGGGCCTACCTCTCCCAGCCCTGTGGGCTGCAGTCCACGATCAGGGTGTGGGCAGGGCTGTTCCTCCTCCTGAGGCCGCTCTCCTTGGTGTGCAGACGGCCTTCTTCTCCCCGTGTCCTCCCGTGGTCTTCCGCGGTGCGTGCCCGTCCTAACCCCTCTCCCTCTGAGGACAGCAGGCACGTTGGCTCAGGACCCACCCACACGACCTCATTTTACCATCTCCAAGCACAGTCACGTGCTGGAGCGTCAGGGGTGAGCACTCAGCGTGAACTTTGATGGGACGCTTTCCTGACCTTCAGTACCAGCACCTTGGTTTTTATCTGGGCACTTTTCCACTTAGTTACAATACATCGCCCATCGTCCCTTTTAGTGGACAGTAGCCACGTGACTAGATACATTCTAGCCAATGAGCTGTGAGCAGAAGTGATGATGCGTGTTAGTCCTAGAGAGTGTCCTGCTGCCTGAAGGTGGGGTATCTTGGCTGGCACTTGAGCACGAGGATGAATATCACATCCTGGGACGGTGGAGCTGCAAGGAACTGGGGTCCAGGCGACTGGGTGAAGCCAGGCCAGCCTGGCCTGCCCGTCTCATGGAAATCAGGGAGGAATATAATTCTATTTTGTTTAAAACACTGTTGCTTTGGATTATTCTGTCTGTATGCTCCAGAGAGGTCAGGGGTCACTGAGACCTCACCACAGCAGATCGTGGCTCTTTCAGCCATGGCAGAGAGTCACCTAGAACTTACTGTGATCCTGACAAGAAGTGTTATAAGAAGCCTTAGAGAAAGGAACAGTCAAGAAGGCAGATTTTTTAAGCACAGAGAAAAACTTGGCATCGTCCAGAAAACAGAGCCGAGACTGGCACAGCTGGTTGGGCAATCTGGTACGGCATCGCCACCACCAGGGGCACAGTCCCTGCACGGCAGAGACACTTCTTGTCATTCATTCTCGGAGAGCAATTGTGTGTGTGTAAGGACGGTCCCTACACAGCAACGCTGAGCACAAAAATGTGGGAACAACGTAAATGCTGGACAGTCGTTTTGGGAAGAGCGCTCGTGGCTCAGGAGAAGGCTCCCAGCACACGTGGAAGAGGGACCTGGTCACCAGATTCCTAACTGGCTCTCGGTGGGCAGGGCTACTCAGTGATTTTATATCTCAATCTGTGCTTTTCTGCAGCTTTCAAATTTTCCGGGCGGCGGGAACATAAAAGAATAGGTTTCTGTGGGAGCTAAAAATAAAAACCTTACAACACACTTACGACTGACCCTGCCCTGGAGCAAATGCAGGTGGGAATGCAGAAAACGGATGCCAGCTGGGCAGTGGCATCTGCCTGAATGCAAGACCCGGAGGGAGTCTGCAGGCGAGGCCTTAGCCAGAGAAAGAAGGAAGCGCGAAGCAGAGCCGGGAGGGACAAAGGACTGGACCGGCAGTCCCTGAGGGCACTTCGGTGGCACCCCACCCATCAAATACACACACGTTGCAAAAGACATAGACACAGTAATTGTTGTTTTCAGCCGTCAATATTTACTTAACTTGACCCTCATATTTACCATTTTTATTCTTCTTCATTACTTCCTGCCTCTGCTATCTTCCTTCTGGGACCATTTTTTCTGCCTGGAAAACACCCTTTAGAATTTCTCTTACAGTGGATCTTCCATTGCTAAAATCTCAGTTTCAGCTCATCTGAAAATGTCATTGTTTTGTCTTCATTCTTAATAGACTTTTGGTTGGGTACAGGATTCAAGGTTGGCAGGTAACCCCTGTGAGCACATGGGAGACTTGGACCCCACTGTCTGCCCGACTCCTGCTGTCCACAGTCAGTTCTTGCTCCTTGGAATGTTGCTCCTCTGGCCGCTTTTATGATCGTCTCCGCCCTTGGCTGTCTGTAGCTCGCTGTCCAAGTCAGGGTGTGTAAGAAACGGGACCCTGGCTCCAGACACTGTGGGGCTGGTGCTCGAGCCCCCTCTTCCGAGCTCCGTGGGCACATATGAAGCTCAAGCATCACCACAAGGTGTCCACACCTGGGGGTTTCTAGACATCGCAGCAGTCCCGGGGCGATTTTTTCCTTCAGTCCAGCTCCAGTAAAAAGACAGTTCAGCTACTAATGTAAAACAATGTGCAGACTCACAGGCACGGCTGAAGATGTGTCACACCTGTTTACTGCAATCCACAGGAAGGATGGTTACTGAGTCCAAAGCTCCTGAGCTTTGGGGTCAGGCTCTGCGCGGTGAGCATCACAGTCCTGCGGGCAGCTCCGCCTTCTCACCAGCTCCAGGGCTAGTGAATGCAGCCCTGCAACACACGGCCCACGCCGTCGGTGACTTCCCTGAGCCACACTGCCTTCCCCTGCCCGTTGCGTGAACCTGCCCATCTCCCCACCCGGGCTACACACTCCAGGAGAAGGAGGAGGAGCAACTTCGACCAGCAGGACGCACCCATTAGCTGCCGGTTTCCTAGACAGGCTCCACTGCCACAGCGTGGGGCGTGGAGCGCCTTGAGGAGGTTTCCACGCACCACTGACTGCACCGAGACAGGCTCTCCCGGAGAGTGCCTGGGTTAGCCCAGGCCCAGCCCAGTTCTCAGAGGGAATGCCATCTGGTCAGTGCAGTCCAAGGTGGTTACCACCAAAGGACTGTTTTTCATACAGAACGTTAGTACACAGCCTCTGAATAAAGCCCTCAAGAACAGACGGTACAAAGCAGGATAATCCACTAGTCCAAGGAGAAAACTTCATTGAAAAAATATTGCTAAATTTAATGCTACCATAGAAAGTTTTTCCAAACCACAATTCTGTTTTAAAAGAGAAGCAGCTTTCCATATGAATGTAGGAAAATGAGAATCAGAACATGCAATGTAGAAATTCAAATAATATGTATTGTTTTATGATTGTTCTGTACGATACTGATTTCTGAATTAGCTTCAAATGTTGTGCCATTAATAGAAGAATCTGTTTCTGAGTGTTGCTAAGCCATTCTCCTTGGAGAACAGTCTCCATAGCAACGTCACTGTGAGGATTTTTCTACCTGGGCTCGAATAGCACCGTCTACAATAGCTGGCCCTTCAACCATGTGAAACGTCTTATTTGTAAGAGGCATTAAAAAAAAAGTTTTAACTTCGTGAAGTGATTTTTTTTTAACACGTTGCATAAAAAAACCCAAACCACGGTAACAAAATGTCTTACCATTACCGTGTTCCTGAAGAATCTGTACAAGCCTCTCTTTCGCTTGGAAGCTGGCCGACAGGTTCTGTCTTCTAGATTGAATGACTCAGTTTCTTCATTTTCACTTTCGTCGATGTCCTTGAAACATTCAGACTCAATCATCTGCGTCCATGGAGGGGCAGAGCAGAAGTGGGGGAGACGCCGCGATCAGCCCACTGTCTCCAGCCCAGCACCACTCCAGCCCTGGCCTCTATTCTTGCTTGCCCGGCCTCCCGGCCTCTTCCTGGGGGGTGATGTGGCCTCCCTCCCCGACAGTGCCGGCCAGCCCTGCTTAGGAAGCTGGACTCGGGGCCAGATGCCCCCATCGGACCCAGTGGCCGCCTTCTGTCTACCTCCTGTCAATGGACTGGGGCAGCTGCCATGAATAATCTTACCTCTCAACACACACACATAACCCGCACCATTTTTCTTTTGTCACCAGAACTAGTGTGAACTGGCCATGCTGACCAGGGCAGTACCTCATTCTGCCAGGGGATGGAGACACACCCCGTAACAAACTGGCTGTAGAAGGCTTGGTCGGAGCTGTCCAGGTAGACGCCTTTCACGGTAGAGAACTGCCGGATGTCCAGGATGTCCTTACAGTAAATCGCGTGTGGCTGCGCACCGAGAACAAGGAGGTGCGGGCTGTGAGGTCACTGGGCTCCTCGGTTTCCTTAACCACTAAGGACACAGTGTGCATGGAGTCCAGGCCTGAAAACCTCCTCTAGTCCTGGGGCTGGCCACACCCCTCATGTGAAGCACTTCTGACCCCTCCCCCAGTCACGTTCGGTCAGAGTCACAGACCCATGGATACCGACCAGCCGGCACCCTCGCCCACACACCTCTGGAGAACCCACACGTCCCTTTCCTGCACTGGACAGCGGATTGCAGACAGCGGCGGTGAAGAGGGTGGCCAGGTGCTCTTGTGGGAACACGGAGGGGTAGGATGGAGGCCCTTGGCCCTGGACCCCCACCCCTGCCTCTGACCCTCAGCCTCCTGCATGTCCAGCGTCGAGCACCCGCCTAATCTAAGCAAAAAATGGCAAGCCCCAGGCCCCATCAGAGCTCATCTCAGGTCTCCCACCAGCGAAGGCAGCCCCTCTGGGACAGGGCCTGGCACTGCAGTGCTCAGGTGCAGGGTCAGGAAGCCGGCAGGGCATGTCAGTGTGGCGCCCGTGCCCCTGGGAGGGAGGGAGGAGGAGAGCACGGCAGGCTGCGGTGGGGCCAGGCCCGGCTCACACGAGACACCCTGCAGCTCTGAGAACACACAGCACGGTGAGTGTGACAACCAAGGAAGTCATGTTCCTGATGTCACTGGCCGGAACTTCTCTGAAAGCAGCTGTCACCACAAGGTGGGGACACAGTCCAGGGGAAGGCTGGCAAGGACTCAGCCCCAGCCCAAGGCTCAAAACCCATACTGCCCCCCCCATTCAAATGAAAGTACCTGACACATCACCATCAGATTCTGCAGCCACCGGCCCCCACGGGTCCTCTGGTGAAGTTCAAGAGAACCCTCAGAACTGTCTAGAGCCTGTGCCCTGCGTGTCTCGGCACCATGCCACCATCATCCCTCCCTCCCTCAGAGAAGACTGTCTCAGGCCCACCAGCCCTGCCCCACACTGCAGGCAGCCCCAGGGCCTGGTGGAAAGAAGGTTTTTGAGACCAGCAATCCCATCTGAAGTCCCCACTGGTGTCCTGCTCCTCCTGTGACTGTTTCACTGAGCTCTGTGCTGCTGGAGCAAGCTCCGCCTCAGCAGAGGCCTGGCCACGCTGTCCTCCCATGCAGACACCACAGCCGTGTCATCAGTATGCAACTGGAACTCGTTGCATACTGGACATTTCGTTCAGGGAAGAAGGTGCTCACGTGAGCCATGGGTCTAAGCTGAGTCCCGACCTGTGCTGCCACAAACCCAGCACTGGCATGTGCCCGGCCCATAGCCCAGCGCCCATCTGGACCCCCCAGCACACACACGTGACCGTGCCAGGGTCCTCAGTGCAGACAGGACCACTGGGACACTGGTGGGGAAGCAAGCATGCCAGCACTGACATCAGAAAGGGACACTGGCTTTCCAAATTGGGCCCAGCACAACGCCTCCCGCAAAGACAGGTGGCAGGAAAAAGGGCGACCAGAGAGTGCACCATCAACATTCACAAGCGCATCCCCGGAGTGGCTTTTAGGGAGTGTGCCCCTCGGGGCCTCAGAGACATCGGGAAGTTTGCCGTGAAGGAGATGGGAACTGCAGATACACATATGGGCACCAGGCTCAACAAAGCCTTCTGGGCCAAAGGAATAAGAAATGTCCCAGACTGTGTCCGGATGCAGTGGTCCAGGAAACGTAACGAGGACGAAGATTCACCAAACAAGCTCTACACGTTGGTCACCTACGTACCTGTCACCACTTTCAAAAATCTACAAACAGTTAACGTGGATGAGAACTCACTGCTGATTGTCATATAAAGTTACAAAACCACAAAGAAAAAGGAAAAGAACAAAGGGACACCGGCAACAGGGCCTTGCAGGGCTTGCCGAGGAGGTGGTGCTGAAGCTTCCGAGAAGGGCAGTGACAGCCCACGGGGGACACGAGGCCCAAAGCCAGAGCACTGCTGGGACGGCCTGCGAGGACAGGTCTGGGGTGGTGTGCGAGGTGGGGAGAGAGGAGCCGGATCCAAGGGGACCCAGGCAGGGGCCACACTCCGCTGGCTGCAGCCGGCGATGCGGAGCCGCTGGTGCGAGGCCCACCCTTCTCCGGGGCCCGAGCCGCTCCCGTGGCCGCACAGCACTTACGTCGGGGCAGAACGGGGGCTCCACCATGTGCGCTTCCAGCCTCTTGAAGTTGATGTCCTTGAACACGGGGTGCTGTTTCACTCCAGCTGCACCATCACCCTTGCAGCCCAGGCGCTGCTTGGGATTCTTGGTGAGTAACTGCAAGAAGCAGAGATGGAGTCAAAAAGCTCCTGGGGTCGAAAGGAAACGCAAAAAATCTGGGTAACAATAACCAAAGATTCAGGGGTGACAAAGAGCACGTCCACTAAACAGCCACTCCACGCCCTGACCAGTGTGGCTCTGTGGGTTGGGCGTTGTCCCACAAATGGAAGGGTCACTGGTTCAATTCCCACATATGCCTGGGTTTGTGGGTGAGGTCCCAGGTTGGGGCACATATGATCAATGTTTCCCTTGCTCCCTCCCTTCCCCTGTCTCTAAAAATAAGTAAATAAAATGTTTTTTTAAAAAGAAAAATAGCCTCGGCTGGTGTGGCTCAGTGGATTGAGCACGGGCCTGCAAACCAGAGTTGCTGGTTCCATTCCCAGTCCAGAGCACATGCTTGGGTTGCGGGCCACATCTCCAGTAGGAGGCACTCTAGAGGCAACCAGACATTGATGTTTCTGTCTCTTTCTCTTTCCCTTCCCCTTCCCCTCTCTCTAAAAATAAATAAAATAGTTAAAAAAGAAAAACAATCACTCCAATTTCAAAGTATTGACCAAACTTCATTAATTCAGATTTTACTAGTTTAGAGTATGTGATGCTTCAAAGGCAGTGAAACAAAAGATCTCCTTTGAGCTGTCAATAAAAAAGGAGGTGGCTAAGTAAATCTTTGCCATAAAAAATGAGGGGAATTTTAAAAAAAACTGCTGAGTGCTTCAGAGATACCACTTGAATGCTAAGTTATATTTATATTTAGAAACCATTTTAATCTATTCATTAAGTAGATCACTAGGGGTCTCAGCTCTGCAAACATTTAGCAAGCCTAGTTCTAGAAAGTGAATATTCTGAAAATTAATAGAAATTACCTCTTTCAAAGGTATTCCTCCCTAACGTGTTTAGAATTGTCAAACTCACAAAGGCCCTCCCCCACAGTTACAATCGACCAGAAAGACCTGGCTGTGCCCCCAGCAGCACAGGAAAGACCCAGAGCTGGAAAACACCGTGCAGGCGGGGCTGGAGGCTGCAGCCCGGGCTGCATCCCGCACGGCGGCCCGGGCTCAGCTGGCACCGCTGCTGCTCTGCGCTGCAAAGGCAGAGAGAACCGTGAGGCCTAAGTAATGCTGCCCACCTGGCCCCGCCCAGAAAAGTTGCTGACCCCTGGGCAAACTCACAGCCAGCACCCATTGCTTCTCTGAACATAAATCAAAGGCCAAGGCACATTCTGTTTCCAGCTTAACTGCTTTTTACTGCAGTTATTTTTATGTTGGTTGGTTGTAGACCTGCCACAGACCTGGGAGCTCCTGGGGGCAGCTCTGCTTCTGACTCACAGTTTTACATTCCCGCAGCCCCGTCGGAGTGCAGCAGGCACACAGTCAGCATTTACCAGTGCACATAAAGCACAGCTTGGACAGCATGTGACCAAACAAGGAGGCGCCGACCGAACCCTGTCAGCTCCAAGCAGAACAAGTGGGAAGAGGCCCCGATCCCGCTGCTCAGTGCCAGGCCACCAACACGTGCCGCCTGCACACTGAAACGCAAGGAGAGGGAACCCGGAGTAATTACTCCAACCACTGCCGACTCCTGTGACGCCGATGCACTTCATCAGCAGGGGTGCCTGCCAGGGATCCGACATGCCACCTCCCCGGGGACCTGGTCCTCCGTCCTGACCCTGCCGCTCTGTGGGTCACACCTTGACTCTTGGTGACACAAGCGAGCCCTTCTCGACCTCATTTCCAACAGCTTCCTCTGCACGTTCCCCAGTGTCGCTACTCTGGCAAGACAGAACCATGATGCCAACACGCTGTGATTCACGTGACAGGAGCATGACACACAATCAACCCCCTTAATTTAAATCCACACGGGCCTCTGATGCTCCCAGGGCCACCCTCAGCTTCCTTCACCTCCTCCAGGCACACCTCCAGCAGCTCCCTGCACCCGCTGCACAAGCACCGCCACGCAGCACCAACACTCTCTCTGGGCACCCCACCCTCCTCCCCTCCCTGCACGGCCTGGACGCCCCACACGAAGCCCTGCAGGCACCACCTCCCTGTTCGGCTGGAATCTGGCTTCTCACCCACCTGTGACTGCCCCCTCTCCAGGACATCTTCGAAGACCTGGCTGGCTTCCCTCCACCCATCCTTGCAGTCTCTTCCAGCACATCCCCCTCAGAACCCTGCCTTCCCGGGGCCCCACGGACCCCTCTCCCTTCCCCCCAGTGCCTGGCAGTCTACACCCCGTCCTGTCAGCCCCCCACTGCCCCTGCAGCAGAACGAGTCCCAGGGGACGGGCGTCCTTGCCAGCTCTGCCCACTGCTGGGTCCCCCATGTCCGGGACAGTCCCGCAGGCGATGCTCTCAAATGGTCACACAGGAAAGTGAGTGAAGAAACGTGCACAGAGCAGCTGAGTACCGGCTGACGTGACAAAGAGGGCTCCTTCCACCCCTTTGTGCCTGCGCAGTCATGGACCCGAGCGAACGAAAGGGGCCCCTGTGCACCCCAAGGGCACGTGGGGGCAAGCCTGGCTGAGTCCCAGGAGGCTCGTCTCCCCACCGTGACCCACGGGCTTGCCAGGCCCCTGACCCCTGGAACACAGGCCCACAGCAGGCCGGTCAGGGTGACGACAGGACAGGCCCTGGCAGCCAGCTAAAGGGAAAAGAAACACGGACGAGAGCAAACCCTCGCTGCTCCCAAACACGCTGGAGATTCCGCTTCACGTCCAGTTTCCCGGGAAGCTGGTCAGGGACAGGAGGCCCAGCTGCGCTCTGACAAGAGGGGCGAGGCCTCGGTGCCGCCCCTCCTCGCACCCAGCAGCATCTCCCAGCCCAGAAGGCAGACAAACCACGCCGTCCACTCGCTGTGCTCTGCCGCACCAGAAACCCAGCCACGCCCGCCTCCCAGGTGACGTCCGGACCGTCCCTACGGCCCTGCCTGCCTTGAGAGGGAGCCCCGCCGGCACTGGCGTCGGGGCGCCGCGGGCAGGGCCGCCGCTGGCGGCCTCTCCCAAGCCCCCGAGAAGCTCGACTCCCCACCCGCCCGGAGCCGGACCCACCATCCTGCAGATGGACTTGGCGTCCTCCGAAAACCTCTCGGAATACTCCTCGGTGTCCTTCTTCACGCGCCGGTCCACCTCATCCCGCTGGACTTTCTCTTTGAACTTTCTGAACGGAGAGTGTCCCTGAATCATTTCATACATCAGACAGCCAAGTCCCCACCAGTCAGGGCTGAACGTGTAGTTTTCATTGTCGACGACTTCAGGAGCTACGTGACAAATACAGGAAATTTAAGTTAAATTTTAGTTTCCCATCTTCTTGTCATCACTTCCGAGCAACACACTATGATTTCAACGTCTGCCGTGACACGGCGGACCCACAGACGGCGCTAGGCCAGGGAGCCGGGCACGGGCTGGCCGGCGCGCCGCTGCGTCCTGTGAAGCGGGCACCTGGCCAGGTGCTCGGGCACAGGAAGCAGCTTAGCGGCTGCAGGGCTGGGGGTGGGAGGTGACAAACAGGGAGCGACTGCCGACGGGCACCGCGGCTCTCGTGTGAGGTGACGGAAATGTTCGGGGACGGGCAGTGGTGGTGGCACACTGCCAGGAACACTATGGAATCCACAGGACGGCGCACTTCCGACTGCTGGGCTTTACGGGGTGTGGGTTAGGTCTCACTGCAGCTGGCACCGGAAACTGCCCCGTTCCTGACCGTGAACCGAATCCCTCAGAACGACAACTGGGATGGGAGCTCCCCCCACCCACCCAGAACCACAGCCCCGGGCGCCCCAGGTGCCCCAGGCAACGGCCTCGGTCCCTAGTGTAGGCAAGCCCGCAGCGGCAGGTGACAGCAGAAACAGAGGGTCATGCGGACTGCTGCGGGAGGCCACCCTGGGGTTGGGCTGGCTTCCCAGCCAGAGCTGTGAGGTCACTCCTCTGGGGCTGACCCAAGACTTTGGAATAACCAGGGGACACAAGTTCATGAGGGGTCTGCGAGGTCAGGGTGCGCGGGGGTGGCAGGAGCAGAGTGACTGAGCCCAGTCCCAACCCTGCCTTCAGGCAGCCGCGGGACGTCCACAGGCCTCAGTCCCCCCAGGAGGGGAGCAGACGGGAGGACTTCAAACGCCACACCTGTGCCTCAGGTAGGACTGACTCCAGGTGCCTCTGCACTTGAATTTCTCTGGGTTCTGAGGACCCAGGCACCTGGACAGAGAGCAGAAGGGCCGCTGAAGGGGTCTTCTACGTACCCATGTAGCCGACCGTGCCGACTCTTCCTCGAACCATCTCCCCTTCCGGGATCTCCAAGGCCAACCCGAGATCGGAAATCCGGATGTGTCCTGCGTGTGTTCAAACACAGGACACACATCACAGGGGCACGGGCTACCGCGCAGACAACACGAAATGGGAAGGAACATCCGCAGACGCCGGTGGGCGTGACAGCAGTCCACACTCAGACACACTGGAATCTGAAGTCACGCACAACTTCCCCACACTTACTGAAACGCCACCCAGGGCGTTCCGCTCCACGGGCAGCGGGACTGAGGCCGACACCTGGTCGTGGACCGGGAGGGCCCCCCCACCGCAGACCGCCGGCTGGCAGCCCTCCCAGGCACCCAAACAGTTCCCGTCTGCGTTACGCTCAAGGCCGGGAACCGGACCTTGGCCTCAGGCTGCACCCGTCACAGACCCCATCGTGCCCTGAGCGTGTGCCCATCCCCGGGGGCCGGAGGTGAAGGGTGGGCGCAGACTCCGGAGCCACACGGCCTGGGGTTGAGTCCCAGCTCTGCCACTTGCCGGCACAGCGCGGCTTCCTCCTTTCATACAGAATCCCCTCGACAAGGCAGTGTCATGTGCCTTCTCTTTAAGTAGAGCACACGCATGTTGTGAAATTTTAAGTTCCTTTGTCTCATTTTTCTTTTAAAAAGTGATTTTTATACTGAGAGGTGAACGGTAAAGCTACTGAAAAACTGATGGAAACTCCGAATTTGAGAACATGGCCTGTGGGTGTGGTGCAGGGAAGCAGGCAGACCCGTCCCTGCTGGAGAGGGGGCAAACCCGCACAGCGCCCTCGGGAGGAGCCTGGTGGGACTGCGCGTGGATCTGTCCTTCCACCCACAGGAGCACCCCGCTTCTGTGACTCCGTACCAGGCGGCCGGGCCAGGGACCCGGGAGACCTCCACTCAGTGTGGGAGAGTGACCTCGGTCACATGTTTTAAAAGCAAAGTGGAGGAAACACTGTATGCTAATGTCGTTAGGAACCAGTATTTTCAGCACTAGGAGAAAAACGCAAACGTGAAATAAAGACATGAAATAAAAATTGGGAATATCAATATGAACCCATGATGAATATTTTCTTAGAAAAGATAAAACACGTCGTCTCTGTCCACTGAAAAAGCCTAGGAAGGTCGACTGCCAGCAGCAGTGCCACCTCGGCGCCCAGCCGGGGCTCACGATGCCGCTTTCCACCTAGAAGTCCAGGGCCCCCTGGAGAAATGCTCGGCCCCAGGCCTCCGCACACGCGCACGGCAGCCCTGCACACCTCCGCAGTGGCAAGCACAGGAGGCCTCCAAGTCTACGGGACGCCAGCGGGCCAGAGATGGGGCGAACCAAACGTCGGAAAGAACGACTTCGATGGATGAAACACATCGGAGTGGTAAAACCCACCGGCTTACAGCAATAGCAAAACGGAAAAACAAACACTTCTTGGTCGTCCTGGAGAGTGACAGAGAACTAACACAGTGTTCTGAGCAGTGAGAATAAAGGGAGGTCATGTTCCAGTGCTTCGCTCGATTTTCCTGAAAAACACGCAAGCAAGTGCTGATGAAAGTTCTTTCAAAGTTCTTTTTTCAGATGGACCCAACAAGTAGGCGCGGAAGGAACCAGGGAAGTGGCGTGTCATCACACCCCCCCCCCCACGTGGCGCGAGGGCCTCCACACTGACCGTCCGGCCACCGACTGAGCGGCTGGCGGGAACGCACAGGGGACAGGCCAGCTGACCACAGCACGGGCCAGCCTGAACGCCACGAAGAAAGAGACCCCACCCTCGCCGGGCGGCCCAGTGGATTGGAGTGTTGTCCCCATGCACCAAAAGGTCACGGGTTCCATCCCCAGTCGGGGCACATATGAGAAGCAACCGATTGATGTTTCTCTCTCTCATTGGTGTTTCTCTCTCTCTCTCTCTCTCTCTCTCTCTCTCTTTCAACTCAATAAACATATCCTTTGGTGAAGACTAAATAAATATTTTTTGCCCTGGCTGGTGTGGCTCAATGGATTGAGCACCGGCCTGCTAACCGAAGGGTCACCGGTTTGATTCCCAGTCAGAGCACGTGCCTGGGTTCGAGGGACACGTGAGAGGCAACCAATCAATGCTTCTCCCGCACATTGTACTCTCTCTCCCTTTTTCTCCTTCCTTCCTCCTCTCTCTAAAAGTGAATAAAATCTTTTTTAAAACTGCTAATGGTTTTTATAAGAACTCACTATCTGACTTTTTAGGAATATCTCTATTTCATAAAACGGAAGCCTCTTCTACAGGAAATTTAAGCATCACAGTTTTCTTTATTATCACTGCCACCAGATGAATTTCGTAAGCCAAGGCTCCCTTAGTTTACACACTGGCAGGAGAGTGCTGAGACGTGCAGGAGGGCCACAGGGTAAACGTGCCTCACGACGCAGCGGAGAGCCGGCCAGCTTCCCTCACCCAGGGCCACCACAGAGGTAAGCTCCGCCTTACAAACCAAACGTAGCCTAGCAAGTTGTCTGGGAGGAACACGGAGACATGTTTGAGGAGAGTCATGTCGCTCTGTCTCCCATGGCTTGTTGTTCTCAGGAAAGTAGTTCTCAGGAATCTCAACTGCATGGTAGTGAAAATCCCAAAATCCACTGCACTTTTTAAGTCAGAGAAACTGAAGTGTATTTTTTAAAATTAAAACAGTAGGAAAAGAGGAATAAGAGATTAAAAGTCTCCTTAATCAAGAAAAGCAAACGAGGTTTTGTCCACCTTCTCTCAGTCCTGGAAGGTGAGCCGGTGGGTAAAGGACAGGAACACGGCGACAGTACCCAGAAACGCCGCCTCTTGTTAGTCTGCTTGCAAAAAGGGATGACACGCAAAACTCAAGCCCAGAGGCGATCAGCGGAGAGCGCTCCGCGGTGCCGCCGTCGCTCTCACGGGCCTCGGGGCCCGCCCGCCCGCCCGCCCAGCCTCTCGAGCAGACAGGCCGGCAGACGCGGCACTGTTGCCCCTTCTTCCCCAAACAGGCAGCGCCCGTGCCCCGCTCAGCACCGCGCTCTTTTCCGATGAACACTGCGCCGCGTGTCGGCGAGCGCCCCCCTCTGCACACAGCGGACACCGTCCCTTTCCAAAGCCGCTCTGACCCACACTGGCTGGCGGCACAGCACAGGGAATGAGCCTCAGGGGCTGGGGCTGGGGCTGGGGCCAGAAGAAGAAAAAGAGAGCAGAAAGGAGCGGACCGCAGGCCAGGAGCCAGAGGCTGTGGGCACGACCTGGCGAGACACAGGCCCACCTCGGTGCCCTCGGCCCCCGAGCTCGTCACGCCCTGCACTCGCCTCGCTCGGACGAGAAAAAATGGCTCAGCACTCGGCGCTTGCTCGGGACCCGTCACCCTTGCTAGAACCCGCAGGAGTCACAGCGCCACCCCGCGGGAGAAGACGCTTCATCGCTCGCTACTCCTTGGTGTGGCACTCGTCACGAGTGCCAGAACGAACTAATGCGAGGACCCAGGCACCACTGTGCTTCCAGACCCTGGCCCCCACACATGGGGCTTCTTCCCATCCCTCTCGGGGGCTGTCTCTCACCCAACAGGACCCCAGGCAGGAAAGCACTCGGCAGGCAGGCGCGCAGGGCACCTGGGCACTGACCAAGCCCCAGGTTTGCCTCTGGGTTCCTGCCGTCGACCCTGCCCTCTCCTGTCGGAGTCCGTTGGCCTTGCCTCGTGCTCTCTGCTCGGTGGCCACGCTCCTCCCAGCCACACGTCACCTCCGACAACTTCCCTCCCACAAGGGTGTGCGCGGCCACACGCTGACACGGCAGCGACGCCTGACCAGTGCGGCTCGTCCAGCCCCGTGCACTGGCGGCTGCCTGCCTAAGCGGGGACAGACCGTGTCACCCAGACCCTGTCCTCAGAGGAACGTGCACCCGCTTGTTTCTGTCGTCGTCTCTGACTGCGCTGACCCCTGGGCCCACGTCCCCCTCCTGTGCCCGGGTCCCTCGCAACACAGTCTGTGCGCCAGACCAGACAGGCTCACTCACCAGAGTCGTCGAGCAGGATGTTCTCAGGCTTTAAGTCCCTGCAAAGGGAGAAATGAGAGCAAAACTCAGTTACTCAGAAGTCGGTACCATGAGCCCCGGCTGGTGTGGCTCAGTGGTTGAGCGCCGACCTGCAAACCAAAGGGTCGCTGGTTCGAGTCCCAGTCAGGGCACATGCATGAGTTGCGGGCCAGGTCCCCAGTAGGGGGCGCGTGAGAGGCAGCCACACGTGGATGTTTCTCTCACTCTCTTTCTCCTTCCCTTCCCCTCTCTAAAAAATAAATAAATAAAATCTTTTAAAAAACAAAAAGGAAGTTAATACCGTAATCCATCAGCAGCCCATGGAAATGACCGGAAGTCTCTGCACTGTGAGCAACGGCAAGGACGGGTAACACAACCACGCTTTGTGGGTCAAGTGAAGACCCCTTCGCGCTGTCCCGTCCCCAGTCGTCACGCGGAAGGACGAGGAGCCCAGACAGCGTTCGCCTGACCGCAGCGGAAGAGGGACCTCTCTGCGCAGACAGAGCTCACTGAGGATGTTCAGCACCGAGCGTGCGCCCAGGCATCGGGAATGAGTCTGTGTACCTGGCCACAGTCTCCCGCTCTGAAGCACCCAGAGAAGCAGCGGGATTCGGGGTGGGGGGAGAAACACAGGCGTGACCCCGCTGTCTTCCTTCCCAGGGCCTGCGTCTGTGCGTGCAGAACACCCCAGGGAGTACACACCGGACTTCGGAAACCCATGGCCGAGCTCCGCAGGGGCACTGGGCCGCTCTGCTGGGGCAGATGGCGTTTCCGTACACTTGCAGTGAACAGCCCGAAGCTGAAATTAGGGAAGTAACTGCATTGGAAATGGAATAAAACGTGGAAGAATAAACTTAACAAAAAAGTACAAGACTTACACATTGAAAACTACAACACGTTACTGAGAGAAGTTGAAGAATATCTAAATAAATGGAAAGATATCAGAAGACGCGGTATGGCTAAGACGTCATTATTCCCAAATCGATTTACAGATTCAGTGCAAACCTCCGCAGGCAAAACATTTTCGTTTCAAAAACTGACAAGCTGACCTTCACACTCACGTAGAAATGCCACGTGAGGCCCCAGAATAGGCAAAGTCATCTTCAACGTGACCACAGTTAGAATCCAAATGTCGGGTGCCAAGTGCAGGAGGTGGAGGAACGGGCACTTTCCGGTGTCGAAACTTACCGCAAAGCTACAGTCATCAGGATGGCGTGTTACTGGCAGGAGGACAGACAGACCAACGGACAGAACGGAGAGCTCATGGATAAAGCCTGCCGTCTACAGCAGGCAGCTTCTGACACAGGTGACACACGGGCTTCTGACACACGGGCAGGTCAGGGAGGAAACGCCGTGTTTCCAACACAGAGGGCTGTGACACAGGCTCCTAACCCACCCGCACTGCACTCACAATTAACTCAAGGTATCCTTTATTTTTTAAAGACTCTGTTTATTTATTTTTCAGAGAGAGAAGAAGGGAGGGAGAAAGAGAAGGAGAGAAACATCAATCAGTTGCCTCTCGAGCGCTCCCTACGGGGGACCTGGCCCACAACCCAGGCATGTGCCCTGGCCGGGAATCCAACCAGCAACCCTTTTGGTTCTCAGGCCAGAACTCAATCCACTGAGCCACTCCAGCCAGGGCTGAAGATTGATTTTAAACCTAAAAGTAAAACTATGAAACTCTGAGAAGAAAACATTGGACAAAACCTTCATGCTATTTTGTTAGACATAGATTTCTTAGCTATGTCACCAAAAGTGATTGATAAGAGAAGTTTATAAATTGTACTTCACTACAGTGCAAAGCTTTTGTACTTTCTAAAGAGACTATTAAGAAAATAAAAAGGCAAGCCACAGACTGTGAGAAAATACTTGCAAATTTTATATCTGATTAAGGACTTATAAGCAGAACACATAAAGAATTCTTTCAACTGAAGAAGGAGAGTAACCCACATTTAAAATGAGCAAAGTGTTTGAATAGACACTTGACCACGGAATGCAAAAGAGTGGTCACAAACCCACGAAAAGGTGCTGGACAGCGTCAGTCACTGGGGAAATGCAAACCAAAGCCACCCTGCGGCGTCACCTCACCCCCCGGGAGGCCCGAATCAAAGCGCCAGGCAACCAGTGTGGGAGGCAGAGGAGTGGGAGCCCTGGAGGAAGTGTAAAATGCAGCCGTTGTGGAAGACGGTTTGGAATTTTCCCGAAAAGATCAACATAAATGTCCCCTGTGACCAAAGAATGCATCTTCCAGGCATCTACCTGAGAGCACTGAGAATGTGCATCCCACAGAGACTCACACGCAGGGTCACCGAGCTAGTGTGGAAGGTGACCCTTCCGGCACACGATGGACCGGGGTCCCTGGTGAAAAGCCAGCGTGGGCTTCTCCAGCCCCTCACCCACGTGTTATCTGCTGTGTGTTTTTCTGCTCTTTCCTTAATTGTCAGAAAATACAATGAAATTGAAAACTTTTTTCTTAAAACGGTGAAAAGACTCTCCACACACTTAGTGAACGCACCCGCCGGCTAGCTGTCCCTGGTCTGTCTGTTTTTGGTGAAGACACCGAAGCCCTCCTCTCTGAGCACACCCCCACGGCACCACACGGCACAGCACGGCACGGCGCGGGGTCGCCGTCTCAGTCCTCAGACTTCACTCGCCGCAGAGCTGGCGCCAGCCCTTCCCCAGCCTCCCCCACTCACAGCCCCACACCTGCCCCAGCCCCCTGCAACTATGTTTCTACACGGTTTCTAGGAGTCTGATTTTTTTTATTTTTAAATATTTTATTTATTCATTTTTAGAGAGAGGGAAATGGGAGGAGAAAGAGAGGGAGAGACACATCAATGTGTGGTTGCCTCTCATGCGCCCCCTGCTGGGGACCTGGCCCGCAACCCAGGCCTGTGCCCTGACTGGGAATCTGATTTTTTTTCAGATTGTACAGACAAGCGATGCCGTGCAGTCTTTGTCTTTCATCCTGACGTACGTCACTCAACACGACGCTCTCTGTGCCCACCCACATGGTCGAGAGCAGCAGGACGCCCTCGGTCCTCACGCTGAGCCACATTCCACTGCGCATGCGCCTCGGCTTGTCCATTCACCCGCTGGTGGGCGCTCAGGCTGCCCCTCAGGGCGGCTACTGCCGATGCTGCTGCCATGGACATGGGAGGGCGGGTGTCTCTTCCAGAGCCTGTGGGTGTACCCTTTAGATAAAGACCCAGAAGCGGAACTGCTGGGTCGTCTGGTTGTTCTACTCATAATTTTTTTGAGGCAGCTGCATGCTGTTTTGTACAGCAGTGAAACTGAAAACATTCTAAAGGCCAACTCTCTAAGATTTTCGGTCTTCCTTTTCCGGTGGCAGCCAGCAGGCAGCGAGGACTGTGGTCCTCTCCTCTCCACGCCACGGTCGTCGAACTGAGGACGTTCTGAGCCTCCTTCGCTGGTTAAACGTAAAGCTGAAGGCCATGAGAAAACCAAGAAGGCTGTTTTGCTTCTTAAGAAACTCAAGGCCTGGAATGACACCAAGGAGGCGCGTGCCTCTCGGCGAATGAGAGCTGGCAAGGACAAGACGAGACACCGCCCTCGCGTCCAGCTAGAACGAGGACAGCGCCATCATCGAGGCCTTCGGGGACAGCCCTGGAATCACCGCCCCAGGTAGCCAACCGAACAGTGTGAAGCCTGCTGCTGGTGGGCATGTGCGCCCTGCCCACCCGCGGACCGGAAGCGCCTCCTGCGGGCCGGGCGGTCTGTGCAGTGCCGGCGCGAAGCCGCTCCCCGCCGGCAGTGACGACGGCCTCCCCGTGAGCGAGGTGCTCAGCGCAGACCCCAGCAGGGCCTGGAGGAACCCGAGGTCCGAAGGGCTGTCCGGGGCCGCTCGAGGAGGTCCCTGACGACAGGCCCACCGAACGACCTGGGAGTCAGGCTGGAGCCAAACCCGCACGCAAAGGCCACGCGCCGTAACTCCGCTCTCCACCAGGCCGGAGCCACGCGCTCCGCGGGCAAAGCAGCGGCAGTGCGAGGAGCCAGACCAAATGAGGGAGGCGCCCAGGCAGAAGCCCGGGGTGGGCAGGGAAGGGAAGGAGGCGTCGGCGTTGTGCAGCAGAAGCGGCCCTGGGTGCGAAGAAGGCCACAGCCACCGAGAAGCCCGCCACGGAGAAGCGTATAAACTTAAATCTGAGCACCCCGTAAAGGTCCAGTCACTTTGGACAGCTAATTCTGAGTAAAAACCTGATCAGAGGTAGTGGGAAACATTAAAGAAAAAAGATTTTCACTCTTTCGGCCACATCCACCCGCAAACATAGAGCACATTGCTATCAAAAATAATTCTGGTAATTTACAAAGGACACCCTCAAGACGACCGAGACAGAAACGCCCCACCCTCAGAGAGGCCGACGGACGCAGAAGAGCGCTGTGGCCGCACCCCACTGCGCGGGCGGGGCCCCCCCAGGCTGCATGCAGGTCGGACTGCAGCGCGGCCCCCACAAAGACCTGCGTGCCGCTTAACACAGACGCGGCGGAGGGAGTGCCTGGCCAGAAGAGAGGCATTTCAGCGCACCTGATTTTACAGAGCCTGTGTTCCCAAGTCAGCTTTTTAAAGACACTCAAACCCCAAAGGCCACAGCTTGCTTTCAGACGTCCGCATACCGCACAGGGGGTGCCCGGGCCCCGGAGAGCGCGAGGGCCCCTGGCTAGACTTGAGGGGCGCGTGCCTGCCATCGCGATGCCCAGGTGCGAGCGGGAAGGCTGGCTCCTCAGACAAAGCGATGGCTTTCCGCTGAGAAGCAGGACACTCTTCTTCTCTCAGGGTCCTCTCTGCACGCACACGCTTGATTTCACTCGCTTGCTGTTGGCATCCCTGGTTTTAGACGGCAGCTACAGGCAGAGGCGCCCGGGTGTGACAGGCTCCCACGCCCTCCCACCGCCCGTCCTGCAGCACTAGCAGCGAGCCGCTCTGGTCCCGGCAGCAGCAGTCTAGTGACGACCTCTGAACGTAAGAAAGAGGACCCAAAACCTCTCCTTGGAGGAAGGCAAGCAGCGCTCTAATGGGGCCCTCGATTCCAGGGCGGAGGGGGCACACCACAAAAGGCGGAAAGCCCTCCGTCACTCCTAACAGGCACCGAGGGGCGCCCCCTGGTGGCAGGTGTCGTGGACCGGGAGATGCAGAGGACCGTCGGGCACCGGCCGTTGGCACGGACAGGCGACAGGCACAGCCACGCAGGCCTCCTGCTGCCTCGAGAAGGACTGTCCTCTCAACTGACCGTCACGGCGCTTGGGGAGGAGCAGCCCGTGGGTCTTCAGCTTCGCTCCCGTTGTTGCCGCTGGAAGGGGAGGGAGGGAGGGAAGGCCAGTGTGCGGCGTAGGGAGGACTCCATGGCCAGAGACCGATCGGGGGTGCGGGCTTGGGAACCGCTGCTCACGGTCACCGAGAGCCCTGCCCTTCCTGTGCAGCTGTAATCCCTGAAAAGTCAGGAAAAGACAGACAAGGAGAGGGGCACAGACTCCTGCCCTGGCTGTGGGGCGAGGGAGGCGGGAAACAGCCCAGGTCCACCTGACCAGGGATGGAAGTGGCCGAAGCCTCCGAGGGGCTCCAGGCAGCTCTGGCGCGACCGCCCGGTGGGGACAAAGGCTCCGCAGGTGCGAGGGGAGCGCGCCCCCGTGTGGTCAAAGGGGACAAGGCACCGGCGGTGAAGACCAGCCCGACGACGCAGGAACCCAGGCCCGAGGGGAAACAGCATGGGACTCCGAGTGGCCCCGGGAGCCGCCGCTAGGCGGCGCGAACTCCAAGAGCAGAGGGAGCCCTGGGGAGAGCAGCACGCGGGCCCCATGCGGGGCTGACACGGGGCCACCGTGGGCCCCAGCCCAGAGCAGGCCTCGTGCTCCCCAGCGCTGAGGAGCAGGGACTGGGCCAGGCTCCAGGCGGGGGCCAGCTCGGGCCTGTGCTGCGGGCTGGCCCACAGAGGGCAGGCCCGGCCGGTGACCGCAGAACATAAGGAGGGACGGGGGAGCAATCTCGGAGGGATCTGGTGGCCAAGGGGGAGCGGAGGGCGGGACCCAGGGACACCCAGGCCCCTTGGGGTGTTAGGAGACAGGGTGAGGCCGGCAGGGCCCAGGAGGGAGCCGGCGCAGGGGGTCAGCAGATGAGCCCGGAGGTGCAGCCTGCCCAGGGCGTGGCGGGGGGCAGGGCGGGTTGAACAGCCACAGCCCGGGCTCCAGCCCCCACCGGGCGGGAGGGCGGTCGGGCGGCGCTCCTCAAACCTCACTCACGGCTCCCACCGAGCTGAGTCTGACTAGCGAGCTACTGGGGTTTCCTGCCCTGAGTTCCAAGGTGTGGAAATATTAAAATAAGTATAACTTTAAGACATTTAATTGTTACGCTGCTTCACTGGAACAGAGTCTGCAGCCCTCAGCAGAACCGTCAGAATGTCTAAGAACCTCGGAGACAGGTTCCCCTCGTGCTGAGCAGCACTGGCCGTGTCTGACCGACTTACATAAAACCACTTCCTGGGCACCAAGGAGAACGGGAAGGCAGGCCCTGGCCCACCCGGCCGGCCGCAGTGTGCGTGACGGCCAGCCCCCAGGGCGCGCACCTGTACACGATGCGCTCCCTGTGCAGGTCCTCCAGGCCGCAGCACAGCTCCGCCGCGTAGAACACCGCCCGCCGCTCGTCCAGGCCGGGCCCGCCCAGGTTGCAGATGTGGAACCGCAGGTCCCCGCCGTTCATGAGCGTGAGCACCAGGCACAGGCAGTCCTTGGTCTGGTACGTGTAGCAGAGGCTCACCTGCGGGCGGCAGCGCACACGGGACCCTGCTCACTCCCTGGCGAGTGCCCTGCCACGCACGTGGGGTTCTCGACGAGGACCCCCAGCCCCCCGTGCTCCAGGGACAGCACACCCACGTGCGGGGCCCCTGGGCCCCCACGGCAGTCCTGCTCTGAAGGGAGGGAACCTGCCGTGTCCGAGTGGGTAGGTGGCAAAACTCCCCAAAGACGCTGGGGTCCTGACCCCAAGGCCGCGCTCCCGCCTGGAGCACCCGCATTGCGGCTTCCAGAACCCCGCAGCCCGCCTAGGCGTGCACCGCGCCCCGGGGCCCGGCAGCCGCTCCACCGCGGCGGCAGAGGCGGGCCTCTTCCTGAGTGTGTCTGCACCGCCGCACGCACACACACGGTCTCCTCACACTGCTGCGCATCCGTGTCGCCCACCGAAGCCTCTTTCGCCTGCTCCGGGCTCTCGCCTGCTTTGCTGTTGGTTTGCGTGTGAGTTCTCTGTCTCACACACGCGTGTCCACACTCACACACTCAACCCCCTACAGGGCCGCGGTGGACTGCACCGAAGGCACTTAACCGCCCGCCGACCTGGGGGAGAGCCAGCGTCCTCGCAGCACCGAGGCCTCCGGCCCCGGACCCCCGGACAGAGCGCCCCCCGCCTGCTTAGGCCCCTGCAGCTCCCCGCGCCAGTGCGCTGCGGGTCCCGGGGCAGAAGTCTCACCCACTTCCCCTGCCTGCCCAGGTGCTGGAGTTTGCTGGCGCTGCCGTGCGTGGCGCCAGTGGAAACTCCCACTTCCTGATCGTGGCCAGTATCACACGTAGGGACTGACCAACTTCCAGTCAGTGCCCCAGAAAGTCCTGCGCTGTCTACACACACCACGCTGCAGGCCAGGGTGGCGGTGGGGACGAGGAGCGGCAGCTGACACAGGACAGGGCAGGGCCCTCATCGGCCGCACCCAGGGGACAGCAGAGTCCAGGACGGAGCGGCCAGCGCAGCAACCAGAACGTTTCATCTGAAGGGACTGAACCGTAGCCACGCCCTCTGCCCCGACCATCCAGCCGGGCTGTGGGCGCCCGTGTCTCCAGAGCCGCCCCACTCGCACGTCGAAGGCAACGCCGAGACGAGCCCATCCGATGAGAGGTTTCTGCGTGACGACTGCCCGACTATCAGACACACACGGAGTCCTGCTATCAAAGGGCGACGACGGCCGTCCGCCGTCTGGGACACCCGTCCCCAGCACAGGGCAGCTGACCTCAGCCCCGGGAACCAGGGGCCTCGGGGAGGCGGCTCCCACACGACCAACCGCTCCACAGACCACCTCTCTCTGCCGCCCGCCAGACCTTCCTACCGCCGCCGTAGGAGCTCGGGGAACGCGCCTTTCGGTGAGGAGAGACCAGTTCAGAGGCGAGGCCGCTCCGCCCGGACAGGGGCCCCCGCCCCCACCCCCGCAGGCAGAACACGCAGCTCCGTACAGCTCTGGGACTCGCCACCTGGGGGCCGATTCCCGGGGGCCGACAGAGGACAGAGGTGGCAACAGACGGGCCCACGTGAGGACACGCTGGGAAGTGCCTTTAGGCAGGCCAGCAGGGTGCCCCGGGGGCCAGGGTCCGCAGGCTCCCCCCCCCGGGGGGGAGGGGCACCTAGCCAGCCAGCCAGGAAGGGGGCGGGTGTGAAGAGTAACTGCCAGAGCAGAGACGGGGCGGGGGGGGGGGGGACAGCACCGGTTTGGGACAAACCGAAAGCACCCCCCAGGGCCGCCGCTGGCTTACGTCCGTCCCCAGTGGGGACCGAGCGCCCAGAAAGGAGGGCTGGGCCCGGCACCAGACACCAGCCCCCCCCCCACAGCAGCCCCCCCCTCCCAGGCGGGAAGGGCCGGGCGCTGGGCAGCACGGGCCGCGGGGGCGGGGCAGACACTCACGACGAACCGGCTCTGCACCTTCTGCAGGATCCTCTTCTCGTTCAGCGCCATGGCCTCGCCCCTCCTCCTCTTGATCCTCTTCTTTTCCAGCTTCTTGCAGGCGTACATCTTCCCCGTGGCTCTCACTTGGCAGGCACAGACCTCGTTTCAGAAAAGGAAAAGAAAAGGTCGACGCGCGCCCAGCGCTTCCCGGGCTGCGGAGAGGGCACGGCAGCCCGAGAGACCCTGCGAGGGGCCGACACCGCGGCAGCAGCCAGGACCACCACGGGCCTCGGCTCCCTGCCCTCCGCCCTCTGCCCTCCGCCCCCTCCGCCTCCGCCGCCCCGGAGCAGAGCACCCCTGTGGCCCCAGTGCAGGGCCACCGGGACCTGTTCACCGTCCGTTCACGCGGGACCGTGCGCAGCCGGGGGGGGGGGGGGATACGCCTCCCCCATCTTCCTCCTTGCTGCCCAAGAGCGAAAGCTTCAGAGCCTAAATCAAGTCTTCATTTTTTAAAAAAACTCAAGAACGTAAGAAAGCATATGTCGTAGAATTCATACCCTTTCGTGCATTTATTCTGCTTAGTTTCAGAGTGGTGTTTATAGATTACCTACCTGTACGTCACGAAAATTTCCAGGCAAACGTGTCAGGACAGCGGAGGGAGAAGAGGGAGCCCGGGGTCCCAGTCCCCAGGCTCCGGGGCATCAGCGCGCAGTGCACCCCCACCCACATCTCACACACACACACACACACACACACCCCTCCAACATCCCTTACACACCTACTGCACAGCCACACACACGGAGCACTTGAAAGCAAATGCAGAACATGATGTAATTGTATCCATCAATAAAATAACCGACGGTAAAACATAGAGTTTATTGTGGGAAATGCCTAAGGTATTAACAAGGACGACGAATAAAAACTCCCCTGAAAACCCCGGGACGACTGTCGTCGGCACGCCGCCAGACTGCGCTGGTGCCCCTCCACGCACGCACACGCACACACACGACCGCACCCCGCGCCCCCGGCTCTGAGGGGAAGCGGGGCCCCACACTGCCGGAGGGGCCACACCTCACAGCCCCCTTCGTGCGTGCGGCGTGCCCGGGGCCTCACTCAGCGTGCAGCGCCCTCCCAGCACACGGCTGTGCCAGAGCCTGTCAGTCACTCCCCCGCCGTCAGGCCGGCACGCGGACCGAGGACGAGTCCTCGCCGTGGACCTGGGCGGGCCGCCCCGTGGGAGCGCAGGCAGGGCGGGGAGGGAGGCAGGGGCCCCGCACCTGCGGCCGCACACCAAGGACATCCAGGGAGCAGAGGCCACACGCCTGCGAGTGGCGCGCAGGAATGCGACCCCAGGGCCGCCCAACCCGCAGGTGCGCTTCTCTCCCTGCGCTGTGCGCCCCCCAGCCCTGCAGGCAGGGAGGCCCACCCAGGCCCGGCACCCTGCCTGCCTCAGGACCCGTGAGCGTCTGGGGAGGGCTTCGAGCGCAGGGGAAAGCGTTCCTGTGGACGAGACCTCGGTCCTTCCAAAGCCGCTGGCCGAGGCGTCCGCGGGTGGGCAAAGGGATGCCCCACAGCAGCGGCCCCCACCCTCTGTGGCACCAGGGGCCAGTTTCGTGGGAGGCAGCTCCTCCACGACCGGGGCGGAGGGCGGTTTCGGGGTGGTTCAGGCCCGTCCCACTCAAGCTCGCCTCCTGCTGCGCAGCCCGGCTCCTCACAGGACCAGCCGGTCACCGGCCCGAGGCCCGGGGCTGGGGAGCCCCAAGGCCGCGTGCAGGAGGGTCCAGGGCTCCTTCCAACAGGCACTCAGGACAGGGACGGACGGCCCACGGCCCCTTGGGCCTGGCACGAGGAGGGCGCACCCAGGCCGCGTCTGCAGAAGCCACGGCGTCCACTCGGCGGCGTGTGTGGAAACACAAGTAAACGTGCCCGGCCGCTGTGAAGGGGGCGCCAGTGGGGCCGGATGGCGCAGACCAGCCTAACGGCCCGGAGGGTCGTGCGGGGGAGGGGACGCCGAGGACGCGGGGCAGCGCCCTCCTGCGCCAGCTCCCCAGCTCACCCGGGGGAGCCTCACGACCTTGGCTTTCGCCTGGAATTTGGGAGCAGGGGTGGTTCCCACACCCGTGGGCAGTGTGGCCCCTTGGGCGGACACGCGCTCTCCGCCACCGTCCGGCGGTCCTGGCTCCGGGACGTCCAAACGCCGGCACTGAGCACGGCCCCCCCGGAGAAGCGCGAGGCCCTGAGGCAGGCCGCCTCGGAACAGGGCGCGGGAGCCTCCGTCGCCTGCCACCGTGGCCTCCGCCCAGCACAGCCGTCACGCCGCGGGACCGCCTCTCAGGGCCGTCCCGGCCCGCACGTCGCCTGCCCCCGCTCACGCGGGTGTGGGTGCACGTGTGTGCAGGGTGGGGCTGAGCACGCGCACGGAACCACACGCTCTGCGCCGCACACAGGCTTTCGGGCAGGCCCTGGGCTCCAGCAGCCGAGCCACCGAAGCTCCCCTCCAGACGCAGAGCAGCCGCCCTGACCAGGACAGACGCACCGAGTCTGAGCCCTGCGTGTGGGGGAGCAGCTTCTGCGCGAGGTGAAAGGTGAAAGTAAAGGGAATGGTCTCCCCCCAGATTTCCTCACTTGTAAAAGCTCGCCGCAAAGCACCTCTTGCTTAGAGCGCGACCTCAGTGCTCGTGCTGGGCCGGACTGGCCCCTGGACGCGAGGCAGGGACACGCGGGTGCGGGCTAGGCTGGGGCGCCGCCCGGGGGCCGTGCCTCCCGGCTGCCTCGCTGCCCACTGCGGCCCACCTCACCCGGCCACACTCGACTTACCTCTCCAAACCCGCCCTTCCCCAGGACTCTGTACTGTCTGAACGTTTTCTTTGTCACTGGTTGCCTAAGGAATAAAAAAAGAAACTTTCAGGTCTCACATCACAGTGTAACTTTAAAACAGAGACGCCCACCCACCTCCCATCCCGGGCATGTGCGTGGGACCGCACTGGCCACAGGGCCACCAGGGCAGGGCCACCAGGGCGTCATCTGTGCTGGGTGTGGCGCTCCCCCGGGGAGGACAGTGCGGCAGGACCGCAGGCCCCCCACCCCCCCCCGAGCACGCTGTGGGCGGGTGCAGGGCGGCCGGGCTGTGGTCACTGACGGGGAGGAGTGGCAGCCGCCCACACTGCGCCTGTCCGTGCCCAGGTGTCTCCCCCGGGGCTTCCGGATCCGCTGCAGAGGGAAAGGGAGTAGCTACGGACGGTGTGAGGCCCTTTGAAAAGGGAGCCTCGAGGGAGACACCCGACACCTCAAAAACACGTATGAAATGGAGCCAGGGGACAGCCCTTCAGCAGTAACTGTCCCAGGGACACCACCAGCGGCAGCTGGTGCTGCCTGAGCCCTCGGCTCACGAGGGCGAGGAGCACTGAGCAGGCTGCCCGTGTCTCTCGGTGACCCCGGCCGCCCAGGGCGACCCCGGGGGCCAGGAGTGGCTCCCTTCGCAGGACAAGGCCCAGAGCTCCTCGCAGCCAGGTCCCCAGCCTGAGGCCGCATGGTGGGTGGGAGGCCTCCCGTGACCCCAGCGCCCGCTCTGTCCTCCAAGCGGCCGCTCAGAGCAGACAGCCCGGGGTCGACTGGACAGGAAACGGAATAGCACACCTCAGGGATGTCTGCACAGAGATGCCACGCACGACCCACGGTTCCCAGCGGCATTTTGACCGACGGAAACGTGCACACCCATCGGGTGCGTCAGGAAAGGTCACGGCTTGTTTTCACTGAGTCTCAGAGGAGAACCCACCTTTCCAGCCACTTCCACTGCAGGAATCGAGAGAAATACGGGCTCTCCTGGTATTCTTCGAACGGCTTTCCACTTAAGTAGCTGTGGACAACCCTGGGAAAAGACCGCACGCGGTCACTCGCCGGTGTTCCGCTGCACCGCGGGCAGCACCGCGTCGAGTGCCCCGGGGAGGGCCCTCCGCACACGGAGGGTCAGTGGCTGACACCGGTCAGCACGCCCCGGTGAGCTCCCCGTGCACAGAGTCCCCCCGCGGCCCCCCCCGCGGCCCCCCCCCCCGCGGCCCCGAGGAGGTGGAACCAGCGCGCCCTCCCGGAGCCAGAGGCCCGTCCGAGTCTGTGGACGTCAGGGACGCGGCGACCCCACGGAAACCGTCCACTTCCCCGGCTGGCGCGGCTCTGCTGGCGGGGGCGCCATCCCACACACCGAAAGGCTGTGGGTTCGACTCCCGGCCAGGGCACGCGCCTGGGCTACGGGCGCGGTGCCTGCTCGGGGCCTACGCGAGGCAGCCGATCCGGGTTGCCTGCCCTCTGTCTCGAGCCCCTGCGCGGGGGGGACGGGTAAGGGCAGGAAAGGCTGCGGGGGGGGGGGGGCGGGGAGGACGGCGGCTTCGCGCCGCAGGGGGAGCCCTGGGCCCCATCCTGGGCTGAAAAAACCACCGGCAAAAAGCCAGCAGTATAAAGTACATTCAAAGTGTGTGTGTGCGTGCACACTCACGTGCACAGGCGTGCGTGTCGCAGAGCAGATGTGAACGTCTGTGAACAAGAGGGAGAGAGCGTGTAACCGCTCCCGGTCACCGGGCAGAAAACGTCAGTGTGTGACACAGTCTCTCCTTTTCACCCAAAAACTGAGCCCCCGACAGACGGTTTCATGCCGCACGTTTCTTCAAACACTGAGCACCTGGCCAGGCCTCCTGGGCCTTGTTGGTAAGTCGGGCACAGAGTAAAACTCGACTCGGGGAGTGCCCGGGGCACGGAAGTCGCCGGCCCCTTGCAACAGCAGCTCACTGGTTAGCCACTGTCCACCACGGAGGCCGCGGGGCCCCGGCGTGGCAGCGGGGGGAGGTGTCCCGAGACCCCACAGGCCCCGGGGCCCCACAGGCTCCGGGTGTTCGGCGGCAAAGCTTTGCTTCCAGTGACACGAAGACCTCACGTGCTTTCTTAGAACCGCCCCCCCCCCACAGAGGGGTTTTCCCGGGGCTGCACGGCATGGGGCAGCGGCCCCGCTCAGGGAGCGGGGTGTTTGCGCCCCCTCATGTTTAAAGAACAGGACCCTGTAGGCAAAAGCTGTTCGGGTCCTCCAGAGTCGCTGTCTTTAATCAATTCGAGAGCGAGAGAGAGAGACAGTGACGTGTCAGTCAGTTGTGCGTTCGCGGGCTGAGCCTTCAGTGAGGCCTCGCCTGGAGTCGGACCCGCGACCCTGACGTAGCCGGACGGGGCTCCGACCGGCTGAGCCGCCTGGCCGGGGCCGCGGCACTGCTGCTCATCACTGTGTTCCCAGAACCGAGATCAGTGACCGGCACGGAGCAGGTGCTTGATGTTTTCCAGGAAGAGGAACTAACACTCCAGGGCTCTGGAAAGTCACCTCACACCCGCAGGGTCTCCTTCTGTCTGGTGCTCCGCTGCAACTTCAGCCCCGGGAGGAGCTGCTACGGATGGGGAGCGCGTCTCCCAAAGAGATGCGTCCTGCCCCTGCCCCTGCCCCTGCCCCTGCGCGCGGGACCTCGCTCCGAAGTGGAACTCGCTCAGACGGGCCCACGGGGCCGCACTCGGCTGCGACGCGCCCCCCCCAGGTGCCGGCAGACGCGGAGCCTGAAACGCTGCCGCAGCCCAGGACACAGAGGGCCCCCAGGCTTCGCCCGAGGCCCCTGGACGCAGGCTGCAGCTGGCACCCTGGGAGACCACACAGCTCCGTCGCTCGGCGCCACCCCCTGGCGGTGCGGTGTCACAGCGTCCTCGGGAAACCCCCACGGTGGCGGACACAGAGCAGGCAGGCTCTTAAGGAACGTCAGTGGAATGAGTGGAAGGCACCCAAACGTCCTGCGTAAAACGACAGAGGACTCCGTGTTCTGAGCCAGGGACGGCAGAAGCCACTCTTTCCTCCGTGGATGTCGGGAGGCTGGCAGCGACCCACGTGCAACCTGCGTGCGACCCCGACGCTCCACCCGCCTCTCCCCGTCAGAGCTGCCGTCTGGGCTGGGGACGCACCCCGGCACCCCCGTGAGGACTTGCGTCCGCTGGCCCAGTGCAGGGCCGGTGCTGGCCAGGTGCAGGGCGCGCACAGACGGCGGCGGGTGGCAGGAGGGCATGGCCTGCTCACCTGGCGCACTCCCCAAAGACCTCCCTGGAGGGCGTCTCCTTCAGCTGCAGCTGGCACTCTCTCACTGTGTCGGGGGGCACCTGAGGCAGCGGGGCGGCCAAGTCCTGAGGGGCGCGGACCAAAGACGGACAGTCAGTGACCGCACCGTCAGTGACCGTACAGCTTAGCGACCGCGGGCAGCACCTGGCGCTCAGGGAGCCAACGAAACCGAAGTGCACAAGGCGACAAGTCGGCCCCACCGTCACTCCGGCCCGGGCTCATTTCCCAGGGTTCCAAGTGTCACCTTTCCCCAGGACACCAACGCAGGGCCAGGGTGGGGTCTCTTGAGAGGGGGGACCCCTCGTTCACAGCGTCGGTGCCAACAGCCAAAGCTGGGCGCAGCCCAGGGTCCGTGGACGGATGGAGGGGCGAGCGAGATGTGGTCCGTCCGTCCGAAGGAACACCACTCGCCCTTGAAACGGGAGGGAATTCCGACACCTGCTACCGCGCGGGCGGGCCCTGAGGACCGCATGCTGCAGGGACGCCTCGGAAGGACAGGCTCTGCGTGACCCCACTCACAGGGCGTCCCCACAGCAGTCGGATTCTAGGGCAGAAAGGGCAGTGGGGGCGGGAGGGGGCGGGGCTGGAGCTCGGTGGGACGGGGTCACTTCTGCGAGATGGAGAAAGCTCGGGAGACAGTGGCGGTGGTGGCTGTGCAACATGCATGTACTTAATGACTACTGTTATGTTACATGTTTTTTACCACAATCAAAAATGCACACACACCCCAGCTGGTGTGGCTCAGTGGATGGAGCACTGGCTTGCGAACCAAAGGGTCACCGGTTCGATTCCCAGTCAGGGCACAGGCCTGGGTTGCAGGCCAGGTCCCCAGTAGGGGGCGCACAAGAGGCAACCACACACTGATGTTTCCTTTTCTTTCTCCCGTCCCTTCCCTTTCCTTCAAAAATAAATAAAATCTTAAAAAGAAAAGGAATACTCCTCAGCGTTTCCCAGAGTCTTATTTCCCTTCCCAAGGTCTCAAGTTTCTGTAGCTAAATAGTAGGTTAATTCCATTAAGATGATTTAATGGTTAACTCCAAATAAGAGATCCTTTCTTCAGAAACTGAGAAAAAATCTGTGTTAATAAGAACGTATTCCCACAGAAAGGAAAAGCAGTGCTCATAAGGCACTCCCGGCCTCCTGCTGGACGTAATGAAAGCAAAACAGACACTTCTTCTGCCGCCTCCTGTTAAGGAGTAAGGATTACCTTTCGGAAAAGGTAGTTGCCAAGACTAATTTACCAAACGCCTCAGCACCTTGCTTTTTAAAGTTTGGATATCAAAAACTCTGACAGGAAAGTCCACTGGTGCGGAGGGAGAGGTGGGTGAATTCTGAAGAAATATCCTGTGAACTAAAGCATCGCAGGTTCGATTCCCAGTCAGGGCACATGCCTGGGTTGCAGGCCACAGCCCCCAGCAACCGCACATTGATGTTTCTCTCTCTCTCTTTCTCCCTCCCTTCCCTCTCTAAAAATATATAAATAAAATCTTAAAAAAAAAGAAAAAAAGAAATATCCTTATTTTTCTGTATTGAAATATATACAGACTTCACTACCTTTTAAAAAGCGGATGGTTGAGCTCGGGCTGCGAACCAAAGCATCACAGGTTCAATTCCCAGCCAGGGCACATGCCTGGGTTGCAGGCTACTGCCCCCAGCAACCGCACGTTGATGTTTCTCTCTCTTTCTCTCTCTCTCTCTCTCCCTTCCCTCTCTAAAAATAAATAAATAAAATATTTTTAAAAATAAATAAATAATTTTCTAAAAAGCGGATGGTCTTCATTGTTCACTTATATTTATTTTAGAGAGGGAGGTAGGGAAGGAGGGAGAGAGGGAGAGAGGGGGGAGGAAGGGAGGGAAGAAGGGAGGGAGGGGCAGAGAGGGGGGGGGGAGGGAGAGAGGGGGGAGGGAGAGAGAGGGAGGGAAAGGTCGACGTGGGACGGAAACACTGATCCCTGCCCCTCGAGTGCGCCCCGGTGGGGACCGGCCCACAACTCAGGCGTGTGCCTGGTGGGCATTGAGCGGGGATCCTTGGCTCCGTGGGATGGCGCCCGACCCACGGAGCCTCGCCGGCCAGGGCTCCTGTCTAAGTGTGAGAGTCCTTCCTGCACCGGGGGCCAGGCCCGCAGCGGACACTGGCCTCATGGGCACGGTCTCCGCGCCCCGCGGCTGCCCTTCCGCTCTCCCTGCGGGGCCCGCGGAGCGCGGGGTTTGTGACTGACTCAGCCCAGTTCCCTAGGAAACCCCGTCTAGACGGAGGTCAGGGAGAGCCCCACTCAGAAGTTTCACCTCTAAGATGTGCACCTCAGAGATTTCCTCTAAGGGTTTACAGCTTAACTCTTACATGTAAGTGCTTTCCGTTTGCAATTTTTGTGTGTGCATGGTGTAAGGTAGTGGCTGAACTCCAATCTTATTTTAAACATTATTTTTTTATTTAAAGATTTTATTTATTTTTAGGCAGAGGGGAAGGGAGGAAGAAAGAGTAGGAGAGAAACATCCGTGTGTGGTTGCCTCTCGTGCACCCCCTTCTGGGGACCTGACCTGCACCCCAGGCCTGTGCCCTGACTGGGACTTGAACCGGCGACCCTGCAGTTCCCGGCCTGTGCTCAACCCACTGAGCCACAGCAGCCAGGGCTGAACCCTGTTCTTCTGCGTGTGGATGTCCGGTGGTCCCCGCACCACTCCCTGGAAGGCGGTGCTTGCCCCGCTGAGGGAGCGGCCCCGGTGCCTCGCCGTGAGCCGCCGGGCTGCAGGGGTGCGCGCAGGTCCCCGCGCCGCTCTCAGCCCAGCCCCTCGCCTGTGTGCCTGTCCTGGGGCTGAGACCCCGTGATTTCTGGGGTCGGCTTGCTGATTTCTGCACATTGTAAGGAACCTGCAGATCAGGTTGGGGAGTGCTGCCGTCTTAACGACGGCAAGGCTTCTGACCCAGGCCCTGGGTGTCTTCCCTGTGACTCTTTCACCCCTTTGGTTTCTGTCGATGACGTTTCCAAGTCTGTCAGTGCGCAAACGCCCTGCACAGCTTTCGTTATATCTACTCCTAGCTTACTCTTTCTGATGCAGTTGCAAACGGAAGTGTTTTCTTAATGCCCTTCTCGGACCTTCACTGCTGGTGCAGGGGAATACGGTTGAAGTCCGCCCGGCACCCGGGTGCCCTGCAGCCCTGTGGCGTCAGCTCCAGGGGCCCTGCCCTGGAGTGCGTGTGGGCGCCCCAGGACTTTCTACACGCAAGTGCTCCCATCCGGACGTGCCCCTCGAAATTCAGGTGCTGGAACCCTGCCCCCCAACCCCCCTGAAGAGGCAATACTAGCATGCAGGGCCTCGGGGAGCCCCCGTCAATGGGACCAGCGCCCTCACGAAGGAGGCTCCGAGAGCTCCCTCATCTGCCTCCAGACGAGGACACGGCCGGAGGGCAGCAGCCCAGCCGTGAGCCGGGGAGAGGAGCATCTGTAGGAAGGGCTTCAACACACGTATGTATTTGCCCAGCTAAGCAGCAGTGGCCCCGCACCAGGGTCACTCACGGGAGTCGTTTGTTTGCGAACCTCTGTATCGGGGGCGGGGAGGGGGAGCGCACCTCGTCACTGAAGAACGTGTCCAGGACCAGCAGCCCGCAGTCTCTCTGGGACTCGTCGGCGGCGACCTCGTACTCCGCCTGGTGGTGGGGACGACAGGGCACGGCGCGTCAGCCGGGCTCCCTCGCTGGCCTCGGGACGCTTCTCCTTCTCTGCCCCGGGGACCGACTGGGGGGCCGGGGAGCCAGAGAGCAGCTCTGCTGTCCAAGCGTCCGCCCCCCCCGCCGACAGCTATGAGGGGGAAGCCCATTTCTTTTCTGTTTTTTTTTTAATTTTTTAGATTTATTTATTTATTTATTTATTTATTTTAGAGAGGGAAGGGAGGGAGAGAGAGAGAGAGAGAGAAACATCAATGTGTGGTTGCTGGGGGTCATGGCCTGCAACCCAGGCATGTGCCCTGACTGGGATCTTTTCTGTTTTTTAAAAATATTTTACTTATTTACTTTTAGAGAGAGGGGAGAAAGAGAGAGAAACATTGATGTGTGGTTGCCTCTCACACGCCCCCACCTGGGGACCTGGCCCACAACCCAGGCCTGTGCCCTGACTGGGAATCGAACCAGCGACCCTTAGGTTCTCAGGCTGGCGCTCAGTCCACTGAGCCGCACCAGCCAGGGCAAAAAGCCTGTTTCTTCGGGACGGCTGATGCAGGAGGATGGGACCCTCCGCGGGGCCCCCTGCTCATCGCCTCCTCGCCCACGGCTAACCGACGCGGCTCGCGTCCGAGCCTCCCGCGGTCAGGCACGGGGCCAGCCGGCCCGGCGCACAGACAGCCGCTCACCACCGCGTCCAGGAACTCGATGCACCTCCGCAGGTCCGGCCGCGTGCCGCAGAACTGCCGGAAGAGGAGCCTGCCTATGGGCTGCTTGTCGCACAGGCTGCTGTAGTCCTTTTCTGGGTGGAGAAAGGGGGGCGCACCCGTTACCTCCGGAACATGCCCTGTCCGCTGCCACCTGACTCAGCAGAGGTCAAAAATGACGTGGGCACTGGTGCTTTTTCACACCCCCCAACAGTAAACACCGTTTTGTTGACCGATGTAGAGCGGCTGATCATCAGTGCTATTTGAGATATCTAAGGTACCTAAGCAGAGCCAGCGGGGGCGGGGGTGGGGGTGGGGGTGGGGGCTGACCAGTACAGGCGTGTGAAGCCTGGCCCGAGCCGTCCCACCTCCCCGGGCACCCCCATCACCTCGAAGGCAGGGGGGAGGGCAGGGGGTGCCGGGGACAAACCACGCGTCTGGGGAGTGTGCGGCTGGAAGGTACTGAGTTAGATGTTAAAAACCTCTTCTCAGCCCTGGCTGGCGTAGCTCAGTGGATTGAGTGCGGGCTGCAAACCAAAGCATTGCAGGTTCGATTCAGTCAGGGCACATGCCTGGGTTGCAGGCCACGGCCCCCAGCAACCGCACATTGATGTTTCTCTCTCTCTCTCCCTTTCTCCCTCCCTTCTCTCTCTAAAAATAAATAAATAAAATCTTAAAAAAAAAAGACAATTTAACTAAACACCAGGTAAAGGACTCGAACAGACATTCCTCCGAGGACACATACAAATGGCCAGCGGGCGCACGGACAGACGCCGGACACTGCAAGTGCTGGGACACGCAGCCCAGACACGGCTCACACACGGCGCACGACACGCGCTGGGGCGACGAAGACAGAAGGGAGCGCGCACGGCGTCTGGACACGCGGGAGGAAACCGGAGCCCTCACGCCCCGCTGGTGGAGGTGTCGAAGGACGGTGTGGCCACTTTAGAAAACAAGCTGGCACTTCCTCCCAGAGTTAAGCGTGAAGTCACCGTGGTATCCGGCAGTGTTGACTTCGAGCGCACACCCAAGAGAAACTGGGAGCGGGGACTCCCGGGCCCGCGCACGGCTGTCCCCGCGCGGCCGTCCCCGGCAGCACCGTCCACACGGCCCCGCAGGGGGAGGGGCCCAGACGCGCCTCAGCGGGCCAACGAAACCCAAACCAGCGCCGAGCATCCAAACCAGCGCCGCCGAACTCCGCGCGTGAAAACGGTTAAGACGGCGATTTTGGCTGCGCGGTTCACCGCGAAGGAGAGTCTCGCGCGTGGATGAGCAGCGTCAGTCGCGGCAGACGAGGAAAACGAGGACAGTTTGGTGCCTCGCCGCCGACGGTGGGCTTTACAGTGTGTCTCTGCCACAGACCGCTGTCGGCCCACGACAGTGAACTGGATCCCGATCGCGCCACGGCACGGAGGGGCCTTGCGAACACCGCGTTAAATGAAAGAAGCCGGTCGTAAAAGACCACGCGGCGTGCGGTCTCCACCCGCGTGGGACGCCCAGAGGAGGCAGATGCAGAGGGAGAGCAGACCGGCGGCTGCCGGGCCGAGGGGCGGGCAGGGGGCCGCTGCCCACAGGGTGGGGTCTCTCTCTGGGGCGACCAAGATGTAAAAGTGGCCGTGGCTGTGGCCACCCAGCCCCATGATTGTCCTAAAACCGTCGAACCGCACACGTTACCTAGGTAAAGTGGGTGGCATGTTAATGACACCTCAATAGAGCTGCCGCTTTAAAAACACGACGAGGTTGAAACAATTGGATAGGTCTTTGGTGGGCGGGGGAGCTGCCTCCACTTTACACTGAAATAAATTTTGATAGTTAAAATATTCAAACTCTCTTTAAAAAGAAACTGTTACGGTACTAAAAAAAAGATGGGTTGATTAAAAAAAAAAAATAATCTTAGGTGCCCTCCCTAAGTACAACACCAAGTCCAGAAACCTGGAGAAGATTGATATGTTTATCTATAGAAAAATTAAAACCTCTGGAAAAACAATAGTGCGTGCCAAAAACCAGAAACATAAAATACATTCACAATAATCATAAAAAGATAAATCATATAAAGAGCTTTTAGAAATGAGCTAGGAAAAGCAAAAACTAAAAAAGTCGATGAAAATGCTCAACCCCATCCATGATTAAAACAAGAGGCCATTTTCCAGATCTCAGCTCGTCTGTCCTCACTAAGAGCACTGGCCACAACCGACGTCCACAGGCCGCAGACAGAGAGGGCTTGTCGCAGCGCTGCTGGCAGGAGGGCAAACTGATGCAGCACCTTTGGAGGACAATTGAGCAACATCGAAGTTTTGAATGCAGATATCCTTTGAACTGGAAGTCATATCTTTTATTTATTTATTTTTTAAGATCTTATTTATTTATTTTTAGAGAGAAGGGGAGGGACGGAGAAAGAGAGGGAGAGAAACATCAGTGTGTGGTTGTCTCTCACACGCCCCCCACTGGGGACCTGGCCCGAAACCCAGGCCTGTGCCCTGACTGGGAATCGAACTGGCGACCCTTTGGCTCGAAGGCCGGCGGTCAGTCCACTGAGCCCACCAGCCTGGGCTGGAAGTCACATCCTTTAAAAACACTATTACGAACGCCCTAGAGACCTGGGTCCCTGTCTGACTTCCTGTGCCCCAGTCAGGACCTGAAGCACGGCTGCACGGTGTTCGTGTGTGTGCGTGTGTATGTAGTATGTGCAATCTGTACATATACACAAATACACTGGTATATATGTGTATACATACACGTATATGTACTTTTTTTAGAAAGAGGAGAACGGAGGGAGAAAGAGAGAAACAGCGATCGGTGCCTCTGACACACCCCGGCTGGGAACCCAGCCTGCAACCGGCTGGGACCTGGCCACTGGACAGGGAGTCAGCCCTTGGCCCCTGGGTTTGCAGGACGACGCCCAGCCCACTGAGTCACACCCCTCGGGGCTGACGCAGCGTGTTGTCCGACTGACCCCGCCCCGAAGTTCCATCAGTAACCCTCGTCCGTAAACTCGGAGGCTGAGAAACAGTTAACGGTGTTCACTTTTAGAGCCACGTACTTTACAACTCAGATCAGAAAACCCAGAGGGCTTTTTCCTTTTTTTTTATTTTAATCATTGTTCACCCAGAGGGCTTCTGCCAGAGAAGAACCGTGAAGCTGCAAAGAGACTCTGCTACACAGTTTTAGAGACGAGCAGGGACTGGAGGAGGAGCAGCAGCTCCCGGACGCACCGGGCTGGCATCGGCCCCGCCGCCGCGGCCCCTGGACTCACCGATGCTGTGCCTGAGCTCGCTGCACTGGCTGACGGGGGGCAGCTTCAGCAGCTCCCTCCAGTGTTTACTGCGCCCACTCTTTTTGTCGTGTCCTCCTAAATTCAGGGGGAAAGAGGCATTTGTAACGCAGTCAGGAACAGCCCAGTACAACAGCTACTTCCACGAACGGCACCTCTCCACGCCAGGGAGCCCCTCCCCGTGGCCCCGAGAGACCCACTGTGGGCGAGCTCCCGCCACGGTCCTCACTCAGGGCGCGAGAGCCAGGGCGCGGCTGCGTGAGACCATCGATCGGCCCGGGGCCCAGAGCGGCTGCAGCCAGGAAACCGACTGGGACCTGAGCCCTGGCGAGCGGGGCCTGAAGCACGAAGTAAGGGGTTTGCACTTGGAGGTATATGCTTAACCTTCTCTTTCCCGAATTTAACAAAATAACAGATGAGTCCCTTAACCTCCAGCTCTTCACCAAGTGTCAGTTCAGGGGGGCGCACTGAAAGGGATACGAAATAAAGGTAAAAGCCACACCCGGCCTCACACAGGTCACAGTGCTCCCCGAGAAAGAACCACGGACCACATCCAAATTCCCGGAGGGCGGCGGCGTGGCTCTGAGTCTGGGGCGGGGGGAGTTACACAGAAGAGGATGAAGGTAAACTGGACTCAGAAGGACAGGAAAAACGGAAGGAGGAAAGGGAGCGAGCAGGGGCCCGCCCGCACAGAAGGCCGGCGGGCGCGCGGCCGAAAGAGCACACACGCTCGTTTTCTGCAAGGGAAACGCACTGAGGAGCCCTCCGGAGGGGGAACGAACCAAGTGCAGTCGGGGAAACAGAAACGTCGGCCACTGTGGACACCTCGGGAACCACAGGGGTCATAAGCTCCTTGGAGAAACCCCATGCAACCAAAATCCTGGGTGGGGGGGTGTGGCTCAGCGAGAGAGGGCACCCACGACGGCAGGTTTGTTAAGGACGCTCCGGTCGCTGAACACACTGCCACGTGACAGCACATCCTGGAATCGGGGGGGATGGGACTGTGACACCCCTGACCTGGCCGTCACGTGACCGCCCCCCCCCCGCCCTCCGCCCTCTGCATCTGCGCCGTCGGTTTCCCCACGAGATGGAGTGGGTTCGAGTTTCCCGAGAGTTCTCGCACGCGAAACAATGTAAGCTTATCACTAAAGGTCATAAATTGCTCAAAAACGTATTACAAAAAAAAATCTTTCTTAAAGAAAAAACCACAAACAGCAGTGACTTCTCGCGCCGTCACCCTCGGTCTAAAGCCCTCACGGCGGTCACGCCGCGCGCGGGGACCGGGCTTTCCTCCCGGTCCTTTCAAGACCGCCAGGCTCTGCGCCGCGGGCTGCGCTCCGCCGCCTGGCGGGCCCTCGGGGACAGGCACTGCCCGGCGGGGGCGCTGCCCGGCGGGGGCCCCGCGGTGCACCCACCTAGGCGCGCTTTCAGCAGCAGCGCGTTGGCCACCACGTTCTCCAACTCCTTGGACCGCCGCCGCCGGTGCCGCGCCCCGCGGGCTCGAGGCCCCGGAGGCGCGGCGTCCACGCCCCGCTCGCCGGCCGACACCTGCACGCCGGGCTGCGCGCTGAGGCCGGGAGAGCGGCCCCGCCACCCCCACGGCCACCCCCAGCGCCGCCGCCTCCGGGCCCGCTGACGACCACGCCGCCGCCGGTGCGGGGCGCGCCTCTGCCGCCGGCCCCGGGCTCTAGCGGGCACGGGGCGGGGGGAGCTGGCTGACCGGCCGCCGGGCTTCTCCGCGGTCACCACCGCCGCGCCGCGGTCCGGACTCGTGGCCTCATCGCCCGCGCTCCGCACGCGCAACTGTCCTCAGAGTCCGGCTCCCGAAGTCTCCGCCGAGACCGACCCTAGCTAGCGAAGGGCTCCTGGCTCCCGGCGGCGACGGCTATCGCAGCCGCCGCCGCCGCCGCCGCCGTTCCGCAGCGCGGCGGGCTGCCCGCTAACGGCTTCCAGAGCACGGACTCGAGCGCCCCCTCTCCCGCACCTGACCAGCCAGCTGCGCTCCGAGAGCACTACAACTCCCAGAGGGCCCCGCGCAGGGCGGAAGGGCGCGTGTGCAGAGCGTTGCCTTCTGGGAGTTGTAGTCACGCAGCCCATAGGCGAGTGGGCTGAGCCGGATGTGTCTACTTGTTGCCTCTCACTTATCGCGACAGCAAGGCTGGGACAGCTCCCAGGTCTCCGCACGTGTTTCCCGGAGGGATCTGCTGTCTGCCGACTCTGTAGGGCAGTTGCCTCGCCTCCTCCGGGCCTCCCAGGCAGTGCCGCGGAGTCGGGGGCCTCGGGGTTCAGCAAGAGTAGGCCATGGGGAAGGCCAGGGCGATCGGGGCGCGCACCAAGCCCCCCGGGGCCCCGGCGGGAGCAGGGGTCTCCCGGACCAGGCCCAACCCCAACCCGTTCGAAGTGAAAGTCAACAGACAGAAGTTCCAGGTTCTGGGCAGGAAGATGCGCCACGACGTGGGGATGCCCGGGGTGTCGCGCGCGCGGGCCATCCAGAAGGTAAGCGGGGAGCCGATCCCCGGTGGCCCTCCCCTGCCCGGGCCGCGCGTGCGGTCAGGAACGGCGCCTAACCCTGTGGGTTCATTCCGGAGCGCAGCCATATACCCCTAACACCTCGCCTGGCCTCCTTGCCCCGGGCTCGGCCGCGACCACCACGCTACCCAGCGTGATATTTTATATTCTTTCGGCGCAGCACAGGCTCGGGAACCGGCGGCCGGTGTTTGGGCCACACACTGGCTTGCTGGGAGGGCTTGGGCGCTGGCTGTTTCCCTGTGTCTCAGTCTCCTCGTCTGTAAAGTGGAGAGCATGATAATAGCTACATCCTGGGCTTTTGGGAGGAGCAAATGTGTTCCTTTAAGGTCCTCAGGACAGTGCCCGGCACAGCTGGGCTCCTGGAACACGCACCCAGTGGGGGGAGGAAGTCTGTACTACAAGGGGCCCACCCTCCAGAAGATAATTCCATTTGGGGGGGTCCCCATCCTATGTCATTTGGACCGTGTTTACCCTCAGGCCCCTGCACTTGCACCGTCTGGAGTGACCTTCCCTCAGGGCAGGCTTGGGGGTTGGGCAGTGCTGGCTGCGGAACAGAGGCTTTGTGTCCGCCCCCCGCCCCCCCCTTTTCTTCTTTCTGAAGTGGGACGACAACACCCTCCCCCTCTCGTGGGGGCGGGTCAGGGTTAAGTCCAGTTGTGCACTCAGCTCTCGGTGTTCTCTGAGTACTAGTGTTCTCACGCTCCTTCACAACCTGGCCTCCACCGGCCGGCCTTGCTCTGCCTTCTGCAGCTCAGGTTGTCCAGAAAGACCTGTCTCGTCCCCCAGACCGCCCGAGGCCAGCCCGAGCCCCATGGCCCGGACGGGGTAGGGGCTCAGGCCTCCGGCGTCGGACAGGCCCGCCTCCCTGCTCTGTGCTGCGGGCCTGGAGGGGCTGCCGCCGCCTGCGAGTGCCCCAGGGCTTGGCCCCCAGCACGCACGCAAGTAGCTGAAGGACTGGGAACGCCGAGCTGCGGGGGCCGCGGCCGACGTCCGGTGTGGTGGAGGGCGTCCTGCGGCGGGAGGTCCAAGAACGCTGAGCCGTCGGAGGGACGGACGCAGGCCACCCCGTTGGGTCAGGTCACGATGTGGGCAGAGGGGCAAGCGGGGCCGGCGAGGGAGGCGGGGGTCTTTGTGTCCACACCGGTTCCCAGGCAGCGAACAGGCGTCCCGTGTGTCCCCTCCAGTCCGCGGTGGCCCGAGAGTGGAGAGAGAGAGCACGCTCCGTGTAGGGACAGCCGGGTGCCGGGCAGCGCGGCAGCCAGTCCGTCGGGGCCGCCCAGCGGGACGGCCGTTGTGTCAGGAAGGTCCCGTTCAGCCCTCCCGGCGATGGTCCCACTTTGTGTCCGAGGGCACGGAGACAGGTGCAGGTCTGCGCTGGGGGCCCCAGGGCAGCTCCCTGGGCCCGGCTCTGCACGGGGCACCCCCCCCTTGTGGGCACTTGTGGCCCCCTGAACAGCAGCCTGAGTCAGGGCCCCGTCTTCCCCCTTTCCCAGGTGAGGCTGCCGGGCAGAGAGCCTGGGTGGGAAGCAGGGGAACTGGCCAGGGTGGGGCCACACCTGGGGCAGCGCGTCCGAGCCCCAGTGCACGGGTGTCGGGGACCCGGAAAGGGCCGCGAGTCGCGGCTCAGGCCACTGGTGAACCTTAGCGAGCGGGCAGATCGCGGAGACCAGGGGCTGACTGACGCACAGGTGGACGCGTGCGGGTAGCAGGCGAGGAGATTGCGCTGTCGCCGTCTGTGCCGTCCCTGGTCACGGCACCAGGCTCGACGCATGGCTCCCTTCGAGCTCCCTGTGCCGATTTCCCGCCCCCTCGGCTGGGACCCCGTCTCCTCCAGCTTCTCCACCGGGAGCAGTGGCCTCTGCGTGCTGGGTTCTGCGCCTTGCTTGCTGGCCGCCCCTCCCCTTCGACCTTCAGCACGGGGCACGCCCTGGAGGGTCCCCTGGGGTCAGGCGAGGCCTCCTGGCCCCCTAGTCCGGCAGCAGCCCCGCCCGTCTCCCCGGGGTAGAGGTCGCTCTTCCCAGCTGGTGGGCTGGCCCTTTTGTCGGACTGTTGGTTGGTGTCGGTGGCCTGAGGCGGACAAGGTGGCCAGGTGGCCGTGTCATCTCCCAGTCCGGGGGGGCGAGCAGGGTGTCCCCCGTGGAAGCGTCCTCCTCCGGGGACTGAGATCGCCACGCTCATTCTGTGACCCGTGTTTCAGCGGAACCGGACTTTGCTGAGGGAGTACAGGGAGCGGGAGAAGTCCAACGTGTTCAGGGACCGGCGCCTGGGGGAGCACAGCAGCTCCCTGAGCCCCGAGGAGAAGATGGCGCGGAGGTTCGCCCTGGAGCAGCAGGTACAGGGCGGCGGCGGGCGGGGGTGGGGCTCGTGTACACAGAAGGCAGGCGCCTGCACCTCCGCTCCTGCGGGCACTGGCGCGCTGGGCGCAGGGGGAGGGCCTTGGGTCCTGCCCCCGGCCCAGTGAGGCCAGAGGGGGCAGCCCCCCTCGGGCACCGCTGGGTGGATGGACAGTGGGCCGGCGTGCACGGTGGTGGCGCGTCCTCAGGCCGTGAGCAGAGTGCTGCCAGGGGGCGTGGCCGGCGGGCGACGTGGCCCTGACCCGCTGGCGGGCCGGCCGCCGGGGGGCCCTGTTTGCGCCCGAGTCACCGCTCAGACGGCCCCGCATAACCATGAAGCTGCGCGGGCTGCACTGTCACACTGCACAGGTGACAGGAAAGTGAGCGGCTTTTGCTGTCGCACGGGTATGGAGGTTTTAGAAAACTGGCTTTCTTCTGTCTCCTGTCAGCGGCAACACGAGAAGAAAAACATCTACAACCTCAACGAGGACGAAGAGTTGACCCATTACGGCCAGTCGCTGGCAGACATCGAGAAGCATCACGACATCGTGGACAGTGACAGCGACGCCGAGGACCGCGGGGCGCTGTCGGGTGAGGGCGGGGGCAGGGCCGGTCCTCGCCGCGCGGGGCCGGCGTCCTGCCCGTCCTGGAGGCCCTGCAGAGGGTCGCTGGGTCGAAGCGCCCACGTCACGGGGTGTTCTCGTTTCCTAACTCTGGCACTTGAAGAGGGGTAGGGTTCCGGCGTGCCCAGTCTGCGGGCCGCGTACGGCCCAGGGTGGCTATGGATGAGGCCCAACACAGAATCGTGGATTTACTTAAAACATTATGAGATTTTTTAAAATTTACTTACTTAGTTTTAGAGAGAGGGGAAGGGAAGAAGAAAGAGAGGGAGAGAAACATCAGTGTGTGGTTGCCCCTCGAGCACCCCCGACTGGGGACCTGGCCGGCAACCCAGGCATGTGCCCTGACTGGGAATCGAACCCGTGACCCTTTGGTTCACAGACCTGCACTCATCTGCTGAGCCACACCAGCCAGGGCCTGAGATTTTTGTGTGTGTGATTACGTGTCACGATGAATTTAATGTGTGGCCCAGGACAACTCTTCCTTCTCCCGGTGTGGCCCAGAGACGCCATTTGGTCGGACCCCCGCGGGTGCAGGTGGGGGTAGATTAGAGGCTCCTGTGGGCTGAGAAGGTGCAGCAGCACCTGTCTTGGCTGGACGTCACCCCCATTCCCTTCAGCCGGGAGCTCGGGGGCCCGGGGACTGGCCCTGCTGCGAGTCCCCGGTTGGCGAGCACACTGTGAGGGGACGGGTCCGGGAGAGCGGTCTGGGGGGCGTCAGTGTGACGGTCAGTGTGTTTGCTTCTCCCCCTGGGTCCCCTGCGCCCCCCTGCGTCCCCCCCACGCAGTGTGGTTTGATTTAAATGAGCAGGCGGCAGCTTCCACCAGGAAGCGTGAGGGGAGCCAGACGGGCCAGAGGGGCTGGAAGCTCCGTCACCGCCGTGAGGTTGGGGGCAGACTGCCTAACGTGGGGGCCCGTTTCCGCGTCCCATGAAGAAACGGGGTTCCTAAAGGCTTCTTCCCACTCGACGGCCCACGGTGCCGTATTTCTGTCTTCTGCCCTGACCCCCGGGCGGCCGGGGGACGGCGGGTCTCGTGGGCAGTCAGTCGCAGGAGGTGTGAGACCCGGCGGGTGTCCGAGGCCGTGAGCACCCACCCTCCCCGCCCCCCACCCCGAGGCTCCAGCTCCCCCCGGTTTTCCTGCATCTTGTCGACTGCTCGTTCACGAGGACGGGACGCAGTTGAACAACAGGCCCCTCTGGGTGGAGTCTCCAGTCGCTGGGGCCAGGGTTTCCCTGGGGCGGCCCAGCCCGGGTGTCTGAATGCCGCTGCGCTCACCGCCGCGCACTCCGCCCTGTCCGCAGCCGAGCTGACGGCAGCGCACTTCGGAGGCGGGGGGCCGCAGAGGACGCCGCAGCAGCCGGGCCAGGAGGGCGAGAGGCCCCGATCCCGCAAAGAGCTGATCGAGGAGCTCATCACAAAGTCCAAGCAGGAGAAGGTGCGTGGTCACGCGAGGTGCCCGGGCTCCCTTCCTCTCCGGGCTGTCTCTGCCACTGCCTGGGAATTCAGTGAGAGCACTCGGTGTCTTCGCTGCCGGCGCTTTGCTGGGGTCTGGGCGGCTCTGTCGGCTGGGTGGTTTCAGGGTTCTGGTGCGCAGCACGGTCTGCAAGACACTGCTGCTCTTTCTCCACAGCGAGTAGTTCACAGGGAGAAACTACCGCTGTCCGGCGGGCTCTGTAGCTTTGCGTGGAAGGTGCTGATCACCCGCGGCCCCTTTCTGCTGCCCACACGGCCGCGGGGACTGGGCGGCCTCGGGGGAGGGGGGCGGGGCAGGGGGGCTGACGGTGGGTGCCGTCTGCTGTGCTTCCCCAGCGGGAGAGGCAGGCGCAGCGAGAAGACACGCTGGAGCTCACGGAGAAGCTGGACCGGGACTGGAGGGAGGTGCAGACCCTCCTGGCTCGCAAGGCGCCAAAGCTGCGGGACGGAGACAGACCAGAGAGACCGCAGGTGGGAATCGGGGAGGGGTGGGGGGGTGGGGGGGAGCTGAGGCCCAGCTGCCTTGACCTTCCTCTGCAGCTGAGGCAGAGGTGGCGGCCAGGTGTCCTGGTCTCCTCCGTTTCTGTCAGCACCTGAGTTTCTGTCGAAGTTTCGTCAGGTTACCTGACAGGTGTTACTTCGGGGTGGAAACGGATTAAAATTACTTCAACGCCTGCTCAAAAACAAAGATTACTTACTTAAAGTAATCTCTATTCCTTATTAAAGTAACCTTTGTTACTTTATCAAAGTAATCACTTAAGATTACTTGGGTGGGCGATCGTCAGACGCTGTTTGAATATAGACATTTGCCTGTTTGTCCTGCGCGGACCACCCCGCCCGCAGCCCATTCCTTCCGTCTGAGCCGCGGGCTCGGCCGCGCGTGTCTGGAGCTGTTCTAGGGACAGCGCGGCCCCCGCCAGCCACCGGGCCGCGCCGTCGCGGCGTCTTTGGGGGTCACTCTGGCCTTGGGAAAGCAGGTGTGTTTGTGTTTTGAGGAGGGCTCGCCAGAAGCGCAAAGTCCCGTCGGACCTAAAGGTGTGTGGTCCAGGCCGACGAGGACGGCTTCCCGGGAGCAGGAGGCGGCCCAGATGTGCCCCACCCCCACCCCCGCTCCGCCCGGGAGGGGGCCCGGCTGTGACTCCAGCTTGCAGAAAGCCGCCTGGCAGGTCTGGTCTCGTAACCACGGCGGAGTAACAGTGAGAGCCCCCCTCCCGCCCTAGCCTGATGCGTACGACGTGATGGTCCGGGAGCTGGGCTTCGAGATGAAGGCGCAGCCGTCGAACAGGATGAAGACGGAGGAGGAGCTGGCGAAGGAGGAGCAGGCGCGCCTGCAGCGCCTGGAGGTAGGGGCGGGGCCGGGGGTGGGGGTGGGGTCGCTGGGGCCTGCGCCCCGGCCTCCCTGCTCTGCCCCATGAGCGGGGGTGAGGGAGTCTGTTTTGACCAGCGGACTCGTTTCAGGCTATTTAAAGTTTATGTGTATTTTACTATAAATTTTGTAAATTGTACAAGCAGAAAAGCTCAGGTAACTTCCCGTGCTCGCCCGTGCCCGACGGGCTGCACACGTGACCTGTCTCCCCGCCCAGGCGGAGCGTGTGCGGAGGATGCTGGGCCAGGGCGCCGGCGAGGACGCGCGGAGGCTCACGCACGTGTCCGCGGACGACCTGCAGGACGGCTTCGTGCTGGACCAGGACGACAGGCGCCCGCTGACCTACAGGGTGAGATGCCGGCTCTCCCCGCCTCCCTCCCCTGGGGAGCGCCTGCTTCGGGGCGTTTCACAGACAGAAGGGGCGGATCCCTGCAGCGGTTCCCGCAGCTCCGCCTCTCAGCGTGCGCGGTGCTCGGGCCCCCTCGTGCGACTGCTGTCGCCCTCCCTTGGCTGCTAACGGGCATCCGATCCTCTGCCGGAACTGGGCCCTCCCCTGAGGGCGCGCGCCCGAGGCCGGCGCTCTGAACACTTCTCAGGAAAACAGTTATGTGGCTAGCACTGCCCTGTTCACCCGTGAGCCCCGTGAGGTCCGCACCTGTGTCCCCTTGGGAGTGGACACAGAAGTGTATCAGCTGGGGTGCCGGGCAGGCGGGTGGCCCGAGCCCAGAGGGGCCTGAGGCGGGGAGCTGGGCGCTCACAAAACACTGGGCGATCCGGGGCACCCGGTCCTGCCACGCCGGGTGCCGCCTAAGTCCCGGGAAGCCCCTGCTGAGTCAGCTGCCCCCAGCCCAGAGCCGGTGGTCGGCTGCTGCGGACCCCACAGCGGCCAGAGCCCAGCATCCTGGAGGCGCATGGGGGGGGGGCATGGTCCCCAGCTGGTGTGCTCTCCACCAGGCTCTCACCAGAGCGGGGTCAGGGGGGTGGGGAGGCCCCGGGCCGGAGGGCGAACGCAGCAGAGAGCGTGTGCCCCCTGCAAAGGCAGGAGACGAGTCCCTGGAGCCGTCACGCCCGTGGTCTCCATGCCCTGCCCTAGGACGGCAGGATGGACGTCCAGCAGGAGCTCAGCGGGGAGGCCGGCGACGGCGTGCAGGCAGAGGAGGAGGAGGGGGAGGACTCGAGCGAGGAGGACGCAGAGGACAGCGGGGGCTCGGACGGCCACTCAGACCTGGAGTGCGAGGACGAGGAGGAGAGCGAGGAGGAGGAGGAGGAGGAGGAGGAGGAGAGCGAGCGGCCGCAGCAGGAGCAGCGGCGGCGGCAGACGCCCAGCGGCCGGGCGACAGGCGGGGGTCGGGACGCCCGGGAAGCCGCCAGGGCCGAGCTGCCCTACACGTTTGAAGGTGACACGCTGCCGGGGTTCCCTGGGCCTTGGGCTCGTTCCGACCCGGCATTGGGTCGGCCTGGCTGGGGCCGCACTGGAGCGGGGGCCGGGGTGCTCCTCTGGACTCGGGGCGGGGGGGGGGTGGGCACAGGCCGTCGGAGGCCTCGGCTGCAGGTTGGCGAGGTGTTCCCCCTCCCTGCCCCCCGGGGCCGGTGCAGGCCGCAGCACAGCAGTGGCCCTTGTCACGTGACCACAGGCAGGCCGAGAGCAGACACACCTCCCGTACTGCCGTCTCTGTGCTGCCCGGAGACCCAGGACCGGGCCCAGGGGCCAGTGAGGCCCCTGGGAGGGGCTGCCTGTGCTGAGCCCCGGGCCACCGCTCAGCCGGAGTCTAGAATGTTCTCTCCAGGGCACAGGGAAAAGTCGTCCGCCTCTGGTTGGCAGTCCCCCTCGGTCCCGGGACCCGGTATCCCCGGGTCCCTCCGGGGGTACCCTCCGGGCGAGGCCGGCCCCTCCCAGCCCACGCGGCTGCCTCTCCTCGGTGTCGGGTGTTGGGCAGACCCTCCGGGGCGTGCGGGCGTCCCCGCTGTTATGGCAAGCACCGCGGGCAGGCGTCAGTCACCCTGTCCCTTCTGCCCGAGCAGAGGAGGGAGCAGCGCTCCCGTGCGCCCCGTGTCTGCCGCCCTCCAGAGCCGGCAGTGGCGCTGGCTCTGAGCGGCTGAGTGCTGAGTGCTGGTGTGTCCGCCGCAGCTCCCGAGTCCCCCGAGGACCTGAAGGCGTTGCTGGCGGGGAGGTCGGCGGAGCAGCAGCTGCTGGTGGTGGAGAGGATTCAGAAATGCCACCACCCCAGTCTCGCCGAGGGGAACAAGGCAAAACTAGAGGTGTGCCGGCGAGCGGTTCCGTGTTGGGCCGGGAGGCCCTCTCCTGGGCCGTGGGGCGGCCGGGCGCCGGGGCCTGCCGGCAGCAGGTGGGCCGGGCCCTGGGCAGCGTGCTGGGGCGGGCGGGACACCCCTCACTCTGAGACACCCCTCACTCTGAGACACCCCTCACTCTGAGGCCCAGGCGGGACGGAAGAGGCCAGCACCGGTGCCCTTGCGTCGCCCGAGTTGGCCTCTCGCGGCCACCGAGCGGCCAGGCCGGACCTCGGGGAAGCCGGCAGTGTTCCTCTTCCCTGTCAGAAGGGCCACCGCTGGCGCCGGCACTGCACGGGGCGGCACTCTCGCCCCGAGCTCTCGGGCCGGCTCCTCCGGGGCTGAGCCCCCCCCCCCCCCCCGCTGGTGTCGGCCCACGGAGGGCCCGCGGGCGTCTGTGCTGCCTGTGGTTCGTTCTGGGCCGGCCCTGAGCTGTCCCCGCTGTGTCCCCCAGAAGCTGTTCGGCTTCCTCTTGGAGCACGTGGGCGACTTGGCTGCGGACGACCCTCCGGACCTCGGCGTGGTGGATAAGCTGGTTGTGTGAGTCGGGGCGGGGCCTGGGGCCTGGGGCCTGGGGCCTGGGGCCTGGGGCCGGGGCCAGCACGTCCCCCCGGTGCAGGGTCAGGAGGATCCGCGCCAGGGCTTTGACCATTGGCCTGGCAGGCGGGCCTCACGGGTGCAGCCGCACCGTGGACCCAACGCCAACAGCCCGCTCAGCCTGCCCCCACCACCCCCTGCAGGCGGGACGTGACTTTCCTGTAAAGTGACCCGGCCAGCCCAGCCCCTTCCAATCTGTGTGTGGTGTCTCGCGGCTGGTTCCTTGTGTCTTTGGCCCACAACGTGCTGAGCTCTGCTTGGGGGTGGGAGGCAGGGGACCCCGACAGCGTCCCGATGTCACCCCACGTCCGGGCCTCCAAGGCCCCCAGCGGGCGAGGGAGACCCAGGGAAGCCTCCACTGGGAAGCATGTCCCTCTTGTCCACCTGTCCCTGCCCTGCCCAGGGGTGGTGGCCGGTGTTGGACTCGGTGCACGAAAACCCAGGAGAGCAGAGCCCCGGGAGGTGGCTGCTGGCCTCATGGGGGCGGGGCCCTGCAGTGGGGGTTCAGTGAGGGCGCGGGGGCCGGGTGGCGGGACCCGGTGGCCTCCGCCGTTTCAGACGCACTCGTGCGGAGCTGCGAATGCTTGTGGGTGCCCCACCCAGTCGGCACAGGCAGGGGCTCCCCACTCCGCACACCGCCCGTCGTAGGGGCGCCCCTGAAGCACGCTTACGGAGGTCAGCTGGCTCTGCAAGAAGCCAGGCGGGGCCAGAGGGCGTGGGCGGGGCCAGAGGGCGTGGGCGGGGCCAGAGCGGGGCTCCGGGCCCCAGCGTGCAGCGGTGTCACAGGAACGGCCACGTGGGAGGGCGGGGTCGTCAGCCCTCCGCCGGGAGGGGCTCTGCGCTGACCCGTGTTTCCGACGCGCAGGCCGCTGTACCGTCTCTGCCAGATGTTCCCCGGCGCTGCGAGCGAGTCCGTCCGGTTCGTGCTCCGGGACGCCATGCACGAGATGGAGGCGGCGGTCGAGGCGAAGGGCCGGGCCGCGTTTCCGGGGCTGGACGTGGTAAGCACCGCATGTGTGTCGATGGTGAGCTGAAGCGCGCCCCAGAGGCAGCCGGTTTGGCTGCGTGTGAATGGGCCGGGCGCCCTCTGCCCCGCACGGGGGTTTCAAGGCGAGGGAAGGGGCGGGTTCACCCGGGGCCCCGAGGCCGCGGGCGGCGGGATTCACTCTCGTGTCTGGGGGGTCCCAGAGAGTCGTCGGAACCGCCCTGTGACGGCGGTGGGCGGCTGTGCCAGCCTCGGCGAGTTTTGCAAACGTTTGCTGGGTTACCCCGTTTTCTAGTCTTGGGTTGAAATGCTCGAACGCCGGGGGTCAGAAACTCAAGTACGGGGCTCGTGTCAGTGGGTTTACCGGGCTCCCCAGTCCAGCGCTGGCGCTTCAGTCCCGGGGGCCTCCCCCCGGCGTCCCTGCTAGTCCCCAAACCCCCAGTGTCCGTGGAGGTGGCCTCCCCTCGTCTGTAAGTGGGCGGGCGGACAGCACGCCTGTCTGCTGCCTGGCCCGTGGTCGTCCTGGGGGAGGACAGCGTCGTCACCTGAGACAGAACAGCCACAGTCACGGTCTCAGCCGTCGCCCCAGCAGAGCGCAGCTGCGGCGGCCCCGCGCCGTGCCGTGGCACAGGCCCCCGGCACCTCGGAACATGATGGGCTGGGCAGTGCCCTGGCACAGGGCTCCACCCAAGCCTGGTCCGGACCCAGCCCGCCCCCACGACGATCATGCCGCCCCCCGCCCTGTCCCCTCACCCCCCACTCGGACACGCTCCCAGTGTCACTGCACCTGCATCGGTGCCTGAGGGGAACTTAGACCCTGGGGCGTCTGAGGGTCTGGCTGTTGTCAGACCCGGGCCTGGAGCTCTGTGGTCCGCGTGTCCCGCGATGAGCGGGGGCAGGGGACTCAGCTGGAGACAGCGGGGGCCGTGGGCGTGTTTGGAGGGCGGCTCCCCCAGCTCCCAGCACCCCCCACCCGCAGCCCTCGGTCTCCTCCTCAGTCCAGTGGGCACACTACACCGCCCCCCGGGGCAGGCAGGTGGGCTTGTCACGCCGCCCAGTGTGCTTCCTGGGGCTGTCGCAGAGGGGGGCTTCCTGCAGCTCCGAGCAGGACGAGCGCCGTGGGGCCCCGAGAGCCTCGGCCGCGTGCGCCTGAGCCGAGGCAGAAGGGGCGGGGCGGTGACCTCCGTCTGACCCAGCCTGGTGGCCTGACGCCCCAGGGTGGCCACTGGGGCCTGGGCCCCGAATGCCGCTGGGCTCCCAGGACAGTGCGGCCTCCTCCCGCGCCCACTCCCGGCCGCTGGAGAAGCCCACACGTCAGGGAGAGCCCGCTGGGCGTGTGGTGGGTGGCGGTGACCGCGGGCCCTGCCCTGGCCACAGGTCCTCAGCTCAGTGCGGTGTCTGGGGGGCACCTCTGAGTCTCACCGGGCATCAAAGCCTCTTCCTCTTGGGCTCCTGTCTAGGCAGCGTTTAAACCTCACCGTCCCTTCTCCAGTCCGTGCGGTCCCTCTTTCTTTCCAGCTCGTGTATCTGAAAATTGCCGGGATGCTGTTTCCCACCTCGGACTTCTGGCACCCCGTGGTGACGCCGGCCCTGGTGTGTATGAGCCAGCTGCTCACGAAGGTGCGTCCCGCAGGCGGACGGGGAGGCCGCCCCGTCTGGGCCCGCGGCTGGCCCAGGGCCGTGGGTGCGGACTGTCGGGGTCTTGGGGGAGAGCTCCCTGGAAGGGTCCGTGGGGATGACTGGGGAGCTGAGGCCAGCAACAGCCCCAGCTTCCCCCAGCACCCCACGTCAGCAGCCCCAGACGGGGACGGGGTTTGGTTTAGCAGCTGAGGGTGACAGGGGATGTGACCCCAGAAACAGCTGTCTTGGAGGAGAGAGCCTCAAGTCTGACAGGGGTTCTCGTGTCCTTTGGCTGAACAAAGCCCCGGTGGTCCCTTCATCCTCGATGGGGTGTGGGGCCGGGCCCCTCACGCAGTCCAGGGCTCTCCGCCGGAACCTCAGCTGACCCCCCCCCCCGGGAGGGAGCGGGGACCCCGGCTGCCCTGGGGGCGCCGAGTCACGGGCCCTGTCCCCCCGCCAGTGCCCCGTCCTGTCTCTGCGCGACGCCGTGAAGGGCCTGTTCGTGTGCTGCACATTCCTGGACTACGTGGCCCTGTCGCAGCGGTTCGTCCCCGAGCTGCTGAACTTCCTGCTCGGGATCCTGTACGTGGCGACCCCAAACAAGCCAGGCCAGGGTGAGCGGACCCGAGGGAGCGCTCTCAGACGCGCGGCACTCGAGAACTGTTCTAAGGGCTTCTCAAAGCAATCCGTCCTCCTCGTGCGGAGCGTGGGGTGTGGGGAAGGGACGGCAGACACGCACCCTGAGTCCTCGCGTCCAGAGCAGCGTCCCTCCCTTTCTCTGTGGGACACGCACACACTGCGCAGGCCGGAGGCCACACGTGCGGGTCTGCACCACGGCGCGCTCTGAGTCACAGGCCCCGATCGCTGCTGGGTGCGCCCTGTCCCGCCTTGGGGGGGGGTGGGTGCCGGGGCAGGCATGGTCACGCCCCGGGGAAACCGGTGTGACTGGTGGCCATGGTCAGGGCAGAGGCTAGGATGCTCTGGACAGGGGTCAGCTGCAGGTGGGGGCCTGCTGTCGGCCCTCTCACATCCCGGCCACCTCCCTGCAGGCCGCCCCTGTGCCGCCTCTGCTCTTCCGGTGACAGGGTGGGTGACAGGGTGAGGGCCTGCCCCCCGCCCCTTCCCGTCTCTGCCGGCCTCCACCCTGGGGGCCTCCCACGAGCACGCCCACGGACCCCCTCAGCCGCCTCTGCCTCCGCGCCGTCACTCTTTCCCTGTCGGTTTCAATCCAGCTCGTACGCGTCCTGGGGCGTTCTGCGCGGCCGGCCTCCCCCGTGAGGGCGCAGGCGTGGCCCCAGCGCCCCCCCTGGGGCCATCGCCCCGACTCTGCGTGTCGGCACCAGCACACTTTCGAGAGTGAGCCGGCTAGAGACTTCGCTCTCAGCGCCTCCCCCCGGCGCCCAGTGACGCTCAGACTTCTCTGTCCCTGTCCCGCTTGGAATCCAGGTTACACTCTGGTGCACCCTTTCAGACCTCTGGGGAGGAACTCGGAGCTGCTCGTGGTGTCCGACGACGAAGACACAGCCACGTGGCAGAGGAGGAGTCTGTCCCTCGGCTGGGCAGGCGGACAGACGGCCCAGACCGGGACGGAAGCCAACCACACCAGGTGCGCGCGGGCCCCGCGGAGCCGGGCGCCCCAGCCCCAGACGCCCAGGGTGGCCCGGGGGATCTGTTGCGGGTGACAGGACCTCATGAGCGCAAAACCCCAGAAAGTCCACTGCAAAGCCGTTCCACCCGGTAGCTGAACCCAGCGAAGTGGCGGGTCGCAGTCTGCCGGCAGAGCTCAGCCGCCTCTCCGCGCCAGCAGGGGGCAGTGCAGGCGGGGTTACAGGGACCGCGCTGCCGGCCGCAGCGAAGGAGAGAGAGGGCGGGGCTTGGGAATTAATGGGGCGGGGTTGTACCATGGAAACCACAAGGCACTGCCGGGGGAACCCAGAGACGAGGGGGACAGCGCGCTCCTGGCCCGGGGGTCGGAGTCACCTCCAGAGACGCCACGTGCGGCCCCGGCGTCCGCGCCGCCGTCCCCTGCGCTCACGCACTCGGTCTGCGGTAGGAGGAGGGAAGGGCTGGACTTCGGTTGTAAGTCCTTCCAGCCTCTGAGTTTTAAGTTCTAGAGTATTTGAAAGTGTATTTCTTAAAGATTTTGTTTATCTTTGGAGAGGGGGAAAGAGCGGGGGAAAGAGCAAAACATCGATCAGCTGCCTCTTGAACGCCCTGACTGGGGACCCGGCCCACAACCCAGGCACGTGCCCTGACGGGGAATCGAACCAGCGACCCTTTGGTTCCCAGGCTGGTGGAACTGAGTCCTCGGAGCCACCCCAGTCAGGGCCGAAATTTTTTTGTTGAAAAAGTCTTTATTGTGGTTCAATACACGTAAAACTTACTCGCTGTAGCCACTTTTCCGTGTCCAGTTCAGCAGCATCGCCACCACCGCCTTCTCCAGGACTTCCCACCGCCCACGCTGACACTCCGACCCCCTGGAACGCTCCCCCCACCCCAGCCCAGCCCCTGGGACTCGGGGGTGCGCGCCCCCCCACCCCCCACCTCGCTCCCTCGCGTCCTCCGGCCCCGTCCAGGCCGCACAGGGCTCGGGTCCCCCTCCTCCTCGGGCTGAGCGGGGTTTCGTCACGTCTTGTGTGTCATCGCCCGTCGATGGTCCCCCGGGTCGCCCCCTCCCTTCGGCTGTGGTGGACGGCGCCGCTGTGGTGTGAGCGGTGGGTGCGAGTGTCCCTTCGAGTCCCTGCTGTCAGCTCTCTTGGGGACGCTCCCAGAGGTGGGACCGCGGGGTCACGAGGCGGGTCTGTTTTGAATGTCCTGCGGACCTTCCGCGCTGCTCTCCACGGTGGCCGCGTCCCGCCGAGGGTGCAGGAGGGGCCCCTGTTCTCCACCATCTCACCTCGCCTCGCGGTCTCTCTCTCTCCTTTTTTCTTTCTTCTTTTTTTTGAGAGTCCCCACAGTAGCCATTCCGACCGGCGTGAGGCGGCAGCTCGTTGTGGTTTTGATTTGTGTCCCCGGGCGACTGGTGACATCTGGTGACGTCGAGCGCCTTCACGCGCCTGTGGGCCGTCCGCGCCCCGACGGCCGCTATTCCCGCGGGAAAACAAAACCACTTTCCCACTGTGGGCGTTGCTTTCAGATCGCACCCGCTGGGTGCGCACAGCAGCTTGGAAACGACGGGGGGCGCCGCGCACGGTGGCCCGTTCCCAAGACGGGGGCATCCCGCAGCCCCGCGCACGGCGGCGGTGGCAGCGGCCCCGGTCGGGTCGGTGAGACTCGTGCGCTGGTGTCGCCCCTGCAGGCTGTCCTGCCTGGCCGTGTGTCTGGCTCTGGTGAAGCGCTGCGTGCTCCTGTACGGCACCCTGCCCGCCTTCCACGAGGTCGCGAGGCCGCTCAGGGCCCTCCTGACGCAGCACCTGGCCCACCCGCGTCACCCCCCGGAGCTGCAGGTGAGGCTCCCAGCGACGAGGGCGCCGGGCCCGGGGCTCGCAGCATCCGTGTGGGGGAGGGGCGGGTGGGCGAGCGTTTCTGTCCTGGGCTGCAGCCCGGAGACCAGGGACGCTGCCTCTGCGAACCAGCAGCTGGGACGAGGGGTCGGCGGCGTGAGACCGCGAGGCCGCGAGGAGTAACCGCCGCCGGGCGGGGTCTGGACCTGGGTTTACCTGGCAACGTTGTGTGACCCCTTCCGCCCGCCCCCTGACCTCTGGGGCCGGGACACACGCCCCTCTAGGGCCCCGCGGGTTTTCTGAGGACCGTCCACTGTCCCGCACGAGGTGACGAGCCGTGTGGCACCCCCCTCCCCATGGCCTGGAAGCTCCACGTGGTCCAGCAAGCGTCTCAGACGCTGTCCCGCTGCCGCAGACCTGAGCCCCGCCCTCATCTCACACCCCGCCCCGCCCCCCACACCGCCTCCCGCCAGGCCCCGCCCCGAGGTCCTGTTAGGGGGCGTGGCCTCTCTGGTGGCGGCCTGGCTTCCCTTGCCCACACTCGGACTTTGCTGGGGGCCTGCGCACGGGCCCTCCCTCCACCCGAACTGCTCCCCTAGAACCGCGGACCCACCTCCACTTCTCGCGCTTCTTCCGCTCAGCCCGGCCACCCCTGCCAGAGGCTGCCTGCCCCCCAGGACGTGGGCCCGCGAGACCCCGTGCCACCTCCCAGAAGGCCGAGGCGCGACACCTGCCTCTACCGGCTCCACGCCCTGGTGACATGCCGGGGCTCGCCCCGCACTTTAGAGGGCAGAGCGGCTCCCCACCCCTGTGGGGTGCAGGCTGGCCAGGGGGCCACGGGGGTTCGTGGACGCGGGGTGAACTGAGCTGGCTGCACCTTACACGCAGTTTCTGTGGAGCTGGGGCACATGGCTTCCGAGGGAAGCCTCCCAGTGGGCGGGGGTGGCTGTGCCCCCGGTGCAGAGACCCGCAGTTCCGGGCGGGACACATCTGTGCGAGGGACAGCAAAGGGACTGACGTCAGGGGGCTGGCTTCCAGAAGGTTCCTCAGAATCCTCAGCCAACAATCTCGGAAGGCAAGGCTGTGACGCAAGTGCCTTAACCGGCGGTTCCTTCTGCCGGAACGAGAGTGGGGTCGGACCGGAGACTGGGGGCGGCCGTGTGCCCGGGCAGCTCCCCGGCCTGCAGCGCGTCTGTGAGAAGAGTGGTCAGGCTCCTCTGGGCAAGAGGCAGCCAGCTCGACTGCCAGGTGCTGGCTGCACAGACCACCCTCACCACCAAATGCCAGCACCCAGCATCCTCTCCACCGGCCTCAGACCCAGGGGACCTGCAGTCCTGCCCCGGTGGCTGGCGCACCCCACTCCCCCACCCACCAGGTGCAGCTCCCACCCCACGGGCGTGTTCCGCTGTGAGCACAGCGTCTGTGGACCCCCCTCCTTTATTCAGCCCTTGAGGCGACCGGAGTAAGGGGCACCAGGGGACCAGCCCCCCCCCCCCACAAGTCCCTGCCACCTTCTCCCATACGGCACAGCACTCCCGTCTTCCAGGAGCTGTGTCGGAGCACGCTGGCCGACATGGACGCCCAGGGGAGGCGCTACCGGCCCCTGGTCTGTGAGAAGAGCAAGCCGGTGCCGCTGAAGCTGTTCACCCCGAGGCTGGTCAAAGTGTGAGTGCAGCCGCCCCTCAGGGTCTCGCAGGGGGCCCCGGGTCAGGGTGTGGGCCCACCTGCAGTCTTGGGCTGACTTGACTGGCCTCCCGGGTGCTGGCATCCTGCTCTTAGGCTGGAGTTTGGCAAGAAGCAGGGCAGCAGCAAGGAGGAGCAGGAGCGGAAGAGGCTGGTCCACAAGCACAGGCGGGAGTTCAAGGGCGCCGTGAGGGAGATCCGCAAGGACAACCAGTTTCTGGCCCGGATGCAGCTCTCGGAGATCATGGAGCGGTGAGACCCCGGGGCGTGGGGCGCGGGGCGGCCGTGCGGAGCTCCCGCCCGGGCCTGGGCCTGGGCCTGCGTGCCTGGCAGGTGCTGCCCCCCACCTGGCCTCCCTCTGCACATACGTTCTCCAAAAACCAATCAAAAAACGGCCTCTCTTCCCGTTTCAGGGACGCAGAGAGAAAGCGCAGAGTGAAGCAGCTGTTCCACAGCCTGGCTGAGCAGGAGGGCGAATGGAAGGCTCTGAAGAGGAAAAAGGTCAAAAAATAAACTCAAGGGAAACGTGCACTGGAAGTCCCGATGTTGGATTGGCGGCGTGGTTCCCCCACACACTCCCGTTCCCGTTAAAACATCCGGTGAAACGTGCTCGGCTCGGTCCGTGGGGCTCGACCGGCCTCGGCCAACTGCAGGGCCTGTGGCTGGGCGTCCTGGCCAGTGTCCCTTTCAGTCATCCAGGGATGTTCGCCCTCGTGTGTAGAGCGCAGTGTTACTTCATTGTATGTTACGTTTTCCATTATAAAGTGAACAAGTTTGCAAACAGTTCAGAGATCAGAGCAGGACAGTCATCCGTGGTGACCCCGACGCCCTAACAGCCCCGATTGGACGGCCCTAATTCGGCCGTTATCTGATGCTTTGGGGTGCAGGGTCTTGGTTCTAATAGCTGGGCTGCTGTGGGACGGGCGTGGGGGGAGCTTCGCTGCATCCGCACTGCCCAGGAGGCTTAAGTTTGGGGTGGGAAGGAGCTGGAAGCCATGGAGGGTACAGTTGAAGTCTCAGGCTGGTGTAACCAAGAGCCTCGGGACAGTCAGCGTGCCGTCGGCTGGACCCGAGGGGCTGCGGGCTGCTGGCAGTGAGGGCCCCCTGGGCACCCAGTTCTTACTGAGCCTGTCAGTAGGGACGCATCTGCATATTCTACCCAACTTTCCCTCAGCTGCTGCTCCGCCGCCTGATGCAGGAAGTGTTAAGGCAGTTGACCTTCTGTCTCCAGTGTGCAGGTCACAGCTACAAAAGGGGGCATGGCTGCTTGGGAAGACAGTGGACATAGGGGACCTGGAGTCTGGGGAAGAGCTAACGGTGTTCACAGGGGTTGCAGGTATCAGGTGTACCTGTAACTGCTCCTGTTGGCATTTGGATGTTCAGTATACAGAGGGTTGTGGGTGCCAAGTTGACAAGGGGTGGACTTGGAAGGTGTCCTAGAGTCCCCTCCCCATTTGCGTCAGGGTTGGCCGGAGTGACATGAATCCGATGAGAGGGAGGGGCCATGGGGCAGAGCTGGCCAGGTGCTGGTGCTCAGGTCTCCTCCAGCTGCCCTGGAGTCTCCCCCTCGGCCCCGAGGCCAGGTGTCGGGTGGGAGGCCGCCCCAGGGGAGCGCCAGCTGCTCCTTCTGGATCCCGGGAGGGAGGCCAGCTGGAGTCTGCTGCCTTCGCCGGTCTCGTCTCTGCTCTCCTGACCTCACGCCCCTCTTTCCTCCTCACCTGCCTGTCCCGGGACTTCGCGCTCAGCACCACATGCAGAAGGAACTGTCCGAGGAGGCACGTGTGGCGTGGAGCCCACGGGGGTGGGGGAGGTGCCAGGGAGGCTGCAGGACACCCTGCAGCGCTGCGAGTGAGAAGACCCAGAGCCCCGGGCACTCAGAGGGCGGGAGGAGGTTTAGCACTCGGGCAGAGGGCGGAGCACATGGGACTGTGGCGCGGGCGGCTGCGATCAGGCCCCGTCGCACAAGTTCTCCGGCCGCGACCACGCGGGCCCTGTGGCAACAGCCCGCGGCCAAGGGTTGGCGGGGTCAGGGGTCGCCGCCGCAGCAGAGCGCCCCACGCCCAGCAACCAAGCCGCCGAGCTGGGGCCGACATCCCGCCCCGGACCCAGCCGGCCGGAAGACTGAGCGCGGCGGGCCACTTCCGGGGGCGGGGCGGGGGGAAATGGGCGGGGCCTGAGCGCCCGCCCCGCCCCGCCCTGACAGCGTGCCTGGCTGGCTTTTCCGCATCCTTCTGTCCATCCACAGGTCCCTCCGTCGGTCGGTACCGAGCGCGCGGCCGCGGCAGGTATGGGCGGGGACCCTGGCGTCCCAGGAGCCGAACTCGGGGTGGAGGTAGGGGAGGCGGGAGTCGTGTTCTGCGGGGCGGGACCACCTTGCGCCCACCGGGACCCCAAAGTCCTGCCCTCCACCGGGCCTCAGTTTCCCGGCCCGCTCCACAGGAGGATGTGGGCGGCTGCGCGGGGCGGGGTGGCGACCGCGGTCCGGGTGCCCCCACCCTGGTCCTGGGACGGTTGGCCTTGGTGGCTGTGGTTTCCTTGCGCAACCCAACTCTCCTGCTGTCGGGGGGACGGGTTGGGGCAGTGCTCTCTGGCTTTTGGCGGGTCCAGGGCGTGACAGGAGCAGGTGGACTCCGTCTCCTCCGTGGTAGGACCGGCGTCTGGGGCTGGGGTACCCAGAGGTGCCCTCCTGCAGACCCACCACACCCCCAGACAGGCCGGATTGAAGCGCCCGGACACCATGGGCTGGGGAGCCGGTGGAAGCTGCACTCCGCGTCCACCAATCCGCCAGCAGCCTGCGTCTGAGACTCGCGTGATCACGGTGGTCTTCCTCGGCCTCCTGCTGGACCTCCTGGCCTTCACTCTGCTGCTGCCCCTACTGCCTGGGCTGCTGGAGAGCCACAGCCGTGCCCATGTGAGCTCCACACCCTGTCCTGACGCCTGCCCCCACAGTGGCTGCCCACTGCCCCCAGCCCCTCGGGGACTCCCCAAGCCAGTCATGCTTCTCCATCCCCCAGGACCCCCTCTATGGGTCATGGCAGCGAGCGGTGGACTGGTTTGCCTCGGCCATCGGGATGCCAGCAGAGAAGAGGTACAATAGCGTCCTGTTTGGAGGTACGGCTGAACCCCACACTGGAGCCCCTAAGCTCCCATCTGCCTAGAGCCTTCTCTTTCCGCTCCCTGGGTCCCCGTCAACCCCAGGGCCATGTCCACACCTTCTGACCCTCGGGCACAATCTGCCTCCCCTCGGAGTGTCCACTCTCTCGTCAGGGCCACTTCGGCTTCCGGTCCATGGCCTGGGGGGTGCAGGACCAGTGTGACCAGACCCTTGGGGACTGACACTGTGTTGTGTTGACCGTGACCTCTGTTTCCTCCAGGTCTGATTGGCTCCGTCTTCTCAGCCCTGCAGTTCCTCTCGGCACCGCTCACGGGGGCCATCTCGGACTGCCTGGGGAGGCGCCCAGTGATGCTCTTGTCCCTGGTACGGGCAGGGTGGGGCGGGTCCTCGAGGGGCCAGTGGCTCCTGTGTCTAAGCCAGGCCGTGACCACTGCCATGGGACACTGGGAACACAAGTGGCTCGTGGGTGCTCCGGACCACGGCAGGGCCCCAGGGGTGCTGCTGGGTTTGCTGGGCCCGCTCTGGGCCCCTCCCGGCTTTGAGTGACCGTGCCTGCCCCTCTGCTCCGGCCCTGAGGCAGGCAGGTCTGGCCTCCTCTTACGCCGTGTGGGCTGCCTCGGGGAGCTTCGCGGCCTTCCTGGCCTCCAGGGTGATTGGCGGCGTCAGCAAGGGGAACGTCAGCCTCTCCACGGCCATCGTGGCCGACCTGGGCTCTCCGCCCGCCCGCAGCCGAGGCATGGTGAGCGCTCACGCCAGGGGACCAGGGTGCAGGGATGCCAGGGCCTGGGTCTCCCTCCAGGCTCAGGCAGCCTTCTCCCCAGGCAGTGCTCGGGGTGGCCTTCTCACTGGGCTTCACGCTGGGCCCCATGCTGGGCGCCTCCCTGCCCGTGCGGACGGCACCCTGGCTTGCCCTGCTCTTCGCCGTGTCTGACCTGCTGTTTCTCTTCTGCTTCCTGCCGGAGACGCTGCCCCCGGAGAAGCGGGTACGGTGGGGCCCAGGAACAGCTAACAGGTCCCGGGGCCGGGGGCTTGGTTCTGGGGGCCCGCAGGGAACCCCTCGTGGGCACCAGTTTCGGGCGCGAGGGGAGGCCGGGCTGCCCGTCCTTGGAGTCCAGAGGCTCCTGGGGACGCGGTACCGCCCCAGGCCCCGTCTCGGAGGCGCGGCAGGTGCCTGGAGGCCAGGCCGCTAGGGCCAAGCTGGTTTGGGTCATGCCCTCCCTGGGCTGCTGGACACAGGGCCACCCCTGGGCCACCAGCAGGCCTCTCCAGTTCTGCCCCCTGCCAGGCGCCCTCCATCACCCTGGGGCTCCAAGCTGCCGCGGACCTGCTCAGCCCCCTGGCCCTGCTCCGCTTCTCCGCCGTGGCCCGTGGCCAGGACCCGCCCACCGGAGACAGTAAGGGGCCGCGCGTGCGAGGGTGGGGCTCCCCTGGCTGCCGTCCGCTGGGCCCTCACACGCTGGCCCCTCTGCCCCCCAGGCCTCGACCACCTGCGCCGCCTCGGCCTGGTCTACTTCCTGTACCTCTTCCTGTTCTCGGGCCTGGAGTACACTCTTAGCTTCCTGGCACACCAGCGCTTCCAGTTCAGCAGGTGGGTGTGCGGGCCCCGGTGGGACCCCACCTGGGGACACGGCCGTCTCCCAACCCCCCAAGGTTCAGCCCAGGAACCTGGGCCAGGTAGTGGCTGTCAGCCCAGCCGCCTCTCCTGGCCAAGCAAGGCCGGGCGGCTGGCCAGCAGGCGGGGGCGCTGAGCCTTCCCCGCTCCCAGCCTGCAGCAGGGGAAGATGTTTTTCTTCATCGGACTCACCATGGCCACCATCCAGGGCGCCTACGCCCGGCGGATCAGCCCCGGCAGAGAAGTCCCAGCGGTGAAGCGGGTATGGGGCGCCCCTGGAAATGGGGGCGGGCGGCTTCCCGAGCTCTGTGGAGTGCCCGGAGCGGGCCCTGAGGTCTGCTGTGCCCACCACCCCCCCGCCCCCGCAGGCCATCCTGCTGCTGGTCCCCGCCTTCCTCCTCATCGGCTGGGGGCGCACACTGCCCGTGCTGGGCCTGGGGCTGCTGCTCTACTCCTTTGGTGAGGGGGTCTGCCCAGGCTGGGGTGGGGGTGGGGGTGGGGTGGGGGAGGCGGTGGCCACCAGTGGCTGTGAACGCCCTCCGGTGCGAGCCCTCAGCCACTCCAGCGGGCTGACGGGTGCCTCGCCGACGCCCTCCACCCCCAGCTGCCGCTGTCGTGGTGCCCTGCCTGTCTTCCGTGGTCGCCGGCTACGGTGAGCAGCCCTTCCTGACCAAGGCCATCCCACGTGGGACGAGGCTGCCAGCATCTGACGGCCCCTCCCTCTCCCCCGCAGGCTCGCCTGGGCAGAAGGGCACGGTCATGGGCACGCTGCGGAGCCTGGGTGCCCTGGCCAGAGCGGTGGGGCCCATGGCGGCCGCCTCAGGTGAGGGCCGCGGGACAGCACTGGGGCACGCCGTGGGCCTGGGGGGCCAGGCCGCTGCCCCTGGTGGGGACCTCCCACGGCCACTGCCTTGGGCCCAGCTCCACGCAGCGCCCCCAGCCTGGGGGGTGGCGGGCGGGGGCGGGGTGGGCTCACACGGCCGCCCTGCTGTCTTCCCACAGTGTACTGGCTGGGGGGCGCCCCGGCCTGCTTCACCGTGTGCTCCATGCTCTTCCTGCTCCCCTTCCTCCTCCTGCGGACCCTGCCGCCCCTGGGAGGCACACTCAAGGCCGAGTAGCCGAGGCAGGACGTCCAAGTCTAGGCCAAGACCGCGGCTGACCGCGGCCGCTGGCCTGACCCCCCTCTTCCCCCTGGGGCCCAGCCGAGGACGTCGCAGGGCCTGGGCCCCAGGGGCCACTCCACACCCCAGACCAGGGCAGCCCTGCCCGCTACACGCAGAGCCAGCGACTCCAAAACCCTGCAGGCTTCCGGTTTGCTTGTTTTTTTACACTTGGGAACAGGCTCTCAGCCAGGCATCTGAATGACAATAAAGCAGCTATTTTATGACAAGTGCCTTCCTCCAGTACACAGCGTCCCTCAACAGCCACCACGCCCTGGGCAGCAGAGGGACCTGCACGCCTGTCGGCTCCACTGACCGCAGGGCTGCTCACTCTACACGGGTGGGGGTGGGAAGTCGGATGCAGGTCAGCCCTGGCAAGGTGACGCCTGGGGAGGGCCCCACCTGTCTGCCCGGGCCCCACCAGACTGACCCCAGGGTCTGCTCTGACAACGGAGGACATGGGCCTGTCTGGGTGGCGTTGGCGCTGGGGCCCTGCCCCGCAGCCTGACCTGTACCGCCAGCCGCCGGGGCCCCGGGGCAGGGCAGCTCTGGGTCAGAAGGTCCTCCCCAGTGCAAAGGGACCCACGGTGTTTCATCAAGAAGTAAAACACTTGGGGTTTTTTTTTTTTTTTTGGAATATGAGACGAACCTGCAGGTCCTATTAAGAAATCAAAGAAAAGGGACCAAGATACATGACTGCTCCCTAAGTGCAGACAGGGCACAGGTTAAAGAACTTTATTTGTGAGAGAAACGCAGCACAATGAAGAAAGGACACAGGGCCTGTGTCTGCATGTGCGACTAAACTCAGTGTGTGATACAAAGTTAAAATAAACTACCAAGGGAAATTAAAGGCGCCACACGTGTGGGGTGGAGGGAGGGCCCGAGGAAGAGCCCGTGGCTGACTCGAGGACGGGGCGGTGCAGGGGCGGGCTGCACCTGGGCGACAGTCGGCGCGTGGGAAAGCGGTGTGCTCGCCGCGAGCTCAGAGCAGCGGGCGGTGCCGTGCAGCCCGCTCCGGCCCTGCCGGGGGGTCGGATCTGCGGGACTGAGCCCACCTCTGGTGCTTCCCCAAGGGGTCTCTGGGACAAGAGGGGGCAGGCAGGCTGGCACCAGGCAGCTCCTGGAATGGGTCCCCTGAGGAGCCCCTGTGGCCGCCCGCTGGCTCCCACGAAGGAGCTTTACACTCTTTTCCAGGGGGCGGAGTTAGTGGAGAGTTCACGGAAGTGAAGGAGAGCCAGTTAGGGCTCCATGAGCGATGGGGGCTCGGTGGCTGCGGGGACAGCCAGGGCCGGCTTCTGCCTTGAGCTGCCCTTGGTCAAAACCAGGTCTGTCTGGGGACGAGGTTAGGAGCAGACCCCCTCTGTCCCGAAACCTCGCCCAGACAGGCGAAGAGAAAGGAACACAAGTCACCGTTCGTGTGCACAGCTAGCAACGTAAGATGAACTGCAAACCTGCTGAAAGAAAATCCTGGAAAGGACCCTTTCCCCGACTATGCACCCTCCCTGTGGCGGAGCCGAGAGACCCCAGTAAGACACTGAGCCCTGAATCTGATCCGGCCGGGGGGCCGGTCAGGCCGTGCACAGGCTGCGCCGGGCACACACAGGCCCGTCTGCCGCTGGGTGTCCGGCCGAGCCCGCCCCCGCCTCTTGGAGCCCGCCGCCGCCCTGGGCCGGGGGCGAGCACAGGGGGGGCTCTGTGTACGGGAGCCAAGGGAGCCGCTGAGCAGGGAAGGCCGGCAGGGACAGAGCCAGGCACCTGAGACCTTGGGGTGAGGGGAGCCTGGCAGGGGCCGAGCGTGGTCACTTCGAAACAGAAGGAGAGCGAGAGAGGGCAGGGCTGGAGCTGCAGGGCCTCTTGCGGCCGGAGCCCTGACTGACTGGATGCCCCCAGGGAGCGGGACTTGAGGAGCAGACGGATGAGCACGGAGGGGGCACGAGCCCGAGCCTCCCTGGGCCGAGCCCCGGGGCCGCGGGAGGCCCCTTGGAGCACAGGAGGTTAGCACCGGTCCGCAAGGGCTGGGTCGGGCGGGGAGGGGGGTCTCTAGCTACATGGGGGACGGGCTCAGCATTCCATTACCGGGAAGACAACACGAGAGAGACAGGGAGAGAGAGAGAGAGAGAGGGAGAGGGAGAGAGAGAGAGTCTCGGTTTGGACGGGGCAGGCCTTCAGCAGTCGCTCCTCTTCTTGCTCTTCTTCAGGAAGGAAGGGGTGCGGAACTTCTTCTTCTTTTTGGAGGGGGACTTGCCTGGAGACCCGTCACTGCCTGGGTCTGCGGCGGCACCCTCCTCGGCGGTGGGGGAGGAGGCCTCCTCAGCCCCCGGGGCCGGGGCCGGGGCTGGCTCGGGGCTGGCCACCGTGGAGGACCTGGCGGGGCTTGGAGGGCCGCGGGCTTCGCCAAGCCCCTCCTCCTCCTCCTCCTCCTCCTCCTCCTCCAGCGTGGGGAAGCCGAGTGCTTCTGAAGGCTCGTCAGGGGACAGGTCAGGGAGAGTCGGCTTAGAGGTGGCGGCTTCGCCGTCGTCTCCTGAGGTGGGGTCCCGCGGCAGGTCTGGTGGGCAGGGCAGGAGAGACCGGTTAGGATGGCTGCCCAGCCCTCCAAGGGGAGCCTGAGGTGGGCACCGCCCCGCACAGACGCTGCCCCGGCCTGACTCCAGAGTCTTCTACCAAGACTAGAGGAAGCGACTCGGAGTCAGGCTGCGCCACACGCAGACGCCGTCTTGGGCAGGGTCACGGTCGGGCCCTTGTTGGGGAAGCCCGCCGACACCGGCAGCCTCCGTCCCGGGCCTCGGTGCCCAGGCAGAGAGGCCGAGGCGAGCTGGGGAGGCGTCAGCGCCGTGTGTGCTGTGCTCAACCCTTGAGGCGGGGTCTGCTCTGGAGCCCTAGGGCACCCGCCACCACACCTGGTCTCCCCTAAGGAGAGAACCGTGGGAAGCGACGCAGCCCGTGGAAACCCCAGTTCACCCCCAGACCATGTGTGAATCGCATCAAATAAACAGAGCCACGTTGGCGGGAGGGTTAGTTAAAGGAAGGGGTCAGGGAGGGGGGCAAAAACCAAGCCACCAAACGATCTGCAGGGGACACCTGAGGAACACTGTGCGGCTTGTCTCCAGAAAACAGCCCGGTGGCCGGTGTGGAGTGAAGATGACCATCGCCAGGCTGGGTGGGAGGGGCGCTGGTTTTACAGACTTTCAGACTGAGAGCCTACGAAGCCCCGAGTGACTGACAGACAGGTCAGGAGCACCAGGCCATTCAGACCTTCGGCAATCAGGCCAAGCCTCAGGCGGCCACTGCAGGCCTGGCCCCAAGCACTGGGCGCCGGGCCGGGCGGCTGGCACGGCCCCAGGATAACTGACGGCCAGTCCTCGCGGACCCGGGGCGGCAGGAAGTTAGGAGTCACTCTGCAAAGCGTGCAGAGGAGGCCTGTGGATGCTCACGGAAACCTTTATCATTGGACCAAATGTCACATTAAAAAATAGGGCCAAATGTCACTCTTCTGTCCTGAGCTTAAGCAAAGATCCACACACACGTGACTCCCATGTGGCAGATGGCAAAACCCCATTCTGCCCGAACCTCAATCTGGACTCGTGCCTTCCCCCCCGCAATCCTGAGTCTCCAAGGCCGGATAGGACGACACGCCGCTTGGGATTTCTGGGGCCTGGAGTGCTCAGCCCACTGCCTGCCGTGGGGGCTCAGGTGCCTGAGCCCCTTCCAGGAAGGCCACTGCCCGGAATGGAAGGACTGGGTACCAAGCGGGGGGGAAGAAGGGTGGGACAATGGTTTTATTTTGAACAAACAGAGAACAGAAGGCGGTGAGCAACAGAGTGGCAGAGCGAGGCAAAGCGCAGGGCGCCCGCCGGCGGGCGGTACTTACTATGGCAACAGGTACTCTTTAGCACATCCTCCTGCTTGCAACGCAGCCACAGGAAGAGAAAAGCACAGGAGAGAATCTAGGCATTCAGTCACAGCCACCGGGCACCGAGGAGAATGGCCGAGCCATTCTTGTGGACACAGACGGGGTGGGAGGTGAGCCACGGGCTCCCGACGGACACGGGGAGCATGACGTACAAGACCGAGGGACAGACACGGAGGCCACACGCCACAGACATGCAGTGGGTGGTCTGAGAGGCCGACAAAGGCCAGCACTCTCCATGGACTGAGGACACGGCAGGTCCAATGACGTCTTGTGCCCGGACAGCCCGGAGGACACTTCCAGAAGCGTGATCCAAGCACAGGAAAGGTTCGGAAATGTGCAGAGTGGGCAAAACTTTGGACCTCTGTCCTCCCACCGAGGGACAGCTCACAGACGCTCTGCTTTGCCTCAGGTCACCCAGGACAGAGTCAAAACAGGAGCGGCGCGGGCCGGGGCCCGGAACCTCGTGCCGGCTGGCGCCCACACAAAGGCACACGCCTCACTTGCATCCGCTGCCCTCCTTCACTGGACGGAACACGCAGCTCCGTCCCAGCCCTCCCCGTGGATGCCCAACCCCCCCCACAGGGCCCCACACCCTCCCTCACCGGGGCGGCCTCGCCCACCCCGGCCCAGAGCTCGCTCACCTTCGTCCAGCTTGACAGGGGTGCTGGAGGCGGCAGGGCGCTCCGGAGGACTACCACCTCTCTGCTCTGTGGTCTCGTCCACACTCTCTGCAGGGGGACAGAAGGCGAGAAGGGCGAGTTACGCCGCCGCCACCGGGAGCCTGCACCCCCTCAGGAGCAGGTGACCCTCTGCCACCTCAGGGAGGACAGGCCCCCGAGGGCGCATCCAAGAGACCAGGAAGGGCACACAGCCACGGCCCTCTGCGTCCTTCTCCACCCCCCTCCCCGAAAGAGGGGGAAGGGAGTTCGGGGTCACTGGGGTGCGGATCTAGATCGCCAACTCCGGACTCCACGTTGGCTCCTGTTCTTCCGCGCACCAGAGCCCGCCCAGCCTTCAGCGACCCCCCGGCACTGCTGCCCCTCAGCCTGCCCTCCAGCGGGCGGCCCAGGGCGCTCCCCCTCCAGGGAGGCCACAGGAGCATTCCTTTGGTTTCAATGTCTTACACAGAGCACTTTCCACCACCAGTGGAAACCTGGCCACTGTAATGCCCGCCTCCCCTCTCTGAAGCACAGCGTGCTGATGAGGGCCGGGGGCTGCAGGGACCGTGACCCGGGGCCCAGCCCGTCCGAGTCTGCCTGCCCTCAGGGAGCAGCACACACCCGAGTCCCTCGCTCCTCAGCCCCCTTCTCCCCCGTGCACCCGCACAGTGACCACTGAGGACCGCCGGCTCCCACGCTCTGAACGAGCCTCTGTGGTCGGCAGGGCCCCGACCTCGCACAGATGCCCACCTACACAGCCTGCGGCTGCCTCCCTGAAGGCAGGAACCCGCCGACGAAGGCCTTCACACGGACCTCTGCTCCCTGGGGCCTGGCCTCTCTCCTCAGACGGCAGGCACTGACCTCGACCTGTGGCACCCCTCCTCCTGTGCCCAGGGCCAGCACCAGGACACACAGGGGATCCTCGCAGGGCTCACAGAGCACAGTCACAGCTGTCCCACCCACTCACTTGCTGTAACATCCCTCCTGATTAAGGGGGAAGTCTTGTGTGTCTTAGGATTTGACTCAAAATAGAAAAGGAAAGAGCCCAGGTTTCCCAGAACATGGGAAGGGCACAGAGAGCAGACACACATGCATGTGACAGGCGGCGGCCTCACGCAGCCCTCAGCCTGCGACAGGCAGCCCCGGCAGAGCCCCAGGCAGCTCTCCACAGGGCCCTGTGTGCCACTCCAGATTGCTGACCGGAGTCAGTGTGGGCTACGTCGATGTGCGGTGAGTCTTACCTGTAACGCACGTGTGAGGGAAAGTGACAGGCAATGACAGGGTAACACCTCCTAAACTCAATTCAGCAGTACCATTTTGCACAACTCAAATTCCAACGGCAGCAGCAGCTGGTCTAACGCAAGACACGCAAGGAGGTGAACTGGGCGCGTCAGAGACGGGGAGCAGCAGAGAGCCCCAGGAGAGGCGCCTGCTGACCCAGAGTGCGCGGCCAGGAGACACCCACTACGAGGCCTCACTCCCGGGAAACTGGCTCCCGGGGGCGAGCGGAGCAGGAGGTGCGGGCCGACATCGCCCCTGAGGCTTCGGCACCAAGACCGAGGCTGCGCCTGCGGCCCTGCAGACTGCAGCGGGCACCTCCTGGTGGGCGGACGTCCGTGCCCCGGGTCCTCCTGGTGCCAGCCACGGGCGCTCGGGGGAAGGGGCGTGGGCCCTCTGGAGCCTTCATGGGAGAGGCCGGGGGAGGCGTGCTTCTCTCGTCAGTTCTCGCAATACCTGAACCTGCTTTTTAAACCCTGAAGTTCGGAACAACCTGCTCCGCGAGGCCTGGCCCTCAGAGCCGTTTGTTCCCCCTCGCTGCGACATGGTCCCATCCCGTCTTACAAAAACACGACCTCCCCGGCCAGCGAGTGCCCAAGAGGAAAAAGAGCCTGGCCTGGCAAGCAGCCACCGTGCCGGCCGGGAGGCGGCGGGGAGTGCGGACACGAGGGCGTGCCGCCGCCCTGGCTGTGAGCGCCAACGGGGATGGAGAGGAGCCCGCGGCCGCACCGCCGCGAGAGCGGACTGCGCACTGGCGCAGACCTGGACCGGGGCCGGCCGGGACCCGCCCCGCCCGTGCCTCAGCGTGGCTGTGCGAGCCCCGGGTGGAGCACACGCGTTCACGGTGCCGGGCACGGAGCCTGGCACGGGTGACTGCTCAGAGGTGGCCAACGAGTGTTCACTGAGACCCCCGACTCAGAGGAGACCCCTTCTCTGCCAGGCTTTCGGAGAAGAGACACGTGTCCGATGCTGACTGTCTCTTACAAATGACAGGGAGCCCAGCGCTGCCACGAACTGCTCCAGAGAAACGTCCCCATCACTCAACATGGACGGCAGTCCAGCACGCACGGAGCTCTCCGGGGGGCAGCGGCCCGTGGGGCTGGTGGGGGCACGGAGGCTCCACGTGCCCGCGCCTCCCCCCCCCCCCCCCGGTCTCACAATGTCCTCACGGTAACTTCTGACAACCAGGGCACCTCCTGGCCCGGTCCCCTGTCCCGGTGTGGGGCCGGGCACTGGAGTGCTCAGCCGCGTCATCTCTCCCACTTGCACTGTGGGTCCCCAGGCAGAGCAGTCGAGGGGGTGGGGGGTCTGACCTGTTCTCTCGGGGCCTGCCTGAGGAGGAGGGAGGAAGGGAGCACGGGAACCCTCGGTCCCGAACCAGACACCTGGGGTGCAGAGGCGCTCCCCGCACACCCAGACGCGCCGCACCCGCCGTGCTGCCGGCCCTCTGCGCGAGTGCTCACCTGAGGGGCCCTTGTGCTTGCGCTCCACCTCCCTGCGGTACTCCTCCAGCTCCCGGTCCGTGAGCGCGGTGAAGGGGTTGGGGCCCGTGGTGCTCACGATGACGTGCGGCTGGTACTCCTTCTCAATGATGGCCTTGGAGGCTGTCACCAGCTCCCCCTGAGGACAAAGAGGGGGGCCAGGTCTGTGGGGGCCCCACCACGGGGACTCCCTCCTCCCAGGCTGGGCGCAGGCGGGGGGCAGGCAGCACTGCGGGGCACACGCGCTCCTGCGGCGCAGGCTGAGCCACAGCCACCCGGCCAGTGGGGGCGGACAGGGAAGTGACTCCGATGCAGCACACAGGGGGCGAGTCCTAGGGAGGCCCCCGGGTTCCGGGAGCCATGGCGGCAAGGTGCAGACGGAGCCGGGAGCACCACGCCCGCCGACACGGTGAGCACGCGTTAAGGACCCTCCCCCCACGTCAGGGTGCCACAGACCACTGCACTCAGGCGAGGCATGCTGCTGGGTCTGCTTCCACTCTGAGAGCACAGGTAAGTTCTGTTCTTTTGACATAAACACCAGTGCCTGAGGAATTTGGAAAACTGAGAATGTCCAGAAGAAACCAGAGAGCAAAGCACTGTGCAGTGCCCAGGCCAGTCCAGTCTCCCAGGAGGAGGCAGCCCCAGGAGGTTGGCTGGACACAGGGGGTGGGGCAGGCCCTGGGGGAGAAGGGGAGGGCGCCAGGTGGGCAGCCCTTGGGGCTGTGAAGCCCACTGGGTACCCCCTTGTCCCAGCACAGCTCTGTGCCCCACAGCTCAGGCTGCTTGGCCCCCAAGTGCTCAGGGGCTCACCTCTGAGAGTTAACCGAACTCACGCATATGCCCATTACTTAATGAGAGCTTCCAACAACAGCTGAAGACAAGAGAATCCAAAGTCATTTTGGTCCCAGGCCCGCTCCATCAGCACTCTCCTCAGTGAGGGGTGAGCCTCGGAGGCAGACAGCATCCCAACCAGCGCACACAGAGCCAGACCCAGGCCAGGCAGCCTGGGCTGAGCGCCCCCGTCCCGTGAGCTGGGTGCCGAGTGTCTAGAGCACTCTGCGGCTGATCAGTGACAACCATCCAGGGGACAGAACCCAGGGGATAGAAGAAAAGGACCTGCTGACACCAGCAACCTGTGCTCCGAGAGACTCGAGATTCACGATGGCCTGGGCGGGCAGGCTTCTTTCAGAGCAGGCCTGGCCCAAGCTGACCAGCTTTTCATCCAGAGGCAACCCCGCCACACTCGCCAAGACAGGGACCTGAACCCTCCTCTGCCACTCAGTAGCCCTGTGGCCCGAGGCAAGCCCCTTCCTGTCCACAGGCCTGTTTCACCAGTCCCGAGAGGAGTCTGCTGGGCCAGCCATGGCTCAGGTCCCGCTGCACACCAGCACAATCAATCGACCACAACCTGGCTGGCGGCCCGTGCACCCTGGTACCCCTGCCCGTGACACAGGAAGGTGACAGGAGACTGAAGAAAAAGGCACACATCCATTTAAGTCAGATGTTCAAAACCAGTGAAGGGAAACCATCAAGACCTGACCCCCACAAGGACGACCCTTGGACTACGAGGCCCCAAGGCCCTTCCTGTGCCAGGACACCTGGCCTCTAGGCGCGACGTGGCTGCTTCTGGCCACTGCTAGCAGGGGCTCCCTCCCCAGCGAGGGCCAAGGGGAGTTAGAAAAAAGAGCCATGCTCGAGATGCAGAGAGAAACACGCCCCGTGGGAGCCAGCCAGCTGTGAGGTCGGGTGTGACGTGGAGGCTCTGGCTGCACCCCTGAGGTCCAGCCCCTACCACGGGCCCTGAGCAAAGCAGAGGCCCAGCCGCTCCTCCACCCGGGGCTGAGGCAGCCTGAGGGGAGTGACGGCCCCCTCACACCGCGCAAACCTGGGCTGGCGACCTGGCCTCTCTGAGCATCGCGTGTTCATCCGCCAAACCTACACAGACGTGAATTTACATCTGGGCCAAGCACATGCGGGGTGCTGAACACCAGCTTCCCCGAGGGAGCCTGCAAGGCAGCCCCGGGCCCCTCGCATTTCAGCCGGGCAGCCCGAAGGGAGGCGGGCGCCTGGCCCTGCGTGCACAGGGATGCGGCAGAGCAGGCCCTGGGGGCCGTGCACGCCCCCAGCACAACTCCTGGCCGTGCTGAGCAGCTTCCAGAGCAAACCTTCGCGCCCTGCTCTCCAGCGACTGGAACCCAGAGCGCGGCCAGAGCGACCGTGCTCCGGCACGCACAGCGCTGAGTCAAGACAGGCCTGGGCTGGCCTCCTGGGTCCGGGACACTGGTGCGCAGGGTGTGGCTGGGGACTCGCTGCCCTTCTTCCGTCAGAAGGCTGGGGGAGGCAGAAGCAGAGGAAAGACGTTCCAGAAGAGCCCAACCTCCTTGGCCCCACGTGCCCGTTCCTCGGGCTCCTCGGTGGGAAGCAAACAGCTGCAGGCTCGCTCCCCGGAGAGAGGACATCTGTGGGGCGGTAACAAACACGCTCCTTTCATCTGGTCAAGGACAAGGTCACCTTGCCAGTGAGCAGCGCCACCTTTCTAAAGGAGCACCGTGACCTGTGCTCGGCGGTCCCCACACGACGCGGAAGTGAGCCCCGGCAGCGGCACTGGGGTCAGAGCACACCCTCGCCGCCAGAGGAAGCGCGCTTTGTCACGGGAAGAAGGCCAGGGTGCAAACCTGAGCACCCAGGAGAGGGCAGCGGGAAACCAGGAGCTGGAGCGGGGGTCTCTGCAGGGCCCATCTCCGCTGCTGGGCTCGGCACAGACCCCGCAGGGCCCAGTCTGGTGCTTGGCCCTGCAGAGGACACAGGACTCGCTGGGAATCCCACCGCCCACAGCCAGCCAGGAAGGGGCCCGCGCCCACACTCCATGAAGCTCTAACAGGCGACTGCGATGCGCACCCAGGCGAGAGCACCACTGGACAGAGCGGAACCAGCACTGGGACCGGATGAGGGACTGGCCTGCACAGCGGCCTCCCGCACAGAGGGCCGGTCTGCCGCCTGGGCGGGCAGCCCTGAAGGCACAGGCAGCAAGCACTGCGTGCGGCCCGATGCCAGAGCGCCCGCCTGAAGCGGCCCCGCTGCAAAGCGGGGGGCTGTGCCGCCGGTGAGCCCCCGGGGCTCCGGACTCCGCACTCCTTCGCATGTGAGGTAAAAGAATGAGAATCTGACAAGACCACGCAGTACGGAAACACGAAAACCAAGTGGGCAGGCAAGAGGGCATCTCTTTCCCATGGTCTAAGAAGCTCCTCCAAGAATGGTTACAGGAAATATATTTTAAGGACAAGAGGAAATGAGACCCATGAAAATAACACATAAATGTGCAAAATAATGTCCTTAGGGAGGAAGACGGGAACACAGAATGCCTGCAACAAACCAGCTTCTCCCGGGCAACCAGAGCACGGGTAAGCGGGCAGCTGCCTCTCCCAGGAGGTGTGCTAACGGACGGACACGGGCGCACAGCTGGGGCCCTCACCCTGCATCTGCAGGGCCTCAGAGCTTGCGGCAGGCAGCTCCCCCACCCGGGCACCTGCTGCCAGATGGTTTCCTCCCTATGAGCACACCAGCTATGCGAACACAAGGAGAACTGTAATTTGGGGTTTCAAATTTTCACGTCTTTTTCCCTCCTGCAACATTAAAAAATTGCCTAGGTTTTTTTGAACGGTCAAAACCAACACATTTCCTCAATAAGGGCTGACAAAGACGGTCTTGCTTCCTTCCCTGCGTCTGTGAAACGACATCTTTCAGTGACACCACCTCCAACTGCACGTTTGTCGCATTAGGGTTGCGACGGAGCAGGTGAAGGAGAGAGTCGCACAGGGCAGTGCCAGCACTGGCCAGAGTCACATCGCTAAAACTGCCACCTTTCCACAACAAGGAGAATGCCGAAAACTGGAAAGAACGTCGTATCGAATGTGGCAACTGCGGAATGGAGCAGGCAGAACAGAACCTTCCGTACTGTCTCACAAATGACCTGGGGGGAGACCTGTGCACGGCCAGACCTGTGTCAGCCGCCACGGCACCGCCAGCGGGGGCAGACGGTGTGGGGCGGGCAGGCGGAGGGCAGCGTGTGCCGACAGGTAGTTAAGGGCGGGGCAGCGAGTACCTTTCTAAAAGAGAGAGATTGAGCTGGACTAAAGGTCTGCTCTGTGAGCTCGAGCCCTTCGATTGTCTCCGTGCAGTCGGACAGGGGCGCGTCCTGCAACAGTAAACTGAGTGAGCAGAGCCCCAGGCCCAGCCTGAAGTACCAACCGAGCCCACAGGATGGCGCCGCCAAGAGCATGCAGCAGAGACAGCCCTCACAGGGAAGGCACGGGGTGGGGTGGGGTGGGGTTGGGGGGGCGCACGCGACCCCGGAGTCAGGAGCACAGCTGGCCACTCAGAAGAGGCAGTGACCACCACCTACCCTGCAGTCACGTGTAAGGTTTCAGGGGCAGCTGCTTACACGGTTACCCTCCACGGGCCCCGCGTTGCTGTCTCTCTGTGGCAATGTGGGTCACTGCGGACCACACTGACAGGTCCCCTCTGCGGCCACTTTCCCCAAGCAGCACTGGGCTGCTGAGACAGCAACGTGCACGAGAGCAAGTCCGCCAAACCCCTCGCCTAGCACTTTACACGGGGCACCGTGCCCCAGCCACCGTGCTCCGGCCGGGCGCGCCGGCCCCCCGGCGGCTGTGCGGCCGGCGCAGGCATGCACTGCACAGGGCCGGCTGGAGGGGACGTGCCCCAGGCATGCTCGTGCTTGGCCTATCAGGGACACACGGCTGTGACTGCTTATCGTGAAGGTTTCCAACAAAGACTGTCGCCTAGAACACTTACCTCACAGTCACACTCTCCCATCTTAAGAGTAACACGAATTTCGGAGTGCTCACCTGGACGAGGCTCCTGTCCACCATTACACCAGACAACACCTGGGACTGGGGACCGGCCGTCTTAATGTCCTGTAAGTTCTGCTCTCGGATCTGAGGACAGCAAGAGGGAGAAACACGCATCAGCAGCACACAGACCCCTCGCCGGGACTGGGACTCACGCCCACAGCCACGTGCCAGCTGCACCTCCCGTGTGCCCTGCCCACACTGGTCCTACGTGACCACCCTGCCTGCTGTGTGGCACTGATCCCGCCGGCTCAGGAGCCGTGGGTCAGAGGGCAGGAAGGGCCCACCCCTACGTTCCCACCCTGAATGCTTGGGGCAAGAAGCACTCCCTCACTGGAGGGGACTCCCTATGTGGCCACCACACTGGGACACTGAGCAGGGCGGGTCCACGTTCTGACACCCCGCACACGCACAGCTCCCCACTGAGCCCGGAGAGGCAGGAGCAGGCTGTGCAGCCTCTAGCCCTGCCCTGCCGTGTGGGCGCCAGGGGAAGAACCAGGCCCCAGCTGCCTGTGCTCTCGCGTCACACCGCTGGCACAACAGCAGGAGCAGCGCACGGCGCCCCCAGCCGCAGCCATGGGGGCAGCAGAGGTCCCGGGCCAGAGCACACACTCCCCACCCCCGCGGCAGGGAGCATCCCGCCCGCCCGCCCGCCCGCCCGCCCCGGAGCACGCACCTTGTTCCTCATCTCCTGGACCTCTTTCGGGTTTGTGTTCAACGGAACAAACAGGTTAGGGACGGCAGAGGTGGAAGTTCTATGTCCATCCTCTTTAGTCCACTGCAATGTCAAGAACAGTGGGAACGTCAGAGCCGGCACGGCGGGAAGCGACACCACAGCATCCAACCTGTCCAGCTCCTCTTACACCTGGTCATGCACTGAGCGCATCAGAGAGTGAACCAATGCCCACACCCCTGTGCCCTGCGGCCCTCGGGGGGAGGGGGGGCCAGGCGTGTCCAGACAGACACCAGGAGTGGGGGAGGCCAGAGTCCTGACTGAGTGGCCTGGGCCACGGAGAAAGCCCAGCTGGACTCTGGGGTCTGACACAGGCTGACGACAGCTGTGCCTGTGACTCCTGTGGGCTCGCCAGTGGGACCCTCCAGAGCACATTGGTTCACCGCTCCAAGCATCATCAACACCAAAGCCAGCTGGAAGCATGAGATGACAGGGCCGTGGGAAGCGCTGTGACGTGCCACCCACAGGGAGGGACGACCCGGCACTGGGAGGCAGGAGTGGGCATCACCAAAGTTCTGCACTACAACAAACCACACGTCGGAATGCACTGCTGCGTGGCTGCTTCAGCCCAGGAGGTGTGCTGAATGAACGCTTAGGCACCCAGTGGAAGATTTGGTGATGTCAAATATTTTATATAACATTGTATTTTGTTACAAAAATATCCCAGACGAACTTGAAGCGCTATGGTCCTCGCCAGAAGGCTGTTTTAGGTGTCAGTGCACACCGCCAGCACCCTGCACCTTTCGACTCTGTGTCTCGAGTCGAACGTGACCCTTCCATTCACACTGCAATTCTGAGGCATGAGCAGGCACTGAGCATTAAAACAAGCCCCCCTTAGAGAGCAAATGCCGTGCTTCTCAGTGTTCCCGAGAGGCACCAGGGAGCCGTAGCCGTGAGCCCGGAAAGGAGCGGCGGGAGCGCGGGGCTCAGCCACTGTGCGGGAGGCAGATGGGCATGGAGCCGGGAGGTACTCACTGGCGTCATCCTCCGACTAAACCACTCGGCTTTCCATCAAAGACAGTTGTCAGTGAGAACGAGAAAACGGCAACCTCGGGAGCGTGAGGCGTTTGCAAACTTGAAACGGTCACTGAGAGTGAACATACCGACCTGGGAGCGTGCACGGGCGTGTCCCTCCAGGACGAGACACGCGTTCCAGGGCTGACCACGGTCTCCCTCCACAGCGGCACTACTACAACACGCCAACACATCCACCCCTTTCCACGCGAACACTGAATGCAGCTCAAAGCCGCGGCTACACACAGACTTCGGAACAACCCAGCCCGGCACACAGCCCCGTGTACTATACCAGCAGCACCAGCTGCTTAGGCCCACGCCCTTTCACAAGTGAGGTCAGTCAAAACGAAACAAACGATGTGCACGAGGAAAAAGAGGGAGAGGGCGGCTGGGGGAGGGGGAGGCGGGGGAGAAGGGGGAGGGCAGGAGGCAGGAGGCAGGGGGAAGGGATGGGCTTGAACCTGGAGCCCCCGCCCGCACAGGTGGCACAGAGCTCCCCCCCAGCTGGGCACCAGGAAGACACCAGGGCCAGCTGGGAGCACGGGACTCCCTCCTCGACACGTCTGTGGGGTGAGACGCGGGACAGGAGGCCCCGCGTGCCGACGGGCGGGCACCCACCGTGTCGGGACCGCCGAGCTCCCCTCGTCTGCACTACAAGAGCTAGTCACGCAGAGGGGGTCTGTCCCGCCTCCGTGTCCACGGGACCCACTGGAGGAGCAGGGCGCTGCCACAGGCCAGGGGAGGGGCCCTGCAGACCGTCCTCAGAGGCGGCCCGGGGTCGGGTGGCCAGGGGCGCGAGGCACGCCGGCAGCAGCCCCCGCTGCGGTGCCCGTGCTGCACGTGGGCCACGCCGCACCCGGCGGGAGCCCGGAGACTCCCTGCGCCGCCGTCTACTCACATGCACAGTCCATGCAGGGGCAGCTGCCGAGGGCGTTCGGAGGCTTTGGGACACAAGCAGGGGAGGCCAGCGAGGGGACTGGCCGGCTGAGCGCCCCCCAGGGGCCGTGAGGGGAAACTGCTTAAGAAAGCACTAGAGACACTAAAGAGCGGAGTCCGCGACACCCGGGGCCCCCTGGTGCCGGCAGCGCGGGGCGGGCAGGCTCCGCGTGGGCTGCCTCGCGGTGTGAGAAGCGTTAAGATTCCGTTAAGATTCCGCAGAGACAAGACGAGTTAAACGGCAGCTCCTAGGGTGAGGCTAATACGCGTGTTAGTTGGTACTTTTGCCACAAACAGAGGTGCAGTTACCGGAGAACAACAACGTATCTTAAGCAGTTTCAAGCAGACAGCATTGCGACTGAGGCACTAAGTGGACACTGGTTCCGGCTGCAGGAGGTTAGCGAACGGGAAGGTTTGCCGTGAATCGGGCCGGCGGGGCCGGTTCCCAAAGCCTCCGAAGCCCCAGCCACCCGACTTGCTCTACATCATCTAACTATGAACAGTAAGGTAGGCACAGACCAAGCAGTTGGTAATACAGCTTGGCACGCAGACACCGGACGAGAGAGACTGCAGCAAAGGTTTCACGTGATCGTGTGTAATGTTCGTCCACACCTTAGTCTTCGACTTGGGGCTGCTTCCGCTCTGCCCTTCCTCGGAGGCAGCGTCCCCCCGGCCAGAGTTCGGCCGCCTTGTCTTCTCTCGCTGCTGCTTCTGAAAACTGTGTCTGAGAGGGGAGCAAGTGCCCGAGTCGCCGTCACTAGCAAAGGAGAGACCTGTGACAGCAGCGGGGAGCTCCACATCGCTGTACTTCTTAGACTTCTCTCTCAGGGCCGGGTATCGGTACGGGTAGCCGGTTCTGTAGCCCTAGGGCCGAAGAGAGCAGAACACAGTCAGTCTCCGCCTCTGACACGGAGACCCGCTGCGGCAGGCGGTGCAGGAACACCCAGGTGCAGGTGCTCAGACGCCGCAGGAGGACAGCAGCCCCAGACCGCAGCCTCGCCCGCCCCGACACCACTGACACCCGTGCGCCTGCACGGCCCCTCTGTCATCAGGGGCAGCGACGCTCTCACCAGGTTATCGAGCATCCGCATGAGGGCTTCAAACTCCTGCTCGCCGACCAGCCACGGGGGAGGGGCCCCGGCGCTCTCCCCTGCGGGGGGCTCTGGGGAGCGGGACTTGGCTTTGTACTTCCCAGGGTCCAGGAGCACTAGGTTGTCTGGCCCTCCTGCACTGGCCAGAGTTCGAACCTTTTCAGAACAAGCAAGCGTTACCATTGGAGCTCCTGACGGAGGGCACGGGAAGAACAACTATGAGAAGTCACGTGAACAGAAATATAGATTTCAAAGGCAACCAAATGACCGAGTCTGGGAAGGAGAAAAGCAGGGTGCACAGTGACGGACTAATGACAGTTATTTTTAGAAGTTTTTCTTCAGCCTGACAGAAGTATTAGGTACGCCTACATGCTGGAGAAATGGGAAATAAAGCCCCTTCAGAGCACATGAGGCAGAACGGGGAAGGCACTGCCACAGAGACACAGGTCGGGGTGTCGGTGGGGAGAACCAACGAGGGGCCGCACCCATCTGGTGTCTAAGTGGCACCTACAGCCCCGAGGCCGCAGGCAAGTCTCCAGCTCTCCGCACCTGCTTTGCAAAAGCAGTGCCCTGAAGGTCAGGGAGGTCAGGGGAAGCACCAGTGACTACACATGCAAAGCTCCTGACGCTGGGCCAGCCCACACCAGGACTCCATAAACGGCAGTGGCTCACGTATTTGAATAACAAATTACCATGGGCCAACCCAAACCAGTGAAATGGCACTTGTTCTGGTCAATGTCCAAATCCCTGAGCTCGGACCCGGCCAGGAAACTGCCCGGACTCACCCCCGCAAAACCAGTGCCCGAAGTCTGCGGGCACCCTGCCACCACGGAGAGGGATGGCGCGGGGTCGCACACCCACCTGGATCTCGCACGCGACCACGAGGTTGTGGATGTAGAAGAAGGCCTCCTCGACGCTCTCCCCGACCGACACGAGCCCGTGGTTCCGGAGAATGAGGACCTGAGAGGGGAGCAGGGAAGGAAGCTCCAGGCGGCTGGGGAGGCTCAGGGACACCGTCCCATCCCCCCTGCCCTCCACCACTGCAACCCCACATCAGATGCCTACCGACCTTGCTCTTGGGCCCCAAGTTTTTCTGAATTAGAATCTTCTCCTCTTCATCCACCAAAATCCCATGGTAGTCATGATAACCCACTTCTCCAAGGGACAGGGCCTCTGGGGAGATGGGCAGGAGGCCACATTTCATCGCGGAGACCTGCAGAACGGGAGGCCGCGCTGAGCGAGGGCGGAGCGGGAGGCGGCACTGCCCCCAGAGAAATGAGAGGGGGGACAGAGTTCATTCTGTCCTCTTCCCAGAGACGAGGGGACCCATGGGCGTCAGAGAAATGTCACTTCTGCGGCTTGCTGCCAGCATGCAGCCCGGAGTGCGAGCTTTCATCTGCACTGGGCGGGCGGCCCCGAGAGAAAGCCCGCCTCTCTCCGGGCACCTCCGCCCTAGCAAGCAGCACTCTGGGAGCTCGGACGGACGGAGGGACGGCGTGAGCCCCAGGCCACACGGGAGAGACAGAGGCTTCCTCTGAGGGCGCCACAGCACTGCGGGGGAGGGGTGTGAGGTGCGTAAGGGGCGGGTGCCTTTTATTTTAGGTTGTAGGTGGGACCAAAACAGCTGAAAATCAGATAGAAACAAATGTGTAAAAGTTGAGGATAATTATACTGTATAATTCCTCTAGATTTATTTAAGTGAAAAAATTCTAACTCCATATAGTCCTTAGGTTTCCTTAAATTTCCTAAACTGACTTTATAGTACGCTAATTATAAAGGCCCTCTCTCTAGATTAACAGGCACCAAAGAGTCAAATAATATCTCAGGGGTAACAATTCCATACAGGATACTTAATGTAAAATGACAACACCACAAACACAGCAATATCATACGGAACTCCTTTCACAGTATGAGCTTTAAGACATTCCCTTACCTTTAAGAAGAAATTTCTTTACAAAGTAAGGTTTTGATAATTTTTAAAACAAATTGCTTGGCAGCTGCTTGTAACCACATTGTCAAAGGTACCTTTAAAAGTGCTTTAAAATGAATGGATTTTAGGAAAAAATTACACCCTTCAGAGAATGACATATTAAACTGCTGCTGACACCGAGAACCACATCCTCAAAGCAAAATAAACCAGCTCCATCACCCATCCAAACAAATCAACATGCGTGACAGTAAAACATCAAGATAGATTAAAATTCAGCATTACTGAATCAATAAAGTCCTCTGTTGCAGAAATAAGGACAGGAAGTCACTAATATATAAAACTGGTAATGAAAAGCCAATTCCAGGCAGTTGGAGAGTGTTTTGCTTTCACGTGACTGCACCAGCCACGGAACGTGCGCCCCCCACGGAGAAGTCTGGGCTCGGTCAGGGCGCTGGGAGCGGGCTAGGCTGGCGACGGGCGGGGCCCGAGGGCGTGGAGGCCAGCCCTCCCGACAGCCTGCGTGACTGCGCCCTCCGGCCCCAGCTGCCCTCCTGACTCCCCCGTCAGCAGCCAGTGGGTGCTCTGCCACTCCTCCTGCACGGCCATTAGTGCGCTGCAGGCCCTTGAGCCCCACTAACTGGTCCCTGCACCCACGGCACCCTCACCCCCCACCCCTCCTTCTCCCGCCTCTCCAATGAGGGCTCTCCCGTTTGCTGCTGCTGTCCTGCTCTTGCCAACAGCGTCAGGCGCTCTGAAACCTGACCTCCACCGCCAACACGCTAAGACGGTCTAATCCGTGAGTGCAATGGGCACGTGAGAACCACACTGTTTAGTAGAGAGACACCTTCAAAGCAAAGCCTCTTAAGAAGGTCAAACTTGGTGAGTACAGAACTTCTTCAAGCCCACAAAGCCACGTTGCGGACTCATCGCTGTGAGAGGCACTCCCGGGGGGGCACTCAGGGCCATTCCCAGACGGCTCCCCAGCTGCAGGGCGACACTCACCGCGGCCCCTGCCGGTGTGTGAATGTGCACCACACACCTCACGTCCGGGCGCGCGGCATAGATTGCAGAGTGCAGCGTGAAGCCAGCCTGGTTCACTCCGAGGTTAGTGCTCCCGCGGTCGACGATATCTCCTTGCAGGTTTATTTTCACCTGAGAATAAGAGCACAAAAATTTCCAGTGTCAAGAGGACTTCAAATTACTGTAAGTAGAAATTACTTAAACCAACATTTAAAGTATCAATAACTAATTGCAAAGGTTTTTCTTTGAGTTAATCACACAAAACAGTTTCTGCTCTTCCTTGGGAGTTAAGCATCTAACAGGATTAGCAGGGGCTTAGTTAAGTAGCGTGACCTACACATTCAGGACACCCGCAAGGGGAGTGACATTCTCACCAAGCTGGAGGCGGTCACTTCGCTGAAGAGCAGCCCGAAAGGCACGATGAGGAAGTGCTCCTGCTCCGAGCCCACTCTGGTCTGTGGGGACACGATTGGGTTAGCATGGGAATCAAAACCATTTGCATCTCCTGCAGGCCACAAGCTCCTGGGTTTGCTGAGTGTGTACACAGCACAGAGCATTTATCACAGTCACTGAGCGGGTACATGGCGTACATCCTGGTCACATTCATGGTAATTAACTGTATGAAGAAAAACCTGGTGACGACAAAACCAAGTGGCATGTGCCAAGAGGTCCCTCTTCGGTCATATAATAATGAAAACCAGAACGTACATTCTAAAAGTCAAGCCAGATGCGTGTGTAGTACACAAAGCCTGCAGGACAACGGACCGTCACAGCACAAGTGAGAGCGCGCTCCCGCGCTGCCCGAATAGCCGCAGCCCCGGGCCGCCCGCGCCCTCCACTGCGCTCTCCCTTCCCCCCGCCCGCCCCGGCGGGCCCAGCGGAGCTGATGCCCAGATACCCGCGTGCTAGCCACAGGGCAGGAAGAAAGGAGAGTCCTGCCCTCACAGAACTTCCGTCTAGGTCTTAGAAGGGTTTCGGGATAGACTTCCCCAAGTTATTCGGCTGGAATACATTCACTTTTGGACTACGCGTTCTGACCAGGGTCAGGTGGGCGGAGGTTTCTGTTAGTGCAAAAGCCCTTGGGACACTCAGTGCCACTCTCTCGCCAGCCCAGTGAGTTGCGCGCGCGCACACACACACACACACACACACACACACACACACACACACACACACACACACGGTGTGTCCGGGCAGCTGCAGTGGCAGGGACGCGCACCGCGCTCAGCAGCCAGCGAACGCTCCACGTCCCGGCTGCAGTCCCGGGAGCAGCGGTGGCGGAGTGCCAGCTGCAGAGACCTCTCCCACACCGAGCACCACGTCCCCCTCCCTGAGGTTCCCTGAGGTTCCGGAGCGCAGCACGGCACAAGCTCCACCCACCACTTAGCTCTCAGGCATCAGAGACCGGCCCACGGCCTCTGCGTCTTCAGGCTGAACCTGCTTCAGTGCCCCCACAGAGGTTCCTGGGGACCCACAGTCACAGGAGACGGAGCTAAAACCCTGGCTCTGCTGCTGCGGGTGCCCTGGGCTCCTGGCCCACAGGTGGGTGGTGGGCATGCACCCAGGAAACCACCGCCACCCACGAACCAGTGCTCCTACGCTCCTCCTGGCTCCCTTCCGCTTGTCTCCGAAACGCACACGGGCCCCACCTTTCCCCCAAACACCCTCCATGAATGCTGGGCTAGCCACGCTTTTCATGGCCAATTCGTTCTTTTATTTCAAAAATCAGACTGATCATTTTAATTATCTAAAAGAAAACTACACAACTGCCCCAATTTCCAAGTTGGGTCAAAACAAAACATAAAACAAGCAATTATTTTGTGTATTCATTGAAATGAAAAAAAAATAAGGTTGAAAATAAGAAAAAATTAAGTATCAGGTATTTTTGCTTAAGTTTTTACTCTAAAACACCCACGTGGAGTATTAAAGGATAGGTGTACTATTTAAGTGTAAGAACTCACACACCCATGGACCCCCTCCACCAGCTTCAGAAACAGAAGGCCTAGTGTCTCTCAAGTTCCGCCTCCCTTCCCCCACAGCCCAGGACTAGCCACCCTCCTGACCTGTGTTAAGCATTTTCTTTCTTTCCTTTACAGTTTTACTTTTTACCTATTCATCCCTAAGCAATAGCTTAATTTTTATGTTTATGACCTTCATATAACTGGAATCATACTGTCTGTATTTTGCAGTGACTTTTTTCAATGCTTTATTTATTTTACTTACGTATAGTTGCTATACAGTATTAGTTATGCTTCAGGGGTACAAAGGAGTGACGAGGTCCTCACACCTTAGGATGTGATCACCCCACTAATCCTAGCAACCATCTCCCAGTATTACCACTGTATCCCCTTTGCCTTCTCATCCACCCCCGCCCCCCTGCCCAGGCAACCATCCCTTTGATCTGTGTCTATGAGTCTGCTTTTGCCTGGTTTGGTCTGCTAACTTGTTTTGGTTATTTTTTTTAGATTCCACAGGTAACTGAAATCATACAGTATTTGTCTTTCCCTGCTGCCTTATTTCAATTAGCATAATACCCTCTGGAGCCATCCATGCCATCCCAAATAGCAAGACGTCCTTCTTTCTACGGCCAGGGCACACCCCATGTGCACACGCACCGCGTCTTGTCTATCAGCGGACTCCTAGGTTGCTTCCATGTCTTAGTAACTGCAAATGACGCCCCAGTGAATGCAGGCATGCATGCATCTTTTCAAATTAATGTTTCTGTTTTCTGTGGATAAATACCCAGAAGTGGAATTGCTGGATCATGTGGTATTTTGATTTTTAATTTTTTGAGGAACCTCCATGCTGTTTTTCCCAGTGGCTCACCAGTCTGCATTCCCATCCAGCGGGTCCCCTTTCTCCACATCCTTGAGAGCACTGGCTGTTTGCTGATCTGGGGACACCTGCCACCCTGACAAGGGTGCGGCGACAGCTCACTGCGGTTTGATTTGCATTTCTCTGATGAGGCGGGGCACTGCGCACCTTTTCTACGCCTGCTGACGACCTGCACGTCCTCTGCGCACTCTGGGTCAGACGGGTCGCGGAGCCGGCCACCCGACTGTGAGGCTCCTCCAGACAACGACCAGCACGGCTGCCGTCTCCCTGTTCTCCTGGCTGCACAGCATCCACTGGACAGACACGCAGTTTACGTGGCCGTTCTCCTGCCGGTGGACACGGTTTCCACTTTGCTATTAAAACCAATGCTAGGGAGGGAGGAGATGGTGGCCAGGTAGATGGAAGTCAAGTCCACTTGCTCTTGCCCCCAAATTGGATACCTGGCCGATCTTCCAAAAAAATAAGTGGTACATTCAACAGCATCTTGGCGGACGTGAAGACTGGAAGCCAAGGAGGACAGAAGACACTTCATAAGGTGTGCATGAGGGTCGTACAGCCTGCAGCCACAGAGGTCCCAGTCAGAGACCGCAGCTCTGCGGCTCCCTCCCCTCCCAGCGCAGGAACCCCCGGACCCAGGCAGGGTGACTCGAACGCACAGAGCTGGGGAGATCCAGGCTACACACACACGGCGAGCCGCACACCCGCAGCTGCAGCGGCGGACACCAACAGCAGAGTGCCAGAGAGGGATCCCACCCGCACCCCGGCCGGGCGGCAGGGGCAGGCCGAGGCCAGCGGTGGCTGTGAGACAGCTGTCTTTCTGGAGAGGTGGTGTGCGAGGGAGCTGGACAGAGACTCGGTGCTGCCGTGGGGGTGCCCGCAGAGACTCTGTCAAGGGGGGCCTGAGGTGCGTTGGGCAGGGGCCCCATGGGCAGCCGCCCTACCAGCCAGGGGAAAGGACCGAGGGCACGGTTTGCTCCCACGGCACGCAGCTGGGCGGAGATCAGAAAGGTGTACAGCGGGGGGCTTTCTCGGCCCCGGCCCAGCGCAGACGGTGGGGCAGGGGCTGCTCCGAGTGGAAAGCTCTGGACTACGTCTGCTGCAGTGGCAGTGGGCTGGAAACTGGAGGGGCAGGAGTCGAGCACCTCAGATCATTTACAGCCAGACAGAGCTGACTGCCCTGGCGGAGATCAAACCTCTGGGAAGGCAAGGGGGCACTCGGCCCTGCCTCCTTCAGGACCTCAAGCACCGCCAACCTTGAAGATCTGCAGGAGAGGCATGGCAGGCTCCAGAGCCCCTGCAGCATGCGTGCCCACAAGAGAAACACAGACAGAGAAATGGCCAGCACTTCTCTCAGGGAGACAAGGCACGCTGGTTCCCAGGGCCCTATTCCACTGAGGCCAGCCAAGCATGGAGACCAGACGCTGGGGCAGCAAGCGGGCATCAGGGACACAACGCTGCCGTCAGCACCAAGCAGGGAAGAGCTGACCCTCTTATCCAGATTGGCCCCCCCTTGAAACGAACAGGTAGTTCGCCGGAAAGTACACATTACTGGAAATAAGCTGGGACAGACCAAGGCTGGCGGTGCAGCGGGAGGGGAACACGCCCACAATTTTACCGGAAGGCCACACGGTGCCTCCCAGGGGAGACGCAGGTGCCCCACCCTCCCGATCACAAGGAGCCCCTGCCCTTTGCGGCAGCACGGAAAGAACTGAAAACCACTGTGCTGAGCGAAATGAGCCAGGCTGTAGCGGACAAACACCCTATGACCTCACCTGTAAGAGGACCAATGAACAAAATAAACTAACGGACGAAACAGAAACACGGGCGTGGGAACGTGGAGCAGACTGACCGTGACCAGAGAGGAGGCGGAATGGGGACAACGGTGGACAGGAGGGGCAGGGACTAGACAAAGAACACGGGTGAATGACCCACGGACCGGGGCAACGGTGTGGGACGGACGGTGGGAGGCGGGTCGTGGTGTGGGCAGAGGAAGGCAAAGGGGAAACTTTGGACAACTGTAATAGAGTAACAAAAAGTGACTTAAAAATGATAATAAATTGTATTAACCAATGCTACCCCAATAGAAATAAGCAATCAATGCTAGGAACATCCTCACACCTATCTCCTAGTGTACATGTTGCATGTCCACATTTCTCCGGAGAACAAAGTGGGGGTGATATGTGTTTCCCGAGGGGCCCAATGAAAGGCACAGCACCGCCAGTAAGACTTCGGTAGTTCCGTGCCTCTAGAAGCATCTTCTTCAAAAACTAAAACCTGGTGTCTGCGAAATGCCTTTCCACTGTGGTTTTAATTTGTAAATTCCTGGTTACTAATGAGTTAAGCAACTTTTCATATTTTTATGAGCCACTCTAATTTCTCCTGTGAAATTCCTTTCTTGTCTTTTGCTCCATATTATACTGGGCTGTCTTTTTCTTACTGATAGTTCTTTATCTGATTCTAGATATTTTCTGCTGGCTATCTGTGAAGTAAAATTGTTCATATTTTAGCTTTTTTTAAAAGATTTAATTTATTTATTTTTAGAGAGGGAAGGGGGGGAGAAAGAGAGAGAGAGAGAGAGAGAAACATCAATGTGTGGTTGCTGGGGGCCGTGGCCTGCAAC